GTGTCATCAAGCAGTCATTAGGAGCTGTGGAGCAATGGGTACTCTGAGCACACACAACTCTATTTCTCCATAACCCCTGAATCAGGAGAGGCTGTGAAATATCCGGATCAGTGTCTGAATGCAGTGGTGGACTGGATGAGGGCTTGGATCCTGGTGAGACAGGGGCTCTTTGGGTAGGTGGTCCTCATGTCCTGGAGATAGGAAAGTTATCTGCTGCAGATGCACTCCCTCTGAAGGAGCAAGTGCGTATCTTGAGGGTAAAGTAAAGGTAAAGGGACCCCTGACCATTAGGTCCAGTCGTGACCGACTCTGGGGTTGCGGCACTCATCTCACTTTATTGGCCGAGGGAGCCGGCGTACAGCTTCCGGGTCATGTGGCCAGCATGACTAAACCGCTTCTGGAGAACCAGAGCAGCGCACGGAAACAGCGTTTACCTTCCCGCCGGAGCGGTACCTATTTATCTACTTGCACTTTGATGTGCTTTCAAACTGCTAGGTTGGCAGGAACAGGGACCGAGCAACGGGAGCTCACCCCGCTGCGGGGATTCGAACCACTGACCTTCTGATCGGCAGGTCCTAGGCTATGTGGTTTAACCCAGAGCGCCACCTGCATCCCTATATCTTGGGGGTACTTCTAAATAAATCGTTGTCATTAGGTGCCCAACTGTCCTCTGTGGCTAGGAATGTCTTTTACCAGCTTTGTTGGGTTAGCCGGCTAGAGCCATTCCTGGACGGGGATAGCTTGACCGGTGTAGTTCATGCTTTGGTCACCTTGAGGCTGGATTACTGCAATGAGCTCTACGTGGGGCTGTCTTTGGGCCTGGTGATGCAACTCCAGCTGGTGCAGAATGCTGAGGGCAGCTGGCACCATGTGATGTCCTTGTTGAAACTTATGCCCCCTGAACAACTTAGGCCCCAGGGTTCCTTAGGGACTGCCTGAACCCTTATATCCCAGATCAATCACTGAGACCATCTGCAGGGCTGTTGTTAGTTGTTATTTTGAGTTGAGGAGGCTCCTTTGACAGCAACAACAAGAAACCGAGACTTTGGTGTCATCCGGCCAGCTTTGTGGAATGCTCTGCCAACAGAATTTCAACAGGCACCTTCTGTTTCAACTTTTTAAACGCCTGATGAAAAGTTCTACATTCCATTAGGCTCATGTGGGCCATTAAGAACACATCTTTCCACAGCAGAGAGCTGAGCTCTGATTTTAAAATGGTTTTTATTGTATGGTTTTATGTATAGCTGTTGTAGACCAGTCCGGTATTTTTTGATGAACAGCAGCATATTAATAAAGAGATAGATATATTTCTGTTGGTTGAAAATGAGGTAGTTGTAAATAGTAATCAAAGAATAAGAAGCAAGAAGCAAAATAGTATTGAACTGATACCTGAACAGTCTCAAGAAGCAAAGACAGTCAGAATGGACTAAGGACTATGGTGACCTTCATGGTACCCGATCCCTAGCAACATAGATTTTAAGTCACGGCGTGAAAACAATTTTTTTTTTACTGCATTCTTCCTCCCAAAGCAATCAACATCATGAGAACTGAATGAATCTCCTCATATATAAATGAACAGATTATTCAGGGAATTGGCTTTCTCAATCTATCTTAATTCATGCTCTCAGCTGGGCATTATTAGCAGCTGGAAAATATCCCACAAACAGCTGCCAGTTGAGATGCACTTTTAGTATCTTCTTTCTGCGCTTGGTTTCCACCAATGTCATCAGTTTTAGAAAGTTACCCAGCCTCTTTCCCCTCCTCCGACTAGGTCGTCTGCAGCGTGTCCCCTTTCTAAATATATCTGGCACAATCTAGACCAAGTTAAACACTTCTAAATGCCTCACTAATTTCAGCAGGATAAATTTAAGCACATGCTATAGGTCTGCGGTTGGAATCAGTACGATATTAACAGTGCTTGATGTTGTCTGGAGTGTGTAGTGATATTTTTAAAGACAGTAATTTCAGATAGCATAATGCAGTGCTTGCCCCTTCTTGGAAGAAGGAACTCTGAACCCAGGCAAATTATCTGGGGGGCAGGGAAATAAACAGACGTACAGTAGACACAGGCGGGGGATGAAAATGAGAGCTGAGACTCTCAGGAAACTTGCTTTTGTGAGTTAACATAAGGCCATGCAGAGAAGTACAGAAGATAACAAAAGATATATGTTAGAGCTTTGATGTCTTTCCCAGTGTTGTTCATTATAGCCAGGATCCAATAAATCATGAAAACAATTACACGGTCTCAGGGTTGAGGAATCTGTGGTCTTCCACTTACTGTTGGACTCCAACTCCCATCAGCTCCAGCCACCATGGCCAATAGTCAGGGATTATGCAGTTGTAGTTCAACAATGGGAGAACCAGAGATTCTTCACCAATGCACTAGCTCATGAGTACTTTGGACAACTGCCCCCACGACAAATCACTTTTGAAATGGAGACGAAGTTCAAAAGCAAATTGCAATATTGCATTGTAGACCTCTGGTGAATGGGGGGAAAGTCAGAAAAATTCCCATTGGGATCATGCAAGAGATAACTCTTTGGATTGCAGGCTATGTATTTTTGAAAGTAAGCAAAGGAATTGTGCACGCACAACATTCAAAGTTCATTTTGGATCTTGATAGGGTATTAAATGTGCTGCTGTACTTTCAATGTCTTTAGTAAACCATTCAAACCAAGACAGCCGTAGTCAAAATAACTTCCCAATCTTTCTTTGGTCATTGTTCTTCAGTACAGCCAAGCAAATACATGCAAGATTGAAAAAAGCACTCTATAACCAGTAGTGTATCTTTTAATTTTTAATATTTGTTCCTAATTTATCAGTGGCTGTCTTTCTGAATTAGCACAACCACATTCTCACAGAGAGCATTCTCTTTTCAAAGAGCACAGCACTGGAAGACATTTCTCCCATTTCAAAGCTGAAGTAACAATTTTCATGTGTGAAAGTGACAGTGAAGCTATTATCACATTCCTTGTGATAATACTTTCTCTGTAACACAATTTCCTCCCAACACATCCCAAAAGATAGGTCCACAAGACCAAAGTAAAAAATATGGATTTGAGTTTAATATTCTCTCTTAAAAAATATACCGTATTTTTCGCTCTATTGGACGCAGTTTTTCCTCTCCAAAAATTGAGGGGAAATGTGTGTGCGTCCTATAGAGCGAATGCAGGCTTGTGCCATAGCCGCGCGCAACCCCTCCGGCAGGGAGAGGCTGCACGGGGCTATGGCTTCTTTAGCCCTGCGCAGCGTCTCCTGGCAAGGAGAGGCTGCACGGGGCTAAAGGGGAAGCCAAAACAGCGAGCGGGATCCATCCCGCTCGCTGCCTTGCCTTCTTCCATAGCTGCGCACAACCCCTCTGGCAGGGAGAGGTTGTGTGCAGCCTGTACGCTGCTCTTTGGGGCTGGGGGGGAAAAATTTTTTTCCCTTGATTTCCCCCTCTAAAAACTGGGTGCGCCCTATGGTCCGGTGCGCCCTATGGTGCGAAAAATACGGTACATGGCATATGTTGTGAACCCTGTGTAGCTATTTATCAGGAACAAGTTCTTTGCTTTTATAATCAGGATTACTGTATAGGAATAAATTTATCAAGGGACCCACTGATAATGCTTTGATTATTTGAAGGAGATTGCTTCAAGCAAATTGCAGAAATTGACAGCAAATCTGCTGATAGCTGAGAAAAATATTGAAGGGAAGGGAGATCCGATGCAGTTGGTTCCTTGAATGGAAGCCCCTTCCATTCACAGAATTAGATCCCTCCTATTAAATGCACGATATTGGAAGAAGAGCAACAAACCCCCAGAAACTAATGAATGGGTTCAAAAGATCTGGGGTGGTGCCAAAACTATGAAGCTGGCATCTGCTCAGGCAGAGGAAATCTGGACAATTCCCAAGCAATATGGCAACCTATTACACTAAATGCAAAATGGCATTAACAGGGTTTTTATGTTATGATTTTGCAACTTTATTTCTCCTCAAAGAGCCAATATCCTCCTGTCAGGAATCTGTAGCAACTTCAGAGCTCTGTGTTGAGCACAGACTGAACTCTCTCCCACCCCACCTTGTCCTGTACCCAAGCTGAGGCTTGTCACACAACAGAGGGGGAAAGTTAGGACTTGCCTGGTGCAAAAAGAAACCCAGGTCCTGTTAACCTTAAATGTACTTAAGTAAAGAGTAGCAATTGATGTCTTTACTTTGCTGTTCAAGGCTGCAATCCTATCCCCACTTGTCCGAGAATAAGCCCCATTGAATTCAAGGTGAATATAGGTAGAGGTACAATTAAAAACAAAACAGAAGCTTCCACCATCAGAGGCTTTGTGGGAAAAGGAAACAAAAAAATGACTCGCTTCACTCAAAGTGATGGTGAGGATTCAATTTTCTGCATCACAATGGCATCCTCAGTGAATGACAGTTAAACTGTTGGTAAGTAGGCATAAGATTGCAGGCTGCACTCCTGTAGTTACTCACCTGGGAATAAGCCCTACTGAACGCAATGGGCCTTAATTTTGAGTGGGCATGTATATAGGATTGTGCAGCAAATTACTTTGATCACCACTGTACCCTATAATGTCTTTTTAAAAATAAAGTTGGAGTTCTAGCCTGCCATGAGCTGGAAGCCTCTCCACCTCTTTCCTAACACCCTACTATGCTTAAAAAACAGGTCAGACTTTGGTTATTGATGGGGGGGGGCCAAATGCACTCTGTGCATGTTCAGAGGCCCCCACTCCTTTCAACTCTCACATCTTTCCACTACTGGGCCGCAGTCACGGCAAACAAGACCAGTGGCTGAGCTCGTAGGGGCCCAAAGATGAAAGGAAGAAACAAATAATCCGTAACCTACCGACTTTTCCGCGCGGGATGCATGCGCAACGGCTTTAGGACCCGGGAGGCGTCGTTTTGCCTACGGCGGCGACAGCCAGCAGAAGAGCCGAGGTGAGCGGGAAACGGCCGGAGCGATCGCGCAGGCGCCTTGTCGGTTGACGGGGGGAGGGGGAGGGGAGAAGAGAGAGAAGCAGGAGGGAGAGCAAGCCGCGCGCGCGGGCAGATCATGCCGGCGCTAGGACCACCTCGGCGGGCTCGGCGCGGGCTCCGATAAAGGGCTCGCGGCGGCGTTTGACGTCACGGGGAGTTAATTTTAAACCTGGACAAGATGGCGGAAGGGGACGCGGCTCGGTTCGGGCAGCGAGTAGCGCTGCCCCGGCTACAGCCGGACTTGGCAGGTAAACCGGGCGCCTGCCTGGGGTCTGGAAGGCGCGGCGACGAGAGAGGGAAGAGCGCGGAGCCTCGCCGCTCTGGGCGGGGGGCCGGGGCCTAGGGCTTCCCCGCTGCCTCCCCGTCCCCCGGTCTCTCTCTCTCTCTCGCTCCCGTAACGGCTGCGGGCGGGACTGGCTTCCCTCACAGGGGCGCAGCGTGGCGGGAGGACGAGCCGAGAGGCGTGGGGGGGGGGAGAACAGAGCGCGACGGGAGCGGTCCCTCGGCCTTTCCCCGCTCTCCGGCTCCGGCCAGGCCGCGGCATCGTCTGTGCTGGTCTGGGGGAAGCGGGGTGGGTGCCGTAAGGCCTCCTGCTCCTCGGGGGAGGTCGGTGGGTGGTTGGGCAGCCGCCTTGCCCCCAGGAGGGCGTTGGCATCTGCTGGCGGGGCTGAGGAAGGGGAGTCCGTGGGTCTATTAGGCGGGCCAGGGAGGAGGCGGGTGACACAGCGTGGCTGGTGCGTGGAGGGGAAAGAGCTGTAGGATCTCTCGTGGATTAGGAATCGCTACGACAGGCCCGACTCTTCTCCCCCACCCCCTTAGAGAAGAGAGAATGTGTGTGTGTCTGTGTCTTAAGACACACACACACACACACACACACACACACACACACACACACACACACACACAGAGCAATGCCTCGGAGGCATGTTGTGTTGCAAGCTCTGGCGGGTGTACAGAGCCGGGTGGAAAGAGCCAGTGCCCCACGTGGTAGAGGCTAGCTGGTCTGCGGGGCATGGGAGTTTGTGACCTCCTTCCCGAATGCTTCTGGAGCAAAGTGGAGAATTTGCTCATAAGAAGGTGTCTTATACCAAGTCAAGCCCCTGAACCTTTTAGCTCCGTGTTGTCTTCACCAGACTTCAGGTTTTTGTGGAGCTGCTGCTGCTGCTGCTTCTTTACTGGACTCCTGAGATCCACCATATGGAGCCAAGGACAAAATAGCGGGGGTGGTGGGGTCAGCCTGCTCCCAGAGTTAATGAGCATACTTGATTCATGCTCAGTCCAGGGATTTGTTTTCAGAACTAGAACTGAGCTCACAGTTCAGATGCACAAATATTTGCTCTTGGTTTTCCTCCCAAGCTTTATTCAGCTTGGCTGCCTGATTTAGAGAAGGAGAGAATATAAACAACCAGGAGCTGGAATTCTTGCTGATATCCTGTTATTCACTTCAGTTTATATTCTGCCCACTTCTGGTCTACACTTACTGGCAGCTATGCTCCAGAGCATAAGACTCCCAAAACATGAGTCTCTCTCAGCTCTACCTGGAAATGTCAGGCTTGAATCTTGCAGGTTCTACATTCAGAACATATGCTCAGCTATTATCTGTGCCCCTCCTTCATGACTTCAAGGTTGAATAAATGAATAGTTTGGTTATGTGGATCACATAACTCAGTCTTTTGAGGTATGATGTTAGACTTTTTTCAGTGTCTACTTCAGTGATATGGGGAAATGTGTAGATCACAACATTGTTAGACTGTAGAGCTAAGGTATATCAAATGTTAAGTTCTATATGCAAAATATGGCATACTGGAGATTTTCAGTTGCTAGTGTTAGGAGGAAAGGTACTGTAGCTGAGCTTCACAGGTGTAAAGTACTAACTTCATGACTGTGAATGGGGAGATCTGTTTCTGGCTGGTGCTTGGGAGCTGTGATTGGTAGTTTTGGATGCAGTGTTGCATGGAGAAATGTCTGATTGCAATGTTCACAGCTTGTATACTGTGACCTACTTCTTAACAAAAGTACCGTAATTTCTCTTCTTTCACTCCTGCTTTTGCTACCATGGAAAAGAATCTCAGTTATGCTGTTGTATACAGCTAGTTCATGCAACTTGCCCAAACTAGCATTTTCATGTCTTTGGTGCATCTGAAAAGTTGTGTGGGGCAGGGGGAGAAATATGAAATCAAACTGATAACCAGAGACCTTATTTTCCCCTCTAATGTGGTCCAAATTGGCAAATGCCCAAGAAGTCTTGCTTTTGTGTACATCATGTGATAAACTTGTATGCAGGTTTGTTGCCAAACCACTAGGGGGATTTGCTTGTATAATGCTTGTTCCACTTCTTTCCATAAATAAACCTGGCAAATGATAGTGCTTTGACACCATTATGTGTGTAACTTAGAAATGTTTAAATAAAGTCTATCTTCAGGGGAAATTCTGTTCTGTTAGAAAGCTAATGGAAACAAATCTGTTAAATAATTGGTGGCATCTATAGTAGCTGGCTTATTTTAACACTTAAAGCTAAGCATGAAACTGAATTAATCAACCCCTTTTCTGGAAAAGTTTTTTTTCTTACAAACTTTTCTAAAAGTGTGTGCAGTTTACCCAAAATAAAGCCTTTGGAAATCTTAGTGTATGAACATATTCAGAGCTACAGGTATGTGTATACATTCTGTAACAAGTGCCACACAGGTAAAAAAGCAAATTCAAGGGCTTGGAAGGGTAAGTAAGGTGTGACTGTAGACTTATGGAGAGCTTACATGAGTAAGCATCTCTGGAGCGCAGTAGAAATGCTTCTGAATAAATTGAATTCCACACTTGAGGCCGGGAATCTGTTTGGCAATCACATCGTGGAAGGGCATGAAGTGAAACCTCTTCCAATGGCAAAGTTTTCTGGCACATGCAAAATGAGGGGGCCGTTGTCACTTGGCTGGTTCAGTACTTTAGAGGCATGTGGAAGTGGTGAGAAGTGTATGCAGCTTTAAAGTTTCAAATGTAAAGCTAACCCTTTATTTCCTCCTGCTTCTTCTGCATGTGCCAGATGACACTGAATGGAGGTTTATTGCAAAATTTAGTGAAAACATGTTGGTTCCCTGGTAAAACATGTATAGGCACATACTGTACTACATATTTGTTCATCTTGGGTACCTAGCATTCTAACACCTTATCCCAACATACTAGTGTTGTCACCAGGCAAAATGTCTAGTGTTGTATACCTCTAGCAATCTTGCTTAAAGTTGCTGGATGGGTTCATCATGTCACAATTAAAGTTGCTGGATGGGTTCATCATGTCATGGTTTATGGGTTCATCATGTCACAATTAATAGCGAAAATGTTTTGAGATAGAATTTTAAACTAACTTTTGTGCCCATTAGTTTCTATTAAATTTAATTTTAAACTAGTTCCTAAGTGGTATATCTGCACTACAGTTGTGACTTCCTGTAACACCCATACACTTAAAGTTCTAACCTTCATTTGTGAGCATATCACCTAGTTTTTAATTAAAAATGAAACAAAAACTTATTCCTTGTTTACAGCAGTAAAAAGCATCAAACTTGCTTTCTAAAGCTGCTGCTTGAAGCCATTCAGAGTTATTTGGGTGGCTTGTTAAAGGGTTCTTCTGGAATGAAGGGCATCAGAAATCTTGCATTCACAGTGCTTGTAATTGAGCTATACGGGTTGGGGTCTTACACAAGATGTGAATGCGTTTACTTCTCTCTAATGACGTAATCTCAAGTGTTGGCAAACTAACAACTTCTGATGAGGGTGTACCAGCAGGTGTCAGCTGTGTGTTACAGAACCCTTGCATGAGGGGTACAAATGTCGGTTAACTCTTCACTGCTAAACTTTTAGCTGTAACTCTTTGCTACCATGTACTGGGAGACTTGTAAATTCTCTTTTCTCTCCCCTCCCCATATAGGGCAGGAGTCACCTAATAAACCCTATCAGCGAAAGCCCTGCGCAAGGGCTTCTGCTTGCGCAGCAGGACTTTCCCAGCCCACTGTCCCCCCAAATTGGCTCTAGGTTGGTTGGGAGAGCCCCCCACAACTGAGGGAGAGGAGGCTCATTCTACCTGGCAAACTGATAAGCTTGTGCAGGTGGAACATTTTTATAGCATGACTTGAATTCTACTCATTAACTTGTTTACAGATACATCTTCTAGCAATGGGAATAGTAATTGACAGATAATCCAGTTGCTTGTCTGGTTCATATATAACTCTAAAGTCAGGCTTCTCCAGTCTGGTGTCTATCAGATGTCTTGCATCAGCCCCAGCCGACGTGGCTGATGATCAGGGATGATGGAAGTTGTGGTCCAAAGCATCTAGATTCTGGAGGGCATCACATTAGATATCACTGGTTTAGTGTTATATGAGGTGTTGGGAACCTTAGGCACAGGAGCCAAATACAGCCCTCCAGGCCTCTCTATCTGGCCTTTCATTATGCCTTCAGGTGCTTTTGTGTGACTTGACTGTGCCTTTGAATTATAATGCTGGATGGAGAGACATGTAGAAACCTGACGTTTGTGTGAAGGGAATATAACAAGCAGGGATAGGGAATCTCTGATTGTGTGGATGTTGTTGGACTTCACCTTGTGGCATGGCCAGTGGTCACGGATTGTGGGTGCTGTAGTCCAGCAGCATCTAGAACAGCTCCAGCCAGCAGGGATAATGGGAGTTGTATTTCAAAACATCTGGAATGCACCATGTTGGCTATTCCTGATCTAGAGTTCCTTATCCTAGTGCAAAGAAAAAAGGCACATCAGTTGCTGTACTCACTTGTCCTGGTCCTGCCCACTGCTTGTCTGTAGCCCTTGGAAGGTTGCCCCAAAGAAAGCACGACAATTGGGCTGAGAAAGGCTTCCCATCTCAGTGCTACATGGACAAGCTTCAGTAAACTCCATGTCAAGCATACACATGTGCACACATACACACCTCCTCTAATGCAGCCAGGATGAGGACTACTTTTCAGAGGTACATTCAGTCTCAAAAAAAAACTTGGCTTAGCATTGCATGTGAATCAACAATCCTGGTTTTAAACAATCAGTAGTTGCTAAATGAGCAAACATCGAAACATGGGTTATGAAGCTGTCTTGTTTACCTAACCATTGCTTTAAAGCAAGATTCTTGCTTTGCATATAATTCTAAACTGAGATTCTTTGAAATTAAAAGTAAATCTCAGCAGGGAAAAGATGGAGCATATTAGTTTCGACATTTCACTTGATCCCGCTGAATCTGCTAAACTATGATTTAGTGCTTTTGTCAGTAGGAAAGCTAATCATAGTTTAGGTTACAGTCTGGTTTTGGATGAGGCTGCACTACCCTTGAAGTCTGGGAATGCACCTGGACTCAGCCTTTCTCTTTGATGGCTATGGACACACTAGTGCTACTAGTGTTACTTTACCACTGATCTCTGGATAACCAGTTTTCATGCTGATCTTAATAGCATGAGAGGCAAAATAGAACCTGAAGACACTTCATATGACAGTGGCCATCTTCAGTCCCAGCACCACTCACCTCATCACTCCTTCCCAACTAGGACAGTCACAAAGTCATGCCCCTACCCTATCCTATCCTGGCCAGGCTATCCAGAATAATGCCACAGGCAACATTAACAGCCATTGAGAGGTCCAGCAGAACCAGCAGTTACTGGTGTAGGTAATCTACCAGAGATTCAGGGAATAGGCTCTCTTTATACCCAGTCACCAGTACAGGCAACAACTGTTTTGCACGGGGAGTGCGTTCCTGTCCCCCGTGCACTTTGCCAGAGCACATGTAAGCCCACAATGCCTCCTTTTCCAGTCACTTCCCGTTGCGGCGATGGGAGCATGCATTCTTTTAATGCATGCAAAACGGGAGTTGCCTGTACAGACAAATTCATGGTGCTGCTGTGATGGCCAGGTTCTACTAACACTGTTGGAGACAATATGCATCTGAATACCAGTTGGTGGAAAGAGTGCCATTTGGAAAGAGTGCCAGTTGGTGGAAAGAGTGGAGAGAGTGCCGTTTTACCTGAGCCCTGATTGTGGTCTTTCTTTAGGCTTTTGAATGGCCACTGTGAGAACAGGATGCTGGACTAGATGGACCTCTGGCCTGATGCAGCAGGGGTCTTCTTTTCCACCCATTCCTTTTTAAAAAAATGTTTTCCATTAATTTTTATTAAATTATATGCAAGCAACATGTAACAAAACGCTATAAATTTTCTTTATGAACAATACATATATAAGCAATTCTGTTTAAAATGCCCCGGCTGTCAATCACCATACATATATACATCAATATGTCAATTAGTTACAGATTATTTCAGAATTGTCTAATAGTTTTATTTATAAATAAAAATCAATAAATGAAATGAGAATCTGATTAAGCCTTACTTAATGCTCCAGCAGAGCTCTTCTTATGTGCAGCAACCTATAGATAAGTCTGGTTTTAGATCTACTGCTTGGTATACAGCAGGGAGTGCCTTATTTCTGCTTAGCTTGGTGTGTCTGCTGTACCTTTTTTCTGGGAATGATAGATGTAGCCCAGGCATCCCCAAACTCGGCCCTCCAGCTGTTTTGGGACTATCATTCCCATCATCCCTGACCACTGGTCCTGTTCACTAGGGATGATGGGAGTTGTAGTCCCAAAACAGCTGGAGGGCCGAGTTTGGGGATGCCTGATATAGCCATTGGGTGAAACTGGGTTGCATTAATATAAAATTACTACGATGCAAGATATGTGTCCCTGCCTTTGCCCAGAATTTAATTATACAAAATGCAGTGACAGGGCTCCTGACATTAAGGAGCTGTACATGTTGTCATTATGCTTCCAGGCCTATTTCAAAGTACTGGTACCTGCCTTTAAGCCTTTCTTGCATAGATCACCTGCTCCCTCCAGCATAATACATCACATGGGAGGATCAAGATCCTAGGGCATTTGCTGAAGTGTCACTGCTGTCCTATAATTTCCTACCCAGCGTAGTCTGATAGAGTGTCAGCTTGGCAATCTTTTGAACTCCTCAGGTGAGCTTTTGGGGCTTTGGCTTACTGAGCTGCTGAAGTGTTTTTAAAAGGCTGACTAATGCTGTTGTGTCACATATGAAGGATGTTTATTGTGCTATTGTCAGAAACCTATTATAAGCTAGTTTGGGTACCATTTTGAATTTGGTGTGCATTCCTGCCATTTAGGCATGTTTCTAGTGTCTGATAATAAACACGGGAAGACAACACTTTGAAAAACAAGTTAGGGTCAGTTCACTAGGTCAGCAAACTAGAAATGCCATGCAAGTACAGCAGCTAGAGTAGTGATTGCTGCTAAATGGAAGTCAAAAACTGTACCCTCAAGGGAGGAATGGATTTGTAAATTAAATGAATACTTAGCTTTGGGAAAATTAACAGCTATTATAAGAAATCAGTCGAATCAAAAATTAAAAAAGGAGTGGAAATGTTTTGATGAATATATGGGAAAATATTGATCAAAAAATATGCTAATATGCCTAGATTAAAATGTAAAGTATCTGAGGGAAGGTAAATTAGTAAGGAAGGATAATAAGAATACATAGAAGATTTGAGAAGATTGTAGAATGCAAAGATAAATGTAATCTCAGAATGTAGAGGAAATCGAGTGGGGGCGGAGGGAAGGACAAAAAAAATTACATTTGATTGATGATTTAAATGATAAATATATGTGGGGACGGGGACGATGTGGGGATGGCTTTGGTATATTTGCATTGTGATGTAATATAGCAAAAACCAATAAAAAATGAAGAAATGCCATGCATTCTATCTACTTGTGTTCACCACTGCTTCCAATAAGCTTTCCAGAAAGAGGAAAAATGGCAAGAACTGGCATTTGTTTTTGAAGCTTTAGGATACAGCACCATTTCCATAAAGATTTATACACATGCTGGGTTTGGGTAATGTAATTACCGTATTTTTTGCTCTATAAGACTCACTTTTTCCCTCCTAAAAAGTAAGGGGAAATGTGTGTGCGTCTTATGGAACGAATGCAGGCTGCGCAGCTATCCCAGAAGCCAGAACAGGAAGAGGGATTGCAGCTTTCACTGCGCAGCGATCCCTCTTGCTGTTCTGGCTTCTGAGATTCAGAATATTTTTTTTCTTGTTTTCCTCCTCCAAAAACTAGGTGCGTCTTGTGGTCTGGTGCGTCTTATAGAGCAAAAAATACGGTACACAGCAACATAATACTTCCAGTTGTCCAATCATTGGGATATTTGAGAAATCTTGAGCCTAAACTTTGAATATTCCATACCAGAGGCTACAAATTGGAAGGGATACATTAAATTATTTCCAGACTTATTTTTAAAAAGCTACTAAAAATGCCAAAATACTTAAATAGTCACAACTGTTTAAATACTACTGCCCATCATCAGCCAACCAACTTGTATGTTCAAGGGGTGCAGTAATCAGACCTGACCAGGTTCTGTTTGTTTGTTTGCTTGCTTGACCCAAATTGCAGGCTTATGCATTTTGGTGATAATAAATAAGCTTGATAGTACAATGTGTTCTTACTTAAAGATGTAAAGAGACTTATGTTGGTCATACAACATACTGAGTTCCATATGCTGTGACCTGTAGTAGTAGATCAAGTCCATGCTCTTGTTTTTCAGCTGCTATGAAAAGCTGGTCTGTAACTGTCAATTGATCCTTGTTATATAAGCCAGACATTTTCTGAGGAAACATTAGCTAGGGCATTCTTGCTATAGTAACATATGAACTTTTGATCTTGGCTGTAATATCTAATCTAGGGATGACCAACTGAGAGCCTGTAGGCATGATGTAGTCCCAAAGCAATTTATCTGGCCCCTGGTCAGGGTAACATTTCCCATTCTGTAACTTGGGTATTCTTGAGGTGGGAAATGTATATACATGTACATGTATAACACTTAAAATATATATTTGCAACTCAACTTTTATACTGCCAAAGAGCATAATCCAGCACCCTTTGTTATGCAGAGTAGAAGAGTACAAGACCACACAGCTGGATTCAGTAGATGATTAGAATGAGATACAGGACTTGTCTGTTGTTGCATCCAGTAAGGCCAATTCATGACATTTTTTTTTTCACTTTTTAAAAACAAAAGCAGTTTTAAAATTGGTGTGTTGATTTCACAGGTTATGAGTCGCAGTGATGGACTTGATGCAAGCAAAGAAATTTAAACTTAACCCATACAAGATAGAGATGGTATTGGTCAGTAGAGCTGTCTTGGGCATAGTTTAAGAGGGTAGCACTTGCTTTGAAAATGCAGGTTTAGAGTTTGGATGTGCCCCTGGTTTTATGCTTAACCATGGCTGCTTGTGCCAGATAGCTTTTGCCTAGCTCAAGCTCATGTTGCAACTGTGCCTGTTCTTGGAAGCTGCAGAACTCGCCAAGATAACATGTGGCTTAGTTCCATCAAGTTAAAGTCAGTTACTAGACCAGATTAAGTTTTATTTTTTAACTGATTGTTCTTTATCTACTTTCCTCATATGGCACAAGCAAATATTATTCAAATTAAATGAAACAGCAGCTCCATACTTTTAACATTACAAAATAAAAATGATCCATGTTTAATGTAAATATTACTTTTTCTATTATCTGCTGACTATTTGCATTCTTTCTCTGAGCACACACACTCTGCTTAAGCACACATACTCCACAAGTACTACTTGGTGGTGCAAATTTTATCGTCTCAGCCTGTGGCTTCTTGTCTAGAGATCAAAGGGGACTTTTCAGTGGTGGCACCCTTGCTCGAAGGTCCCCCTTTGGAAATTGTGTTAGTACCCACATTACTGGCATTCAGGTACCTGGTGAAAACCTGGTTGTTCAAGACTTTGGTTATTAGCACCACTGTTATTTAATATTGTTGAGATTTTGTTTTTATTGCATTTTTTTCTGGCATATGTGTGTTAAACTAAAACTCTGTCATTTTATTGATTTTTAAATCTCCCTCCGAGAGATCCTAGGGTGTTGACTGGGATACAAATAGTCTAATAAATAAAATGGCCCCAATAATATGATTAGATTGCATTTATTAAATGTGTGTATTGTTTAACACAGATAGATACCTCTAGGCAACTTTCCATATGGATAAAATGTATAATACCAAAAAATAGCTTTTAAAATACAATAACCAACATTAATAAACAATTATACAACCACTGGCTGAAGAACAAACTCTGAAATATTAACTGTTTCCACTGTCACTGCAGATATATGAGCAGTTGAAATGGATCTAATCTATCCTGTCAAATGTTCTTTTTTACTGTTAAATACTATCAAAAGTGGAGGAAGAAGGGGATAATGCCTCCTAGCAAAAGTCATGAAATGGTGAAATATTTCTGTGTCTTCAACTGTTTCAGAACCATTTCTGTGACAGTTTTGTCCAACCTGTCTAACTCTGACTGTTAGATATAAAGACTCCTGGCTGCTCTGAGAAAGTGTGTAGCAATGGCATATTTAAATTGGCCAGAATATACAGGCTTTTAGGTCAGGGTACCATCTTACGTAAACAGCACTTCATCCCACTTGAATAGCTGAGACTGTGTTCCAATATCATTCTGATTTGCTGTTAAATTGTGCTACGTCCTGCTGAAGGTCTCAGGTTGCTTAAAATGTTTCATGATTTGTTCAGTTCTGTCTAATACGCTGACAGGTCCAGTAACAACTAGAAGTAGCACTTTCTTCTGTTGGTCTAGTACAGTGTTGGGGAGTGACTCATTTGTGTTTAAGTTGTGGACTAGCGTTTAGAAAATGGCAGGAGGAGATGACTGGTTAGCCAGTGGGGTTATTGTGGGATGCTGTCTTGGAAGAATAATATTGAGTCTTCAGTATCCTTGGGCTAAGAAATGATTTATTTTAAAGGTACTAGCAGTGCCATATTTCAACTATTCTGTAATGTAGATATTTTCTAGCATGCAACTGGCTCCAGGTAGGGGAAAGGGATCTAGTGTTGCTTTCTTGTTGGACTCTGGCCAAAAAGTAGTAGGATAAAGATGAAGATACTTAAGGTGTGTTTGAAAGTGTGTCAGAAGTGGTTCATAATCCATGCAGCAGGGCTGCTTAAATTTGGCAACCTGAAAAATAATACAGATCCAATAAGAGGGAGATCACTTATTTGTGCTGCTGAGAAAATTGGTGGGGAAGATGCTAAGTGCATATAGCTAAGGCTTCTGATAATAGCATATCTGTCAGGACTGGTCGTTGTCCTCTTCAGATCACCACACAAACGCTTCTTGTTCTTTTATAAAACTTTTTATTGCGTATTAACAAAACATTCTTATAAACGGTTCTTAACTATTATTCCTCAGAGTCACTTCTTTCAGATACCTTCTGAGCTCTGCTTCTCCGTGACCAGCCACCCTCAAAATGGCGAAGGCGCCTTTCCCTTCGTTTTCCCGCTCTTTTTTCTAACCTCCTGGCTAGAGCTGGCCTGTATCTCCCCTCCTCCGAATCTGAGCTAGAACTTAACCCTTGCCTTTCCTGTGAACAGCCGGTCCCTCCCTGTTGTTCCTCTTGCTCCCTTCTATTAGATTCAGTGCTCTCCCTCCCCCCTTGGGGAATGCTTTCTCCCTCTGAGAAACTGGAAACTTCTAACTCTTCCCTGACAATATCAGTGTGACCATTTAAAGAATTCTATTGGGATACCTCTGACATGTTTAAAAACACTTATTATAAGAGTAGCACTCCCTAAGCTATAGAAACTGTGGTCCTTTCTACTCACTACTTTGAATTTTTATTGGTGTTTCATCTCCATTGCTAGGAACATTGTCTATTGAACTTACTAGCTGTTCTGTTCTGAGACCTGTCACCTGATCCACAGGGGGTTCCTAATCAAAGCAGTTTCTAATCACACTTGTGGAACAACTACTTAGATTTCTGTTTGTAAGAAATCTGCAGGGAAGCAGAGTCCAAAAGATAGTATGAATAATACTTGCACTACTGCGATAAAAGCTGCAATTTGGTGACTACTTGTATGTACCTAGTTAAAGTAAAAACCTGGGTAGATAAGACATGGTTTCCTATTTCAGATACATTTTTTGGTTACTTGAAGAGTTTTGTTGCTAAATTTGGATCTTTATTTGAAGGATTTTTTCATCTTATAGAGATCAATAATACAGCACTGGTTATAATTGGACCTTAAAAGTGGGACCTTAAAAGTGTTGATGGAAATTCTAAATATTTTTCTGCAGCCTGAATGAATAATTATCAGAAGCAGGTCACCCAAAAATGCCCATGCTAACATCAAACTGTTGTTGCCAGAGAAATGCTGTATTCAGTTGTAGCTGAGATCCATTAATAGCCATTGGCACAGAACTACAGGCTGTGGAATGTAGTGCATTCCTTGTCGGTTTGTCAGGAAGACAGCCAATAAAACACATCTTCCAAGGTAGTGTTCTAATTGTTTTTCTAAAAATGTTTCCATTTAAACAGTTACTGTATTTTTCGCACCATAGGACGCACCGGACAATAGGACGCACTTTGTTTTAGAGGGGGGAGAACATGAAAAAAATTTCTCCCCCTCTCTGCCCATCTGCCCTTCAGCGAAGTGGCAGGAGGCGCTGTGCAGAGAGGGGGAGAACTTTCCCCCTCTTGTTTTCCCGCTCTAAAACAAGGTGCCGTTTAAGGTGCGTTCAGGCGGCTACCTTGGAAGCCTGGAGAGCGAGAGGGGTCGGTGTGCACTGACCCCTCTCGCTCTCCAGGCTTCAGGTTCCTTTCGACCTGCTCTTTGGGGCTGGCGGGGGGAAGCCCACCACCAGCCCCAAAGAGCACATCAGGGAGCAGCGGAGAGGCTGCTGCCATAGCCGCGCGTCACCTCTCCAGCCGGGAGAGGGTCGCGGGGGCTGCTTTAGCCCGCGAGCGCTCTCCCGGCTGGAGAGGTGACGCGGGGCTGTAGAGGCTCCTGCCATAGCCGTGCGTCACCTCTCCAGCCGGGAGAGCGCGCGGGGCTAAAGAAGCACCCCGCAACCCTCTCCCGGCTGGAGAGGTGATGCGCGGCTATGGCAGGAGCCTCTGTAGCCGCGCGTCACCTCTCCAGCCAGGAGAGGGTCGCGGGGCTATGGCGTCTTCGCTCCATAGGACGCACACACATTTTCCCTTCATTTTTGAAGGGAAAAAAGTGCGTCCTATGGAGCGAAAAATATGGTAAATTTTTCTTGAAAAATTTGCATAGTAATAGCAGAATTCGGTTTCATATTGAAAATCTATTGTGCAAGAGATTACTAGACCCTGAATCCATTTCAGCTGACAGCAAAAAAAAGAGACCATGATTTGTATGTGGTGTGTTTTAAGTAACCCCCCCCCAAAAAAAACCACCCCCAATTTCTTTAAGTGGAGGAAACAGTATGCAAGCTGCATGACTAAACCCCTGGCTCATCGCAGGCAATCCAATATCAGCTGCTGTGGAGTTTGAAAAGTGAATTCTTCATGTTTAGTTCAGCAAACCCCCTTGAGTTCCTTAAACACAGAGTGATGTCCAACTAAGCCACACTCTGCGTAGACATATTGAAATAAATGGACTTGAGCCCATTGATTTCAGTAAGTCTACTTGGAGTATGATTAAGGTTGGATATCATTCACCACTAACATCTACTAATGCAACATTCAGATAAGTGTTGACTTCCTCTTCTGAGAGCTGTCTTGTATACAAATGGTCCTAACCAAATGTGGTGTTTTGCTTTGGCAAACCAGATTTACCCTTCCCCTCTTCCCTTAATGCCCACCCAAAATTTGCTCTAGAACATTGGGTGACCCTCTGTGGGTGGTGAGGCGTAGAAGACATGGAAATCATATTGTGTCTGCTGGCATGACTTTGGATTTGCTCAAATACTCTTCTAATTTTAATATGTAATCTGAATTGCTTCCTTTGTGGGGTGAAGGTTTGAGTAAACATTTGGTATGTGCCCAAATGAATGGAATGGTGCCATATCCAACAATAGTTCATTGTGGTTCTATAGATTGATTTTAGACATTTTCTTAACAAATGCTTTTCTGTATTTCTCCTTCACAGAAAACTTTATGCATGCATTTCTGTTTAAATCTGAAGTTTTGGACTTTGTAGGTTATGCAAGTGTCAACATGTATCTTGCACACAAAGTCTTAATTCAGCACAATTCAGGAATTAGGGAAGTCAGTCAGGTTAAAACTGTTTGCTAACTTCAGTTCAGCTGTGCTACAGTGTTGCAGAACCAGAGCATGCGGACAACCATTTCTCACTAATATTTGGCATTCCATCATTTGAAAAATAGTACTTTAGAGCCTTCTTGCTCAAAAATGGCAACTGGACATTCCATTTTGGTGCCTGCAACCCTGGTTTAAGGAGCCATTTGGCGCCTAGTTTATATATCTGAATTTCTAACACTGGCACTAATAGCCACTATGTTTAGAAGCGAACAAGAACCCAGAAAAAAATTTAGGAATTTGCACCATTCAGAATAAAATAATTCCTTTTCTAAAACTGCACAGAGAGAACTTTAATACATTCACAGGCACAGTGGGATAAAACCAGGACACTACGATGAGTTTTGTCCTTCTACTGTAAGTTGACGCAGGGCTAGAAGGAAGAAGCGTGCTTTCTGAATGTCCCATGGTGGGAAGGAGAAAGTTGGCCATCCATGAGAGCAGGTTTGTGGTTCTGGCTTTGGACCAGAAGGTTCTGTTGCATTCCATTTAGTTCATTGGTTCTTCAGCTGGTAAATTGGGTCTCAGTCTGACCCAAGATGGAGCACAACAGAACTACTACCTTTCAAATATATGGTAAGAAATTTAAGAAGTGGATTCCTAAAGGTGTGTTTAGGGTAAAAGTGGGTCCCAGGTCTGAAAAGTTTGAAAGCTACTGATGTAATTCAGCTAGACGGAGAACTACTATATAGTTTTCTTTAATATTGACAATGAGACTATCAGGTCTTCTTTATTGTGGTTTGCTTAGTTTTGGGGCTTAACACAGAATTAAAATGCATGCGAGCTTACTTGGTAAACCAAACTGTAAAGTTGCTTCCCAGGTTGAAAATATTTTCTAGACTTGCTGTGGTAAGCGGGAGGGAAAAGGTAATTTTGCTGAAGGGGCAGCTGTTCTGAGATGACTTACCAAATTGTCATTCCTAGTGATAAGAAACCTACGTTCCATTTCACTTAATGTATAAATGAACAGAATTGTTCTAACAGAATTTGGAAACAGAATGTAACTAATGTTAAAAAAATTATTTCCTAGGGGAAAACTTTGTGGACGCAGAAGAGAACGCCCTTTTGGATACTGATGAAGAGGTGGTTCCAGAGAAGCCACGCCCAATACAAATTGTTCTTGCTCATGAAGACGATCATAACTTTGAACTGGATGAGTCCGCGTTGGAGAGAATTTTGCTTCAGGAACACATAAGAGATCTCAATATAGTAGTTGTTTCTGTAGCTGGTGCATTCCGTAAAGGCAAATCTTTTCTCTTGGACTTTATGCTTAGGTATATGTACAACAAGGTGAGTAGCTTAAAGCACACCAGCTTGAAAATTCAAACTAGTTTGAATGCAAGTCTGTTTTATTGAAAACATTTATGTCCTACTCTTTAACTGGAAATGTTAAGGTATTTGCTTCTTAGGGTTCATTGTAATGCATTCCTAAATAAAACCTTTAAAACCCCAGTTTGTTCTTAAACTCTTGTGGCTTCGACAGAGTGATCTGATATTGACTTTGGAAGTAAAAGGCATAATTATTTTGGTATAAATTAGTTTTTCAGTGGTTTTTCAGAGAATAACATACAGAATATGGCCTATGTCCAGTGATTACCTTGCAATAGTGGAAAACACAAGCACACCTGCAGGATTATTAGCTAATTTTGTCTGATCTACTGTAGATCCCAGGGCCACTGAAAACACTGAAATATGGAGGAAAATGGCAAAAATCAGCTGCCTTGCCTTCTGTGAGCTGAAACACTTTGCTATGCTAAGGGAGCATTGGGTACAAACATGGGTGACCAAGCAGTGCCTTTATGAGCAGGGAAGAGCTCAGTGATAGAGGGACACCATCTATCTTGCATCTCTTGATGTTCTAGTCTAGGCAGCTCTGCAGCTGAGAGAGTCACGCAGCAGTTCTGGAAAGAACACTAGTACTAACCATGACCTCTTAGATTGCTGTGAACTCAGCAAAGACATGATGGGAGAGTTGCTTAGGAATACATGCTGCTAGGGTAGACTTCTTCAGTGTGGCCGCACTTCTACAGAGAGCTGCTTTGGAATTCCCTGCATCTTGTTTAAAAGGGGGGGGGGCGTGTGTGTGTGTGTGTGTGTGTGTGTGTGTGTATGCAAGCCTTTACCTAATGATAGAGCTGAAATGGATGGGTTTGTAAAAAAAACAGCATGCAGATTCTTGCACAGTTAACATTATTCGTGATAATGACCCAAGCCATACTCGTGTGTAGGCCTTTAGAAATCAATAGGTATTACTTAAATCCATTGATTTAACTGGGTTTATTTTGTGTATAACTAACATTGAATATTGCCTTATGCATTGTGAAGCTGGTTCCCTGTTTATATTAAAGCGTAGATATATTAAAGGGTAGGGCAGAATACTTTAACAAACTGCTTGGCAAGTGCTGACAAAAGCCAAAGAAATGGAACACCGTTACAAGATTTTATGGGAACATAATATGAATAGAAATGCAAATAAGATTACGGGGTATCTTAACTCAGCAGGATCTTTCTTTACAGGTTCTATAAATGTAGAAAGCTTGTACTGTCCTTGAAGTAACATGGGGGGAAAACCAAGAATTGTGTTCTTTGAGAGCAGTCACTTTAACTTCTGACTGGTATTGAAAACTCCGCAAAACTGAAACATTTATTTTTTGATTGAAATAAGATTTCCCCCTGACTAGTTATTTTAAATGTTCTAATGTAAGATTACCTAGAACCTCTTAACACACTGAATAAGTATGTGACTCCTGTTACAGGAATCATCTTCTTGGATAGGTGGAAGCCAAGAGCCTTTGACTGGGTTTACATGGAGAGGAGGGTGTGAGAGAGAAACAACTGGAATTCAGATTTGGAGTGAAGTGTTCGTAATTCCCAAGCCTGATGGGACAAAGGTATTACTTTAAATAGCTGGCAGGTGTTTACTGTCTGAAGTACGTTGGGTGTGACTGTGGCAAACCTTGGCTCTCTCCTCAAGAGTTGAATAATTTTTTGTAAACCACTTTGAGGGGTTGGTTTTTTGTTTCATTGCAATCAGGTGGCATATAAACGTTATGAAATAAATAATATTAGCTTAATATATTTTATATTATTACCATGTTTTCTGCATATCTTATTTCCTGCCACTTTGAAAAAAAACGCTGCCATTTTGTAAAGTTGAAACAAGATACGCAGACAACTTGTTACTGAATGTCAGTTGCATGAAGCTGATAAGGTAATCTTAAAGCTTACCTGTTTATGACTTGAACAGTGTGTGCAATAGCCCGACCCCCTACCCCCAGAAGTTAGGTCATATTTAGAATCTAGTTAGGATCCTGGTTCAGTCTAGTGCATATACATGTTGTATAAAAAAACCAAAGTGCAACAGAGAGAAAGGTGGCTGGGTTACTTGGCCAGTCCTTAGGCTGCCAATAGAGCAGTCTCTGGCTGGTGGAATATATCTTATGACAGCCAAATTGAGGTAATTGAGATGGCTTAATAGAAGACAGCTGGGATAGCTTAAGTTTTTAGCATAGAGATGTCAGAACTTCCTGTTTAGTAATTTTGCTTCTTCTTTTTAATGGCAACACTCCTCTAGGTTGCAGTATTGCTAATGGATACCCAAGGTGCCTTTGATAGCCAATCAACTATCAAAGACTGTGCAACTGTATTTGCTTTGAGCACCATGACGAGTTCGGTCCAGGTAAGGACCCTTGTTTAAAACTGAGATATGAAAGCTAGGAGCTAAATGGCACCTTAAACCTAGGTTATGGGCGCCACAACGGAATGTCTAGGCATGCTTTTTTAATAAAAAGAATAAAAGGTAAAAATGAATGAACCACAGCTAAAATATTATGTTCATTTTTCACATGGTCTATTAGTCCTTTCCCTGTCCACCCCCCTAATATTATTAAGAGAGTCTCTTCTTCAGTCTTCGGAGTAGCTGGAAATGGGGAGGTAGAAAAAGGTCCTCTTTTTCTTCTACTCTGCAGTTTTAATCTGAAATCTTAGGCGCAGTAGTATACCCAGAGCTCAGAAACTGCTTGCGCTAATGAAATTCCCTGTCTCAAAATGCACCTAGAACAATGGGAGTTTCGAACACTGCTAAGGATATATGTTTTTCAAAGTGGTGGTAGCCTCTGAATATCCTCAGGCTACAGCTTCAAAATGCACAGTCTGAAGCCATATGACACCGCAGCTTTGCTTAAAAGCTAAACAGTCTTAGATCTGGACATTGATTGTGAACCCTCAGTAAGGTTTTTAGAACAGTGTCACCAGTATTTTGGAAAACTTCCTATGAAGGCAGACATCGACAATTTTGGTATTTCAGTGCCTATTGAAAATAGTTTTAGTTTTGCCAAACGATTTTAGAGAATTAATTTGATTCGGCATTGGTTCTGTTTTTACAATTTTATGTTTTAAACAGAATCATATATTTGCTGGACAAAGGAAAGTGCCTTAGCACTCACTAAGATGAGAAGGAATGCTCACCATTGCGAAGCTGGGGAGTGTTTTGAAGAGCTCTGGCATCTGATGTATGCCCAACCACATAATACCTAGCAACAGGGCTCTGTCTGCTTAGTTAACCACCCAAATCCCATTGGTTTTGATTCCTTATTTCTGTGGCTGTCACAGGTTAGCATTTATTTATTGCTTTGCTTTAAAAACTCCCTTTTTACTTCTGATGTGAAGCATTCTGACTAGGATTTAGGACAGTGTGACCCCATCCCTGATTGTTAGTTTGGGTAGTAACTCTCTCAGTGCTGGTGTATTTTTTAATAGGAAAATGTATAAAATCTGTTGCAGAAATGTAAAAAAACTAATAACGTGTTTTCTAGGTGTACAATTTATCACAGAACATTCAAGAAGATGATCTTCAGCATTTGCAGGTAAATATGTCCATAAACAATGACGGTCTCCCACTAAGGAACATGACTGTAGAACTTAGATTATAATTAGTGTTGAGTTGTTGAGTTGAGTGTTGAGTTGCGTGTTGACCTGTTCATAGGACAGGTCAGAATTCTTGGGGGAAAAATATTCACGTAAGCAGAATCTGGCAAACTTCTTTTAGTAGCTGATCTCAAGGAGTGCTGTTTTGGAATGTAGCTGCTACTAGAAGTAGGAAGAGTGATGGGATGTTAAAAGACCTGATGTGCACATAGGACACAGCAGAGAATGCTTAAGGTCATGGCCATTACATTGCGATGGGCTCACCACCCTTTACTTCTGAGATATTTGTCTTCATTTTTTTTTAAGTATACTGATTGTAATAATAAAAAAAAATACTTGGATTCTATGCAGTTCTAAGCAGTTATGGAATGTTTGTCCAAATTGGCTCTGCTAAATTTGGGCTCCTATTGGAAAATACTATGATGATTCAACAGAAGGATGCTAGGTTTGAAGAATGAAATTATTTGGTTGGTAGAGCTGCTTGGTGGAAGAGTAATGGAAGCATCTGGATCTTGCCACTAAAAGATGATCTTTCTGGTTTTGAGATAGTTTTGAAGTCGGACAGCATGGGTCAAAAGTAACCTTGACATAGATAATATGGGGTGGTGGGCACTGCTGGTACATACCGCTAGAAGATAAAATTAAAGAATTGGTAAATATTCAGATTGGAGCACAGTTTTTAGAGCTGCCTATGTACAAGCTTAGTCAATTTATTTTTCAGTTATCAGCTTTAAAGGGAGGTGTTCCCAGACATACTGAACATTGTGACCTCAAATGGCTAATGCAGCAGTTTTTCATTTTCTTTTTAGAAAGGAGAAATGTTGTATAGTATAATGTATTTATAGTAGTCATTTTATTGCCACAATTGGCAAAAGTAGGTTGGATCCTATTAAACAGAGGATTACTGTTGAGTCACAAGACAGTGGAAGTAGGCAAAAAGTTGTTTAGTACTGCAGGCCTTATTAATGGATTGGAATACAGTTGTACTATGGTTCTCAAACGTCTTGCGACTTGAACATTTTGGCTCCCAAACGCCGCAAACCCAGAAGTGAGTGTTCTGGTTTGCGAACGTTTTTTGGAAGCCAAATGTCCGACGTAGCTTCCATAGCTTCCGATTAAGTGCAGGAAGCTCCTGCAGCCAATCGGAAGCCGCGCCTTGGTTTTCGAATGTTTTCAGAAGTCAAATGGACTTTGGCAACAGATTCTGTTCGAGAACCAAGGTATGACTGTATATTGCTTTCCTTTGTATTATAAGCTTGGTCAGTGCAAGCACCTAACAATGATGAATAATGACTTGAAATCCAGTATTGGGCTTCTTTAATGTCTGTCTGAGCATGTGTTGCAGTACCGTTTGTTTCTGTACTCTCGATGCATGCTTAATGGCTTCGTTTTATAGTTGTTTACAGAGTACGGAAGGCTAGCTATGGAAGAAATTTATCAAAAGCCATTTCAGGTAATAGCATGATTATATTGGTCATATTTAATTAATTTTTGTATGTATATTTAACAACGTGGGGCAGTTTCACACACTACAGTAGAATCCAGTAAGCATTAATCATAGCATATACCAACTTCAGCAAAACATTTAAGGCAGTTACATAGTCCCTAACTTTACACATTGATAGTACGTGTAGATCAGGACAGCCATATTTTCCCTGGGCTCCATCACGTGTTGCATGGTGATTGTGTGTAAGTTGCCCAAGCCATAATGGGTAAAGGTTCCTCTCAAAGTTCATATAGTGTTGGCTCAGTCTGCTATAAAGCTATTGGCCTTAACAGAATTGTTGATGGTAGCCAAAAGCCATTTTTTTGTGACCAAACCTTGTGCACATTAAGCAATGATGGTACACATGGCAAAGCAGTTGGTGTATAATATTTATGGAAAGGCCGAGGTTAAACTACGGCTTCCATGGTGGCATTTTCAGGCTACTTGTGTTTTGGGGATTAAAATCCTACTTGTTCAGCTTCTGAGTATTTCTAGTTATGCATGTTCTTCTGTTGGCCAGGGCAACAGTTAACGGTTACTTTTGTCTTTCTCATATAGACACTAATGTTCTTAATTAGAGACTGGAGCTATCCTTATGAACATCCATATGGCTTAGTTGGAGGAAAACAATTTCTAGAAAAACGGTTACAGGTAAGCCATGACCTGCAGTAAATCGTTAGTAAGACCATGTTCTTAAACAAACGAGAACTTGGTTCATGAGAGCTGCACTATGTAGAACCTAAAAGCAATTGTTTTGGATTAGGTCAGCTTTAATATTCTCTGTAATAAAATAATACTAAGCTGTGGTGCCAGAAGGATGTATAACATCTGTGATAAGATTGTGTTGTGAAAAATGTGTATTTCTTGTAGGTTAAGGTGCACCAGCACGAAGAGCTCCAGAATGTAAGGAAGCACATTCACTCATGTTTCAGTAATCTTGGCTGTTTCCTATTGCCACATCCTGGTCTTAAAGTCGCAACAAACCCAAGCTTTGATGGGCGGCTAAACGGTATGAGGTTTTTCATTTGTATTCCTGGCTTTAATAGATTACTGATCTGAATCTGTATTCAAGTGCAAATGTACTGAAGGTGGTAGATGAAGTGTACATAATTCTAAAATTTAGTAAGGATGAGCTCTGATATATAGAGTAATATGCTTATTGGAGAAGGAGATGTTAGTATAAATTCTGTTTGAATGCTGTAGTCAAATATTCAGCTGATGGGTGTTGGGGGGGCACTAGTGTATATATTTGAAATGTATTTTATACGCTGCTGACAACAGTGAATGGGATGTTTGACTGAAACTTGCACAGTAATGAAAGTGGAGTAGGGGAAACAAAGCCAGACTGTTGCCAACATGGTTTCCCATTACATCTGAACTGGGCTTTTGTTTTGAGAAACTTACTATACTAGAACTGTATAGGTATGCTAGCTTGGGGGTGGGGGAAAGCTTCAACAGAATCTGGACATGCTTGAAAAACAGCAGCTGCCTATCATTGCATATTTTTAATGCTGTATTTTTATTTATATTCTTTCTGATGGGCATAAATAGAAACTCTTACACACACCTGAAGCAATGTTTATATTTCACTGATAAGCTTTTGCTCACTTCTTCTGTGCTTGGAATAGAGCGCCCAGCAAAGTAGCCATCAGCCAGGGCATGTATTAGGCGACTGAATTTTTTTATGTGAGTATTTGTTAGAGAACTAAGATCTAACATTCACAGCATTTTAGAAATAAACTGGGACAATAAAGATCTTGTTTATCTTGTGTTTCTGATTCAAGAACACAAATCGATGACAGTGCTGCTGTTGCTGCTCTGGTTTTTGAATAGCCTTGTTATAAAGGACTGGCAATCTTTCAATGAAACAACCTTCAGCATTGGCTAAGGTTTTAAGGTTTTTCTTTCTTTTTGGATATCCATTTATTGAGTTGGGGTGTTTCACATCATGTTAAGCCGCCACTGACTCTGGAGAGAAGGAGTGTCTTGTTAATTGTGGCAAAATTGCAACTCCTTTTCTGTGACTGATTCCACTAGACATTGATGACGACTTTAAGAGTGAGCTACGGAATCTGGTTCCATTGCTGCTTGCTCCTGAAAACCTGGTAGAGAAAGAGATCAGTGGCTCGAAGGTGACATGTAGAGATCTTGTGCAATATTTCAAGGTAGGCAAATACTTGTGCTCATTGATCAGTTCTTTAAAATAGCGAACCTATTGTAAGCCCTTCAGCTTGTAGGCCAAAGTCCTGTTAAGTGACAGAGACCCATTGAATTACAGTAGTGTGCAATTTCTGCACATTATGGCTAGCATAATCAAAGGCATGGCTGTTTTTTGGTCATAAAGCTTAGTTATTTTTTCTTTTCTGTTAACTATGCTCTTGCTAGAGAAAAGAAGCTTTCTGCAGCTATATGGCCCCAATTTTCAGTTGAGACTTTCAATGTTGTTTCCTTTCCTGGCTCTTCCAGCATTAAACTAACTCTTTGCTATATGGGCAACTTCACTCACCCCAGGTTGCCTCATATCTCATTAGGCTGTTTTGCTCTTTATGATGCAAAGTGGTTTCCAGTTTCCCCTGGAGTGATGCACGTACACCATCCAGGACCTTAATCTGCAAACTCCTGTTCTTGAAGTAGTAGTCTCCTGCTCTGGCTGGTGGTTGCAGTGTTTTGTACCAAAGAGTAGGCAATCACATCTGATTTGTCATCACCCAAAGTTGGCATATGTGGGGCAGCATGGAGTCTACTTGTCCTTGAACTGTGTTGCTGCACCCATCTATTGGTGCAGAGCGCTACCAAAAAACACACCCAACAAAATGATCCTAGGAAAACCACCTTTCATTATGGTTATGCTTCCCTACAGCATGGTGGTTGTTCAGTGAATCCAATCTTCAACATTGCTTAAAAAGTATAACATTTAATATTGGTGGACATGATAGACCACCTTAATCCAGTAAGTTATATTATTTAATGGAACTTGAATTTTGGGCGTTGTGTTTAAAATCTGCTTTTCCAGTCGATTGAAACTAGACAGTAAAACCTTGCTTTGTTTTTAGGCTTATATTAAAATCTATCAAGGAGAGGAGCTGCCTCACCCTAAGTCAATGCTTCAGGTAAAGTTTTGTACACTTCCATCTCTAAAGGTATCTGATGCCAAGAGTGTTAAATGCAAATCAGCCCAGCTGATGGTCAGAGGCTGTATGCTTGTGAATGAAACTGCTGGAAACTGCAGGAGGGGACGGTGCTGTTGTGCTCAAGTCCTGCTTGCAGGTTTCTCATAGGCCTCTGGTTGGCGACTGGGAGAACAGAATGCTGGACTTAGATAAGCCATTGGCCTGATCCTGCAGTTTCTTTTTGTGTTCTTATACTATGTTAATGGAGACATTTCAAGGTTTGGGGATTGAAATCCCAGATCAGTAAATTTGTGCCTCAGATGGGGGCATGCCCTGCTCCAGCGAAGAAATAACTGGGAGCCCACTTTAAACTCCCAATTGTTCATTTGAAGCCCCACCCTTGCCTGCCCCACACCCAGTGTTACGTATGAGGGAGGCCTGGCAAGCCAAGTTTGGCCCATGGGTCAGAGGTTTCCCACCTAGATGCTGAAATGGAAGCTTTATGCATACAAAGGTTAAATGTCAGCGTGGCAAACCAAGGTGTACACTGATTCTGCACATAGCCAACTTGTGCTGTCAGATAAACTGAGATTAAATGGGTCTTTCCCATCTAGTACCTTGACGTGCCTTTCTTTGGTGTGGGTTTCTCGTAAAGCAGTGTTTTTTGGGATTCTCTTTCTGGTAACTGCAGCAGACTAGCCCAAAAAACTGTTTTAAGATTGCCAAGCAATTCTGTCCAAGAGCTGACATCAGAGGGTGGGTGTTGCAAGTAATGATTCAGGAGTTTAGGGTATGAAAATATGGTAAGAATACATTCATTTGGTATTCAGATCACAAATATGGAAACTATGACACAAATGAAACTCCTCCAAGCTGTTTAGTGTCACTTGCTATGCTTTGTTTTTTTTTAAAACTTAAGGCAACAGCAGAAGCCAACAACCTTGCTGCAGTAGCTGGAGCAAAAGATACTTACAACAAAGGAATGGAGCAGGTATTGATGTGAATGGACGATATGTTGCATGCTTTTAGTTTAATCTAAGAACTGCTCTGCACTGGGTAGATGTTTGAGCTTAGATCTCATAAACCAAGAGTAGGTAGATCAAGATCTACCAATAAATCTCTGAGTGATTTGCAGTGGATTGTCAAGGATGTTTGAGAAAGGCGCACCCTGTTCCTTAATTCTGAATACAGACACGGTGAGCTACTTCTTTGCACCTGGTTCCAGTATATAAATAAATCAAAGTCTGAGCTGTGGTGTTGCCTGCTTCTCAGACTTTTTACTTTTTATTTGCAAATTGAACACAGAAAAGGAAGTGGGGGAAATATTAAAGGGGGTGGGGAATAATGCCGCTCAAATGTACCTGAATATACCAAGATTAATGTTAGTGCAGAGAAACTTTCGAATTGTGATGTTGAGGTTTGAGGGAGGTAACGGGGACAGCTGGTAAGGAAGACTGATTCCGCAGCATGGTCGCTTAAGCATGGATGTTATGCCTGCATCAGCCCTCAGATGAATTGCTTAGCTAGTACACTGGAAGGATCGTGAATGGCTCTGGAGCTGTTATGTGGTGCTATATATATAAAGGCAATGTAAAATTAACACATTAATGCCCTTTGGTTGCCCTTGCTCCACATGCGTCAGTCTGATTTAGGCACAAGCAGCCGTCTTTCTGAAGGTGATGCTGGAGAGCTACTACATTTTTTAAAAGGAGCAGTGAAGGGAAGCTTCCTCCTTCACCTCCTTTTTTAAAATTTATTTAAACTTATTCTGCCTTTTCTGCAAAGGTATGCATGGTTCTCTGCCTCTCACTTGTCCTCGCAACCTTGTGAGATAGGCTGGTCTTGAGGGATAGTGACTGGTTCAAGGTAATCCAGTGAGCTTTGTAGCTGAGCGAGGATTTGAACCTGGATCTTCCCAGTCCTTGTCCAATAGAATAAACACTGCATCTGAATAAACTTACACCTGTAGCCCTCGTACCCCTGTAACGCTAGGCGAATTCTAACATAATGCAAGCTAATAGGTCGATTCTGCTTATTCCAACAGGTTTGTGGAGGAGATAAGCCTTATATTGCTCCTGCAGACTTAGAGCGGAAGCACCTAGATCTAAAAGAGCTTGCCATAAAACAGTTCCGCTCTGTGAAAAAGATGGGAGGTGAGGATTTCTGTCGCCGTTACCAGGACCAGCTTGATGAAGAGCTCGACGAAGTCTATGCAAACTTTGTGAAGCACAACGATGGCAAGAACCTCTTCTATGCTGCCCGTACCCCTGCTACTCTCTTTGCTGTTATGTTTGCCATGTACATAATCTCAGGACTGACTGGCTTCCTTGGAATGAACTCCATAGCTACCCTATGTAACCTTGTAATGGGGGTCGCTCTTGTCTCCCTTTGTACTTGGGCATACGTTAAATACTCTGGGGAATTCAGAGAAGTTGGAACACTCATTGATCAGATGGCTGAGCTACTATGGGATCAGGTGGGTACCTTTGATCTAAAAGTTTTCCTTCCAGAAGAAACTTGCCAACTTTGTTGTTCTTGAGCAGTAGTTGGTCTAAATGCCCCTCCTGCAAGAACGAAGAACAAACACCAGAAATAAATCACTAGAGAATGAACCTGGTGGAAATAGCTTTTGAAATCCACCCAGAATATTTTTAGTACCTCCGTGCCCAATCATACAACCAGATTTTGAAAATCCCTAGAAGGCAGGGGTAGTAATGTAAGTTCATCTCCCTTTGTGTGTGTCCATAAAAGGCACAGGTTTGGTTTATACTCTTAAAAAGTAAGTAAGAACTGTCTTTCGAAAGAGAGATCCTAGCAGTTCTGATTCCATATTTGGTTGTCATGACACTGAATGGAAATTTCATGGAAGTTGAGCTTGAGTACATTATAGGACCGTCTGCTGTAGTATACGTTGGCTTGTTTACTGCACACTAAAATTGCCTGTTCATAAAATGATCAGTTCTTAAAGACTGGTATACAGACTAAGTGCATAAACATGTCAGCAGGAGATTTGGAATTGGAATGTGACAAGCAGAAAGCTTGAATTAGGCACATGGTAGGAGGTTTTTCATTAAAATTCCTATTGTGTAGGGGAAGGACTATGAGCCATCAATGGCTGGCCACATCAAGGTATGTATGCACTTCAGCAAAGGGTTTCTGAGTTCTTTGTTCAAAAAGATTTTCACATGAATTCTTCTTGATTAAACCTGAACAAAAGAAGCATACATTGTGCTCTGCTGCAACAGCTTCCAAGACATTTGAGACTGCCTTCTCATCAACTAATTAATAGTTCCCTTAGCACAATCCTTTGCATGTTTTATCTGAGGTGAGTCCCACTGTATTCAGTAGGGCTTACTCTTAGTAAAGTGTGTTTCAGAGTGTAGCCTTAATCTGAAACTAGAGATGGGAGGAATCTTGAATTGTAAATATGTAAAGAATGAACCACAAACACACCATGTGTAGCCCACCATTGGCTCTGATTTTGTACTTTGTGGCTTTTCATGTACACATGTTGAGTCCCCTCATTATTTAACCTAGGTTAGACTTGGCCTAAGAGTCATTTTCTTCTACTGAGTCCTGTTGCATGACTAAAAGGATGCCCTTATATTGCCACCTGCTGGCTAACTGGAATTTTGCAGCCAGGAGCAGCCGCAGGTCCACTTCTTGTAGAAGTGTAAGAGTAGGAAGGTTGCTCCGAGCTTTTATAGAACTAGGATGTTGCCCCCCACAAACAACTTTTATAAGATTTGGGTACTGAATATCACTAAGGTGTAGAAAGAGCACAAGAGCCCTGATCTATTCCAGTATCCTGAGCGACCAACCAGCTACCAAAGATACATGATTCAAGCAGTCCTGTCGTGGTCCAGCTACAGTTCTGTTTGTAGACAATATAGTAGAAACCTCTGTAGCCCATGTGCTAAATGAACACCCCTTCTGCTGCATCTGGAGACCTTACCTTTACTGATGGGGCTTGGAAATAAAAGGTTGTATCCAATAGTGGCTTTGTCCTAGCAGAATGGGACACCCTGCACTTTGGGGGACCCTCCAAAACAGCTTGCAGTATGGCTGGATGGGCTGTGGCAGGATTGGGATCTCCCGGCTTCCACTACTGCAAAGCCAACCATGGATATAGTACATAGCAGCTTCTATAGATTTACTCAGAATGTTTTTTAAATTCTCACTTGCTTATTGATTCTTCTCATGGAAATGACCTTTTATTAAAACTTGCTCCATGCCCAGGAACTTGGGAATCTCCCTTGTACAGAGTTGGGTCATTGGTTCATCTTGCTCAGTATAGTCAACACTGACTGGCAGAAGCTCTCTCTAATTTTCAGCCTGACCTGGAAATGCTGGGAACTGAACCTGTATCTTCAGCATACACAGCAGATCCTGTACCGCTAATAGCCAGATGCTTTTCATTTGGAGAAAGCTTTTTTACTGTTCCTGAACTCTCTTTTGGTGCAAGACCTTGGTTGATTGTGGTATAGAACTGTCAAAGCTGCACTCCAAATCTTTGGTGAATTTGAATAACCTGTTCTAAACTTTAAGGCCCAGCAGTTAGTATTTAGAAGGCAGACCTACAAGATCAGCCTGTACATTTTGAAAGCAAAAGCTGTCTTGTTCAGTGTCTAACTCCTATCCTTCACTACTGACCTTACACCTTCCTGTCTCTTGTCTCTTTCTTCCTTTGCTTCAGAGGAGTCCCAAGAAGGTGAGAATATCAGTGGGGACTGTCTTTAACACCCAGACTGCTTTCCCCTTCCCCCTGCTCTCTGCCAACTGCTTTTCTAACAACTCGCTTCCATGTTTTAGGTGTGTTCCAAATTCTTTGAAGTTGTTAGACGTCGAGTGATTCGCCGTGCTCTTACCTCAGCACAACGGCAGCGGCTTTCATCCAACAATAACAAGAAGAAAAATTAGCCAGTATTTTTACCCTTTTCTTTTTTTCTTTTCTTTTCTTTCTGAAGCGTTCACACTTAACTCGTATAGACAGTAAGCAGGACCATCTGGCCCACTTTACATAAATGCTATAAACATACCAGGTTGAAGATGCATTATAGGGTATGAAATTGCACCTGACGTTCTAGGAATTGTAAAGTGATTTGGATTCAGTCAAATACTACATAGGAGGAAACCACTCAATGCTCTGGAAGTTATTAACCATATGCTGGTAGCCAAACTCATCTTTTTTTTTTCTTTTTGTATTATACTTTGGGATGCATTTCATACATGATTTTAATTTTTGTTCTGTCTAATTTCTTTTTTTATGTTTCAGCGGGTTTGGGGTTTTGAGTTACGTTTATTTATTTATTTTTGTACATTTCTCATGCTGCAGGTGATAAAACCTCTTGGTGATAATTTGATTGAGGATACTATGAGACAATCGGTTACAAACTCTCTCAAAGCAGGCCTGACTGAACAGATGTCTCAGCATGCCAGATTAAAGACAGATTGACCATTCATCTCCTTTCATCTGCCTGCCCATCCTAGACTTGCTTGCTGTACAATGAGAACTCAATAAACCAAAGTTTACATTGACTCTAGAGAAGTAGATTATTCTGACTGGCTTCTCAGTTTGCTGCCGTCACATTGTGGGAGGGTGCGGGTGCAGGGTAAGAAGTTTTGATGGCTTTTAAGGCTTTCTCTTTTTTGCTTCTGAGACACAGCCCAATGCCACAGAGAACAGGAAAGTGAGGTATCTGCTTCGACACTAGTATACCCAGGGGGAGGTGGTGTGGGCTCTGTCTTGCAGAAACATATCCACTGTAAAAGGGTTTTTCAGGGAAGTAATTTATCGAGCCTATACAAGGAAATCTTTTAACAGAATGTATGTAGCCACAAAATATCCCATCCAATATTTTAACTTTGTGAACACTTGTAAACCGTTAACATGATGAATCCAGCTGACAGATCAGCGGTTGCAGTCAGCTGCGGAGTCATGTTTGAGCCACTACATTTAGCTACTCCTTGCTTTTCTGCCTTTTCTACCAGTATTACCCAAATGCATGTATATTATCTCCACAGAAATTACATTTAGAGGTAACAATTGTAACCAAGGAAGCTATCTTCAAGTGTACATTGTCTTGCCTTTTAAACTTTGGAGACCTTGTCCTACAGGATATGCGTATTGAGAAACGAGAGCAGATTTTTCTCTGCAGTTTTAGCCTTCATGTATATATAATGCCATTAATACGACTCGCGGGGGAGAAAATCCATCCAAAAACAAAAACTGTTGCCTACAGCTACAAAGCAATGAGTTAGGATTGTCTGTACAGTGTGTCTAGTTATTTTTTAAGAAACCACAGGGCATGTAAAAAATATAAATATATAAATACAATTTTGTATCAAAGTTTTGTAGTTTATGGCAAAACCTGGTTCTGTGATAGGCAAAGTACAGTCCCTGTAAAGGAATGTTTGTGGCTCATGTAAATGTGTGAATGCATCAACACAATTTGGAGTTTTTTGATATATTTGTGATATTTACTGCCTTGAGCACTGCAATCTCACCCCCATGGGAAATCAGTGGGAATGTTTGTTGTGAAACTTTGTCCTCAGTTGCATTTTAAAGTTATTTCCTGTAATTTATTTTCCGGTACATTATTAAAATCAATTGTGTATATATGAAATTAAACTCATGATTTTTATTTAGAAATGTTGATGTAACTTTACTGTATCAACTATATAGCATCTCTTGATGTGCTGGCCAGCAATGGTTATTTGTAAGCATAAGAGACTAACTTTTACAAAATGGTGTTCAGTTCTCTGTGCAACTTAAGTGCCAGTCAAAGTTCATTACACGGCAGAGAACCCAACAGCTTTTGACCCAGCAGGTGCTGCTACTAAAGAAGAAGAGGGGAGGAGGCTATTTTTCACAACTCAGCCTTCAGCCACCCCATACTGCTTTCCACCTAGTTCTGCAAGGCGTCTTCAACTCTCTGGAACAAATTTTAAAGAGGTATTGCAATGGGGAGGAAGAATCAGCAAAAGTCAACTATCAACAGAGGTATGTGCTGGATCAAAAGCTGTCCAACTGGATTCAACCCCCAGATGTTTAAACACAGTAAGCATTCTGTACAGGAACACTGAGGGAGATAGGGCTGCTAACTTTCATGTAATTCACCTTGGAGAGGAGCTCAACCATTATTGTGGTCCACACTTCAAATGAAGACCACTTTAATAATGATGCTCAGGTTGGTCACTAAAGGCTAGAAACAGCATTCAACCATTTAAAAAGCACTACAGAATGAAAGTCCACATGCAAATGCTGCCTAACCATAGTTGATACATTACAGTCACTTTAAGGTAACTCGGAGTGTACATAACTATGTGGCAATACTGTACTGTCATCTGTACTGCTCTAGCAAAGCAGTGAATCTTAACATACCTCTGCATCTGACGTAAAATTTGGCATGGTAAAATCTTTTATCAGTACTTGCAATACACACAAATTGGAAGTTACCACTTCCCTGCTATAAATACATAAATAAGATTTTAGAACAGTGAAAAAAAGCATGAAAATGTCTACAGTGCATTCCCTTGCACTGCACCTTTAATTAGAAAATATATAAAATAGCATCATCAGAAACTTCATTTAAACTGACCTCTTCACTTGTTAATTAAAAATCATTTGACCCTGTTTGAGAGGCATAACACCAGAACAACTTGTTCTAAAGCACCAGTTGCCATTCAGCTGACAAGGAATTTATATGAAAACTTCATTGTTTTAATCAGAAAAAAAGATAGTAGCAGGCAGGATGACAATGAACACCTTATTTACAGAGATGCTACTTTTACAGCTTCCATCAAGAAAATTAAAAAGTGTTTTCTACATTTAGGGTATTCCCACAATGACAATGTTTTTTTAAAAAAATATCACCACAAACTTGTAGCTGCTTCCAATATGCTTTTCACCAACTCTGATCTTTCAGAACCATATTCAGAAGTACAGGCCTAATTGAATCAGATGTACATATAGCTATTTTAGAGTTACAACAACCTGGTCTTAAGATAAGAAGCCGTGAACAGCAGCCGGTGCTGTAACAAATCACAGCTAAAAGTCTTCAGTCCATCCTGTTCCTTCAAATAAGGTCAGCAACTAGATTAAAGAAAGAGATAACATAATGAAGGCATGATAATGAGCTGAGTGCAAACAGTATTTATCACAATACTTGAGGGTCAAGCCAAACATTTATCCATTTGACATCTGGCTTACAACTTTATGCGCATGAACAAAGAGATGAAATTATGGTTAGGGACCAGGGGAAGAGACGCAATTGCAATACACAGAAGGCTGGGGAGACAGTCTGGCACAGTGGGAAGTGTCCAATATGGAGGAGCACAGAGCCCTGGATTCCTAATATCCACCACATAGTCCATTATGAAGTATATGGCTAAGAAAATGCAACTAACTTTGATAGGGAATGCATGTGGATGGAGCTGATGGAAGTTTAAGAGAGCAGCATATCTGAACTCTCAGGGTTTTGTTTTTATTTCCTTGCTATATTGTATGGCAGGAGTAACATTTGCACAAGCTTGCTTAGCATTAATATTTGTGCATAATTCCATATCATCTCTCATCTATCAACAGGATTCCAGCTGGGACAACAGGTCCAATTTAAACTGTCTGTACTGTACAGCAGTAATACAATTATGGAGCCTGTTCATCACTGAGCTGGCATGCTGCGTGTGATGGAAGGACTATCTTCCTGCCCTTCAGCAATCTTGAAATCACAAAGCTTCTGTTTGATTAGTGAACAGCTATTTATTTCATACATGCAATGTAACCAGTCAATCCAAAGAAGATGATGGCTATCTGCCTGAGTAGGACCAGGTTAAGCAAAGAATCAGATACTCACCATTCATGGGCATTTCATCAATTTGAGTGGAATAGTACTGCTCAATGTCTCGCAGAATACGGATGTCGTCATTCTTTACAAAGTTGATGGCGACACCTTTCCGGCCGTAGCGGCCTGATCTACCAATCCTGGTGGGGCAAGAGCGGGACTCAGAATCAGTGAAATTAAATAAGCAATTATCACACAAATCAGAATTTTCCTATACTGTTTATTTTTTACATTTGTTTACATTTATCTTGCTCAGGGCAACCAAAAAACAACTTCAACCAACCAAAAAACTACTAATGATGGACATGTGCCATATATTCTATACAACAATTCATCTTACAAGTTTTTTAAAAGGCACATCTTTCATGTTAAATATAAGTTTTGTGAAGGACTTTAAAAAGCAGGAGCATTTTCTTTGTTAAACACTATATTCTGAAATCTTCCATCATTTTTTCTGGAAGAAATCTTAAGTGTCCCCCCAAAACATCCAAGTATCTCCCTTTTCACTTGCTCCCCCATTTTTAGACAACTGGAGAGGGAAAGCTACTCCCCCAAAATCTTTTTCAAAGCTTCCCATTGCAAAATAAGAGTTTAATATACGTGCACACTTACCTGTGTATATACAATTCTCTGTTGTTTGGCAAGTCATAGTTAATAATCAGGGACACCTGAGGAACATCCAACCCTCTAGCCCAAACATCTGTAGAAATAAGAACTCGGCTGTATAAAGAAAAAGAAAAAAGCAGTTATTGAATTGCAGAGACCCTCATAAATTACACTTGTTCCTTTGTCTGCAAAAATTACTGCAAAAGATCCAAGTAGAAAGGAAAATGTCTTCACAGACTTGTGTTTTCTGCAAATATGCAAAGAGTTGTCCATGATTTTATAATGGCATGCATGCAATTTTCAGGATGAAATTTCATTTCAAAGTTCTATGCAGCTACTTCACAAGACTTGTTCAGCTGTGCATTCATTCTATCTGCATTCTTCTGCTAGGATAACCCTGTTCTTTTTGCCTTTTGCAAAGCGAGGAGAGACAAAGGGTACTGGCCAACTTAAAACACACACACAACCTTGGTAAAAGTCTCTGGGGAAAGGTGAAACGTGAATGGATTTAATAATTATATATATACTTCTGTGTCCATGGGAAATAGCTTGGGATCTTGTTCTGTCCAATTCTGGGTCCTGCTCTGCCCGCTGTTGGGGGGGGGGACCCTAACACCTATCCAGTAGGATAACGTGGCTCTCTTTCCAGAAATGTTCCCCCATCCCTGCTATATTCAAAAATTACTGCCATACCTTGCCCCAGATCTGAATTCTTTCATGATGGACTCCCTTTCCTTCTGGGGCATGTCACCATGCATGGATGAAACAGTGAAGTTTGCTTCTCTCATCTTCTCAGTCAGCCAGTCAACCTGAGCCAGGGAGCAGTCAGTTAATTTTTAAATTTGGCAGGAGTAATCCTCCAAAAAAAGTTAGTTTTAGTTCTGCCCAACTGTCAGCGCCAACATGAATCATGACTTGACTAAATCAGGCATTGTTTGTTGCTGACGCACCTTTCTCTTGGTGTTACAGAAGATGACAGCCTGTGTGATGGTGAGTGTGTCATACAGGTCACACAATGTATCGAACTTCCATTCTTCCCTCTCCACTGCCACAAAGAACTGTTTGATCCCTTCTAGAGTCAACTCATCACTGGATTGAGACAGGAGGGGGTTGAAATTTTGAGCTGATTGACTTTAAATTGTTAAAGACATTACATTTATAAAACTGAACATTTATCACTGCAGTGTTATTCTCTAGAACTGCCCATTCAAGTCTACAGGAATGCCTATAGTTAAATTGTCAGATGGTAATATAGTGCAAATCTGTCCAATTTTAAAACTCAGTAGTTGATTCTGCAATTAACAAGGCAAAGAGAAGTGACACAATGTGGTGGATAAGAGCTGGAAAGTCCCCACCTGAGCCACAAACCTATTAAGTGGCCTTAGGGTAGTCAATAACCTCTCAGCCTCTGTTTGCACCTTCCCATTTGTAATATGGGGATAACAATGACATGCCTTACAGCGTGCTTTTTGAATATGCAGGCAAAGTGCTATACAAATGCTAAGTACAATGTTTACAAAACACTTTTGTATCTGCCTCAAGAAAACCCAATGGGGCCAAAATCCCAGTTTTCATACCCTCCAGAAGAATTTAGACAGCAGGACAAGGATCAGGAAGGAAACAACCAAATGCATTCAGAGAAAATACTTCAGATATTTAACACTGTCACTGTCATCAGATTCAGAACTACTAATATAAGAGGAAGCACCAACGTGAGCTAAACTCAAACTCACTCACTCACCGCTTGACCAGAATGCGGATGGGGTCAGTCATGAATTTGTTGGTCATCTCCAATATCTCATGTGGCAAGGTGGCACTGATCAGAACCACCTGTGTTGCTGGAGGAAGGTATCTGTACACATCATAAATTTGCTCTTTAAAACCTAGATGAACCAACCAAACAAGAGAGGGTACATTTGAGAACCTTATTGTACCTTGGTGCACATTTATTACAACCAAAGCCACTCCAAATTTGTTTCCTCCATGCCCGATCACTATAGTCCATGTGTTGGTAACCTCTAGGCTGGATTACAATGCACTCTGTTGGGCTTGGTCTGGAAGCTCCAGCTGGTGCAGAATGGACTGGCTGCCCATTTACTACCAAACAAGGTTTAAGGTCTCTGTATTCCTTTACAAAGCCTCAGGCAACTTAAGCCCAGAGTACCCCAGAAACTGCTTGGGTAGGAGTATTGCTGGCTGTCTGCTGAAATGGTGAGGCTCATTTGACATAGGTAAAGGTAAAAAGGTAAAGGATCCCAGTCCAGTCAAAGGTGACTATGGGATTGCAGCGCTCATCTCGCTTTCAGGCCGAGGGAGCCAGCACTTGTCCACAGGACATGTGGGTCATGTGGCCAGCATGACTAAACCGTTTCTGGCGCAATGGAACACTGTGACAGAAGCCAGAGTGCACGGAAATGCTGTTTTATCTTCCTGCCACAGCGGTACCTATTTATCTGCTTGCACTGCCATGCTTTTGAACTGCTAGGTTGGCAGGAGCATTTAGTCATTTTATATTGCCCAGGACAACCCAAAGTGACTTGCAATCAAACAAAATACAAGCTAGCAGTTCTGCAAGCTGTTAACGAATGAAGCACTGGCAATCGTAGAACTGAAGAGTTGGAAAAAGACCACGAGGATCATCTAGTCCAACCCTCTGCAATGCAAAAATCTTTTGCCCGACATGGAGCTCAAACTCACCTTTCATCACTTTACCCCTTCAATCTAAAAAGGTAAGGTGCACTCACACTTGCTTTAATGTTATGGCATAAAGCTTCAGTGTGTGTGGGGCTATAGCTGCAGGTGACATTTGGCCATAGATTTTTCCTGCCTACTCACCAAATAATTATTTGGTGCCTTGCCGATAATTAACAAGTACACTGGTACCTCGGTTTATAAACTTAATCCGTTCCAGAAGTCCATTCTTAAACCAAAGCCGTTCTTAAATCAAGGCGCACTTTCCCTAATGAGTCCTCCCGCCACCGGTGCCTTCCACTGTTTTGTTTCTGTTCGTAGACCGAGGTAAAATTCGCTAACTGGAACACTACTTCCGGTTTTGCGGAGTTCTTATACCGAATACCGTATTTTTCGCCCTATAGGACGCACTGGCCCATAGGACGCACCTCGGGTTGTTTTTTTTTGGGGGGGGGAATGAATAAAAAAAATATATTCCCCCCCCCCAGCCGCGGGGCTGGGGCAGGGGAAGCCCAAGCTTCCCCCAACCCCAGCCCCCATAACAGGCTGCCGCCCTCAAGCCTTGTGAGCCCGCGGGAACTCCCCCCCGATGCCACCTGGAAGGAGTTTCCAAGTATTTGTATGACAGAAAAACACACATTGCTCCGACATTTTAGGCAAACATGTTTTGGATTTTTATAGAAAAAAACCCATGACTTGCATCCACAACAAAAGTTTAGGACACTGGGGTTAAAATAATTCTTTACCTTTATTGAGCATCTCATCAGCTTCATCCAAAACCAACATTTTGATGGCACGAGTTCTTAGACTTCTGCGACGGATCATATCTGAAAGATTTCAGGTTTGCGTCAAGAAACAGGGATCTAGCAGAGATGCTGAGAGTCACTTCTTATTCTGCAAACTGATGGCTCAGAGGAGCAAAGGGAGTCTGATCTCAATTGGGATTATGACAGCAGTGGTATACTTACCAAGCACACAAAAAATCTGATTATACAAAAGTTACAAAGCAACAGCACTACTTAACCTAATTTTCTGTAGTTGCATTTCTGTTTATATGGTGCTTTCATAGATTGTTTAAAACTAAGACAAAGTGCAGAATAAGGGAGGAATGGGGAGGACAGGGTAAGAGAACCACAGCTGTAGTTCCACACCTGGAGCACAGAACTAAGGACTGAAAAGTATCTTGAACATAAAGCTTACAAGCATCTACTCAACACATTAAGGCAAATTCTTTGGTTTTCCTTAATAAAATTAATCTTCTCACCAAATACACGCCCCGGTGTGCCAGCAACAACATGCTGTCCGTAATCCAGCTTCCTGATGTCTTCACCAACGTTGGTCCCACCAATACAAGCATGACACTGGACATTCATGTAGTCACCAAGAGCAAGAAGCCCCTGCAGGAGCAAGCACACAAACAGCTTATATTCAAGGGTACTACACAACCCAAACAGTAACTGAACCAGGGACCCTGGCAAGAGCCATGACATCTCCTGCGAATGCATGTGTCAGAGACTGAAGAGGCGCATTCTCCTGTATGTAAATACTATTTCATTTTCAAAGTCAAGAGTGTTTGACTTCTTTTGTCTTGTTGCTGCAGCCATTTCTACAGCTGTTCGATAGATTCAAAAGTGCTAAATGGTGCAATGCATTCTATATACATCACACTGCTATTCTACTTTTCTTCTATCATACAACTCCAGGCGGCATGCAAAGGGCTCCCTGGCAGTCTTTCATCCAAGCACTGACCCAATACAAACTTGCTTAGCATTTGGAAGGTTGCTGCAATCCTGTGTTCTCAAACCCTGCCTGAGACTTGCTGCTAATTACAAGAAGCTACTGTAGGCAACGGGACGCGGGTGGCGCTGTGGGTTAAACCACGGAGCCTAGGACTTGCCAATCGGAAGGTCGGCAGTTCGAATCCCCGCGACGGGGTGAGCTCCCGTTGTTCGGTCCCAGCTCCTGTCAACCTAGCAGTTCGAAAGCACCTCAAAGTGCAAGTAGATAAATAGGGACCGCTCTCCGGCGGGAAGGTAAACGGCATTTCCGTGTGCTGCTCTGGTTCGCCAGAAGCGGCTTAGTCACGCTGGCCACGTGACCCGGAAGCTGTCTGCGGGCAAGCGCCAGCTCCCGGCCTATAGAGCGAGATGAGCGTGCAACCCCAGAGTCGGTCACGACTGGACCTGATGGTCAGGGGTACCTTTACCTTTACTGTAGGCAAATTATGGGCTTTCAGAATTTAAATCAGGAAAGACCACTGGGATTGTGCTAAGTGTAAGGGCGCTTGTATGCAGCACCATTCTGTTTAGGCAGTTGCAGAAACATTTGCAGCCACTCTAGAAGCATCCACAGGGCACTGAGGCTTCAATATAATGCTGCGCCCACCTGAGATAACTGAGCTGCTTGTAGTGGAAGGAGAACAGAGCTTGTCACAGGGCCTAGAGATGCTGCAGCCTTCCATTTTCATAAGTTACAATCTTGTATAAGATTTGCTTACCTTCTGAATCTGTACTGCCAATTCTCTGGTAGGTGCCAATATCAATGCTTGCGTTTCACGAACCTGATTGAAATGAAACAGTTTAAGTGTTGCAGCCTTCATTCCTTCTAAAAAGTTATTTGAAGTGTTCACATATCAACTTATGATCTCTCTTAATGAGACAAAGCATGTATAGAGTATTTGGGATGGAATCCAATGTTCAAAAAATGGAATTAATCTGGAACGCTGTCATTGGTCAATGTTAAGACAATGAGATTATATACTATAACTAGTCAGAACACTATTTGCATCTTCAAAAGTAAGTGTTGAGTATTTGTGTTCCAAAGGTACCTGGATGTCCAGACACTGTAGAACGGAGATGGAAAACGTTGCTGTTTTGCCTGTTCCAGACTGTGATCTAGAAAGAATAGTATTTTTAATAGCTGTGTCTGAAAACATAAGCAATAAATATCACCATATACAATATTAACCTTGTTGAGTACTATCAAAATAGTTTTGACAGATTATCCATTAATGAAACCAGATATGCAAATCCACCTGAGACCAGCCTCCAAATAAAATTTAAGACCAATATATGTACTGTGCTAATCAATTCTAAATGGAACAAACTTTGTCTACTGGGATTATCTGCATTACAGCTTATTTAACCTAAGATAAAAGTGGTTTACAATAGATAAAGCTAATACTAGAACTTACATGCAAAATAAGTGAGAATTCCCCTGAACACCTAGATTCTAATTTTAGACAGTTATAGGTATATGGTCACAATGAGATCAATGTGGGAGGTCACCTACAGCTACCTATGAATGCCATCTATGATAAAATTACCAGATTGTTTTCATTGAATCCAGGGACACTTTTCAACTTCAATGGATTTTGTATGGGGACTGATTTGTAAATCTGGGGACTGTCCCTGGGAAATGGGGATGTCTGGTAACCTTAATCTATGAAAAACTATACCTACAGGTAAGAATTATAGCTGGATGGGATTGTGCCAGAGAGTAAAAGACACCAAGTAAAGGCATCTCTTTCTAAATGGTTCACGGAGACAGCAGTTCTACACATGCTTACTAGTGAGCGAGTCCCAATGAACCCAATGGGATTTAGTTTTCAGTAAACATGCCATAAATTGCCCTCTTGGAGTTACTCTAGTCCTGTGCATTCAAAAGCATCGTTCCTTACAATTAAAGAACATGGAAAGAGCTGAGTAAAGCATGAAGCTGGTGAGTTGGGGCAGGGCTTGTGTGGATGAGGTGGAGGACCAACACACACACACTGCAATCCTGTGAGGCAGACCTTGACTCCCTTTAGAGTGGGGAGTTTTAAGTGGATTGCTATTACTTTTAAAATAAATAAATAGGAACCCATTTTTTTATTGCAAGTTTCTAAGCGGAGGTTGAATTACCTTCTGTCAAGGATGCTTTACCTATGATTCTTGCATTGCGGGGGGTTGAACTAGATCACCCTTGGAGTCCCTTCCAACTCTTATTATTCAATAAACTATTTGCATTCTTAGTCTGACAATATCCCAAAGTCGTGTGTGTGTGTGTGTGTGTGTGTGTGTGTGTGCAATTTCACTTACTGTGCAATCACATCTCTTCCTTTAATGATCTGTTTGATAGCTCTCTGCTGGATAGCTGAAGGCTTCTCAAAACCTACAAAATTCATTTGTAAAGGTTAGATTCCCCTTCCAATTACACAATGTACCTTAAAAACATTGGCCAGAGCAATACTGTTATAAAACCAACATTTAGAAACCAAAGAACTGAAATCTATAGCTGTTGGCACTCAATTTTAAAAAGTAATAGGAGCTAGGGAGGAGACTGGGGAGAGGAAGGAAAAAGTGACAGTCAGGTGCCAACATTTATTATTTGGGAATGAAAGTGGCCAACGACAATCTGCAAACTTCGCACATCTCTAAATTCACAAAGTAAAAATTCAATGAGGGACGCAGCTACAAATGACCAAGAAGGGAAAGTTGGGTTTGATGTCTCCGTAAATAACAAAGGGTTGTATCAAACTATCATATTCAGAGTACACCCACTGAAGTCAGCAGACTTAAATAATGACTAACTTAAGTCCACTGATTTCAACTGGTTTACTCTTGAGTATGGTTTAAATCTGATACAAGCTTTTGCATTTATGGGAGAAAAGAGGAAGAAACAAATCCAGGGTAGCTAACATGGTACCTTCCAGGTGCTGTTAGACTAGAAGTCCCATCACCCCGTTGTAGTTGGGGCAGATCAGAGCTCAAGTCCAGCAGCACCACTGCTTTATATGCTTGAAGTGAGATTTATTTCAGAACAAATCCTATCTTGGGCACACTTTCCAACAGCAATTCTCATCACAACCCTCTTCACCTTTTCCTTTTGTATTGTGTCGTGTAGACTTTGATAGACCAACAAAAAGGAATGACACCGCCCCCCCAAAAAATACACAAAAACCAGTGTGCCCGTTAAAACTGATGTAGCTGATGTTTTGGAATGCAGTAGCAATACAATACATACTAAAAGTTTATTTAGGCACTGCTACAGGTGCTACATAATACCCATTCCGCATTTGTATGAACTTGATCATTGAGTGTGGCGGCGCTTACACCGTGGAACACCCTGCCAATTGATATTAAGCAGGAGACTTCGCTGCTTCGAGGAATTCACTTTGTTTTTACTATCAAGCGGCGTATAAATTTCATGGAAGTAAAACAAATAACCCAATGAAAAAACACGTGGGGACGAATTACAATGGTACTACATTTAAACGGCCTTGGTTCTGTATACCTGAAGGAGCGTCTCCACCCCCATCGTTCAGCCCAGACACTGAGATCCAGCGCCATGGGCCTTCTGGCGGTTCCCTCATTGTGTGAAGTGAGGTTACAGGGAACCAGGCAGAGGGCCTTCTCGGTAGTGGCGCCCTCCCTGTGGAACGCCCTCCCACCAAATGTCAAAGAGAACAACAACTACCAAACTTCAGGTGTGAAGGAAATAAGCAGCTATCTTTTCTTTAAAAGACATCTGAAGGCAGCCCTGTTTAGGGACGTTTTTAGTATTTAATGCTGTACTGTTTTAAACATTTGATTGGGAGCCGCCCCGAGTGGCTGGGGAAACTCAGCCAGATGGGCGGGGTATAAATTATTATTATTATTAAATCTTATATAGTATTCCTTTGAATTGGTTTCGAATCTTAACGCCGTTATTTAAATCTCACACCGGCGCCTACCTGGGCAGAGGAGGATACATAAAAAGCACCGAACGCAAGTAAGAATAACGGCCGAAACCGTCCGGGGGGGGGGCGGAGAGCTGCTTCCCTTCCCTTCCCTCCCGCCCTACTTCCGCGGAAAGGGCGGCGCGGCCAGCCCCCCCCCCGCCGGCTCCGCGCGCGCACCGTAGGCGTAGATGCCGCGCAGGAGGTCCTCGCGGAGGCCCATGGTGTCGAAGGTGGGGGTGACGTCCACCTCCTCGCTGGTCTCGAACTCCACTTTGGTCATGTCCTCCTCCTTCAGCAGCCGCTTTCGGGCCGAGCCCGCCGAACCTGCCGTAGGCCCCGACATCCCGCCCGCCGGTCACCCGCTCGAGGCTTCTTCTTCTAGCCCTTCCGAACCCCGACCGACGCCGCCGCAGGAGACCTTCTTCTACCGAACCGGACTCGACCGAGGAGATGCCCGCACGACGCGCCGGAAGAGAAAAGGCCTTAACGCAACACGCACCCCGCGCGAGACCGCCGGGGATTTGCGCATGCGCCCGTTCCCGACGCGCTCAAATGGACGTGAGTACGCTCGACGCTCGTTCAAAATCCTGCGCCCGGGCGGCGTTGCGTCACTCCCATAGAGATAGGAACTTAGAGGTGCCACGGATATTTCTTAGAGTGAAACAGCCTTTCTTAAACTTGGGCCCCTAGATGTTAGAATTGTAGAGTTGGAAGGGACCATGAGGTTCATCGTCCAGCTTTGAAAGGTTCAGGATTTATTTATTTTTGTTTATTTGTTTATATTTGTTTATTTTCGACCTCTGAGTTTCAGGATTTTTTTTTTGCCCAATGTAGGTTTCAGAGATTAAGAGGCTCGTGTTTTTACAGACTGAGCTGTCCCACCTACTGACCGTTGTTGGACTACAGCTCCGGCATCCCTGACCGCTGGTCCTGCTAGCTAGGGATGATGGGAGTTGTAGTCCAACAACATCTGAGGACCCAAGGAGAAATCTCCATAGAAATCAAGAAGGAAACTCATTTTGGATTTTAGCCTAGGTCTAATTATGTGTGTTTTGGGTGTTTTAGACTGAACCCAGATTCATTTTCTTTAAATAATTTCTAAATGCATGTCTGTCTTTCACATTTTTGTGTTCTGCTTTACATTTCTGGGGTGGAACCGTTAAATGGTTTACCACATGGCTTAAAACATCACATACAACATTACAAGTTAAAATAAAAAATGTAATAATGGTACATATGTAAAGCAGCATCATAATTAACAGTGAAACAAAATGTTGTCGCTTTAAGTATTTTTAAAATACAAAAGTTTCCTCTTTTGCTTTGAGCAGGCTGGGGGTGAGGAATGTCAAGCGCGTGTCTATTTGCCATGTTTGAGGCAGGAATTTTAAATGGGAAAGCAGTGCAGATTGAAGGGTTTGACAAAGTTTCCCAAAGCTTATTTTATAGACCTGCCACCCATTCCACTGAAAACATCTGCATTCACACCATACATTTAAACCCCACATGTACCCCTGAAAAGAATCCTAGTTAATGTAGTCTACTCACCACAGAGCTACAATTCTCAGGATTCTTGGGTGTGTGGGTGTGGATGTGGATGAATGTGCTTTGTGCAGTAAGGCTGGGTACATATTATACCTTTAACTGGTTTTAAAGCCAAGAGAACAGTACTTGTTCATTTCGTTAAATATATAATAAATTGATAATTTACAGTTTATCGTTTCAGCTGCAATGTCTCAAATATGAGATCAGGGATGGCTTTCTGACACTAGAGAGTATGGCAAATGCAGGAATCTTGTAGCTACAGCATCCCTGACAAATGGCTATCCATTCCCTGCTTAAATACCTCCAGTGAAGGTGAGCCCATGAACTCCTGAGGCAGTCTGTTCCACTGTTAAACAGCTCTTACCATTAGACAGTTTCTTCCTGCAGTGGAGGTCTAGGATTCACCAGGGATTTGTGGCTGAGAGGGTCAACTGCACCACAGAGACCTGTATACATCCCGAGCAGATTAGGCACTGTTGTCTTGAACAGGCACCCAGGTTGCTTGATGCATCTCCTATGGGTGACCATGGACTTGGAGTGTGCACAGCAGTAGAAGACCAGCAAATGTCTGAGCTTATGTGTGTGGCCAGGCTGCTGTGAGTGACATACAGCCAGAGCTGACTCAACCATTAGGTGAACTGAAGCAGGCACCAGAAGCCCCCAAAGTGGCAGCTGAATCCTAAGTTCTTCATCCCTACTGCCATTCCTGCTTGCCAGGCAAGCAGAATAAAGTTTCCTTGGGTGCCTGATGGTCTGCTCCCAATGCCGCCTCTTTTCCTGCATAATTAGTTTTGTCTAATTTTGGACCAGAATTATTGTGGTGCACTATTCCTGGAATACTGCAATACCCAGTTGATGCAGGGAGCGAATGGAACAAGTTCCTATTCTATCTCCCAGTTCCAAAAATATATTTAATACAAACACTCCACAAGTAGCAGACATACCAGATATTGCACTGATAATAATAGATACTGACACTTGATCTTAGTCAATTGGCTGAGAAGCAATGCCAGTTGTTCGGGAAACACATAAGAACTACTTTTCCAATGGATTATTGGATACCCAAGAGCAAATAGAGGCTATAAAGTGCTGCAATGTTTCCAGGTTTACAAAATATACTCCAACAACATTTATTATGTCCATTGTCCAACCAAGCAGCCTCTTGACAGACACTTTAATCTCAGCAATTCTGGCTTTTCTCAACCGTGTCAATTTCTCAACTGGTTGGCTGGCCCGTTGTGATACAGTATATCTTTGGTGCAGTGTTTGCATAAACCCATCCATTTACTTTTCACGCTCTGTGTAACTGTTGTTAGCTCACTGCATGCCAGTGGAGGTCCCAAGTGTTTCAGTTGGATAGCTTTCTGTTCTTCAGATAAAATAATGCAAAAACACAGCTATGTGAGCAGAACACTCATGTTTACATTAAAAATTGTGCCCCTTAGTAAAGGGGTGTTTGCAGGAAAAACATTGCTATGCTGTAAATGAGTTTTCTGCACATAATAACCACAGGGGGAAAAGTATGTGGTTGGTTTTGCATACCCTTTGAAACTTGGCAGAGGCCAGTCCATTAGGGCAAATGCCCCACCAACCTTCATCTGCCCTCAGCCAAATATTTTTATTTTTTAAAAAGCATTGCATCTGAGTCTGTTTTCTGTCAGACACATTAGTCACACTTGGTCATGCTATATTTGTGACTCTTAGAAATGGGGAGCGGGGGAGATGGGGACAGATAGCAGTGATTCAGCCTTTATCATGCGGAATGAAGGAAGCACTTCTTGACCATTTAGATGAAAGAAGTTAGGGAGAAGCTTGACATTGGTTTGAAGTATGCGGGTTCTAGACCAAATGAAATTAATGGCCCCAAATTTCAACAACTCTACTCTGAGATCACATTCACACATTTAAAGTACTGCAATACCACTTTTAAGCAGTCATGGCTTTCCCCACAGAGAACTTGTAGTTTGTTCAGGCTGCTGAGAGTTGTTAGGAGACCCCCTATTTTCCTCAAAGACTGACAATTCTCAGAGCAGTTTATCAATCAATCCCTCTTCACAGAGAACTCAGAGAATTGCAGCTCTGGGAGGGGAATATTGCAGGCTTCCTAACTCTCCACACCCTTAACAAACTCCGACTCCCAGAATTCCTTGGGGGAAGCCATGGCTGTTTAAAGTGGTATCATAGTGCTTTTAATGTATGGTGTGAACACGGCTGAATACTGTACAGTGGTACCTCGAGTTACATACGCTTCAGGTTACATATGCTTCAGGTTACAGACTCCGCTAACCCAGAAATAGTACCTCGGGTTAAGAACTTTGCTTCAGGATGAGAACAGAAATCGTGCTCCTGTGGCATGGCAGCAGCAGAAGGCCCCATTAGCTAAAGTGGTGCTTCAGGTTAAGAACAGTTTCAGGTTAAGAACGGGCCTCCGGAACGAATTAAGTACTTAACCCGGGGTACCACTGTATGTACACAGGGCCGTAGCTAGGGGGTGGTGAGGTGGGCCCCCACCAGGGGCACAAGCGATGGGGCGGGCAAAATCGGCTTTAAAATATGTCCATAAATATAAATATTGATTATTGCCTCGTAAGAAATGGTTTTAAATTGGTGAATTGAATGTGTGGAGGCGGGGAGGGGGTTAGAAGAGGCGCTCATCTCGCTTCAGGCCGAGGGAGACAGCATTTGTCCACAGACAGATTTCTAGCTCATGTGGCCAGCATGACTAAACCGCTTCTGGCGCAACGGGACACCGTGATGGAAGCCAGAGCGCACAGAAACGCCATCTACATAAGGTGTGCATGGGCAAGTAAGTCCTACTGAACTTCAAAAGTCTTGCTCCTTAGCAAAAATGCTTAGCAGCTCAGAAAGTCAATTACACTTGCCAGTCTTGAATTTAGAGCAGTGCAGGCTGTCGTCCCCCGCCCCCATAGGGCGCCAAGCCGAGGGGGTTCAAAATAACAATACTTACATTCAGTGCTTTTTTTCTGGGGGTATGTATACCCCTAAACGTTTTGTGAATCTAAGTTTGGCCTCACTGAGGGGCAGTATTTCAATATGAGTAGGAAAATGAGAGTACCCCTAAACATTATTTTTAGGGGGGGGGAAGCACTGCCTATATTTATGGGCGTACCTACTGAGTAGATCCATAAGAAAAGCAACTGTTCCAGAGCTGGATTTTGGTTTGATGAGGCCCTAAGCCAGGGGTCAGCAAACTTTTTCAGCAGGGGGCCAGTCCACCACCCCTCAGACATTGGGGGGGGGGGGGCTGGACTATATTTTGAAAAAAATAAATGAACAAATTCCTATGCCCCACAAATAACCCAGAGATGCATTTTAAATAAAAGCACACGTTCTACTCATGTAAAAACACGCTGATTCCCGGACCGTCCATGGGCTGGATTTAGAAGGCAATTGGGCCGGATCCGGTCCCTGAGCCTTAGTTTGCCTACCCATGCTAAGCTACTGAAGGTAACAGGGCCCTTTATATGTCCAGCTGTTCTTTGTCAACAACAAATTGTTGGTTTTTGTGTGTTGAATATATGCTATATGGTAATTTATGGACCTAATCGGTATCGAAAGCCATTTGCACATAACAAATAGGGGCCTACACAACACAAAACACTGTTGCTGTATGTAGGTTTTATTTTATTTGTTTTGTATCTTATATTTTGGAAATGTACATCCAGAGGTTTTTTTCCCCTTTCAATTTTTTGGGGGGCCCGCAAGAGAGTGGGCCCCTAAGCCGTACCGAAATGAATAATTGTGAAAATAATAATAAATATCTGGTGGGGCGCCAAATTTTGCCCTTGCTCAGGGCGCCATAACGCCCAAGTTCGCCCCGGCACTTGCTGGCCGGCGGTGGTATCCACCAGAGCCGCTTCCCCTGTTCCCGGCTTGGCTTCCGCAGCCCTGCAGCCAGGGCACCTGCCGGCTCCTCCAAGCCAGCAGAGGAGGCCAGAAAGCCCATGAAGACACGCTGGAAGCGAGCCCGGCAGCAGGAGGAGAAGAGGGCGAGAGCCGTGCTCGTCCCCCAGAGGGGCAGCCCTCGGCGAGAGGTCGGTCCCCTGCCTGGGAAGAGGAGCGCGCAGGAGAGCCGTTGCGCGCCGCGTCTGCTCCTGAAAGGAATCCGGGGTGGGCGGAGCGGGCTGGGGAGGCTGCAAGGGAAACACCGCCTGCGAGCCGGAGGCTGCTCGCTTCAGCGTGGACGTCCTCAAGGGAGGAGCATCGGCGGCAGCCTCGGGAGAAAGGGAAGCAGAGCACGCTGGCATTGGCCGAGGGGACACAAAGGGGCCGCGAGCGGCGGAAGGTCGTTTTCTGCAGGGGAGATGCTGCGGGCGCGGCGCGGGTGGTAGAAGGGAGAGAAGCGGCCGGAGGAGAGAGGTGGGTACCGCTGAGACGCCCACCGCCCTTTGCTCCATTGCTCCTTAGGTTGACTCTGGCTTCTGTCGAGCCCCCCACCCGCCCCTCAAATTATCTTCTCCGCCCTCAAATTATCTTCTGGGACAAGGGAAGCCAGGGAGTTTTGTGAGGGGAGTTGATCCTGGCTCTGCAACTTGGGCGGCCGATTGTCTCCCAGAACCATAGACTTGGAAGGGAACCCCGAGGGTCGTCTAGTCCAGCCCTCTGCGACGCAGGAATCTCAACTGAAGCATGCATCGCGTGTGTTTACATTTTGTGGAGGGGCGACGGCAAGGATGAACCTCCCTGTTCTTATATCTGCGTTTCAACTTCTGTACGAGTCTTTCTTGGCGTGGCTGCTCCCCTTTGAGACCAGCTTTTTTGCCGTTGGTCTTTTAAAATCCGAGTTTCCTCACCAGCCAGGGAGGTTGTGCTTCTAAGAGGTTTCCCCCGCCCGCTTTTCTCTGTGGGGTGACCTTTTGTCGATACTCTTTCCACATTTCTTCCCTCCAGCTCTCCAAACTGGCTGGGTCCTGCCTTGAAATCCCTTTCCTTTTCATGTACCTGGTGCTTCCTTCTTCGCCAAATGTGCAGCTTGTGCTATTATATGAAGAGCCTGGTCCTAAAAGCAACCAAAACTTTATTTTGAAATCTCGTCTCCGCACCTTCTCCGTTTTTAAAGAGAAGTAGGTTGCAAGGAACACCAGCTGTTGTTTTGTCTGGTTTTTATAGTATAAACTCCTCCTTTATTAGTTCCTCTTGTGTGGAGGGAGTTTGGGGTGTAGGAGGAATTCGGCCATCCATCTCTTGCATCAAATTTAAGGCAAAATTTCCCAGCTTACCCCCTTTCAGCTCCCCCTCCCCAGTCATCAGCTGTGACCCATTTACACTGCACTTGAAATGTAAACTGGTTTAGGTAGCTGTCCTAACCCTGCTTACCTAGCTGTAAGCTCCATTGAATTCAATATGACTTACTTATGAGTAGCAGTGCTGTTAATTTCATTAGTCAGTTGCTTTTTTAAAAAAGGAACTTAAAGTGACATGGTTAGGATTGCTCTGTTAGTCCTAGACAAGTGTAAACTAACAACAGCTAACTATTTGAGCATCCTCTGCCCTCAGGATGTGCTGGGTGGGACAGATGTGGCCCAACACATCTGTAAGGCACCTGGTTGATGAAGGCTCCCTTAGGGCCTATGAGACTTGTTCTGCCCTGTTCCTTATTGTTTTCCCGTGCCCAAAGGAGAAAATATTGTTCTAGGAGTGACCAGAGGACTGTTGGATATCCATATTGAAGGATATGTGGCCTTTACCTACTTTTTCTAGATGCCCAATCCAAAGTATCAGGGAAAGGGCCATCACTCAGTGCCAGAAGATCTCCTCAATTTCAGAAGGCTTCATATTCAATTCTGAACACCTGTAGGTAGGGCTCAGAGATATTCCCTGCCTGAAACCGAGACAATACTGAGCTGGATGGACCAAGGCTGTAACTCACTATAAGGCAGCATCTTGTGTTTCATTACACTTGTGTCTTGCTTTTCTTCCAAGGAACCCTGAGTGACATTTTAAACTCATGTGTGCCCTTGGGAGTTTTGTCGTATTATTCTGGAAGACGGGTGCTTCTGACAGAACAAATCCCCACCATGCATTTCTTACTGTAAAAGCAAAGCTTTGGGGGTTGCAAGAGTTAAAGCGTGCCTCCATCTTCAAATCAGAATAAGGCTGTACCTCAGCTATGAGCAAGGATTTTCAAAGTTTCGTTGCAGCAAGTTTCCACTAGCCAAATGGTTTGTATCTTTCCAAGTGTAAGAAAGACAAACATCAGTTGACCCACGGAGCTCAGCTTTGTCCCAGGCATGAAGCCAAGTCTATTAATGGTGGGTTTTTTGTTTTGAAAAGAAAACCGGCCTGTTGGCAGGCTTCAAGGTTCTCAAAAAAGCATATAATTAAGTAAATATTGAATGGAGGGGGGGAATAAGATGAGCTGTTGTTGTCCCAGTTCACACTTTGCAATTTTAAGGAGTACACTTATAGCACCTTAGGGTGAAGACAATCAAAAGTCTTGTAACAGGATTTAACCACAGGATTTTAGAATTTTCCAGCACTGAACTCAGCTTCGTGTTTGGGATAGAAGTATACAGCAATAGAAGGCCATATTAAACTATATTTTATGTTGACATATTTTGTCGACTTAAAATTGTTGAACAAACGCATCTATAATTTGTCATACCTTGATCTTAATTGTAAAGTAACCCCTCATTTTGTATTATTCGGCAGCTCTGACCTGTGGAATATAACTAACAGGTTAAGATCTATATGTGCCTTTTGCACTTTACCGTTAAGGACCTTGGTTTCTTATAAATCACAAATGCAAGGAGGAAAATTAGTTTTATTTTGCACTAGAGGTTTAATAGACAGTTATGCCATCAATTTATGAGATCCATGCACAGACAAAGATATACTAGAAATGGTTGAGAATGTATTTTCATATTTTGTTGGAGGCCGCCCATAGTGGCTGGGGAAGCCCAGCCAGATGGGCGGGGTATAAATAATAAATTATTATTATTATTATTGTTGTTGTTGTTGTTGTTGTGTTGATGTGTTACAGATTTGTTACAGTATAGGCTTTTCCGCATTGCAGCCCATATATCATTAGAGATCTGTGTTATCGTTGCTCATTTAGCAGATAGACATGATCCTACCTGTCCCATGTGCTCAGCTGGGCCTGTTTTTTGTCCTGCCACCAGGTGAGGCACAGCTGATGGGGAAAAGGAGAGATTGCCCAGATTATGGAATTCCCTGCCCAATGAGGGCACCCTGTGCCTCATAGTTTTACTGGTGTATTATAGTTTCCAGCGCCAAGTTAAGACGGTTTTTGTATATGAACGCATGTTGGTGTTTACAGCACACTTTTAACTATGTCAACTTAGAAGTCCTCTTGAATTCAGTGGGGCTTACTTCCAAGTAAACGGGGTTAGGATTGCAGTGCATCTCTGTGTGTGCATGTATTCTGTGTTGCTTTCATTTTCAGTGTTGACGTACTTTTTACGCTTTTAATTAATTTAAACATTTTAATGTTTATTTTGATCTACCTTGAGAACTCAAGAGTGGAAAGGCAGGGTATAAATGTTGTAATAAATGCCCCAGAACACTCTCCCAAGAGATGTTAGAAAGCTGCCAGGTTTGTGATGAGTGGGAGCAGGCAAGCCCAGTTGAGATAGTAATTCCTTTCTGTTTTGTGTAGAGGCTTGAGAAGGAAGCTCATGTCTCCTTGTATCAATTTATGCCCTTGTGGGGGGAGGCTTATTCTACCCTTTGATAATCTACTCCTTATTATGACTGATGTCATTCATCAACCTTGAATGCAGTCAGTGTGAAAGCATTGTGGTCTGTCTGTAACAATATAACTGTAATGAGATTTTACAGCTCCCCCCATCCCCAGAGAGTGACTTTGGGAAAAACAACAACTTTGCATTGTCTGATTCTGAGCATTCTTATAACCTTGGCTCATTTTGTAAGGGGTTGCTCAGTCTGCAGCCTGGTATACCTTGTGGTGAAGGGCGTAGCTCAGGGCTTAGAGCAGAAGGTCTCAGGTTGAATCCCTAGCATCCCCTCCTGGGGCAGGGAAAGACTCCTGATTATTGCATATAAATGCAAAGCATAAATAAATTGTATGCTTTTCAGAAGATGAATAGATGGCTAGAAATTAAAGAGATCTGGATCGCTTTCAAGTTATATATGTGTATGTATAGACCAATTTATTTTTAAAGTCTATCATACAAGTCCAATGGGCAGGTACAACCGAAAGACTAAACACAGAATAATGAAACAGCCGAATTTAAATTACATTTTTCGTTACCTTTTAGGAACGCAGGATTCACCCTTTCAGATATATCAATTTTGAGGTGACGGGAAGATTAAGGACTTGCGTCAGGGTTCAGTTGTCTGCTCGTGGGTGTATTCAGCATTAAACTGTAGAAAAACAGTACCTTTAAAAAACATTTGTTGTGATTTTTAAAATTATTATTATTTTTTTTCTGTTGAACTTTTAATGCCAGTGTGATCAGGAAAAGCTAAAGACTCTTACCAAAATTTCCGTTTATCTGTGTAACTGAGACAACGCAGGAACATAAAAATGTAAAGGTAAATGATAACAAACATAGAAAAAGTCTAGGAAAATATTTCAGATTCCTAGATATTTGTGTCAAAAATTGACTTACCCAGGCAATTGGACATTTGCCACTGGTTCAGCCCCATCTGAAAGAAAGACTCAACAGTATTGTAGAAATGAGTTTTATTCTTGAAAGTTGTAGGAAGAACGCAGAAATTATGCTTACATTTAAATGATTAAAAATGAATAGCTGTGTGTGGTCTGCCAAATTTCTCTCTTTCACAAGTACTTTAATTTTTGGAGCTTAGACTTTTGAGGGAGAACATTATTTCTTAATACACAACTAATTTGGTGTCAATTTCAATCTGCCAAGAAGATTTATTTAAGAGGTTGTAAATTCACCTCGCTACATTCCTGCTTGCAAAACAATTCCTTTAAGGGAAACAGAATTGAAGCCTCTAAATTGAGGCTCGTTGTACAAAAAATTAGAAATGGGCACAAGGGTTATAATCTAAAGATAAGACTCATTAGGAAGGAAATAGAAGGAAGAAAAACTTGAATAGCTGTTGCACTCTCATGGGGGAGCCCCTTCATCAACTACCTTCTTAGTGACCCAGGGTCAGGGGTCTTCTGATAGAAGTGGCGTGGTCCTAGGTAGTAACAACATCCATATACGTTGTGAAGTGGCTTGATGCTAATGGGTGTGAGATAATGGAGCTTGAGCTAGTGGGGTCCTTGTATGTTAAAAATGGGTCCAGGTTTGGTTTTTTTGAACCTCTTGCAAATAATTATTTTAGTTTCCCAATAACCTGCCTGTGTGCTAAGATAATGTTCTGAGGCCCTTCCCTTGACGCTCCTGCCTTCTAAAGTGAGGCAGATGTTCACTAGGAAAATACCGTATTTTTTGCTCTATAAGACTCACCTTTTCCTTCCTAAAAAGTAAGGGGAAATGTGTGTGCGTCTTATGGAACGAATGCAGGCTGCGCAGTTATCCCAGAAGCCAGAACAGCAAGAGGGATTGCTGCTTTCACTGCGCAGCAATCCCTCTTGCTGTTCTGGCTTCTGAGATTCAGAATATTTTTTTTCTTGTTTTCCTCCTCCAAAAACTAGGTGCATCTTGTGGTCTGGTGTGTCTTATAGATCGAAAAATACGTAACCTTCCAGTTGTTGCCCTCTGTTTGTGGAACTCTCAAGTGGTCTCCTTGCTGTTCTCTTAAAATATATATTTTTTCAGTGCCAGGCAAATGGCTTTAATTGCTTTTCGTTGAAATTTTAGTCTGCTGCTGTTTTTAGTTTTTTTTTAGTTGTGATTTTGATTATATACGGTATATATTTTAAATGTAATTGTAAGCTACCCTAGGACCTCAACTGAAGTGAAAGTCAGGCTATTGAGATTTTATAAATAATTGGTGGGTGTTCAGTGTCTTCCCACATTTTGGGCTACAGCTCTAGCCAATGAGAAGGAGCTTTTCCAAGTTTGTGAAAGTAATTTCCTTGATTTCGCTGAAGCGAGTGAGAATCTCACTGCCACAAGAACATTCTTCATATTCAATTTTTTAACCCAAATGTGTATTTGATGTGAGGGAGTTGAAAAACTTAGACCTTCCTTCTGCATTGTTGATTAATCTCAACAATGGGATGACATTGTATTATTCGCAGTTGAGTTCAAATGCAGTGATATTTAAATTTCTGGGCTCTTCTGAGTTGGATCCGATGAGACAGAGTTTTTATAAGCAGGAACATTTGGCAGGGACACAAGTCAAAACTATAATACAAATGTCTGCTAGCAGAAAAGACTTCATGACAGCTAACTTGGAGTCTGTTTTGACCAAGCTTTGTGGTTGTGTTTCGCTTTTGCTAGTGAGAGAAATATGATGTGATCTTCAATCAATTGTCCCAGGCTTAGGCTCATAAAAATAATGTGTTCGTGAGGTTTTGAAGTGAATTAGCTGAGGATTTCAGCTATACAAAGTCCTGTGCATGAGCAATCTGCTTTACTGTGTGCCGTCATGTTGCATGGAGTAGTTTGGTTATTGGAAACCAAGGAAGCAATGTTTTGTTCAGTTGACTGTTGAAACTAATGGACCTAAGTTAGCCATGTCCATTAATTTCTGTGGGTGTCCTTGGAGTATTTCTAACATTGGCTCCATCCCATGGTGGCTTTTACTTTAAGAAAACCCGGTTCAGTAGAAGGCTGTCTCAAATAATATTCACTTCTGTGTAATCTTATTTTTTGCTTTGCACATTAAATACATATTTGAAAGCAGTTCCTCCAGACAGTGCTGTTGTCCTCAGGTCTTGCTTGTGTGTTTCCCAAAGGCATCTGGTTGACCACTGTGAAAACAGGATGCTAGAGTAGATGGGCCATTGGCCTGATCCTGCAAGCTCTTCCTATGTTCTTATGCACAGACAAGGTGCCTCCTCCACCCTCCTTGGAGAGCTGTCTTCAAGAGCACGGCTCGGGAACCTTTGGCTCTTCAAATGTGGTTGGATCAGTCCCAGTCAGCGTTGCCAATGGCAAGAGATAATGGTGGTTGTAATCCAAACAAATTATAGAGGGCTCCCAAGTTCTCCATCCTTCTGTACAGTGGTACCTCGGGTTAAGTACTTAATTCGTTCTGGAGGTCCATTCTTAACCTGAAACTGTTCTTAACCTGAAGCACCACTTTAGCTAATGGGGCCTCCTGCTCCTGCTGCCGCGCCGCTGGAGTACGATGTCTGTTTTCATCCTGAAGCAAAGTTCTTAACCCGAGGTACTATTTCTGGGTTAGCGGAGTCTGTAACCTGAAGCGTATGTAACCTGAAGCGTATGTAACCCGAAGTACCACTGTAGAGCCTCTGAAGAAGGAGCTGAGCCATGAAAAGTGAGAAATCTAGTATCTCGTGCTGAAAGCAAATCATTAATATTGCTCAAAGGAAAAAATAGGGACAGGGATTTACCAGGGACAGGTAGTAGCACATAGATTCTGTCCCCAGTAAATAGGGGTCTTTGGAGCATATGGGATAGTGATCCTATTGTGGACATGCACTCAATGCATTTTATTCAAACATGCCATCTGTTTTCCAGGATTAAGCTTTTTTGGGGGGATAGGAACTGGTTCTACATGGTTGCGTCAAGGGTTGTCCATTCAAAGCGCTGATTAGCCCTGCTAATTCAAACAATATTTCAAATACAACACTGCAATTAAAAAGTTAGTGGTCAAATGTCTGCGTGATAAAGATGGACATAGTCATCTTTAAAATATATGAAAAGGCAGACAGCTTACCTAAAGCGTTGGGGTGGAGGGTGAACAAGAAAACAGAACAGACGGAACCTTTGATTTGTTGATCAGTATGTTTTTAATTTGTGTTCCAGATGCAGCAGCAATCTGAATAATATGCTCTGTTTGGGGGGGGGGAATGGAAATGTGCTGTGACTCACATTTTGTCTGTAAGCACTTTGTAGCAAATTTTAAACACAGAAAAGAACGGTGTAGGAAGGACATTTTTCGCCCCTAAGGTAGGAAATGATTGTAGGAAGTGTGTTAATTATTAGTACAGCACAGCTTTCCCTGACCTGGTGCCATCCAAATGTTTTGGACTGTGGCTGGATCTGATGGGGGTTATAGTCCAAAACATCTGGAGGGCTTCGGGTTGTGGGACAGTCAAAACAAGTCTGAAAGAGGATGAAATGTTTTGTGTAAATCATGTCTCTGTATTGGACTGAGGGACTCATAGACAGTAATTGATAAACACTTAAGGTTAGTTTTAGCATTTGTACTAAGCAAAAGAAGGGGTGTTAAAACACTGCTGCTAAATTTGTTTATTTCTTGCATTTTTTAGTTGTGGGTTTTAAATTTTCATTCCGTTCAAAAAAATAGTTTTTATCTACTATGTGTTTTGGAAAGTATTTTGTTTATTTGCTATGCATTTCCAGCTCTTATGATTTAACCAAATTTTGCATGATGGTTCCTGAGAATCAAGGAGCAGGTTTTCTTCTACGTTTGGATACAGTTGGATACCGTTTTGATTCAAGATGGCGGTTGAACCTTTCTGAACTGCACAGATTTTAACAATTGATTTCAAAACTGCACTGATTTTGGGCCGGGGGGGCATTCTTAGAATTCCTGAGCAACGTGGCTACAAGTTTGCTAGTCATTGATAATGTAAGCTTCCTTGAAGACCCTATGGTGAAAAGGCAAAGTTTAAACAAAAATAAATGATAGGAGTGAGAGTATAAACGATAAATAGCAGGTTACAATAGCAAGATGCAGAGCATATGTTTAATACAGAAGGAGACAAGAGTGGAAGATAAGAGGATAGCTAGGGTGGGATTGGTAGAAGCCTAATGGATTGTGGGATAACAAGGAGCTTACATAAGACCGGAAAGACGGGTAGCAAATAACAGGAAAAGTTGATATGGGCAACTGAGGGTAAGACTCAAGAAGAGAAGATAAGCTTAGTATCTACTTAAAGGGCTTTCTGTTGTGAAAGCCAGTCTGTCTGCCTTCCTCTAACCCCAGTTAAATCTGTACCAGGTGCTTTCTTAAAGCCCTGGCTACTAGAATGGCATTGGTCCCAGGGTCCATCTATGTTTTACGTCCATAACTTGCACCTGTGACATACATTATACTTTCTGTTTAAAGAGCAATGTGGAGCACTTTCAACCTTTTGTTTGACATGCATATTGCACCATCCATGAGAAACTCCACTGCCTCTTGCAATGTCCACTGCTATTGGGACACCATGGTGTTCAGGTAATATTATGGAAGTGGCTCTTGTGCTTTGTTTTGCTTTGCAGAAGGTTGTGTGTTGTCTCAGTGCCTGCCCTCAATTGTTATGGTGTGTGTCAGTCTTGCTGGCATAAACAAGATCCCATTCAACTAAGACCAATCTGATGCATCTGCAAAGAAGCTTTCCCCCTTGCCTTTAGTTTAATAATCATGTGGAAGTACAGGTAGCCTGTTGTTGGCATCCATCTGTCTTGAGAGACAATGGAGTGCGCCTCAGGAGGGGAAGTGAAACTGCTGGGTTAGCAGCACCAAAGTGACTTCCCCGGATGCAAGCTTGGGCAGTGTGTAAGGCGGTTCCGGGATGCCCAGATGACAAGACCCCACTCTCAGCCTCACTGATGTGGTCCAAAGGAAAGCAGAGCAATGTTTGGGACCAGTTTGGCTGCAGGAGTTGCTGGAAAGAGGCGTACAAGGCACCATCCAACCATCTTAGGGACTCCACTCTGGAACAGGGTTTACTCCTTAGTCTTTTCTTCTCCGGATGATAACCTGCAAGGCAATGGAGGTTTAGGGTCATAGTTTCCTTCTCCTAGATGGGCTAGCTTCCGAGGTTGATGAGCCCCATCTGCCCCTCACTTCCCTCTACAGCACATGCAGAAACCATCTTCTTGACCATTGGACCTGTTATCTCGTCCGCTCAATCTATGGGAACCTGTCTTCACATGCAGGGGAAGTCCCTAACACACTGAGGGTTTGTGGCAGGTAGCACAAGCAGCAAAAAGGTATCTTAGTTTGTGTGGTCATGGCTGCCCTGCTTTTTCTGGAGTGTGTGCATTTCCCTGCACCTGCTTTGTGGCCAGATTTTGGGGATGTCTTTGTAGGCAGGTTGTCCATGGGCACTGCTCCAGAAGATATGTTAAAAATGCATCCAAAACTTGAAAAGATTTTTGCTTAAAACTTAAAAGCCTTGATAATTCATCTTCCCTGCCTTCAGAACGAACAGGGAGATGTTGTCTTGGATGAAGTGTGCCGTACTTACAGTTACTGGAGTTTGTTACGATTTTAGTTTTGCTTGCAGCTGAGAAGAGAGGGCAGGAAGATTCTCCGTATTATTTTCCAGGCAGATGCTTATAAGTTCCTAGCTGCCTGATTTTAAAATGAAATTTAAACCATGAGCCCTTGGGAGTTGCTGAGGTCATTCTCTAAGCTCATTACCACGCACCAGAATTACATTTGCTAACCCCGCCACTACTTAATTCGTTTTTTCCACCTGCATATTCAATTTGTGAAATTAACATTAGCGCTTGCCTATAAATGAAACTCGTATGCAGATGCTGTTTTTCTGCTTATCCTGTTGATAGGGTTTGTTTTTTTATCCAGAATCCTCCATTATTTGCTCTTTGCCTCCAGCTCAATTAAGCTCCAGCAACAGTGGGGTCTCACAAGAGCAGGTGGCTGCGTGCTTGACCGGTGCAGGACACTGAAGCAGTTGGTGCCGCAGAAGTTTCCATTATAAATAGTTGTGTTGTGCTAAATACAGGCCCTACGTTAAAACTCAGTATAACTGGCATGGCACACCCAAGACATTCCTCTAGGTCACTAATGTGGAGAATGAACTTCAGGAGACATCTCCTGGTCCAGATACTACTGCCTGAGCCACTACTGGAACTCTCGATGAAATCAATGTCAGCCTTATGCAACAGTAGAATTAAGAATGTAAAACCAACTGTACTTGGTGAGGTCAGTGGTCCATCCATCCCACAGTTGCCTTCAAACGGGACCTAGAGCTGGGCATGCCCTTGCAAAATGAGATTCTTTTGGGGAAGCTTCTGCTTCTCTGGCTGCTATAGAAGTTATATCATTATTATTATTTTGTTTGAATCTCAGAACAGTAAATGCAGATTAAAATTTAGGAGAATGTAGCTGAGGGAGCAGCCATGATCTCCATGGTGGAATTCCCCCTGAAAATATGTCAAGAGCCTGCTATTCAAAGGGATGGAAAAAAACTTGCCCACTGCTTAGAGCTCGGTCAGTTCTTCCTACATGAATCTTAAAACAGGTTTGTTTTTTGCCCAATTCTTCGGGGCGTGGGTGGGGTGGAATCAGCAGCAGGAGACTGGGGGCAAAACTGGATGGACAAGAGGTCCACGTTCTTACGTCTGGCTGGTTTGGCCATGAGACGGTAAGGATTGTGTGATAAGCATCTTTGTGCCAGAAGTGCAGTTTGGCTTGGCTTAAAGACAGACTTAATTCCTCTTAGTTCCAGCTGTTGGTGTAGCCAAGAATGCTTCCAGAACGGAAATTCTTGGCTGTGCCAAATGAAAATCTGTCTTCAAGGAGTTTGGTGATGGAGGAAGGAGGCTGTCTAGTTTCCATTTTCTCACTAGCTCTCCCTCTCCTCCAAAGCTACTTTGTTGGATAGAAATGGATGCATGGCATGCTGTACTTCTTAAACAACCACCACCACCATGGTCAATTAGTTCATTTCAAAAGGATACAACATTGAGGCAAACCCCAGACTTTTATACTCCCTCGCTCTCTTTCTGTCTACAAGCTGTCAACATTCCACTCTTACGTAATGATTTGTGCCATGCCGTGAATGCTCAAGGAACTGAGCACCTAAAACAACACAAATCTCACAGATCAGCAAAGTGCCCTGGCGTGGGTGTTGCTCAGAGCAGCGGGTGAGAGGCCAGCTCCTCTGGACACTCAAAAAGAGGTATGTGGTAGGAAGCTGGGTTTGTTTACATAAATGATTTGAATCTTCGCCCCGTTGTATTAATTTCAGGCCATTCTGCTGTTTCTCTTGATGTAGAAATCACTCTCTCCAGCCATCTCTCTCCAGCTGTTTGATGTATTACATCTACAGTATAATGCTGACTGACCCTTAAAATGTTACGGTCAAGTCTCCCCTGGCGGGTGTTCTCTGGTACATGGGCTGCGAGTTACAACACAAATTTTCCCTTTGGTTTTTAGGTCTGTACAATAAATTTAACCTGAGCTGACTGTTAGGGCTTTTTAAAAGAGATTTAGAAACACAATATTTTCTCCCCGCCTCCCTCCAGTGAAAGGAAATTTGGAAGGAGTTCATGTAAGAAGAAGGCCTTTGAAGGCTTCTAGAGGGCTGTGTTCTGCCCTCCATGTTTTGAGGTGACAGCAGGAGGGGGTGGTGCTCTTCCGATCGAATCCTGCTTGTGGGTTTACCACAGGCATGTGAGTGGCCACTGTGAGAACAGGATGCTGGACTTAGATGGGCCACTGGCCTGATCCAGGAGACTCTGCTTACAGTCTTACATTCTTTAAGGAGATTGGGTTCTTCCTCCTGAGATTCCCCTAGCAAGGGTGGGGAACTATGGGACGGATCCAGCCTTCAGCCTCTCTTCTGCTACCGCAGCCTGCCCAAAGCCTCCCTTTCTGTTTCCCACCAGATGGGCAAGAGGCACTTCATGGGAAGCTGTTGCCTCAACATACCCCAGCAGTGTGGTGCTCACCGGGTAGAGAAGTGCGTTGTGAGAAGTTAGAATTGTCACTTCAAATCCACTGCAAACTTTCCTCCAGTTAAAAACTACGGATTCTTTATGGTTGGAGTTTTATGCATCCAACCATCATGTACTGAACAAAGAAACCATCAAATATACAGGAAGGCAGAAGTGAATGGAAGAAGAATAGAAGGAAAACCTGGATCACGGGATACTCAAAACTTTTTCTTATAAACACAATCCCACAACACAGTTGGAGCGTAACTACTCTGTAAAGAAGTTGAGTATGTGTTTCTGCTTTCTGGAGTTAGTGCTGGCATTGGGCGGAGAAAGGCGTTTTGGACAGAAAATTGTGGTGGCTAATCTGCTTTAGGCAGTTATGGTTATGGTTCCAACACGGTTATAGAGTTGGAAAACTGATAGCGGTAGCCACTCTGCACAACTGAATGAGTTTGGGGATGGACTGTACCTCAGTGGTAGAGCACATCCTTTGCATGCAGAAGCGCTCCAGGGTCAGTCCCCAGATCTTCAGTAGGGCTTGACAAGACTCCTGGCTGAATCCCTAAGGGCTGCTGCCAATCAGTGTGGACCAGCCTCACCAAACCTAGTATCTTCCAGATGTTGTAGGACTAAGGTTCCCATCACCTCCTGATCATTGGTTATCCGGGCTGGTGCTGTTGGGAGCAATATGTGGATGGCCATGTGTTCCCCATCCTTGGGGTAGAGGCTCCCTGAAGCCAAGGATCAAAACTTCTTGACTATTGGAAGAAAAACGTCTGACAACATCAGAAGGGTGCTAGGTTGGGCAATTCTGAGATCCAGCACCGAGGGCCTTCTGGCGGTTCCCTCATTGCGAGAAGTGAGGTTACAGGGAACCAGACAGAGGGCCTTCTCAGTAGTGGTGCCTGCCCTGTGAAACGCCCTCCCTTCAAATGTGAAGCGAATAAGCAGCTATCTTATCTTTAAAAGACATCTGAAGGCAGCCCTGTTTAGGGAAGTTTTTAATATTTAATGCTGTATTGTTTTTAACACTCGATTGGGAGCCGCCCAGAGTGGCTGGGGAAACTCAGCCAGATGGGCAGGGTATAAATAAATTATTATTATTATTATTATTATTATTATTCGAGTGTGTTCACATTTTGTTCAGCTTTGAACCTGGAATTTCTTATTTGGTGCTTTTTACCACTGTGCTGGGCTGTTAACCTGTCATCAGCACCAGGCAGCGCAGCCAGTGATCAGAAATAATGAGAACTGTAGCCCAAGCACATTTGAGAACGCCATGTTGGCTACCCTTAACCTGCTCAAATACCATATTTTAAATTTAGGCGCTTAAAAGGGGGAAAGAGAGAGAGAGAGAGAGAGAGAGAAGAAAAGTCCTAGTTCTACAAAATGCAAAAGGAGAAAAGAATGGTGGTTGAATGTTTGATATCAGTGCTTACTAGGAATGTTGACTCTCATATTTCCACTTCTCTTGCCTTCCTCCCCTTTGCAACTGACTTGTTTTAGGCTGAGTCTTATACTATGGGATGGGTGAGGAAGAGAACAAATATGTGTCCCAGCTGAAGGACGTGTTCAACAGCTGTGATGCCACAGGCACCGGGTATTTGGACAAGGAAGAGCTGACCGAGCTATGCCGCAAGTTACACCTGGAGAGGCAGCTACCCCTACTCCTGGAGAACCTCTTGGGAAATAATCTCTTTGCCAGGGTAAGTAGGCCCAAGGCCTCTGCGCCTGACTGTTTTGAAGGAGCACTTCTCTCATAACGGTTTAAAATGGCAATCTTGTCTCCCGGCCCTTCCCCACCAGTTGTTCCCATCCGTGCATAGAATTCTCAGCTGGTCACTCTTCATCCTTCCTGTCTGGCCCTGAACACTTTTAAATCCCATTGGTGCCTCCTAAAGGCAAGCCTAGGGGCATATTTTCCCCCCAAAATTGCACCACTCGACATGTCTGTGTTGAAGTGGGATAGGATGCCGTCCCTGCGCTTTTCAGGGAGACCTAAATAAACCCTGTCCCACTTATTTTCCGATGGACATTATGGAATGTGGCCTAAACTTCCCTCTTGTGTCATTTTTTTTAACTGTCCCACTTTGGGCATGGCTTGTTCTTCTCTCCCGGTTGCAAAGCCTTTGCAAAGCCTAGGATGTGATTAGGGGGATCCTAGCGGGTGGCACTGTGGGTTAAACCACAGAGCCTAGGACTTGCCGATCAGAAGGTTGACGGTTCAAATCCCCGTGACGGGGTGAGCTCCCGTTGCTCGGTCTCTGCTCCTGCCAACCTAGCAGTCTGAAAGCATGCTAGTGCAAGTAGATAAATAGGTACTGCTCTGGCGGGAAGGTAAACGGCATTTCCGTGCGCTGCTCTGGTTCGCCAGAAGCGGTTTAGTCATGCTGGCCACATGACCCGGAAGCTGTACGCCGGCTCCCTTGGCCAATAAAGCAAGATGAGCGCCGCAACCCCAGAGTCGGGCACGACTGGACCTAATGGTCAGGGGTCCCTTTACCTTTACCTTTAACTCCTTTAGTGTTCACATCCCTGTTGCCTACTGTGCAGTCATCCCTTCAGATCTTTCTTTTCCAAGTCGCAGAAAGCAGTGTCTCAAAATGGTGGTGGTGGATTTATGCTGTTTGCTTCTGCAAAAACTAGCACCTTACAAGGACAGTACTTTGTAGGTGCATACAAAGGACTGACCTAGATGGTCACAGAAGCTTCTTATCTCCACCAAAAAGCAACATGCTTTGGAAGATTAATAATAATAAATTTTTATTTATACCCCGCCCTCCCCGGCCAGGGCTGGGCTCAGGGCAGCTAACACCAAATATAAATTATAATAAAACATAATAGGGAAAAAAACAGTTAATTAAAATATGGCTTAAAATGCAGCCTCATTTTAGTAAAAGGTAAAGGTAAAGGGACCCCTGACCATTAAGTCCAGTCGTGGCCGACTCTGGGGTTGTGACGCTCATCTCGCTTTACTGGCCGAGGGAGCCGGCGTACAGCTTCCAGGTCATGTGGCCAGCATGACTAAGCCGCTTCTGGTGAACCAGAGCAGCGCACGGAAACGCCGTTTACCTTCCCACCAGAGCGGTTCCTATTTATCTACTTGCACTTTGACGTGCTTTCAAACTGCTAGGTTGGCAGGAGCAGGGACCGAGCAACGGGAGCTCACCCTGTCACGGGGATTCAAACTGCTGACCTTCTGATCGGCAAGTCCTAGGCTCTGTGGTTTAACCCACAGCGCCCCCCGCGTCCCCAGTCTCATTTTAGTAGTAGCCCATAAATCAAGACCATAAAGGGAGGAAACATCAGATATTCACCTGAGCCAGCTATCCATGCTGGTCCTACATGGGCCAGCAAAAAAAAAACCAAGGGAAAATTTATATACCACATCCCATATAAGGGGTCAGAGTGAGTCTAAGCTGAAGGCCAGGCGGAACAGCTCCGTCTTGCAGGCCCTGCAAAAAGATGTCAAATCCCGCAGGGCCCTGGTATCTTGTGACGGAGCGTTCCACCAAGTCAGGGCCAGTGCAGAAAAGGCCCTGGCCCTAGTTGAGACCAATCTAATCTCCTTGAAGCTCAGGTTGTTATTTATGGACCTTAAGGTCCTCTGCAGGGTATACCAGGAGAGGCAGTCCCATAGGTATGAGGCTCCTAGGCCATATAGGGTTTTAAATGTCAAAACCAGCACCTTAAACCTGACCCTGTACTCCACTGGGAGCCAGTGCAGCTGGTAAAGCACTGGATGAATGTGATCCCACGGCAAGGACCCTGTAAGGAGCCTCGCCGCGGCATTCTGCACCCGCTGGAGTTTCTGGGTCAGCTTCAAGGGCAGTCCCCGCGTAGAGCGAGTTACAGTGATCAAGTCTGGAGGTGACCGTTGCATGATTGTCTGAATGCAACCAAGAGAATACAGAACTATCGTACAGAAGTATGGAGTAGTCTTCGTCTTCAACAGAAAATGTTACCTGGTAGCTGTTGGTTGCATTCAGACAATCTTCCAAAGCATGTTTTGTGTGTGTGTGTGTGGAGATCAGAAGCTTCTACTTCTTTGTGTCCAAGTACACTAAACCTTGGTTTGGTCAAAATATAACTTGCATACAAACCAGGACCTCCAAATGGAGAGCCAGTGTGGTGTAGTGGTTAAGAGCGGTAGTCTCGTAATCTGGGGAACCGGGTTCGCGTCTCCGCTCCTCCACATGCAGCTGCTGGGTGACCTTGGGCCAGTCACACTTCTTTGAAGTCTCTCAGCCCCACTCACCTCACAGAGTGTTTGTTGTGGGGGGGGGAAGGGAAAGGAGAGTGTTAGCCGCTTTGAGACTCCTGAAGGGGAGTGATAGAGCAGGATATCAAATCCAAACTCTTCTTCTTCCTCTCCAAATGTCCTGGCTCACTGCTGCTCATTCCCAATCCAGGATGGCTTAGGATCTTAGTTTATGAACAATCCATAGTTTATTGCATTTGGACACAAAGGCAAATTATGGTGTGCTGTTAAGTATCACCTTCCAGTCTCCTCCCCTTGTATTATTGGAGAAGAGGAGAAATGGTTTGACTGCAGCTCACTGCTGTATTTATTCTCAATCCTCCAAGCCAGTTACGTGGCCCAAATCTTTTGGTGTAGAAGCAAAGCTCTGTTTGTTCTTTTGTTTTATGTGACTAGCTTTCTAAAGTTCAAACTAATTTCCTATGTAAGAGAATTCATGGGCATCCTTGCTGGGTTTTCAGCAGAGAGTTATAAATTGTTGCCTGTCTTTTCTAAATTGGGACCTGGATTAATGGAACTTGCAAGAAGCTGGAAGCATGTTCTCTGTTAACAAAAGTTGCACTTTTGAACTGACTGAGGGTATTGTTCCCATTCTTACAAATGATCCTGCAAAGGTTTCTGCCAATCAAATATTCTCAGTCTCTCAAGTGCAAAAATACAGTGACTTCTTTTTCTTACTGTAAAGAATAAGAAAGATAAGGGTGACTGATTGCAATAGTCAAAACGGTTAATAGAAAGAACATGGAAATTCTAGTATCTCGGAATGTTTGTTAATAGAATGCATGTATATTTCTGGTGTGAAAAGTTGAAATCTCTACCCCAGACCAATAGAGCATTTTTTTAAGGCTTGTTTATGGGACGATAGCTTAGTAAAGTAAACATTTAAGTGTGGTTTTATGTATATTTTGCTGATTTTATCCTTATATGTTATACTCCGCCTTGATTTCTTTTTATGAAATACACACACACACACACACACACATTTGCACCCCTACCATAACTGCTGAAGCTCGACAACATTCCAATTTGATCCCGTTAACTATCTACTCATTTTCAAAGGAGAATTACCCTTTGAAATTACACTTGTGTACTTATTGTTCAGGTGGCATCTTAAAACACCTTGGTGAATCAAAAGCCAGACCAAATAAACACTTTTGCTTGCCACATTGGTGCCCAAGCTACAGTGCCCTGGAACGGTACGTTTTCTAGTGGTGGAGTCTGTAAGAGCTTAGCAATCAGCAGTCTCCTTTTAGGCAGCTAGCATCTGGTGTATTGCATTCATGCTGGTGCCTCTCTTTAAAACCAGAGTGCCAGGGCAGTGATGCAAAATGCATGGGTGTATTGCTCATTCCCCAAACCTGATGAATATCAGTTCCTGTCAGGTGAATTAAATTTGGTCTTTGAGACCTCATCAAACATTAGCAACATCCTCCAGTAGGGGTAGGTTCTGGAGTAACTGAACGAGAACAAGATTGTGCTGGGAATCAGTGCTGCCCTGTTTACCACCAGATCTTCTTTAGCTGGATTGGCAAAAGTGACAGTACACTGTCAGTGTAGACAATATTGAGCTATGTGGACCAATGGTCTGATTCAGCATAAAGCAGAAACAAGAACTGGTATACACCTGACTTAACAATGTCTTGTCTGTCCACTCCTAGGTTAACTTTGAAGAGTTTAAGGAAGGCTTTGTGACCATATTGTCCTCAAGCATCAGTCTTGGTCTTTCAGATGATGAGAGCAGTTACCTGGAACCAGGTGGGTGAAGAGTGGAGGGTGATAAAAGATTACTTGTTTTGGATTTACTGCTTTCAAGTTCCTTTGTTTACAGTGCGCTATTGACCACTAAGCTTAAGTATGCTGTAGAGCAGAGCTGCAATCAGATTGGTGATCCTGATCTACAATTGTGTTTCCAACTCTTAGCTGTTCCGGATGAAGTCGAGCCTAAATACATCCATGGGGCCAAGTGGTACGGCCGCCGGACGAGGCCGGAACTGCAGGGCGCAAGTCTGGAAACTCCCAAGTATTTACAGGAGCAGCAAGCAAAGGCAAATGGGAAAAGTCAGCTGAGACGCTCAGCATCTTTGGAGAGTGTGGAGGTGAGGTCGAGTCTCTTGAGTTTTACTGTATGTTACTTTAGAAGAAGCAGCCTTGTAAACATGAGGCTTCTTTCATAGTTCATGCTTACCCAGAAGTTCAGAAGTTTCCAAAGCCTGCCCAGCAAATATTAGGCTCAGATATGAAGGCAGTGAATGTGTCATTGCAGAGGAGGTGTTTGCATGCTTCTGTGGGATGTAATCCACTGGGAGCAGTCAAATACAACATTCCTTGTTTTGCTAGAGTGGACGTGCAAGGGAATGTTTAGTCCAGCAAGTCAAAAACTTCCTGTTCCTCCTGGCCTGGAGCATCCTTCCTTACATGTGATTAGTGGGTGGGCATGACCTTTCCAGACCTGGTAAAAGGCCAAGGCATGCTTCTACTCTCCCTCTTTTCCATCTTCCTTTCGTCTGGCAAACTTCCTGGATGCTAACTGCAGTCACTAGGTCAACCCACATATGGGGTAAACCTGTTTGTATATGCTTGTAAGCCTGCCTTCAGGGATCACACTGTGCTCTGCCTGATTGTAAGACTGTGGTGTCTTTATTCTTTTAGGAGGGATTCAAGGGGTCTTACCAGGAAAATATTAGAACACATTTCAGTCTGGACAAGCCAGATTGAATTGCGTATTGTCTTAAGAAACTCACATGAGTTTGCAACTGTGTTTTCTGCTGTGTAAAGGGGAATTCACTCTGCTAAGAAAAGGAACTTGCTGATGCAAGTTAGGAAGGATATTAATAAACAATATATCCTCTCCTGCCACCCTGAACATTCCCACAGTTTCTGTATCCAAAGCCAGCATCCAGGAAGCTGAAGTTACTTAGGATAAGGCTGGAGAGAACCAGTGCATCTCAGAGACAAGTGGGGTTGGGGCCAGCTCAGCATCCAGCATGCTCTCAGTTGCCTGTCTCTCTGGAGGGAGCCCCTTTCTGGCAGGAGAAGTCACTTAGCAGGAGGTGTCTGACTAGGTGTATGCAGTATTGCAGGAGCAGAACACCCCTCTGCCAATCTGCTTTGACCCTCTCCTGGATCTAGCTGTCCATTCTTCAGACGACTGATCTCCTCCCCGGGTGCAGATACTTCTTGGGATCCTGATTCCACCTGCTTTATTCCACTCGGATCCTCCCCAGGGTCGTTCTGGTCACCTCCCTGAGCTCCTCCCATTCTTCCTCAGGATCTGACCATCCCCTCCAGGACACCTCCACAAGACTCACGATAATCCTTAAAAAAAAAAGCTCGGCTCTTTAGCTTGCATGAAACAGTGAATCCTTCTCTTATTTTCAGAGCCTTAAATCAGACGAAGAGGCCGAAAGCACAAAAGAACAACAGCATGAGATGTTTGAGGGTCAAGGTAGGAGAAACCTAAATTCAAAATGCATGTTTAAAAAAATTAGAACGGGTTCTCTCCTTTTGAAAGAAGGAAAGGAGAAAAAGCAATACTGAGGATGGAAACTTTCCTTCTTTAACTCTCTGGTCATCTGATTTCAATCAGTGACTTTAAGGACAGGGTGATAGTTCAGTAACAAAATCCATTTTTTACAGGTAGAAGGTCCCTGATATTTCCAGTTAAATGTAACAGGAAGCAAGTGGTGGAAAACAACCTTTTTCTGAGACCTTGGAGAGCCACTGCCTGTCAGAGTAGGCATAAGAAGCTGCTTTATCCCTAGTCAGACCTTTGGTCCATCTTAGCTCAGTATTGTCTACACTGACTGGCAGGTGGCTCTCTGGGGTTTGAGGAAGGAGATTATTTCCAGTCCTACTTGGAGATGCTGGAATGGAACCCAGGACCTTCTGCGTGCAAAGTCCTTCTCCCAGTTCAGTACTGGGTGAAGTGGACCAGTGGTCCAACTTGCTAAAAGACAACTTGATAACTTCAGCACATCAGTATTCTTTTTTCACTAGTTGTTAAAACAATCGCCCTAAACTTTTCTTTCCTCAGATTTATTATGGGGCTAACGTTTAGCATTGAAAACTATTGCTTGTTTATTTAAATCCCACCTTTACTCCAACGAGCAATACATGGTTCTCCTCCTTCCCAGTTTTATCCTCACAGCAATCCTGTGAGGTAGGTTCAGCTGAGTGGCAATGACTGGCCCAAAGCCACCCAGTAAACTCTGCGGCTAAATAGGGATTTGAACCCTGCTCTAACAGGTCCCAGCCCAACATTCTGACCACTATGCCATGCTTACGTTGTTTGGAAAGATGCAGTTAGAGGATAAGGGAGACTGATGAAGCAGACAGGTCAATATTCTTCTGAGAATGCTTTCATGCATTCCTGGGGAAATCCCATTTTATTTCATTGTGTTATATACTTCCATCTACAGTGGAAACCCTACTTACGTTGTAAACAAATGCAAAATCATTTGTATATTTTGTACTTGAAGGTTCGCAGAGCATTGGAGTCTTGTACACAGGGCAAATATTGGAGGAAGCAATTTTGAAAAATTAAGTCTACAGAGGAGAGTGGGATTCTCTGTTAAATGGCTGAAGGCTTGTGGAAAGAGCAGTCTTTGCTATGACTGACGGAATAATTTAAAGATAAAATGCTGCTCTTCTTGCTTAGTGGAATTTCTTTATATTTACAGGGCGAAGGTGTACCTGGCATGATGACCTCTATGATAGCCCCAGAAAGGTCTCCCCCTCGTGTTTTGGCATGACTGAGAATCAGGTTCGGGACATCTGGGAAGATCTTGGCGTTGGGAAGAACGGGCACCTTAACAAACAAGAGCTGGCTACCGTTTGTAAGAACATTGGACTCAAAGAGATGGAAAAAGAGGTGGGGTAAATTCAGCTGTTGGAAATCGTTTGGCCAAGTATTGAAGATAGATAGATATAGATCTAGATCTAGATCTAGATCTAGATATTATTCCCAGAGCTTCTTGACCAAGTGGGTCTTCTCAGTCCTAGTCCAACACTATTAATTACTGTACCATACTGGCATTTCCCCATGTTACATTTTTGTAGATGTTGTAGTACCACACTCCTTTTTTTCTGGCCAGAAAGACCACCAAGGTGGTGCTGCAGCTTTTTGTTGCAGTCCTCAAAGAAGCAGAAGAGATGCCAGGGCAAGAGTGCTGCCGCAGTTGCCCACTAACTGCAAAGAACTTGAAAGCACTAACAATAATGTGCCTGCTCCAAGTCTTTAAGGTTGGGTAGACTTTATTAAATTTTGGTCACAACCTGGTGAGCTGCTGTGGTAGGCTGCCTATTGGTACTGTTGGAACAAATCAATGTATTTTGATGTGGGGGGGCATTATTTGGAGTATTTGTGTTGTGTGTTTCTCCCTGGTAGTAGGTTCACCTTCCAAAAGGCAATTTATTCCTCTTAATGACTAGGCAGTAAAATGACTGTTTTAGGGGAAACTGTTCTGCTTCCAAGAGCATTTATTAGTTAAAATTGTTATAAAATACCGCTTCTTGTATTTTTTTTGGACAGCATAAAATGGTCAAATTCCTCAGGTAATTTTTTTCCTAAATATAATGTCTGATACTTTGTGATAGATTGCTTTTTACAAATGTTTTATTCAGGATCTCGAAGATTTGTTCAACCAGTTGGATAGTGATGGAGATGGCAGAGTAAGCTTAAAGGAGTTCCAGCTTGGCCTGTTCAACCACAGCCCCATTCTTTGCCCTATTTCTTCCACACCTCTCAAACCAAGATGTCAGAGATCACCATCCCACCAGGTAACGGTCAAAGCATAATTTCTGAGAGACTTCCTTCAGAAACATAGTTTTAAGGCTCAAAATCTGAAACCATTCAGAGGACCTCCGGCAGTGCCTTTTCACGCAGAGCTGTGTTATGACACACGGGAAGCCATGTTTTCATGCTGTGTGACTAAGCTGCAACATGCTTTTTCGCATGCATAAGGGAGACGACTGGAACCACCTGCTTTCTGTTTCAAAGTTCTCAGTGACCTCCAAATTTGGGGAAATGTGACTTTCTAAAGCAAGCCACATTCTGAAACCATTGCTGCCTCCTGAATTGTTATCACTAGCAGTGGTTTAAATAAACAACAGTTTCCAAAGTTCAAATGTTGTGAGTGACCGTGGTTAGTTGCAAACCAGAAACGGAAGTTTCCCATTTCCTCTTCCTCGTGCACATAATGGGCAACTGTGGTTTACTGCTGCATATGAGAACTAGGCTAGAATGTCTTGAACTGACCTTCAAATGCAAAAGGTGACCTGAAAGATTCAGATGCCAAGGACTGTTTTCATTTACTCTACTTTTTATGATCCCTGGAAAGCAAAGCAAAGGCAGAATTTAGCAGACTTCATCTTATTAATGTTGGAATACTGACAGGGAGACAAAGTCCATCATGGCCCCCAAGCCGGCTGCCAGACGATCCATCGATCTCCCGTAGATACAGTATCAGCAATTAGCGACACGAGCTTCCAGAAATAGCTTGCCACGTTCTAGAGCCGATGCACACTCTCTATCAGCAAATAATGCACAGCCAAAGTCGCACTCAGGAGAGCATTATTTACAAGTTTTATTCAGCGTTGATCAGAACAAAGAAAAACATGACTGCCTGCTTCAGTGTCTCCAGACACACAGAGAGAAACGAAAGCAATAGAAAAACATAAACTTCCTGTGAACAGGAAATGCGCAGACTCTGTGACTCACAAAGCCTGCTCCCTTTTAAGGTGGAACGGAAATATCCTAACAATTAATTCAGTCTGAAGTATTGGAGTGGTGTGTGGGATCTCCGAGTTGCCTTTTCTAGCCTAAAAGGTAAAGGTAAAGAGACCCCTGACCATTAGTTCCAGTCGTAGCTGACTCTGGGGTTGTGGCGCTCATCTCGCTTTATTGGCCGAGGAAGCCGGCATACAGCTTCCAGGTCATGTGGCCACCATGACTAAGCCGCTTTTGGCGAACCAGAGCAGCGCACGGAAACGCCGTTTACCTTCCCGCCGGAGCGGTACCTATTTATCTACTTGCACTTTGACGTGCTTTCGAACTGCTAGGTTTGGCAGGAGCAGGGACCGAGCAACAGGAGCTCACCCTGTTGCGGGGATTCGAACCGCCAACCTTCTGATCAGCAAGCCCTAGGCTCTGTGGTTTAACCCACAGCGCCACCCGCGTCCCTGCAATATGGCCTAGTGCCTGTTTAATGAGAGAGTTGCTTACCCGATATAAAGCTCAGATATAGAGTAATCCCATCCAGTAGGAGCTATGAACACACCCTAGTTAAAGCAGTTGGTGCAGAAAATCCTAAGTACCCATGCGGATGTAACCCAGAGTAATAATTCACACTGGAGAATAAGCAGCTTTCCAATGGTGGCTCAAAATAAACAAATAAATAGAGTACTGTTTACAGAGTTCAGATGGGCTGCATGCATCTGGCTACTAGGTAATCCTTCTGGTCTTCCCAGCTTGAAACAAGCTAATTCTGTTTAGGTGGAGGATTAGAGAACTGGTTTAAACTTAGGTAAGTCCTTACAGTGCCTCCTTCTGCTCACCTTTGGACAAGCTTTTTGAAGGCATTTGTTTTTACATACGATCACAACTGATATTAAAATGCAAACCCTGGTAGCTGCGAACAACCAACTTCCTTTATTTATAGATGCATAAGGATGTTCTTCAATGGTAAAAACATGTTGCCTTTCAGGTCTCACTTGATTGCTACACTGTTTGTCTAAACAGACTTTTCTTTCTTTTCCTCCCTCCATCGCTTCCCTCCCCAATCCGCCCCCAGATTTTCAAAGACGGTGCGCACAGAAGCACAACTCCATCCTTCTTATCTGGCTCCGTGGCCTTGAATCTTTTCTCCAGCATTGATGACGGCAGTGGCTTTGCAAGACCTGAGCAAGTTGTCTCCATCTGGGCCCAGGAAGGGGTTGAAAACTGCAAGGAGATCCTTAAGGTTTCTAGCTGCTCCTTACAGATTACGAAAGCTTTGGTTTTCCTTTCATCCCAAGAAGAAGCATTTTCCCCCCTTCTCTCTCTCCCCCCCCCCCCCGCATCCCTTTTTCCCACTAAAGATCCCAGTGATGAATTGCAGCACCTTCATATTAATTAGCATCCGTGTGACACATTTTAAGCTACTCAGAAAGTAGTACAACAGTGGCACCCTACAAAGAACCCTGGGAATTGAAATTCTTCCCCTTCTTGTTTTCTTTGCTCCAAGCTGCATTAACCCATCTGTTGTTGACCCTTTTTCTCTTCCTTCTGCCCAAGGTTCTTCTGATGGCTTAAAGCAGTGTTTTCCAAACTTGGGTCTCCAGCTGTTTTTGGACTCCCACTATCCCTAGCTAGCAAGACCAGTGGTCAGGGATGATGGAAGTTGTAGTCCAAAAACAGCTGGAGACCCAAATTTGGGAAACACTGGCTTAGATGAAAGGATAGCCAACATGGTGCCTTCAAAATGTTTTCAACTACAAATCCCATCAGCTCCTAGCTAGCATGATCAACAGACAGGGATGATGGGAATTGTAGTTCAAGACATCTGGAGGACACCATTTTGGCTATCCCTTCTGAAGCAGCCTTGCCCTCTCTATTAAGGCAGCTCCCCTCTAAATCCCACTTCTGCCAAGCCTTTTTTGGAACACCATAGCCTCACACTTTCTGCACCTCCTGTAATCAACCTTTTTAAAGCCCACTTCTTTCAATTGCTCTGGCAGTTCTGTATACAGAGCCTAGCACACTGGCCTTGAATAAATATTGATAGCAGTAGTTTTAGAACCTCTTGACTTACATTTCCCTTGATTTTGAGAAGCTCTCTCTGTGTGTGTTTTAACAGAGTCTGGATTTCAACATGGAGGAGAGAGTTAACCTCTTGGAGCTGTCTGCAGCCCTTGATGAGGAGATAACAGTTCCCAAGAGCGGACTTCAACAGGCAGCTTTTGCTTCTTACAGACACGAACTTCGCCATCTAGAGTAACTTGTTCTTCGGCTGTTTTGGGTGGAGGCCCCATTCCTGGCCAACCCCTTCTCCCTTTACACCTCACCCACCCCTTCACCTATTGCTTCACAGTTTGCCCAAACCTACCCCAACTCCCAGCCCTTTTAAAAGAGCGGGGAGCACTTCAGAGAGCAGTTTGTCAAAACTGTTCTCTGAAGCACCTTCCCTCCCTCTGTTAAACAGCTTGTCTGCGCTGTCTTCCACCCAGTGCTGTTTTCTCACCACTCGCCTGCTGTTCTGTTGTCACACAGGAGTTGGAGTGGCCATCTTTTGGTAGCCACCCAAACCACAGAGTGGCGACAGCCTTACTGTTTTATGTATATAGGAAGGTAACAAATACATGCAGTTTTTAATTGGATTAAATAATAATAATCTGATGTTCTTTTGCACTAATACCATGGGAAATGGTAGGATTGAAACTGAACAGAAAGATGCTTCTGCATCATTTCGGAATGATACCTAACAGCACCTTCACTGTCTTTGCAGAGCTCAGGTAGAGCAAATATCCATTGAGAGAGACAAAGCGCAAGTTGAATTGGAGAAGGTGGAAAAGCGGAAGCTGCAGCTTTTTGAGGAGGTGGATGATCATAATAGTGCATTGGAGCACCACAATGAGAGTAAAATGAAGTACGTGAGCCAGCTTTTTGGTGTCATTATCTGATGGGGTTTATACACAAGGAGGAGTGTGAAAAGCAGGCCCAACTTGCCATCCAGTGAAACAGCACAGCATAAGCTATGCAGCCAATGCTCACAAAATTGTGACTGTAGAGAGGCCAACACCTTAGTCGCACTAGTCATTTCTCTTGTGGACCATTCTGTTTTTATTTTCACATGGAAAATACTTGCACATACCAGTAACAGTGCTTGTATCTTGCAGAGACCTTGAGCAAGACTACAGAGGGAAACTCAGTGTTATGAAGTCTGAAGCGGAGATGGAGAAGGAGCAGCTCTTGCAACAAGGGAACCACCAGAAAACCAAGTTAGAAGCAGACATCAGATCTCTTCAAGAGGAAGAATCTAGCCTGAGGCAGAAGCTGAGCTTAGTGATCAAGGTAAAGATTCGGAGCATCTGTTATCTTCAGGATGACCAGTGCAGCCTACAGCAAGACTGCATATTCTGAGCTTGAAAATAAGAATAAAGTAAAAATCCTGTCTGAAAGGAGGCTGAATTCTGCAAACAGTACATATTAAGTAAAAATATGCTTTCATCTCTTGACTTATGGAGACTTCACCAGGCATTACTGTTACACTTTAATCTGCAGCCATGGGGACTAGAGAGTTGTATTTTGTTGTTAAATGAATTTAACCCACTTTTCAAAGAGAGCCATCCACCTATCAGGGCTGGTGGAAACTTACTTTCCCTTCCAGCCCCCCAAAATGATCCCTTGAGGATTGGGGCACCTTGTTGGGTGGAGCTAGTTTTTTCAGGATTGCTTCTGAGTGCTAGCCTTTTTGTATCCTACATGTTGGTATCTTGCTCAGGAATCGCAAAAAGGTACCCCAGTGTTATGTTTAATGAGCGTAAATGTGCACTTTCGATTTTATTTTTTTCATATTTTTGGTTTTTTTTAAAGGAGAATAGTCGCTTACAAAGTGAACTTGTTGAAGTGGTTCAAAAGTTGTCTGAATCTGAAAAGCAAGTACTAAATCTTCAGAAGGATCTCGACTTCATGTTGAAAGACAAGGTAGCTTCGGATTGATGAAAATGCTTTCCTCTTTATTGAAAACCAATAAAATTCATATTTATCTCTGTTGTAGGATTTTGACCTCTTTCGGTTGGCTTTCTATTGTGGCCTTATTTGGTTCCTAATCACAGGGATAAGTGCATGTATTAAAAATCACGTTTTCTTGAAGTTGACAGAGCTTCCAAATTAAATGTATTTAAGGTCAAGCTATAAATCTAGCCTGCTGCTGCCAAAAAATTGGCTCCCATCAGCTAATTGTAAACTGCTTGAGGGTTTGTTTGTTTTTCCAATCAAGGGGTGTATAAATTTCTTGGAATGAATGAATGAATGAATATAGTAATTTCACCACTAATACTTTTAAAATAAACCTCTTTGCTTGCTTTAGCTGGGGCTGCTGGATCCACACAGCACAGAGCTCTTTGATCAAGAAGAACGCTTTGCCAAAATCATTCAGGAATATGAGCTGCAGTGCCGGGTAGGTGGCCTGTACGTGTTATAAATGGCGTCATGCAGGGAGGACCCATCCGAGTGCTGAGAGAACAGCCTTCATTCGAGTCTCATAATAATTAAGGCTTCACGCCTCTTTTTTTAAAAAAGATCAGCAATCTTTTGATAAGCGCCTACACCAATTCCTCAATGGCACATTTTAGAATAGCAGTTAAAACACCAAGGTTCAACACAGAGGGTAAGTTCAGACGTAGTGCCAAACCATAGTTTGATGTTGTGTGATCAAGCCTCAAGCACTGCTCCTTCCTTTGTGCAGATTTAGCTAGTTACTTCCTGGTTAGCTGTAAACTATGGTTTGCTGTTACTTTTTTAAAAAAGCAAAGGTTTGGCTATGCCCAAAGAATCATGGGAACTCTAGCTTGTTACTAGTGCTGAGAATTGTTGGAAACCCCTTCCCCCCTCACAGAGTTACAATTCTCAAAGTGGTTTAGCAGTCAGTTCCTCTTTCCAGGGAACTCTGGGAATTGTAGATTGCGGGGGGGGACAGGAGTTTCCTAACAACTCTCGTCACCCTTAACAAACTACGGCTCTCAGGATCCTTTGGGGAAAGCCATGACTGTTTAAAGTGGTATGATACCGCTTTAAATGTATTCTCATTAATTACAGAGCCTATGGAGAGCTGCACTCGTAGACCAGAACAGTGAGATCCTAACCATAGGGTAGCTATATTTTATTAGAATAAAAATTGGGGGCACCTTACCAAATGGTTGTAGAGATAACTTGGAGCATGTGACTATTGCCGTTTTTGCTCCAGCTCTGCTTCTTGCCAGAAGGAAATCACAATGTAATATCTGTCGCTTCCGACAGTGCAGTTAGAACTGCTGCTGTTGCACTAGAGTTATTTCATGTGTCCTGCTACCAATTCAGTTCTCCCTGTTTCTCCCCAAACTCTCGACATTTGCTGCTGCTACATCTTGATAGAGAGTGAAGGTGAGCACTTTCCCCCTCCTCAGGTGTGTGCACGATCCACTTGTTTGTAGTGGTATACTGTTCTTTAGCAAACCTGCATGATGTCTTGTTGCAGCCTGAGATCTTGCGTGTTACAAGGTTTTTGTTTTCGGAAATGCTTGAGTTCCCATTTCGATGGACTTCTATATCGCGGCTCGCTTTTTACCTCCTTTGTGTTGAGTAGGCCTCAGTCCTGTCCCCCTCTAGTCACTTCTGTACTTGTAAAGTTATATCGTTCGTGTACCTTGTCAGCTAAGGAAATGAGAAGTGCAGATCTTTTTAAATTCAGTTCTGTCCGTAGCTCCCAATTCTCCCTCCCCCACAGACTTCATGGTGTCTCCAGAAACTCAGGTGTCTTTCAGAACTGAGTGGTAGGCTTTTGTTTTTGAGCAAGTCCTGCAGTTCAACAGCTCACAAAGGATCCCAGGAACGTTGAAGCCCACACACCGCGACAAGGTGATGATCCAGTGAGGGAGAATAGCTGTACTACAAAAAACTATGAATTTGCTAAAAAGGGTTCAGTGCTCTTGCAGCATCTGAAGCAGCTACCTTTAAGAAAGCATTGCAAAGAAAATAAACACTCAGACATTGGGAGTCTGTATTTTGAATTATCTGCACGAAGTATATGCCCAGAGGGCTCTGCTGGAGCCTATTTCTGCTTCCCTCTGTCCTTTCAGTTTTGTTTGATTGGTTTTACTTTAACTGTATGATACTGCACAGCAAATTGTTCTGTGCTATAAATCAAGCACTGCTAGGAGTTGCTTCTTTGTATTTAGTCAATAAAAAACGTGGCATGGAGCGACCAAATTCTTTTCCTGAAAGTACGGCCCAGAGAAAGAAGTTAAAGAGCCACTGGGCTAGATGGACCACGGGCCTGATCCAGTATGCTCTTCTTATGTTCCAGTGTCTTGTGTTTTTTAAAGACTGTCTTATAGCATTTCTGTGAGAGTTATTTGCAAGCACACCTGGTTATTCTGTCGAGGAGCGGTTGCTGTGCACCCAACGAGGTAGATCCGAGGGAGGCTGTTCCACATTTTGAGCTTCCGGGTTCTTCCCTTTCAGGAGCTGCGCGACAAGAACGATGAGCTGCAAATGGAGGTGGAGAAACTGCGTTCCCAGCTGCACGAAAGCAAGCATAGTCTAGCCTGGTGTCAAATGAAGGCCAGCAGACTTGGAGAAAGGCTGCTGCCTGAAAACGTAAAAGCCAGAATTCTGGGTGCGTATTGCAAGTTGCATTTAGAACGTCACATCGGGTTAAATCAAATACAGTCATACCTTGGGTTACAGACACTTCAGGTTGTGTTTTTACGGGTTACGGACCGCCAATACCCAGAAGTACCAGAACAGGTTACTTCTGGGTTTTGGTGGTCGCGCATGCGCAGAAGCGCAGAATTGCAACCTGCATGTGCGCAGACGCTCCAGATGGCAGAATAGAGAAATGACATGTTGCCCCTGTTACAGCAAATGCAGCTGAGAGATCTAAGGCAACATCTGGTCCACTCTAATGGGACCATTTCCTGCTGATGCAGCCTGATGATGTTAACAAGATACTTGCAGCAGTGCATCTGACCACGTACTCTCTGTACCCTTGCTCTTTCGGGATGGTTAAAGGTAGCCAGGTGGCACTAGGTGGTTGCGGCTAGGAGTGCCTTTCGCCGTCTGTGTCTGGTATACCTGCTGCAGTCGTAACTGGAAGTGGGAGACATGGTCGCTGTACTTTATGCTCCGGTAACCTCAAGGCTGGATTACTGCAGTGCGCTTTGTGTTGGGCCACCCTTGGACCTGGCCTGGAAGCTTTAGCATGTGACACCTCTGCTGAAACACCTACGCCGGCTGCTCATATCCTGGCAGGCCAGGTATAAGTCTCTTGTGCTGATACACAAAACCCTGAATAAATTGGGTCCAGTATAGCATAAGGACTGCTTGAGCCTTTAGAGCCCAACCTGATCACTGAGATCATCTGGAGCAGCCCTGTTAATTGTCCCCCACATTGCAGAGGCCCAACTGACCTCGGCCAGAAGTCAGGCATTTAGTGTTGTGCAGATTTGGCAGGCATCCTCGACTTTTCACTTTTAGGCATCTCTCTCTTATTTTATGCCAACAGGCACATAGAGTTTTATTTATTTTTTCCTGAGTAGCCATTCGTTTTGATGATTGGTTTGTATTGCTTTTAAAGGATTTTACATTGCTGTGAAATGCTTTGCAAGTAGGGCTGGGCAATATGACCAGCTAAACATCACAATATATCACAATGTCTGAAATAAGGATGGAGCAATGGTTGAATTTTCAGTTTCCCCCATATAGTGTGCATGTGCGCGCACACACACACACCATGATTCACAATATATTACCAGCTCAAAAACTGAAACCAATATCATGGTATGGTATGGACTTCAAGCCAGTTTCGGACAATATATGGATCTCTTGCCCAGCCCTATTTGCAAGAGGGCAGTATATAAACACTTGTATAAATGAATAGCAATTCTGATGGATCAATCAGAGTCGGAAAGCTAGACCAGGTGGATATCGGGTTAGGCTGCTTTTTCCACGCTGGATTGAATTCATAAATGAAGGTTAGAGTCAAGCATTTATTTATCAATTGCCTCTCCACTGTATATATTTTAAAGGCACTGTGATAATGTGATAAAAACACATGCTGCCAGGAGTTCAGAAAATTCCCTGTTGGTTTCTTTCAGGCTTGCCATAAGGCTAAGTGACACATTAAACATAAGTTATCCCTGCTTTCTTCATATTTCACCCTTTAGGCTTTTGTTTGTTTGTTTGATTTGCCAAAAACCTGCTTTGTTTCCTTCTCTGTATAGATGTGCGTCTCTCGGGCGGGGGGGGGGCGGTGTCTATCGATGTGCCTCATTATGTTGCTGTAGCCTTTTCCTTGCCCTTTAAAAAAATCTTATGTCCTGGGGGGACTGTTGAGCCTTGGCACTTGGTATTTATGTCCACAGTGTTGTATCCAGGTCCTATTAGCATGGGGAAAGTCGCCTTTTAAAATTTTCAGCCCTTTTCATGCTTATGTACCCTTTTCTCCCCATATCAGCAGTGTGCCCTAGCATGCTTGTATGATTCAAAGTTTTTTTGGGGGGGGGGGCTCTACTGAATATCCTGATACACTGCTTTGATGTTATATATGCATCATTCTGGCACAGTGGTCCTTGCATCCATTCTTCTCTCTTGCACCAGAAGGGCAAGTTGTTGTTGTTGTTGTTGTTGATGATGATGATTTGCTTTATTACCCACCCTTGACCCTAAGGTCCTAGAGGGGGTCACAACAATTTAAAATACAGCAATGAAAACATCTTAAAGCAAATTGTGGTACACAAGGTCCTCTCTGCCTTTTCCCTTCTGCTATACAAAATCTTTGAAGAACTCCTTTCGTCATAATGTGTACCTTTTTCTTTCTTTTAAGACACCATACAAAAAGATGAGGAACTCCTTCTTGGACACCAGCACTTTCCGGTGGCAGGCCAAAATGGTAAGAAATGTTCCCAGCTGTGTGCATTTTCTAAGAAGGAGTAAGTGTTAAGATACATGCCAGCTCTAGAACTCTTCAAGAGAAACCTAATCCACCCCCCCGTGCCGTGGGCAGTACGATATCCAGTATCAAAAGCATCTCTTGACAAACCTGTCCAGTTTCTTCTGGATAACCCTCAGATACGAAGATTCCCAGGCAGCTTCTTCAAGGGCTACAGATATTTCCCCAAATGTTTCAGCTGCAGGTGTCGTGGTCTGTAATTTCAACCCACAGCTCTTTTATCCAGTGCGTATTAAAAGAATAACGTATCACGTTTCTCCCTCAGATAGCTAAAACACTTACCTCTGTTGTTTTTAATATCTTCTCCCCTCAAGACTTGTAAGATTTGTTGCCTGAGGTGTTATGATCAATCCCACATTCCCAGAAAGTGTACCTGTAGAACATGCATTTTAAGCATGTGTGTGTGTGTTTTCCTTTGGTTTTGTTTTTTTAATAGGTATGCATGACCTGTGTATCGTGTGGCTCTTCTAAACATAGCTGTCAACTTTTCCCTTTTCTTGCCAGGAATCCTATTTAGAATAAGGGAATTTCCCTTGAAAAAAGGGAAACGTTGACAGCTATGCTTCTAAACTGTTAGCATTTTTTATTTTTTAATTGAATTTATATACTGCCCTATACTCAGAGGTCTCAGGGTGGTTCACAGAAAAGATCACAACATATAAAATCAAAATAAGAACAATAACTCAATAACACCTGTAATGGGTTTAGGGGTTGCTCGTGCGTAAGTTGCCGCCACTCCTGGCTAGGTTACCTGGTTAAACCCTTTCTGACTGAACAGCCTCCAGCATCGTGACTGTCTCAGTCGCTGGCAGAATCCGTCAGTGGGCGTTTCTTAAACTTCTTCCAGCACAAAAGTTCCTTGACGCCAAGTCTCCTCCTACTCTCCCTGCGCGGAAGTCTTCTGCGCAGGGAGGGTGTGGGCAGCGGAGTACCCGTACTCTCTCCGCTGGTCTCCGGCGAGGAGTCTTGGAGCCTCCTCTCCGATTCCCCCCATCTGCCCCCTTTCTCCGCTGGTGTTACGCTGATTTCCTTCCCCAGCAGACGGGCTGCCTCTCTCCCTACTGGGACCCTCTCCGCCATCCCTCGGGAGCCTTCCCTCCGCCTCTAGCTCCGATGGCAGTTCCCTGACAACACCCCTCCCAAAAGAGCCACATTTTAAAAGGGTATAGGTCAACCAAATGCCTGGTTAAAAAGGAGTGTTTTTGCCTGGCGCCTAATGGTGTATAATGAAGGCACCAGGCGAACATCCCTAGGGAGAGCATTCCACAGATGGGGAGCCACTGCAGAGAAGGCCCGTTGTCATGTTGCCACCCTCCGGACTTCTCAAGGAAGGGGCACATGAAGGAGGGCCTCAGAAGATGATCTCAGGGTTCTGATAGGTTCATATGGAAAGGGGAAGTCCTTGTGGCCTTGATCCGTCTAGACTCTGAAACCTTTCCAGTGTGTCAGTAACCAGTTCTGATAACGGGCCCACATTTTAAGTTATTCAATCACCGTGGCGCATATTTATAAATAATATAAATATAAATAATTTTTTATTTATAACCCGCCCTTTCTGGTTCAAAACCGGGTTCAGGGCAGCTGACAACAAATTTAAAACACTTAATTATAAAAGCAGCATAAAATACAGTATAAAAACATGAATAACAATAAAATTCAAAAATCAGTTTAGGGGAAATAAGCATTAGATAATCCCTAGGGCTAGCTGGCTGAATTGGTCCTTCATGGGCCAGCGAGGAGGCCAGGGGAGAATAAGCTGTGGGGTCTCAGAGCGGGTGAGTGGCTGGGGAAACTCAGCCAGATGGGCGGGGTATAAATAATAAATTATTATATTATTATTATCTTCATAAAAGGGGATGGGGAGGGAAGAGAAGGGAAGTAAAAGATCGGGCTGAATTCAAATTAAAGGCCAGGCGGAATAGCAGACAGTTGTATGCTTTGAACCATTGCGCTCTCATTCCCCTTCCCATGCTCCCTATGTAATAGTGTGTTGGTGGAGGAAAAGCAAGCAGACCACACCCCAGATACATGATCTATCTTGGCAGTTTGTTTCCTCAGTTTGGCAGTTTGTTTCCTCAGTGTTCTAAGAACAAAGGAGGAGCCCGCTGGATCAGGCCATTGGCTCGTCTAGCTCAGTATCCTCTTCTCACAGTGACCAACCACATGCCTATTGGCAGTTTGCAAACAGGACCCAAGTTCAGTAGCAATCTCTCTTCCTGCGGTTTCCAGCAACTGAGAAACATGCTCCATCCATTCATAGAGGCATGGTCATCCTGTAGTAGTAGTTTTATCCTCCACGATTCTGCATTCTTGGGCCTGTTCTTTTCCTTTCTTTCAAGAATAATTTTATTTATAGGTGTCGTTTTCATTGAATCCGGTCCCTATTCAGTAAGCATAGAAATGGAGCTTCTGGTTGAAGAACTGAAGGAACAGCATCAAGACCTGAAAATACAGCTGGAAACCAAGGTGAGTCGAGGAGGAAGACACAGGCAGGTGTTTAAACGCCAATTCAGGTTAAAAATCGTCATCAGAATCAGTAGACTCTCAATATATTTCTGAATGCAGTCTTTGGGTTACTTGCTCAGCAGGATACATTTAAGTATGTTGACCAAATGATGTAGCTTTTGTTGTTAAATTTAAAATAAATCAGCATTTTAAGTATTTTTTTTTATAGATGTAAACTTATTTATGATAATGAAATGTTTTGGGTTTTTTGTGGTGCTTTTCTCCATTGCTTTTGTAAATTAAGTATCTCATCACCAATGTAAATTAGGAGAATGTGGGATGGCTTATTATGACTGTTTGTAGAAAAGGCTGGGCTTGGTTCAACTGTGGATGACAAGTTAGTTCTGTATGAATGGAGTAAGTCTGTATGGAGTAAGAAATCTTTACACAAGATTTCCTGCTGTTAAATGCCCTCATTCTGTATAAAAATCCTATCCTCTTGAAACGCATAGGCTTCTAGCTCTTGCAATGCCTCACTTCAAGGATCAAGTTGTTAAACATGAAGTAGGGACTCTCGACCGGTTTGTGCATGTATTAACCATGCTACCTAAAAGAATGCGTAACAAAAGTTTGGTTTGGCTTTACTGTGCTAGGTCAATTACTACGAAAGAGAAATTGAGCTGATGAAAAGGAACTTTGAGAAGGAAAGGAAGGATGTTGAACAAGGTTTTAAGATTGAGATCAGCGAACTGGAGGAACAGAAGAGCGATTTGGAAGAGCTGAACGCCAAATGCCAGGAGGTGATAGATGGCTTGAAAGACCAGCTTCAGAAACTGGCTCCCGCCCAAGAACTCGAGAGGAGCTTTGAGAAGGAAAGGTCAGAAATGGAGCAGTACTATGCCAAAGAGATTTCCATTTTGGGACAGAGACTGGCCCAGGAAAGGGACAGACTGGAAGAAGACATGAAGATGAAGCATGAGGCTGAGACACACTTCATGAGGTCTGGTGACATTACCGTTTTGAAACATGGGCACTTGGCAATATAAATGGTAGTGTCATATTCTGCCACATTGTGTTATGGTTGAACTTTTGGTAATTTAGGCAAAAGCCTTTCTCACCAATACAGTTGTATGGTACCTGGTCCAATTCCCTTCTCACTTTTGGGGAATTGTGACATTTTTTGCCATGTAGCAGCTATCTGGCTGGCACACTGTCTCTGGAATGGCTCTCCATGTGCCTGCTAAAGAATTATTGCTAATATGCTGTTTCACAGCTACTGTTCTATGAAATGTATGGTTCTTCTATAAAAATGCACTCATCTTTTTAAAATGATTTGACTAATCATTGCATGCTTGCTTATTACTTTTGGGCTTGTTCACGTGCTATGTTTTATAGCAGAGATGATCCATCTTCCAAGAGAAATTCTGTTCCATAGTGTGCATTAATTCAGACTCTGACTGTATGCACAACAAACAACGGTTTGCAGGATTTGAGGTGTGTGTGCTTTAAATGTGTGATGTGTATGTAGCCTTTCAGTTCTCGTGTGTTGGTGTGCGTGGATGCATTTTCTTCTGCGAGGGATGCTTAATAGATGCAACTACACGAAACATGCCTAACATCAAAGAGAACAGAGCATGTGTTCCTTTATGGGGCACTTTAGATCTCTGGGTCACAACTACTATTCTCATAGTGACTTGAGATCAAGTTTGTGTGTCCCGTGCCATAGCACAGAGCTCTAGTTTTGTCTCATAGAAGAAAGAAGTCATAGATTGCCTGTGAACAGGATAAGTAAGTAGCAAAACGTGGGAGCCAGTAGTTTGAGGAGGGATGTTTGGCAAGTCCATAGCACATAGAGAAAGGGTTAACCCCACCCACCCAACAGCTGCCATTCAAAGAATAAAAGAAGTGAAGGTGTAGTGCTGGCACACATTTAACACTTAACATGGGTGGCGCTGTGGTCTAAACCACTGAGCCTCTTGGGCTTGCCAGTCAGAAGTTCGGTGGTTCGAATCCCCATGACGGGGTGAGCTCCCATTGCTCTGTCCCAGCTCCTGCCAACCTAGCAGTTTGAAAGCATACCAGTGTGAGTAAATAAGGAGAGCAGCAGGAAGGTAAACGGCGTTTCCATACGCTCTGGTTTCCGTCACGGTATTCCGCTGTGCCAGAAGCGATTTAGTCATGCTGGCCACATGACCTGGAAAGCTGCCTGTGGACAAACGCTGGCTCCCTCAGCCTGAAAGCAAGATGAATGCCGCAACCCCATAGTCGTCTTTGACTGGACTTAACCATCCAGGGGTCCTGTACCTTTTACCTTTAACACCAGATGTAGTTTGACCCTTACTGAGCAAGTGGTGTAATATGAATAACATCAAGTGTTCTTTTTTATTTCAGTGATGTACGTGGGTATAAACAGCACATTTGGAAGCAGCTAGTTTTCAAAGCATTGCATATACTGTAATAAGATTTTTTTTTTAAAAAAAAAGCTTCTATTTTAGTGGATTGTCCAGTTCCACTGCTTGTTGTCAGACATATTTATTTCGATGACGCTTAGCTGAGTATGGCTAATCCAGTTGCCTGATTTCTTTAACATCCCCAAACTAACTCCGGTCCTTCAATACTTTTTCTCTCTCCCATGATGCAGAGTTGAGCTCCACAGAGTTTCAGAAGACAACCTCATCCTAAAAAATAAACTTGGAAGATTTCAGCAAGAAGTGGAGGATGTTGGTGAAGCAAACAGAAAGCACAGGTTAAAGAAAGGGGGGCGGTGGTGCGGTTCTTTGGGAAGCTTGCAGAGGAACTGTAAATGTGAAACCATACGTCTTCCCAAGAGGCAACTTGTTGAATAAAAGGACTGTGTAATTTTAAACAGAAATATTGGCAAGAGGGTCTAGCCGCGCACAGCGAGCCCTCGGAATGTGGCTGCATCAGTGCAATGAAGTGTGTGCTCCAGTGTACCTGACGGGATGCTCAGTTATAGCGTTGTATGACTACACATACAAGAATTTCCAGTCTGGTCCTTAGGTCTGCCACCTTAAATCTGTACATAGACATGGTGGGAGAACTAAAAATAAGAGGGCTAGATCTAGCTGCCATGAAAAACAGCTTTGTTTTTAGCAGACCTACTATTAATATTCTTTTTAAAAAAAATTTTTCAAGATGCTGGAGAGTTGAGGACCAACATAACTCATTTTCTGAAGCTGCGTTTCCCCTTTTTCTTTGCAAGCCACTTGCACTGATGTTGCAAACAATAGTGAAACATCAGCTGTGACTTGTGGCAGCGTGTTTCCTGCTCCTGTTTTAGAATCTATGCAAAATATGTTTAAATGGTTGTACAATTTAAATTGTTTCCCCTTCCTTCTTCAGAAAACATATTGACGAATTGATGGTGGAAAAAGAGAAGGTGATGTGTGGAATAGAAGAATTAAATCAACTGGTAAATTATATAAATAAATATATAGAGAGAGAGAGAGAGAGAGAACAGTACAATTAGATATGCCTTTACATAAGACCCAGTTCTGTGATTTTGATAAAATGATCTACTAGCAGGTGAGGGATGGGGGAAGCTCTTCCTAAAACCCTGGAAAGCTGCTACCAGTCATAAAAAACACAACCTTATACCAAGTCAGACCATTAGTCTATGTCGTCTTCTTCGGCAATCACTCATAGCTGAGTAAGATTGTCTTCCATAAACACGGTTTTAACGAGTCTGTAAGTGACTGTGGAGGCCAATTCTGGATCCACACGTCCTTCCACAGTGGCGACATAGGTTTCCAGGCGGGAGTTGATCACAGTTGGATTTGCCAAGCGTGCCTTCCTCTTTGCACATTTCTCCCTTGCGTCCTGAGTTCGAGTGTCTTCAAAGCCCATGACACCTTTGCTAAAGGCTGTGTATGTAGCTCAGTATTGTCTACACTGACTGGCAGCTGGCTCTTCGGGGTTTCAGGCAGAGTACAGGGTTTCAACCCCATCTGGAGACACAAGAGATTAAATTTCTGTATCCTCTTTCCAATGTTTAAATGCTTTACAATCCTTCTAACTTCATCCATGCAAGGTTAGGCTGATGGACACCCATTTTGCCCAAGGTTTATCTTATCGGCTTTGGCTGAAAGTTGGATTTCCAAGTGCCAAAACCATACACTGTCCCACCTTGCAAAGAGTTAAATGCTATTTCAGTAGGGGTTGAGTTCTTTTGCAACCTTTTGAATCTTTCTAGTACATGTGCCTTTAACAATGTACGTGTAACTTTGGAGTCAGTCTTGGGTTGCTCTGGCAGTGCCCCCTTTTGCTCTGCCTGCCATAGCTCCAGTAATTCAACCATCAAACAAACCAGCCCTTTCATCCCGAGAAAAGGCATTTCTTAACTTCCTCCACCCTCGTTAAGAAATGTACACTAGGTGGGATACTGCTCCAAAAAACAGGGAGGAGACCCCTGTACCCGTTCTTTGTGGGCAAGCAGTATGAGACACCCCCTGATGCAGAACTCAAGATTAGATGTTAAGATGTTTTCCCCTGGTTGGGATGAATGCCGCAGCTCTGAATGTCTGAAATGCCTCTTTAGAATAAACACTACGAGGTGGAAATCTTCCAGTTAAACACCAGGATAGATCAGCTGAGCCATGAACTCTCTGAACTGAGCAGTGATAACAATGTCAGCCGGAATACTGTCAATTTACTGAATCGGAGGCTTGTCGAGCTGGAGAGCCAAAGGGACCGCGAAGCTGCGGTTGCCAGGCAATTTCAAGAGGCCTCTGCTGAATTGACAAAGGAGCATCTTCAGGAGCGGTTGGCATGGCAGGGAGAGAAGGCCCTGCTGGAGCAGCAGCTGAAGGCCTGGAGGGAAAAGGTAAGGTTGATCGGAACGGGGAGGAAGGGGCACATCAGTTCCAGGCTGCCATGTCCCACTGCACAAACCCACCTATAATGTTGAGCCAGCCATGCAATATTCTGGTGGAAATTTCTAAGGCCTGACATGTGGACCATGGATACAGGGATGCGCTGCTTTTTACTACATCGATGGAAAGCTTGGGTTGCTGTGGTGGTCACTGAGTTGCTGTGTTTAGGCAAAGGAGATGGTTTAAAATATGTTGCCTTCTGGGAGAAGGCAGGTGAAAATTCTGCAGCACCTTGCATTTACTTCATTCCTCTACTACAGGGGCCAGCAACCTTTTTCAGCTGTGGGCCGGTCCACTATCCCTCAGACCATGTGGGGGGGCTGGACTATATTTTTTTGGGGGGAGAAATTAATGAATTTCTATGCCCCACAAATAACCCAGAGATGCATTTTAAATAAAAGGACACATTCCACTCATGTAAAAACATGCTGATTCCCGGACCGTCCGCAGGCCGGATTTAGAAGGCAACTGGGCCTCATCTGGCCCACAGGCCTTAGGTTGCCTACCCCTGCTCTTCTAGAACTAAAACTAAAGTTTGTATTTTGTATTCCTTGTATAAACTGCTTAGAGGCTTTATTTACAATCAAGCAGGTAGGTAGATTTATTGCTTTATTCTTGGCGTCCAGCACACTTCCCCCTGCGAGCCTCTGCAGGTCGTAAAGCAATTAGCAGAATTGCACAGCGTCCGTGTTGAAAGGGCAGTAAAAGAAGTCCCACACATTTCTTCTTTCCTAATAGCACTTTATTTGCTCAAAAGTAGCATATTTACAAGCAAGAAATTCCATCTGATTCCAGCTGCATTTTTTTTCTGCGTCCTTCTCTCTCAGCAGCTGCGTAGCAAAGCTGCTTTCACTTTTCACTCAGCTCACAGCATTCCAAGCTGCTTTCGTCACGTCCTGGCTTACTTCCCTTGTAAGCGCCTCCTCTCAGCTTCGAGACACAGAAGGTTAACCCTTCACTACACCCAACAGTATGCACATTCTGTTATATAAAATAAAAAATAGAAGTGCTGAACGGGGGAAGAGGAGTACTTTCAAAAGGAGCCTTAACAATGAAAATTCTTCCATACTACTTTGTTTAAATTATAAACTATCTGAGCACACTTATGATCTCTTGGCTGTGTACTGCTAGCCCATGGCTAGTGGCAATTATTTTCTGGGAGTAATAAAAGGGAGAAATGGGCTGTCCACAAACAGCCCCATAGAGCAAGTCTGTGAATATCGGAGTGTAATTGGGTTGACTTGTTTGCCAAGTGAATTTATTAATGCAATGGAATTTAGAAAGAGCGTCATTCTAGGCATATTGGAGGAAGACTACAATGGTCACACATAAGGTTTGGGTTTGCATGGATAAATATGAAATCAAGCATCCCTAACCTTTTCAGGCCCAAGGACACACCTGGGAATCTAACAAACCGTCACAGGTACCTCAAAATACCCCTTTCACGGAAGGAAAAACCTAGGGATGCTCAAAAACTCTTCCAAAGCCCCTATATTCCCTGAAACACACACACAAGAAAGCAGGCATGCACCAAGAGGATTTGTGTCTTGAGTATGCTGTGTCCCACAGAGGACCTTATGGTCTTCAAACAAAAACATCTTGGAGGTCCCGGGCCACAGGGAGGTTAGGCTGGCCTCAACCAGAGCCAGGGCTTTTTCGGCCGTGGCCCCGATCTGGTGGAACGCTCTGTCACAAGAGACTAGGGCCCTGCGGGACTTGACATCTTTCCGCAGGGCCTGCAAGACAGAGCTGTTCCACCAGGCCTTTGGCCAAGGCACAGTCTGACCACCTCCTTTGGTAATCCTCAAAGAACGCTAAGCCAATGGTTCCCATTAATTTGATTTTGAATTGATTTTAGAATGAATTGATTTTAGAATTCTGTGTAATTTTATTGTTGTTAGCCGCTCTGAGCCCGGCTTCGGCTGGGGAGGGCGGGATATAAATAAAATTATTATTTTATTATTATTATTATTATTATTATTATTATTATTATTACTACTGAAAGATCCCACATTGTTGCTGGCCTCATCCTTTCCTGCCATTCTCTCCTTGAACAGGCCAGCCAGTCTCAGGAGCTGGAGGCTGAACTGGAACGTTCGACACAGGAGTGTCAGATGCTACGGCTAACAAAAGCACAGCTGAGAGAAGAAGTGGAAGAATGCCAGGATCGGGTAGGCTGGTGCAGCTGAATATGGCCTGCCTTTGGCTCACTGGGAGCATCACTGCCTGTTACAAACGAGGGCCTCGGCACGGCTGAAGCAGCAGTGAAGTGCATGCCCTGGTTGGACAGAGGAGCAGGCCTGGAGCCTTTACACCTGGTCAAAGAAATGTGTCCAAACATTAAACCTAAGAGAAGATCTAGTCCCAGTGTCATAGATTTGAGGGGAGGGTAGCACTGTTGCAGCGGGATAGCAGTGTTGCTGTTTTGCAACATTAAAGAAAAACAGAGCTAGATGACTTGGCACTGGTTGTGCACGTCTTACTCTGCAAAACTAACAAGGACCAGGGCAGTTTCTGCTGGAGTTCGCCTGTTTTGCCTGTGTTTGGATATATATTGCAATAAATAAATAAATAAATAAATTCTGGCTTCGAGATTTTCCAAGAGAATTAGTAGTGGATTAGTACCACTACTTTATTTTGAATTGATCTGATGAGAAATAACCTTTAAATGGACTGTGGAGTATTTCAGTTCTCTGTGTGCTACTGGGGCCCAGCCATCAGCTATTAAGTAGGGAGGGGAAAGGGATTTGTTGTGCAAAATGCACAATTTTAAGCTTCTTGCTCGGCAAGATCTGCTGCAAGGAGATCAAAGCAGAGGCGATTTTTTATTTATTTAAAATTATTGGTAAACCACTTAATATTTATTTAATTTCTGAGTGGTATACATGGTGCAAAACAAAGAACCGCTGAAACAATAGAACAAAGCTAAAAACTCCATAGAAGAATACCAATGGTACAGGATCTAACCTTGTGGATCAGGAAAAGTTTTATGCTCTGCCAACACAAGGACATTCTGGGTGGCTACCAGCAGCTACCCTTGTCGCAATCTGCTCAAGTGCAAAGGGGAAACCCCTGAGCCAATCTATTCTGTTAAATGTCTGGCTCATTCTGCAGCTCAGCTAAAATGTTCTTCTGCCCCCATTGGCTGATGGCAGAAGGGGGGGGGCATTTTGGGGGTTATTTCAAGGGCAGGAATCTTACCAGTGGTGATGGGACCCACAGTGGAGGCCCTTTTAGCAGCTGGATGTCCCCCTCCCCAATTTGATGTCTCAGGCTTACGTTTCTTGCAAATAGGCAAAAAGTAACCCCTGCATATTGCAACTACATGCATGCATTTTTGCAGGAAGCAATTGCATTTTGATGTTTGAGGCTTTATTTCAGCTTAGCAGTGCATCTGCCTTGTTTGCATTCATCTGGGATTAAGTTCTTTCTGCCTTTGAACAGGCAGGACAGATGAAAGGTGTTGGAGAGGTGTTTACTTTTTTGTTTTTTAAAAAAAGCCAGAGTATGAATAAAATAGAGGACAAAGCTTTAGATTTAAATATATGCCTGCTTTTATGGGAAATAGCTTTGTGGTGGGGTTTGTCCCTACCCACTATTAGAATGCAGCCCCTGATAGTTTCCCCCAGCGCTCAGTCCAAGAAAGGTGCTCTGTTCCTGGTCTTCAGCATTTCAACTTTTAATGATGTTTTAAATTTTCTCTTGCATTGCAGCTACTAGAAGCCAACACGAGCTTGAGCATGGCCAAGTTTCGGCATTCACAGGAGCTAGAAGAGTTAAAGGGCCAGGCAGGCAATTCCGTACCTAAGGCCTGCCTTGCAGAGCTAGAAAAGAGATTGGCAGAAGAACAGAATGTGGTCAGGCAGCTGCAAGGAGAGCTGGACTCCCAGGCGAAGCAGATGAGATGGCAGGCGGCCACATATCAGGTAGGGAAGAATGGTGCTCGAGTTGTGTCTCATACAAAAATAAAGGCTCCCGAGGTGGAAACGCAGTATGTGTACATGTGTGGTTTTTACACAGCCTCTTCCTACCTGAAACAGGCACTTTCAAACAGCGACTCTCGTCTAGTCTTCATTTTTGTTATGTAATTATTTCAACTATTTATACACCATTTAATGCCATAGTCTCTAAGCATTGTAGAATAAAGTTACAAAAATCATCCAACAGAGATAAGATCGGTTAAAATTAATGGTGAAAATCCGGGGGTTCGGGGGGGGGAGGAACCGTTACTTAATATGCCTGTTTAAATAAAAAGGTACAATAGATCCAGCACATGAAGCAAAATTCTGTGACTTGTATAAATTATACAAGCCTCCTTTTGTTATTGGTGCAGGAGCACCACATGCAGTTAAGTATCTGAGGCAACGCTGCATGTAAAATACTGTGCTGGGAAAGTTATATCCTATTGAAAAGTGGACTCTTAACTCTGAATAAAATACAGTGGTACCTCGGGTTACATACGCATCAGGTCACAGATTCCGCTAACCCGGAAATAGTACCACCGGTTAAGAACTTTGTTTCAGGATGAGAACAGAAATCATGCTCCCGCGGTGCAGCGGCAGTGGGAGGCCCCATTAGCTAAAGTGGTGCTTCAGGTTAAGAATAAGAACGGACCTCCGGAATGAATTAAGTACTTAACCTGAGGTACCACTGTACCTGTATTATGTAAAGGCTTGGCTGCAGACAGCACAGAGAGCATCGATATACATCTGGGATAATTTGTGGATTGTGTTTGAGAATGAGCTCTATTCTGCCTTGGTCCGACCACACCTGAAGTACTATGTCCAGTTCTGGATGCCATGATATAAGATTATGTACAATCTAGAACGGTTGCAGAGGGCAATCAAGATGATAATAAATGGTCTGGAACCAAGCCATATGAGGAATAGTTGAGGGAGTTGGGTATGTTTAGCCTGGATAGGAGGAGACTGAGAGGAGATAAGGGTAGCCATCTTCAGATATCTAAAGGAAATATCACATGGTAGATGGAGCGAGCTTGTTTTCTCCTGCTCTACAGGGTAGGACTTGAACCAGTGAATTTTAAGTTACAAGGAGATTCCAAGATAATAAATCGTTATTTCAGATGCAGCATTGGGACTTGTTTGAAGTGAATTGATTTCCCAAGGGTAGTTACTTCCCATAACTGTTGTAATATCACGGCTATGGCTTGGTCCCTTTATTTTGCAGGAAGAGCATGAGAACTTGCATAGATTAATGGAGGAAAAGGTGGGAGAACTGGAGATGAATTTGAAGAACGTGCAAACCATGCTTCAGGAAAAGGTGGCTGAACTCAAGGAGCAGGTCAGTGGAATGGGGATTAGGTGGTCTATGGGCCCATGATCTGTTTACGGCATTAATTCTTTTATTAAATGTAAAAATATATAATTTGTCTGGAAAAGGACATAAGCTGGCCAGAAATAGCCAGGGCACCACCAAGATGTGTCCCGAATTATGTCAATGTATTTGGCACTGAATGATTTTCATATATATTGTATTTGAGTGACCCCGTTTCATGGTTGCTACTGCTTCTGGTCCTCTCCAGTCATTTGTAAGTGTCCTGCACACTGTGTGAACTGCAAGCTGCTTGGCTTGTAGGCAACACATAAAAGCCCCGTGTGGCAAAATCCAGGATTCTCCACTCTTGGTATAAGCTGTGGCCCCATCAGTCAGTGCACTTCTGGCTACAGTATATGGAAAGACAAAAGAACAGCTACCCCCTTTCCCGGGCAGGTTTGGTAGGACACAATACTTGAACAGGCTATCTATAGCCATTCTTAGAACACATTTTCAAGCTAGCACTGGATCTGTGGTTGTTCTAAACTTTTCCAGTTTGGATTTATAGCAAAGCTGTTATTCTGTACAGTTTGTACATCGACTAATTATTCCAAGGTCAAAACACGAAGGGAATGGGAAATGTGCTGACATAAATTGTTATTTTTTTAACAGAGGGAAGATGGATGAAAAGGGATTATTCTAAATTAATCATATTGCTACTTCCAAATAGATTACTATTATGGATCAATGTTTGATGATGATGATTAATTTTTCATAAAATTTATATTCCTCTTAATTTGACAGAAAGAGAACACTCTCAAAGTTGTTTACAGAAGTCAAATCAAGAAAAAAATACCATACCTAAGTGTACAAAAGTTAAAACACCAACACATTAAAATTACCACAACTGTCTTGTCGAAACAAGAATGTTTTAAGAACCATCCTTTTAATTAAAGACATGATTGTCCCTATGTTTGCACTGGTTCATATTTTCTGTTTAAGATGGGCTACATTCTGGGAATGAGGGAGAATGGTGGTTACCTCCTAAGGTCTTGATATAAAAACAGTTGTTCAAAGCAGGGGCAGCTAACCTGTGGCCCTCCTCTCCATGCTTTTGAACTACAACTCCCATAATCCATGGCCATGCTGGCTGGGACTGATGGGAGCTGTAGTCAAATATCATAGAGCATCATAGGTTAGCTTAAACCTGTCGCTAAAACTTAAAACCAGTGGACCATATCACTTGCTTATTTCCTAGTTAATATTCATGCGACTGCTTTTCTAGCAAAACAGAAAGCAGCATGTTTTTGAGTTCTGTATCATCACCAAACACAGATTAATGGAGCGCTATTCATTTTATTTTCCAGTTTGAAAAAAATGCCAAGTCGAATCTATTACTGAAAGACCTGTATGTGGAAAATGCACAGCTGATGAAAACTCTGCAGGTTACAGAACAGAGGCAGAAGAACACAGACAACAGAAATTTAATACTGGAAGAGAAAATCTCATCCTTGAACAAATTAGTTAGAGAAATAACTCTGGCATCTCAATGAAATCTGCTTTTCAGTTGTTGGCATTAAAGCAAAAGTGACAAACTGTGGTAGAAGCAATACTCCATGCAGTGGCCCACTTCACTGTATACCTTTCTGATCTTGGCCAAATGAATATTATTTACTTCTCATGAGACTCAAAAAGGACATGATATTCAAAGGATCCCTCATCTCTTTCATGTGGGGAAACCATCACAGAAAGCAGCATAACCAGCATGAGAAACATACTCTCAGGGATAAGTTTGAAGAGAGAGATACAGCTCTACTAGTCAGTAGCAATAAACTACCCTGTCTTTTTTTTTTTGCAATAGGGAAGCTAAAGCTTTTAGTGCCTTCTGATCATTTTCACGGAAGTCTCTTTGGCTCTCGTTCTGTCTCAGGACTGAATATTTATTGTGATTGCAATATTCTTACCTCCCCGTGCCTCACCCCCACTCTAGTCTGTACACTGGCTTGTATTGTGTATATATATATGTACAGTTTTCTACAAGTATAATATGTACTCCTTTAAATCAGTGTATATCAGATGTAAACAGAAAAAAAACTGCTGTTATGTTCCTTTTTGGTAAAATTTGACATGACTTTTTTAATTAAATGATATTTATACTGCTTGTGAAGTCACTGGATTTTCTCTGTGTGCAAATGGCTGGGGTAGATATGTCGGGAGAGAGCAGCAAACATAGGTAAAGCTGGAACCCAACTAAATGAGAGGAACAACATGGGTAAGAGCCTGTCCTAAAATAACTAAGGCAAATGCAGAAAATAGATGACTTTTTAAAGTACCTTCCTATTTGGCCGATTAAATCTCATTTAGTTTAAAGTAAGAGAGCAATTGTTTTGGTGGAGTTTTTATGTTTTGTTTGCTTATGGACAGAGACACCATGTATCAGATTTGTAGAGTTGGAAGGAACCACTGGGATCATCTAGTTCAATCCCCTGCAATGCAGAAATCTTTTGAATGAAATACCTTATTGTCACTTGTACAATTTGTATACAGTGAGATTACACGAGCACCCTGCACTCAGCTCTCTTAGTCTTAATTCCCCCCGTTTACTGACGCACACCCACCAAACCCGAAAGTCAGTTGCCCTGTTGTTATCTTTTCTTTCAGCAGCCTAACAGCCCATGGATAGAAGCTGTTCTTTACCCTGTTGGTGTGACTAATCATGCTTCTATATCTTCTGCCCAGGAGGAGAGCCAAAGTCTGTGGCTCCCTGTAGTCTCCCCCAACCAGTGGTCCTGTGACCAAGTAAGTTATGCACAAGCTCAAGAACAGCTTACTCTTGAGTTTGATAGAAATGAGAGTGACTCATTACAAACAACCTCAATGCAGGTGAAACTTCTGAAAGTTTTGTGGCATATGAAATTGGAGATAAAATTCTTGATCAAATATCAGGAAATATTTAATGAAGTACAATCTGGTAATTAAGGCAAAATGATATAATTTTACATCTAACCATTCAACTCTTGTACTGCAATTTATTCAGCACTATGCAGAATCATCTAGAGTCCCTTTGTACAGTTCTGGACACTGCACAAACTGGAAGGGTACAGTGGATAAGGCAGTACAGATTGCTAGTAGTATGGAAAGCAAGTTCAATGAGGAAAGACTGAAGGAATTGGGTGTGTTTAACTAGAGGAGAGAAAGGATGAAGGCTGACACACAGAAGATATGTTCTCTGCTGCTCCAGTGGACAGGACTAGAGCTAACAGGCTAAAGGTGCAAGCAGCAAAAAATTTTATTGAACATCTTACAAGAAACAGCTTGACAATGGAGCCATTTATTTATTTATAATGGACACAGAATTGAGGTGGGTGGTAGCTAGAGCGGGGTGCAAATCACCTCCTTCCTAGTCACCAGATAGATGTTTTGATGAGTGGAGAGGGGGTGATAAGTCTCTCCACCCAGCCAATTTGCACAAATCAGTTGTAGAAAGTGGGCATCTGTGTGCATGTGGAATGGTCACACCCACTGCTGGCCTGCAGCCACTTGAATGCTGGTCAAGGCCTCAGGCCAAATAAAACTTAGCCCACCTCTGTTCTGTGAGTTGGAAGGAGCCTTGTAGTTCATCTACTTCAAGGCCCTGCTCAATGAGTACTATAGCATAAAAGCTTAGAGAGAAAACACAAGTGTTAGCAGCAATTAAACTGCAACTTAACCAGTACCACTCCTTAAGTAACTTTATCATTACATCGTTTCAAAGGTCTTTTAACAATGCACACACTTAATAGTACAAATGTTGTGGCTTTCTTCTAAGCATGACATTTACAGTAAGAGGATGTCTGGTTCATACAAAAAGGCCAGCGAATAAAAACATGATACTTCAAAATGTGTCCAGAAGTGAAGGCAAGCTATGAGCTTAAAAGAAATTCCACTTGTTTTGGGATAGAGATATTTTTAAATTGTTGATCGTATCATCTTCTTTGTCCTCTTCACTAAGTATCCATGCAGTTCCCACAACAGTAACTAAGTCTCTGCATTTTTTTTTTCAAAAGCACAAGACACTGTGGCATGTTTCTATACTTACCCCATTTAAAATCTGCTAAAATGTTTATAGGTACTTAAATCAGTCTTGCGAACAGCAAGTTAAGAAAGGACGTGTTCCAAAATTCCTTGCCTGATTAACTGCTCGCATTTCCAGCGTGGTAAAAAATGCTGTGGGGAAGCAAACAATTTTCAAAGCTGAGGCAAACATTTGCAATCTCTCATCTTCCCCTTTATAAAGCTAAAGCTGGTCTTATTTATGGTGTAGTTAAGGTAGTAACTCCTGACTCTACCTGTACTGTTTGTTTTCAAATGAGGTCCAATAATAGAATAACCCCTGCTATTTTAGCCATAGCTACTGTAAATCCCATGTTCTGTGCATTGCTGTTATTAACACTGTTTAGAAATATGAATGATTAAGCAGTAGATAAATGTCTTAAATAAACCAACATAATGAAATGCTTTTGAATCTTTCCAGATAGAAAGTACTAAAATGGCTCCAGTGTTTTCCTTCATGAAAATGAGTAGAATGACATGAAAGCTGACAATGGTAAGCATAATGAGAGTGTGGAGGAACCATAGCACACACTTTGCATACAGAAGGTCACAAATAGACAGCTGCACCATCTCCTTGCTCCTTCCTTCCTCGCCATGCCACTGGTTTCTTCATCAGCACTGCTGCATCCTCCTCCCAATTTTCTTGCTGTGTGTGAGATTTCCCTCACCCATCAGCCAGTGGACTTTTATAGGACAGAGGGGCAGGACAATGAAAGAATCCCAAGGGCCCATGTAAACCTGGAGTTGGCTCTGGTTCAATCTCTGGGATCTCCAGTTAAAATACTAGGCTAACTGTACCTGATCCAGTATAGGGCAACTTTCTGTATCCTAAACTGTGCCAGAAGCAGAGGAGAACCACTTCCATCTAGCTCCTTAAACAACAGGGAACCCAAATTGAGTTCTTGCTCTGTTTGCCATCTTATCATAAATACCTGGCTGTTCTTCTTCAACAGAATTGTTGTGCCATCATCAATCTCAAATTCTCCATAATCTTTCAAACACCGAACCTGTAAAAAGAAACAAATAACCATCAAATTTAAAGTACTGTCAGGAAGTCTGTGTTAAGAAAAACTATCTATATGTAGCAATATCTGTATGTATATCTAGACAGCATCTTAAAAAGCAGAGACATCACCTTGCCGACAAAGGTCCGTATCGTTAAAGCTATGGTTTTCCCAGCAGTGATGTATGGAAGTGAGAGCTGGACCATAAAGAAGGCTGATCGCCGAAGAATTGATGCTTTTGAATTATGGTGCTGGAGGAGACTCTTCAGAGTCCCATGGACTGCAACAAGATAAAACCTATTCATTCTTAAGGAAATCAGCCCTGAGTGCTCACTGGAAGGACAGATAGTGAAGCTGAGGCTCCAATACTTTGGCCACCTCATGAGAAGAGAAGACTCCCTAGAAAGGACCCTGATGCTGGGAAAGATTGAGGGCACAAGGAGAAGGGGATGACAGAGGACAAAATGGTTGGACAGTGTTCTCGAAGCTATGAACATGAGTTTGACCAAGCTGTGGGAGGCAGTGGAAGACAAGAGTGCCTGGTGTGCTCTGGTCCATGGGGTCACGAAGAGTCAGACACAACTAAACGACTAAACAACAAAGCTATATGTAGACAAAAGGAGTCATACTTCCAATATATGAACACATCAGTAAGTTTCATTTAGCTTTTTATTACCCTGTTAAACAATAGTTATTATCTGTGATAATAAACTGCAACAATTCTGTGAAAAGGTGCTGATAACACCAAGGTTGCAGGTTCGAACACTATATGGGGCTGCTGCGTATTCCTGCATTGCAGGGGGTTGGACTAGATGATTCTCAGGGTCCCTTACAACTCTACAATTCTGATTCCTCTGCCCGCAACAAACTGCTTCCAGTTTGAAACAAGGAACTGACTTCTTAGTACCTACATATGACTACACTGCCAATGACATCCAAATACAATAAGCCTTCCATAGTTCTAAATTTCACTTACTTCAATGTACAAACTTTTGGGGGGCTGAATGTCCTGTGTGAGGTCCAGCCCGTCTCCTCCTCCTAAAGATCTCATATAGGTAGCCAAAGACTTTTTATACTGGTTGAACCACACCACCTGGAATTATAAAAAAGTTGGCTTAATTAATCCTGAAATACTATTTTCAAACTGTCAAGCAAGAAATTACCTAAAGATTTAAAACAAAAGACATGGGGATATGAGGGGAGTAATGTGCAAGTTTTGGAACTGCTTACTTCTATCTAGCCTCCTCTATAGAGCATATAGTTCGAATCTGTTCAACTTCCAAAATATTCGGAAACCAAAGTGCGGCTTCTGATTGGCTGCAGCCAACTGGAAGCTGCGGAAGCCCCGTCAGACGTTTGGCTTCCAAAAATAGTTTGCAAACCGGAACACTCACTTCCGGGTTTGCAGTGTTCGGGAGCCAAAACATTCGAGAACTAAGCAGTTCGAAAACCAAGGTATGACTGTACTCCTTTTTTGTCAATGTGCAACAGAAGAGTGATGAATTAGCAAGTAAGCAGTCCACAGTTAATATGTGACTGACAGTGGGCTCTCCAAGCTCTCGGGCAGATCTTTCCCAGCCCTGATATCAGATTAGTTTATTTGGCAAAGTTGGGGGCTGAACCTGACATGTTCTACATGCAAAGCATGCGTTCTGCCACTGTGCTGCAGCTTACATTAAATCACAACAAGTGTCTATTTAAGTGTGCCTACATGGCTAAGTTACTCAGCATTTATTAATAATATACTCTGTATACTTTCCTTTATTTCGAGTACAATCATTGTCCTTTCAACCTACACATATAACAAATTGGCTTACTTCATCAGTCGACATGTGAAATCGGACAGCGTTTGGCAGCACGCTACCATATTCCCACCTAAGCGCCCGGATGCGAAGTAAGCGGTCATACCTGAGAAAACAAACATGGTAGCATAACAAAAGTATTCATAATCAGAAATAGACATCATTTAATCCCTTAATGAATAACGAAGTGTTCTTAATCAGACTTTTATTTTAAACTGATAACTAACTCCTTAACTAATTATGAAAAAATCAATGTATGGAGAATCGTAACAGTCCCTGATTTGGGATTATAGTGCCATGTTTACCAGCTCCTGGCCTGAGGCTATTCAAACTACTCCTACAAATCACAGGAGTATCAATCACAGGGAATGATTTGCGAGGTTAAATGGATAAGCCCAAACATGCAAATCCAGTGACCTTGGGAAATCCCTCTGAAATCTACCAGTTCCAGAAGTGAAGGAATAAAATCTTGGAATTGGAAACAATTTCTGAAATGCTTTTTATCTCATTTCCCTAGTCACAGATGACTGCAAGAAACTTACAGGTATGCAACAATACATCGGCGATTTCTCAACAGAGAGCAGTGGCGAAACTTGATTGTTGGAATCAGCTCACTGTGTCCTGATTTAGCTTCATTTCTGATAATAGAAGGATAAGCTATATTACATACACTTTGAAAGCAAGAAACATAAAAGTACACATTGTGGTTAGGGGGACCACTTTAATTAGTGTGTAAACCTAGCCCATCATGCAATGACTGCATTATTAGTTCTTTTACTCTGTGCACGCTGCTCTTCTCCAAAAAGCAGCTCACAACAAATCAAATAAACATCAATAATTAAAACACACAAATAACAATTATGAATGAGAATGTCAATAAGTAAATGCATTGTAAAAATACTTCAAGGACTGCTTCTCCCCATATGAACCAACCAGCACCCTGTAATCACCATCTGAGCCCGTTCTTTATGTGCCTCCTCCATGAGAGGTCCAGAGTGTGGCAACACGATAATGGACCTTTTCTGCAGTGTCTCCTTGTTTGTGGAATGCTCTGCTCAGGGAGGCTCATCTGGCATTTTCATTACATATATCTAGCTGCCAGGCGAAAACATTTCTCTATAACCAGGCCTTTGACTGCTTAACATTCTATGGCCTTTTAAATGTGTTTGTGCGAAGGTGCTTATTGGTTAGTTTATCTTTTATTGTGTATTTTATGTTCTCATTTTGTGTTTTTATGTTGTGAACTGCTCTGCGATCTTTGGATGGATGGTATACAAATTTAATAAAGTAAGTACCGTATTTTTCGCCCCATAGGATGCACCAGCCCATAGGATGCACCTAGTTTTTTTGGGGGGGAAATAAAGAAAAAAATTCTTATTTCCCCCCCCCCCCCAGGTGTGGGGCTGGGGCGGGGGAAGCCTGAGCTTCCCCTGACCCCAGAACAGGCTGCTATCCGCGGCTAGCGGAGGGCTGCACGAAGCCCGAAGCTTGGGGTGTGCTGAGCTCAGCGCGCCCCAAGCTTCTGGGTGCAGGCAAGCTCTCCGCTAGCCGTGGGAGAGCTGCGTCTCCCACGGCTAGCGGATAGCTTCCTGAAGCCTGGAGAGCGAGAGGGGTCGGTGCGCTGCCTACTAAATCAAGTCCAAGTCTGTTGACAGCCACAAAGTTACGTGGAAAACTCATGGTAGTTATAAAGTTGTTTCCATAATATTAAAAAGTATTTTATTTCTCACTTCTGCAACTTATTTTTTACCGTATTTTTTGCTCTATAAGACTCACTTTTTCCCTCCTAAAAAGTAAGGGGAAATGTGTGTGCGTCTTATGGAGTGAATGCAGGCTGCGCAGCTATCCCAGAAGCCAGAACAGCAAGAGGGATTGCTGCTTTCACTGCACAGCGATCCCTCTTGCTGTTCTGGCTTCTGAGATTCAGAATATTTTTTTTTCTTGTTTTCCTCCTCCAAAAACTAGGTGCGTCTTGTGGTCTGGTGCGTCTTATACAGCGAAAAATACGGTAATTCTTTTAGCAGAGTTTTTTTGGGTCTGTTTTTCCTGAAAGAACCTTACTTACACATCAGTTTGGTTATGTTCATATAATGCTTTCATCTCCTCAAGTACTTGTCTGATTCCATCCTCCTGCAACATGGAAAGTACCAATTTCATTAATAATTTGACATGATTACTCTGCCTAATTCAAACAAAAAACCGCAATAAATAAAATCCACGCCTTTTTTCCTATAAAAATTGAAGTAGCCATCAACCATTACCACAGAAATATTTATATGCAACTCAACCGACACCTTTAGCCAGCATATCACCAGTTGGAATATTTATTTAAAACATTGTAAAATAGGAAACATGTGCCACCTCTACACTCAAATATGCATACATATTTCTATTCTAGTTCTATTCCTCTCTGTCCACTATCCAGAATTTGTTTCTATCAATATTCTGAAGTTTTCCCTTTGCTTCTTTTCCTTTTGAGCTGCTAGATAAGACAATGACTAAATATTTGTACAAGTGAGTGGTTCAGCATGATTACAAGCCTCATAGAAAAAACTCAGCTGTTATGGTCATGTGTAGGTTGCAGGGCATTTTCTACAGAAGCTAAAGAAGAAAAGATGCGTACTATCAACATAGCTTAGACCACTCTTTCTCTCTCCAGGTGCATCAGTGAAACATTTATTGGTCAGATGTGCATCTAAGTCAACCGTGATGTACCTCAGTGCTGATTTTCAGGCGCAGTAGTCATTTAGATTTTCAGTCCAACTTTCCTCTCCATATATTTGTAACGTTTGTGGGGAAATGCTCCCTAAGTAAATCCCAGCAAGCTTATTCCCAAGTGAACATGCATAGGATTTCAGTCTCAGGCTGACTAGCCAACCAGATAATTAATGGGAAGCCTTTTATATTGTAGAACGTTATTTTATTGGGCAGTCAGGTACTCCCAGATCCACTCACTCAAATCATGAGGGAAATGGCTACCAAGAGTTTAGTCTGCTACCTCTTCCCACTCACCATCAAACCCTCTATCAAGGTGGGCTTTATGGCATTAACGCCAATCCAGTTCGCCATCCTCTTTGCTTTTAACAGCCATCTTCATGAAGGAATAGCCTTGTGGAGCAATCCCAGCCATCCAATCATTTGTTTGTTTGTTTCATAAAATTTATACACCGCTTGGTAGTAAAAATAAAATAAAATCGGGGGAAAATACATTAAAACATACAAGAAGTTAGAATGCTAAAGCAGGGTAAAAGCCACAGCGCCATTCCTGAGTATCAGGGAAACCCAGTCAGATGGGCGGGGTAAATTTAATAAAATTATTATTATTAAGTAGGAATTCAGGGAAGGCTTGGTATCAAGAGGCAGGGAGTTCCGAAGGACCCCCGCCCGCTTCTCTCACAAAAGTCCCCTCAGGGCGGCTGGGCGGCCCTTCGGAGGAGGGGGAAGGGAAGGGAGGCCGCGCCGCCAAAGGCTCACATTGAAGGAAGGAAGCTGCCCGTCGCTCGCGCGGTGGAGCTCCCGGATGAGCTCGGTCGCTTTCTCGCAGAACATGGCCGCGGCCGGACTGCTCGATTCCCCTCAGACGCGCAACTGCCTTCGCTCGGCGCGCGCGGCAGTAAAACCCGCGCCACTGAACTCCTCGGCCAATAGGAAGGCGAGGCGAGGGGGAGAAGCACCGCCTCTTACGGTACGGGAAAAGCGAAGGGACAAACTTAGCTCTCCCTCGCATATGTTTCCTATAGCTCGCGGCCGGCGGTTGTTTGGAATTGCAATAACACTACAATGAGTTTCGTATCACAACCTAGCCAGTGTTTGAAACCTCTGGAGTTGTTTACACCGTTAGGGATTCAGCTGGCGGGAAGAGAGATCGTTGGGGATCTGATTCAGGCAACCGAATGTGTGAAACTTAAATATCGTTTTCCACTTTCTTCCTGAGCCAGCTTTGCAGTGACATTCATTTCATGATTCAGCTGGTTTTGTTTCGATTTGTAAAAAATCTCACATTGTAAGTCTTCTGTGAGATGATGATGATGATGATTTTTATTTAACCCACCTTTTCCTTCCTTTTAAAAGTTGGGAGGTGGGAACAGATCAGCTTTGACCAGTTTACGAACATGTCACTCCAGAGAGTTTTGACCCCACTGGATTATGGCCAAAAGCAGGGCTCCTCAGCACAACCAGCGGGCCTCACGTTCAGCCTCCAGCACATCTTCTCCTTCCCAGACTGAACTTTTCATGTTGTAGATGGCTGGTGTCATCCATGGATTCCACACGGATTTAGTGCAATGTCTCTGAGAACCAGTGTGGTCCCGCACTTAGGGGACTCAGGCCAGCTTGATGGGTTGTACATGGCTTGTGTCCATGGTGAAGATGAAGGCAGGAGACTTACAGATAAAAATGAAAACTGATAAAAACATAGAAAAAACAATAATTGAAAAAACAAACACTGATAGAAATAAAACCATATACATATATAAAAACTAGCAAAAGCATACAAATGACTACAAAAGAAAAGAAAAAAACCCCAACCCAGTCAGTTCCCAAAAGCCTGTTGGGACAAGAAAGTACCGGTATTCACCTGCCAGCAGAAGGACAACAAGGAGACAGCCAGATACAGATAAAGATGCAGCCAAACACACTGGGATAGCTCAGTCAGCAGAGCATGAGACTCTTAATCTCAAGGTCCTGGGTTTTCTTCAGGAACAAGTGAATATCTACATTGGGAACAGGGGGGAATCAAATCAACTTTACCCAACTGTTGAAGTGGGAATCAAAAACCATTGCAGCAGGGAAGGGACCTAAATTATGCTGGGTGGGTGCAGAGACCAGAGGGCAGCCTCCCTAGGTGTAGGAGGGCATTTCCTCCCTAGGGGTAGGAGGAGACCAGCAGTGCCTCTTATTTGCTGAGAGACTTGATGTAGAGGCAACACTGAAGTGGGGCTGCTGAGGTGGTGACAGATCCAGACTCCAAGGAGCATGTCACCCAAAGCCACTGCTGCTGCAGCAGCCACAGTGGTAAGCAATGTATCCCTTAGAGGCTGGATCTGCTGCTGCTGTGGATCCTGCTGCCTGTGGTGGTCACTTCACCTTGCCTCATAGGTGCGCCAGTCCTGCTGAGCATTGTGCAAAAAGCAAAAGCCCTTGAATGCATATAGCAAAAGAGGAGGGCAGTCGGATGTCAGGTTAAAGAGCATTTAATAACAGGAACATAAAGATATTGTATTTGTCTGTGTTGTTATATGTAAATTGTTTTGCAATAAAGTTTTTTTTTAAAAAAATAACAGGAACATAAGAACCATGCTGCTGGAATTTTAGAGGCAGCTTAGCTATTACTAGCGATTTGGAAAATATGACCTTGCATTCAAGTTTTTATAAAGAACATCTGCCCGCAGCGTGTTTTCAGAGTGTAGCCTCTAACATGTAGATGACTGACTACAGGTCTGAAAAACATAATATAATATAATATAATATAATATAATATAATATAATATAATATAATATAATATAATATAATATAATATAATATAATATAATATAATTAATATAATATAATAATGCCGCAATGTCGGATGGGAAGCCCAGAGTTCAGGTAAGACAAACGGTTCAGCCCGCAAGCTTGTGACTTCGCGGTTGCCCTCATTCAAAATGGCCGGGGCAGAGTGGGGCGGGGAAGAGGAAAAGGCGTTTGCAACACTGTACTGTACTCAGATATGTCTGAGGGCATCCGACGACGCGGGAGCCATATTTTTTGTGAGCAAAACAACACCATGTTTTTTAAATAAAAGCGGGGGCAGGAGGCAGTCGCGTTTGCCCTTCCCTGTGACGTAACCGCGTAGGGAGGTCAGGTGGGCCGAGGCCGCCTCTGATTGGTGGCGCCGGAGAGGCGCCGCTAGTCTTTCGGTTGCTGGGCTGTGGTTGGCATAATGTAGGGGAAGCCAGCGTCGGTTTCGGGACGGAGGCGTCTTCCCTCGAGCGGCTTGAGCTGGCACCGCCCGCGCGTTTCGCACCGCCGGCATGAGAAAGCGGAACGAGTCCGTCACCTTGGAGCATGAGCGCTTCGCCTCCTCCGCTCCGGCAGCGGCTGCCGCGTCTTCCTCCTCCTGCTCCTCCCAGCAGCCGGATAAGGGCTTCAGCTTGAGACCGAGCCTGCGCCTGCCTGGTAGCTCCCGGCCCGCCGCCGACTCTGGCATGAAGCGAACGCTCGGCAGGTGAGGCGACCCCCCCCCCGCCGGCCCCCGTCGCTATGGCAACCCTTCCATCTTCTCTTCAACCGCCAGCCCGGCCTCGGCCTTCCCCGTTTCCATGGCAACGGGCGGCCCGCTCGACGTCGCCGAGCCTTCCGACCCTTTCAACCGCCGCCTCTTCTCTCCCTCCCCCCAAGAAAAACCCTCACACGGGGGCCTGGCATTACTATGGCAACCCTCCTGAGCCCCGCCGCCAGCCGCCATAGCCCCGAGCGATTCATACTGGAATGCCCTTGGCTGTTTTCTTCTCCGTCCGCCTTTTTGTTCTAGGTTACGGGAGTGGGGGGGGGGGAGGTGGCGAAGGCGGCCCTTGCGACGGAATGAGCCCCTGCCTGAAGGGGCTGTCTGGTTTGCTAGTGAAAGGGTCGGAGGCCTTCGCTGCTGGGTGTTCCCTCCCCTATTGCTGCAATGGGTTCACCGAGTGCGGCTGCAGGCCAAGAAGAGCAGGGTGTGTTAGAGCCGGACGGCGATTCAGGTTTGCGGAGGATGGATGTTTTCGTGGGGTGGTGGGGTTCGATATGGCTTTGAAAAAGACAGCTTGGAGATGTTTTAGTCGACCTCGAATGGTGTTTGTCTTTAGCTATAAGCATTTTGCTTTGCTGCAAAATGGGTTATCGGTTACAAACCTTTTATGAATGAACTACTGTATCTTCACACCCCCCCCGAAAAATATTGAAAACTATGTGCCCTTGACCCAATGGTAGGATAGAGGGAGGTTTTCCTTTCTCCCTCCCCCTCCTCCTTGCATCCTGACTCAGCTTGTCAACAACACATATTTTAAAACGCACACAATCATTTTTCTTTTCCCGTTCCGTATTTTAAATTGCAAAGTGTTAGAGAATAGTAAATGATGGGGGTGAGGGTGGTCAGAGACTGATGAATGAGTGGAGTACCAGTCAGCTAGCAGCAGAGGAAGAGATTAAATGAGAAAATGCTTGCCTGTTATACTGCTGGAAAGGGACTTTGCCTTTGTACACATTAACAGTTTAAAAGACAATACAGTGGTACCTCGGGTTACATACGCTTCAGGTTACAGGCACTTCAGGTTACAGACTCCACTGACCCAGAAATATCACCTCAGGTTAAGAACTTTGCTTCAGGATGAGAACAGAAATTGTGCTCTGGCGATGCGGCAGCAGCGGGAGGCCCCATTAGCTAAAGTGGTGCTTCAGGTTAAGAACAGTTTCAGGTTAAGAATGGCCCTCCAGAACAAATTAAGTTCTTAACCCGAGGTACCACTGTTTATATAATCTGTGCGTCTCCTCTTTGTCACCTTTATTAAAGGGGTGGAGGTGCTGGAGGTCAGCACACTATGAGACCTTCATATTAATCCCATGCATGTTTATTTGGTAGAAAGTCTTATTGTGGTTAGGAGGGACAAGGGACTAGGGCTTGCCAATCAGACAAGTGTTAGTAGATAAATAGGTACCGCTCCTGCTGGAAGGTAAACTGCATTTCCGTTCGCTGCTCTGGTTCTCCATAAGCGGCTTAGTCATGCTGGCCACATGACCCGGAAGCTGTACGCCGGCTCCCTCGGCCAATAAAGCGAGATGAGCGCTGCAATCCCAGAGACGTCCACGACTGGACCTAATGATCAGGGGTCCCTTTACCTTTACCTTATTGTGGTTGCTGGGACTTGCTGCAAGTAATTAGGCATGGTGAATTCACAGCTGTGATCACTGACCTTCCAAGCCTTCAAATCTCAAGTAACCATTAATCAATAATCTCTGACGGTAGATTTAAAGTAGAAAAGATTAATTAAATCTCAAATAAATATAAAATGTAAGGTGTCCTCTGAGCATGCCCTATTTTAGTTTCAGTCCTCAGCGGAATCTCTGGCGCCACCAGAGTGCACATTAGTTTGAAGATGTTGCCTCACAAACCCCATGCATGGGAGTAGTTGTAGTTAAATAATAATATAGCTGTCTCCACAATCCTGTTTATTCTGCATCCCACACACTCCCACTGCTGTTTGGGAAGCGGTGTACACACATTAGCCACAATCCACATCTATTCTGTTGTTTCTTATGTAAAACTATGTTTTGAGTTATTTCCCCCCCAAACCAGCTTTGATCTGGATTGAGAAAAATAATGATCTAGCTATGTTTTATGTTGCTAATGTGTACAAAGCCAAAGCCCCTGTTCAGCATCATATTAGCAAATGTTTTCTCATTTCATCTTTTCCTCTGCAGCTAGCTGACTAGTCCTCTCTACACTGTCATCAGTTTTTGACCACCTCTTCCCTGCAATTTATACACACTGCAATTTATAAGTGCTCTAGAACTTGGTGGTGATTATCTTTGTTTTTAATTCTCACAGCAACCTGTGAACAAGGTTAGTCTAAGGATTGGTCAGGCCATGTAGCAAACTTCAGAGTTTAGCAAGGAATGAGCCTGGGTGCCTGCATGTCAGATCCATCACTTCATCACACTTGATCTCTATCAAATAAATGTGTGTGGGGAAATCCAAGAATTTCTCTCACAAAGATCACTTCTCAACAAATGAAATTATCACTCAATAAGCACTTGAAGAACATAGGGTGCAATCCACTGCATGTTTACTTGGAAGTAAGCAGCACTGAGTTCAACAGAACCTACTTCTCAGTCACATAGGATTATAAACTTCATACATGTACAAAAGAGTCATAATCTGTAGAGGAGTCGTTTTTCTGGGATCCACCAGTGGCAGGTGCACAATATGTGGTGATGCACAGAAGGGCCTAATCTGTTGGTACCCTGATTGTGGAGTGTCTTTCCAGTGAAATAATTCCTGGTGCCAACACATTTAGCATTTTTCTACCTACTAAAGAGTCTCGTGTTTGCATTTGTAGGTCATTAGAGTGTGTGTTGGATGGACAGGTTAAGCTTTAATTTTGTATTTTTAGCATTTCTTGTGGTTGTGTTGATTTGTAGTTTTTATTATTTTAAATTGGTCTTGTGAATGTTCTTACCCTTTCATCATTTTTGATGAAGCATGGGGTTAAAAGTGCCTTTAATAACTGACAATTTCAGAGCTGTTTCAGGACAATTCTCTCAGGCTTCTTTTACGTTTATCAAGTTGTCCTAAGGTTTCTTTGCTTCTGGTATGAATGTAATTCATTATGCTGTTGTAAATTTTCTGTTTCAATTCCTCTTTGAGTTCAGGCATTGTTAACAATGAGTACTTAAAGCAGAAACACCATAAATATTTCATTTATTTAAAATATTTATAATATTACCTTTGCTAAATAAAAACAAGATTTAAATATTCCCTCAAAGTTTTCCCTTTCTGGATTTTTAATTTTGAGACCAGTTTATTTCAACTTGATTTTGAAATTGTTTGGTGAACCTTTCCTGCTTCTATAAATTGGTGCACAGGCTTATGTGTAATCCTGAAAAGTGAATATAGTTTTGCCTCACTTAGTCCATGGAAGACATCTTGGAGCTTTCCCTGTGCAATAAGATAGTATTCTTTAAAATGAGTGGAGGTTCAACCATTTTTAAAATCTAGATATATATAAATTGCTTTATCAGAGCCAATCCATTAGTCCACCAATGTCTACTCTTAAAAGCAGTGTCAGAATTCTCTTTCAGAGATGCTTTCTGTGGAACTTTAACAGGAAATGGAATCTGGGCTTTAAAATGTTTGTGAAGCATTTACTGATTCGGTAAATCAGTAAAGTCTTGGGAGAGTTTTCTACTGGAGATGTAAATTGTTTTGGTTATTTTACATTCCCTTTGTACCACTGAGCTTTCTATACCTTATTTGCCAATCAGCCTTGTTAAACTATCTTACTGTACTTTTGAGTCTCATTATCTCAGTCTGACACTGATCAGAGTTTGGCATCAGTATAAATAATGGGGTGGTTTGGATGTAATGCTAAACCATAGTTTAGTGTTACGAGAAAAAGCCACAAAGAGCCTTAGACTTGTTTGCTCTTTCCTCTTCCTCTGGTGTATCTATGAGGATGACATCCTACAACCTCTGTGTTATTTGAACCCGAATAAACTGGTTCAAAAAGCTAGCGCCAAACTGTAATTTATGAAGCTTGCATATTTCAACCTGCCATAGTTAAAATTAGCCACCATTTAGGGTTTGGGCAACACACTGAACTGCTGGCTAATCTAAAAAGGAAGCAGAAGCTTCTGATCTTGAAACCATACTGGAGGAGGAGAAGAGAGTACTGTCCCAAGACTCATTGAAGCTTGTTCTCTGAACACAAAACCATTATTTAGTTTTGTGTAGACATAGCCATCAAGTAGCTTGAATTGTCTCTGTACTTAGCCTTCTATAGCTTACTTGTGTGTACTTTTTCATTGTCTGACAGTGAAGTACAGAGGGCATTAAAAAAAAGACATATGTGATCTTTTTCATGCAATCTGTAGTGGAAAACTTTCTTAAGAAGTCCAGTACTCATATCATAGCTGAACCTGCTGCTGGAAAAACAAATGTATAAACAAATGCATACGTAGTGTTAGGATTACTGAATGAATGACTTTGAAATCAACCACAGTAATGATCTGGCACAGTATTTGAAACTTGATTTTTACAAGATATAAAAGTCCTTCAGTATGCTGCTGCTGTTTGCCCTCAAGCCTTTCCACCTCCTCTTCGTAGGCTACTTGTTAACTGCATATTTTTCTAAGAAACTTGGGCTTTCCTGTGCTTCTGTGAGGACTATTTCTCTGTGCCCCCCCGCTTGCTGTAATGTAGGAGAGGAGGAAAATATGTTTGGTACTGAGGACCATATCTGGAATAATATACTATGTAAGGCACAGCTTTGTATGCATTACTTGTAGCTAACTTCTGCAATTTACAAAAATCTTATCAACTTGATGATGACAAACTACAATTGGCAGAGGTGTTGCTTCTTATAATATTTTATTTAGATATTTTCCTTATATGAGAAACTTGAGCCAGCCTTTTGAAAAATCAGCAGGCTCTTAAATCATTAGCTACAAAAACCATGGACTTTTAATCATTCCAGTTGCCTTCATATCCTTTAGTATGTTTTTCTGTCACATTTTTAATTTCCCAGTCATGAAGACTGAATTCTTACTATGAAATCAGTAAATTACATTCTACAAGGGCCTTTGTATCATGTAGATGCATCAGTTATGTATGTAGCTTGTTTTTGGTAATGTCTTTTGTTTACTTTGTCCTCCAAAAATATACTGTTAACGTGTTCATGTAGCTGGCAATACAGCTTGATCAGCTTTATAGTTCAGAGTGAAATAAAGGAAGCAAATTTGATATGCTTGAGATGAGGTTACAGTAAGCCCTATTTATTTTATTACTTTAGGGGGTCAAAATAAAACTTGTTTCTATGATATAGATGGAGTTTTTTCCCCCAACTGACACTGTGAGGGTGTGTATATATCTGTTTTTCAATACTTCTTTGTTTCTATGTATTGGCAGGCTTTGTTATAGCGTTTTGTATTCTGAGTGTTCCTTTTTTTACTACGTTTCTTGACCACACATGAACATGTTGTGTACTGTGTCTGGAAGTGGGTTTTTTTCCTCCAAAATCTCTGTGTTACTTATAGGACGTTATCATCATCATCCTAAAAAAATCAAGCTTTTAAATGATATTGTTGCAGTTAAGATACTGATTGCCAAGGGAACTTCATGAGCATTCCTAGCTAGGCAAATGAGAGGGCCATCGCGCTCCTATCCTCTGCAATCCAAACTTAATCTCCTACTTTCTAAAATGGTTCAGTCTGTCTTAGTCATAAATTCTTTCAAATCCTTCTTTGAAATTTACCTTTATCTGCAAAGCCTTTTCATAACCCTTATTTCTCTCCCCCCCCCCAATGAAACCCAAGTATGTCTAACTTCATCTACATCTATTTATGTTTTACTACCCTGGCCTCTCATTCTCCTCTCTTTGTTTTTCTCTTGGGAGTTCCCTGAGAGGCCCTACTTTTTGCTTATGTTGTTCTGTAAATTGTCGTCTGTAGCAATAACACTAATGTTTTTGTTTACATGCAGTTAAGAAATGCCCAAACGTTACTTTGTTTTATTATTTCTACATGGTTTACATGCAATTAAGAAAATCTAGATGCTAAGTCTTCATTTTGCACTGTTTTGACTTGTGGACACACAAAGACGAGACAACAAAGTCCTTTGGCTGCTGAAGATGAGCCAAAAGGAAAAATAAATCTTAAACTATTCCCTACAGTCTCTGTTTCTCCATCCCCAAAGTGTCATAGTTGCTACCACCATTGGGAGTAATTATTCAGTGTTTGTGCAAAGGGCTTTAAATAGCTAAAGCAATTGTTGTTTGGAACAGAGACAATAGGTGTCTTGCAGGGCAGCATGCTTTGCATGCAGGAGTTCGCAGGTTCAATCCCTAGTATCAAGGCTGATGGAAACACTTATCTGAGACCCCAGAGAGCCACTTCCAGTTAGGCAGATGATACTGAGCTAATCATCAGTAACAGATGCACAAAAGCACAGGGGAGCCCAATTCCTCCTTCACTTATGATCTTTTAGCAGCAAAAGTGGGCCAACTTCATTCTCCAAAGGGATCTTTGGGGTCGGAAATTGGATTTTAAGGGTGCATACCCTGTTTGGGCCAGAAAGTGGTAATGGGGGAGTCAGCTGTTCTTCATCAAAGCCCACTTTGGCATCTCAGATGCATTTTGGTAATGCGTAAAGGTAAAGAGACCCCTGACCATTAGATCCAGCCACGGATGACTCTGGGGTTGCGGTGCTCATCTCGCTTTATTGGCCGAGGGAGCCAGCGTACAGCTTTCAGGTCATGTGGCCAGCATGACTATGCCGCTTCTGGCGAACCAGAACAGCGCACGAAAACACCATTTACCTTCCCGCAGGAGTGGTACCTATTTATCTACTTGCACTTTGACGTGCTAGGTTGGCAGGAGCTGGGACCGAGCAACAGGAGCTCACCCCATGGGTCCCCCCCCAATTGCTTGGAGCCAATTCTTAGGTTCCTCTGGGGCCAAAGCTTAGGCAGAGAACTGTTAAAATGGCTGTCACCCTTTCTCTTTTAGGTCATACTGACTAATATAGGTGTTTGTGGACTAGTATGTGTTACAGGCTGGTTTGCCCTAAAGGGGTCCTTTAGGTCTTACGTTCTCTATGGTTTTGGCAGATTGGCATGCCTGACTGCTGATCTATAAGAGATGGCTTATCTGTCTGGCACAAGACCAAGGTTTAGGTCTGAGTCATAAGGCAAAAGGTTGATTATTAGCTATGAAATAAGATTCAAATCATAATTGGGAGTGGGTGTTAAATACTAGAAGGTAATGATAGTTGATGAAGCTGTAGGATGAGTCAGTCTAAGTCTAGGACTCAGTAACCTGGAAACTGGGGTCAGAGGGAGGTGTACAACAGACAGTCTGGTTCATCTCGGGCTAGAGTCCAATGACAAATAGAAATTAATATGAATACACAACCAGGCCCTTTTATATAATTGCCTATGGAGCTCTGGTTCTTGTCTCACCTCTTTATTACTTCATGGAGCCAGTGGAAGATTGTGAGAGATCAGGGTGATGGTGATGGCTGGCTTAGGTTAGGCAGTTCTCATCTCAGTAGTGAGAAATCTTTTTGCCACCATTTGGGTTGTGCCCTCAGAAAAGAAACAAATAATAATTGAATAGGAATAGTGTATGTTTGTGTGTGTAGTTGTGATGCTGCAGAGCATGTGCTTAACACGCTATTTAAAATTCTGCCTGATCTGAATATATACATATAAAGTTGATTTATACTGACTTCCATTCCGTAACACTATGTATTTATTCTCTCTGGCAGCAGTTCTCGCAATATGGAAACATTTAACTGGAAAAGCAAGTGAGAGTCTGTATACAAAGGAGTTTGCTCTGCACTGCTGAGCTATGACTTTAAGCATAGTTTAAGGGTAAAATGCTGTGTTGTAAGCTAATAGTATGAACTCCTGGTTTATTCAGAATCTGTATACTGTATTTACTTTGTTATTAACAATGCCTAATAGATTTGACATTCAGTAGTCTCTTAGGACGAGTAATTCACCTGTGTTTGTGTGCGAGAGAGAATCTTCATTATATGAATTAATTGCTCTAAAATGTACAGCAGGTGTGGTGGGGGACCAATGTATTTCCTCAGTTATGGACTACATGAGAGTCAATAAACTGAAACTCAATTCAGCTAAGACTGAGACACTGTTAGTGGGTGGTTTCCGAGACTGGGTGGATGGGAGGTAGATTCATGGTACCATAGATCTGTAGAGTTGGAATGGTCCCTGAGGGTCATCTAGTTCAACCCCCCTACCATGCAGGAATCTCAACTAAAGCATCCATGACAGATGGCCATCCAGCTTCTGCTTAAAAACCTCCAAGGAAGGATAGACTACAACTTCCTGAGGGAGTCCGTTTCATTGTTAAACAGCTCTTACGGTCAGAAAGTTCTTCCTGATGTTTAGTCAGTATCTCCTTTCTTGTAAACTTGAAGCCATTGGTTTGGGTCCTACCCTCCAGTTCCCTGTTCTTGATGGGGTTACAGTCGTTCTGAAAGAGCAGATACATAGCTTAGAGGTACTCCTGGAGCCATCCCTGTTGCTTGAGGCTCAGGTGCTCTCTGTGCCTTGGTGTTCCTTTCATCAGTTTTACCTGGTGGTCCAGCTACATCCCTATCTGGACAGGGATAGCCTGACTTCTGTTTATGCTCTGGTAACCTTTAGGTCGGATTACTGCAATAACTTACCGTATTTTTCGTTCTATAGGGCGCACCGGCCCATAGGACGCACCTCGTTTTTTTTGGGGGGGGAAATGAATAAAAAAAATTATTCCCCCCCCCCCGCCACGGCTGCCGCCCCAAGCCTCGCGCGCTCAGCGGGACCTCCTGCCGGTCGCGCAAGGCTTGCAGACACTCGCCCGAAGCACGGGGAGCCCTCCGGAGGGCTCCCGTGCTTCGGGCGACAGGCTGCCGCCCGAAGCCCCTCGCGCTTGGCGGGACCTCCTGCCGGTCGCGCAAGGCTTGCAGACACTCGCCCGAAGCACAGGGAGCCCTCCGGAGGGCTCCCCGTGCTTCGGGCGACAGGCTGCCGCCCGAAGCCTCTCGCGCTCGGCGGGACCTCCTGCCGGTCGCGCAAGGCTTGCAGACACTCCCCCGAAGCACGGGGAGCCCTCCAGAAGGCTCCCCGTGCTTCGGGCGACAAGCTGCTGCCCCAAGCCTCGCGCGCTCGGCGGGACCTCCTGCCGGGCGCGCAAGTCTTGCGGACACTCGCCGGGGCTGCAGGCTGCTGCCTGCAAGCCTTGTGAGCCCGCGGGAACTCCCACCGGGCTTGCAAGGCTTGCGGATAGTTTCCTGAAGCCTGGAGAGCGAGAGGGGTCGGTGCGCACCGATGCCTCTCGCTCTCCAGGCTTCAGCGAAGCTGCATTCGCTCCATAGGACGCACACACATTTCCCCTTCATTTTTGGAGGGGAAAAAGTGCGTCCTATGGAGCGAAAAATACGGTACATAAGGTGATGCCTTTGAACGCGATTTGCAAACTGCAGTTGGTGCAGAATTTGGTGGGCAGGTTGCTCACCAGGGCAAGATGGTCAGAGCACATAACACCAATCCTAGCCTGACTACATTGGCTACCGATTAGTTTCTGGGCCCAATTTAATGTGCTGATTTTGACCTATAAAGCCTCATGTGGTTCAGGACCCCAATATCTCAAAGACTGCCTTTCCCCATATGAACTGACCCAGGCCTTGCAGTCATCATCTGAGGTCCTTCTTTGTGTGCCCCTTTGAGAGGTTTGGAGGGTGGCAACACAAGAAAATGCCTTTTCTGTGGTGGTTCCTCTCTTGTACAATGCTTTCTCAAAGGAGGCTTACCTGGCACCATCATGACATAGCTTTAGGCATCAGGAAAAAGCATTTATTTTTATCCAGTGCCTTGGCTCTTAATTATCTGTAGCATCCTTGTGTGGGTGGGATGTTTTAATACTGTCTTTTAAAAATAGGATTATCTTTTAGATTTTTCTTTGGGTTTTTTTTTATGCTGGTGTTAATGTATGTGTGTGTTATGTATTGTAAGTTACTTTGAGTTACCTTAGTAAAAAGGTGACCAATAAATATAGCTTATAGAGACTAAAGGTAACGGAGTCATAAGATGTAATTGCAGAATAACCCCAAATCCTGCTAAGTCAGTATTTTTTACAACCGGCAGGCTGCAACAATAAGGGAAGTATAGCATGTGCATTATAGATTGCATTCTTGGTGGACACATTAACTTTTACAATAGGTTGAAAAATATTTCAAAGATTGAATTACTGAGAAGCCTTTTTGCCCCTATTTCCACATTTTTGCACTAAATTGAAAGTTATCTTTATCTTGAGCCTCTATCACAGAAGCAGCTTGTAAATGAAAACCTATTTCTAGCTGGTTTTGTACTGAAGCAGAAATGTCTGCAAATACTTAATAGAAGCATGAGCCCTTATCTGCAAACTGCTTGAGCAACAAAGCTGCGCTGGTAGTCATATGACTGTGACTGGTTTCTCTTCCTGTTTTTCCCCATTCTCCTCCTTTGTGAATTATTCCAATTGTTACATAGAATGCAATTGTTTAAAAAAAAAACAAGCTAACTTTTCAGTAAGTGAATTTGTCTCATGACTGTGCTCTTAATAATTTAGCTTGGGCAAATCTAAAATAAGCCAGTTTTTAAAACTTTTTCCAACTGTTGCACAATCAGAAAAGGAACTGTTTGCTCTATTGCAGTACTTTTCTCCAGGGGAAAATTGATTAAGATCTGATGCCCTCTTCTGTTTAAAAAGAAGTTCTATGAAAGAGACTTCAGTCATACTCCCTGTTCATGCCAGTAGTAATAATAATAATAATAAATAATAATAAAAACCCAGCAACATCATAGTAGTGGTTCTGGTTATTGATGAACAATGATACTGAATCTGTCCTGGATCCATTTTTAAACAGGTACTGCCCTGATAATTTGGTAAATATGTTGCATTAATGGTTACTGCTTGCAATAGTTAGATGAGGCAGCCCAGAAAAAGGTTTCTGTGGGTGAAGGGAAGAAGCAGCTGCCAGAGCATTTGCTTACTCATGAGTAGTCCAACCTGCAATTAAAGTAAATGGACTGCAGCTGGGGAAGGTGTGGGTTTTATAAACGAATTTTGGAAGGGGGAGAGGAAGAGAAGCCTGGAAGGTTGTTTTTTAAGAAAGCAGAAGTCTGGTGAGGAAGGTAATCCAAATCTTTAGGAATACAGTACATGAACTGGTGGGGAGGGTTACATTGTGCTGTCTTCCATTCTCTCCTTTCATGATGAGTCTAGGTGCCTCTATCTGCTAATAAGATAAGTTACCCAGTGGTGGTCTCCTTGAAAATCAGAAGCTGTCAGATCCTGTCTCTCAGGGGATTGTGCCCCTGAAAGTGTGTCTGCTTCGCTATAACCTTTCTTTGGAGGAGCTAAAAATTCCATGTTTAAGATGATATTATTGTAAGTTTTAGGAATTACTGTTTATAAATACAGTTTGAATGCTTTTGAAACTGTTCAACAAAGGGTATAATATTTGAACTATATCTTCCTTTTCCTTCAAGGAGTTGAAGGTGATGTACATAGTTCTCCCACACCCACCAATTCATTGTGCTAGCAACCCAGCTGATGAGTTGGGGGGTTAAATCCCTCTGCTTTGGCTGTGTGCCCCTGCTCCTTCCTGGAAACAGGCACATGCAGGCCAGTGCAAAATTTAACCCCACCCACAAGGTTTTGTCTGAGAAATGGGCCTTTTGGGGTCCCATGACAGTTGCTTGGATATCCAAATGGGCGCCTGGACCCCCAAAAAAGTTGGGAACCCCTGTGCTATTCTATAGAGGAATTGTCCCATGTAAAACAAACACAAAACACAAAAATCCACACCCCAAAACCCATTACCTTCCCAGTCATTCATGATTGCATGTTTATATTCTAATGACTCCTACTGTAATTTATTGTTCTGTTTCCAAAACACAGTGCCAAATTGGAATGGTCTCATATAGGATAAACTTGCCATACAACCCAAGTATCAAGAATCTAGGTTTTCATCTGGTGCTATGACACCAGGGATCAGATAGGCAACTTCATATACAAACCACAATGAGTGGAACGTACTAAACCACCCAAGTCATGCAGGTAGCAGTTGGACTTAGTAAAATGCTAGTTCCTTAAATGCTTGGTTCCACAAGAATCTCTAGAGTTAATGAGCTGTGTGGTATCTGCTAGGGATCAGTTCACCATTTAACAAGAGTTTTTGTCAGGTTTGCCCATCCTTGCAGGTGAGCAAAACTGGTCAGTCCTGTCATTTATTATAGGCTTGATGGTTCTTGAGCTCCTCCACATGCTTGCCATAGGTTAGAAGTAGAATCAGAATGTGTGGTGCATGTAAGGCACTCATGGGCAACCTCGGCTCTGGGGGCCACCTGTAACCTGCCAAGCCTCTCTGTCTGATTCTTGGGACTTGGCCCTCACCAGCCCTGCTTTGCCACCCTCCTTGAATGGCTGGAATATGTCCTTGAACTAGGACAATGCTTGTGATTGCCTGGATGGACAATAGAAAAGGGTGTGTGCAGAAATGAGCTTACTGTACAAAGATAAATTTACATTGGTTGCTCTGGCCGCACCTAGCATTGGCATGTCATCTCCTGACAATTGCCTGGAAGATAATGCAGCTCTCGGCTGAAAAAAGATTCCCCACCTGTGATATAAGGGGGACAAGCATACCTGTATTAGAGGATATCAAATGGGTTTAAGACTGCTTTTTAGCAACAAACCTGCACTTCAGTTCTGATGATGCTTTTCTGTGTATTTTCTACCTGCCTGAACATTCCCCTTTCTGATATTTTACAAAATACTAAAATACTTGTGTTACTGTTACATGTTCTCCGGCAGAAAAACATGGCACAGATGTTGCAGGTCTGCAGCAGCTTCCTCACCCTCCATGTCTCTTAGTCCTAGGCACACTGAGACACAGTACTCTGGGCCTCTCCCTTAAACACCTTCAGATGCCTCTGGCTGCGAGGTCTGTTTGCAAGCTCACAGAAGCTTCAATGAACTAAGTTAGACTGCAGCCACCATATAGAAAGAAGCCCCCCCCCCCACTTGCTGGTTAAAGTCTTGGGATGACTCTGAAGATCCATGACTTCTTAGATCTATCTGTGTTTTGGCAGTCAACTCCTCTATGGGAAAATGTGGACTAAGCCTCTTGTCCATGGCTTTCTTTTCCTGAAGCTAAAGAACTATGCAACTAGTTTGGGATGCATAAGAGGGCCTTGGGCATATATTTCTCATGTAGCCACCATCCTGCAATAAAATTCGCCCTTGAAGCTGCGAGGAGTTTCCAGAAATGTTTGTGATATTGCATGATGTCTTACCCTTCAAAGGAGAAAAGTTTTAAAAATAATTCCAGTAGGCATACTCTTGTACATTCGCCTGTGTATTGCATTTATTGGTGCCTGTTGACATTTCTATTGTTATCCTCCTTAGCTTATGCTAGTTTATTCCTATCTGTATTAGTAGTGGTGATAATAAAAACCACACGCAGCTTCAAATTCACTTGTTAAGAAATACCAAATTAACTTTCTTTAGCGTGCCCAAACCTGGATATTCCAGTTTATGAATTAAGTTCAAATTCTAATACACCAGGAAACTAGCAACTTAGATTGTGCGAGGAAATTCCCATATATCCTTAGGTCTTTGTTCCAGACTTCTATCTCTTTTTGTAATTGTAATAACAGGGTGTTTTTGCTTTTCTAGTTCTGTGCGTAAAGCTGGATGATGCTGAAATTATGCTAAGAATAGTTCAAAGTAAGACAGAACAGTTTCCCAAATGTAATTAGACTGACACTTATGAGTAAGCTCCATTTGTAGACAGTTGGCAAGCAGCTCAGATATATCTGTTTCCCCCCAATGCATCTTTGTGTGTAACAGTACCAGGGCAAATCATGACACTGACAGATCAGGAAATCTCTCTCGCTTCCCCCCTACATTTTAAAGAGACGCCTCACTTCATCTCTTATTACTCTTGCCTTCTGCATCCTCCTGTCAGCGTAATTTTTAAGCTTCCTGATCAAGAACTCTCTGTGCAACTCTTTTCAAGGGGCCCACGTAAAGTGATGGCAGTGTATAAATAATAGAAGTATTCTCAACGCTGGAACTGTCTATGCTGTGCTTAGAAAAATGGGAAGCTATTACAGTGGTGCCCCGCAAGACGAATGCCTCGCAAGACGGAAAACTCGCTAGACGAAAGAGTTTTCCGTTTTGGAGGTGCCTCGCAAAACGAATCTGCTATGGGCTTGCTTCGCAAGACGAAAATGTCTTGCGAGTTCCTGGGTTTTTTTTTTCCTTTTCCCCCTCTTTTCTAAGTCGCTAAGCCGCTTATCTGCTTATCCGATAAGCTGATAAGCTGCTAAAAGCCGCTAAAAGCCGCTAATAGCGCTAATCCGCTAATCCCGTCAATGGGCTTGCTTCGCAAGACAAAAAAACCGCTAGACGAAGAGACTCCCAGAACGGATTCTTTTCGTCTTGCGAGGCACCACTGTAATGTTAACAATACATGTTTTAAAACAGATGACTGTAGCTATGTATTTGAGCATGGAAGTAGCCTGAATATAGTAGTACCCACTATATTCCTGGCAGAGTAGATCTTGCTTCACAAGTGTCTTGAATGTAGTGTGAAATTATATTTTCCCCTCCTCTTTTACAGGAGACATGGAATGTGGTTTCGATTGCGGAAGGTAGTAATCTGGTTGTTGGGAGTGTACATAGCCATTCCATTTCTAGTAAAACTTTGTCCCGCTATTCAGGCAAAGCTTGTCTTCCTAAATTTTGGTAAGAATCCTGCTTTTCTCTCTCTCCCACCCTCTCTCTGTGTGTCTTAAAACCATGTGGACATTTTAATATACAAGTTCCTAGTTTTTTATACAAAAGACACCATCTAGGCTCTAGCATTTCCAACTTGTATGCATGATAGCTCTCCTATCATATGCATATGAGAATAAAAAATTAGGATCTGCAATCATTTTGCATAGCCACATGCAACTTTCTCTCGATTGCTGTTCCCAGCAGTAAAATCCAGTGTCAGATTTTATATAATGATAGAAAGAAAGAGAAAGAAAGAAAAGAATACCAAGATCTATGTTTGTTAGCATCTGCCTGTATTTCATTACTTGCTCATGAAGTGCTGATAGAGGAAAAGCTTGATGCTGCCTGGAAATTTTGTTTGTTTGTTAGCATCTGCAGTGAATGTTCTAGTACCAGTTAGTGTAAAAGCAATTGTTCCCTGCCTGCTCTCTTTAGTGACATCTTCCATGTTGTGCTTGGTATGATCATATTCTAAAATCTGTGCCTGCCTGATAGTAGAAAGTTCACTGTCAATTTTCTCAAATGTTTTGTATACGGTATGGGAAAACTGTCACTTAGTGGCACTGTCTTTCAAACTGTCCTCCATTCTGCCCTTCAAATTTAGGTCTCCAGGATTTTTGAAATAATATTTTTAAATTATCTGTTCTGATTCTTGGAGATAGGGCAGCCACTTTGGTATCTGTTTTGACAATAAACCATTACAGTTAATAAATACACTTCTTTCATGAAATTTGAAAATGCCATTGCCAATGCATTTTAATTTTAGTGCAATAACCATTATGAGGTTCTGTATTAAAATTATTTTTTGGTGAAGGGTGTTTGGTCTCAAGCAGTAGGTAAACGGAATGTAAAACTGATATTTATTTTCTTTCTCAGTGAGAGTACCCTACTTCATTGACTTGAAAAAGCCTCAGGACCAAGGTCTGAACCACACCTGTAACTACTACCTACAACCAGAAGAAGATGTGACAATTGGAGTCTGGTAAGGAAAGCTTTGCCACTCCCATTATCCACTGGAGTCTGTTTTAGCCTATGTAAAGAGGCTGTGCTTTTGATCCCTTTGTTGAGAGAGCTTTCAGTAACACCATGCAAACTCCTGCAATTGTTGCTTTTTCTGTGTGTGGGAGTGTATAATTTGCTGCTGGGAATGCAGTGTTTTCTTTTGAAAGATACACTGTTCTCTGGGCTGCAGCTAAACTAAATTGAGCAATTAGACCAAAATGCAATGAAGACTGGTGATACAAAGCTGAAAGTTTAGTTCTGTAATGTTGAAGGTCATGCTTTAGAGAAGACCTAAGAAAGTGAATCAACATGATGTGGGATTGCTCCAAGGCACAAATTAAAAAGGTGAAAAGGTGATTGCCTTGCAGTGGCTTGGCTCTGTTAATTTGTAATAGTGCCTGTGTTGGCTCCTAGACCTAGAGCAACTTAGTTCATTGATTTTGTGTTGACAAAAACAAATGAACATTTACAAAACAAATGAAAATTTACAAAACTAGATGGCAAAAAAGTTTGTCAACCGAAATATTGTTAATTAAAACTCAGTGGTGCTTTATCTTTTAACTGAAATGAAGAAGTCTTGTCCTAGTTCATGGAGAAAAACGTAAGCCTCAAGTGACTTTTGGTGTCATTGTTTTTTTTTCCTGAGGTGCATGATTAATATGAGTGGGTGCATTTGATTTATGGTAAATCATCATGTTGTAAGATCTCTTGCAGGCAGCAGTTTTAAATTCTCTGCCAGAGTTTTTCTGGCTGTGTCTGGTTTCTTCATTTTCCTTCTGTAAGAACTGCCATAACTGCTCACTGAGTGATACAACTATAGACTTCAGATACTAATGTGCCCCACATTATAGTGAAAAGCTATTAACTGCCAACACTAAAATTTTTGTGGTTTGGATCAGCCCAAAACTACTTTGTTTTGCTGCTAGTGTGCTGCCAAAGCTTCCAGTAGCTCTTGAGGGGAGGGTTGTTACTGTGTATGTGTGTATGAATTGTAAGGTGTTTGTCTGAAAAGATAGTCACCTGTTTTTAAATATTCAAGGGACTAATTAATAAATGATCAATAATATTTCTATAGTTGAAACTGGTAGGATGGTTGTTCCTTATATAGGAAGTCAAAATTCAGTAGTAGAGCACATGCCTCCCACATGCATAATCTTGGATCCATCCCCAGCATCTCCAGTTTAAATTGGATCTCAGGTTGGTGCAGTTGGGAAGGACTTCAGTCTGAGAGCTGCTGCTAGGCAGAGCAAACAAATACTGGGCTAGATGGACCAGTGAGCTGACCATGTATGTTCATATATGGTCACTTGACCATGGAAGGCTTGTCCTAGAAGAACAGGCACATTCTTCCTGACCTCTCATAGAAACTGAGGGCAGGAAAACACATTACAAAGAAACTGGGGTTGCTGCAGCCCAATGTCTAGTTCATTCCCCCACCTTGTATAATGTCTAGTTCAACTTGACCTGTATGTAGATGTTTTGGCTTGGTCAACATGTCACGTAAAACCACAGTTAAAGTTTAAGCTGTGTTTTAACTCTGGGCAGCCTAGGACCTCAATACATACTGCCCAGACTTGCGCCCTGGGAGGGTCACAGTTTTCCCCTGATTTCCCATTTCCTTCCAGGCATACGGTTCCCACAGCTGTATGGAAAGATGCTCAAGGCAAGGACCAACTGTGGTATGAGGATGCTTTGGGTTCCAGCCACCCTGTGATCCTTTACTTACATGGAAATGCAGGGACTAGGTAAGAGAGAGATAAATGAAGGGGTGAGAAGGAGGATAACCTGTTGTTTCTTTTGGTTTAGATTGGGTGAGGGCCAGCCATGTCACTGGGCAGGGCAAGGCAAGCTCACCTTTGACCTGCAGTTCCTTACAGCACAATCTTATACATTTCTACTGAGATGTTCTGTTTAATTCAGTGGGGCTTATTCTCAGTTAACTGGGTATAGGATTGCAGTTTTTGCATGCGTTTAACTATTCCATTCAGCTTCAATGTGCTAATTTGACTGAACCATGCTCAACTAGCTAGTCTTTAAAAGAAAAAGGTCCTCCTAGTTGTATTGAAAGATCAGGGAAATAATGTACCAGAACCATATGTCTTGGGGCTTTAAAACTAATGTGTGATTTTCCAAATTCTTTTAATAGAGGAGGGGATCACCGTGTGGAACTTTACAAGGTGAGAAAAGCAGTAATATTAGTCAAATGACCTGAATACTACTATATGCAATTCTGTTAATAGCTTAGCTATCTAAGCTTGCTTCCAGAGGAGTTTCTCTTTATCTTCTATAGTTTTTGTGAGGAACAGCCATAAAGTGCTAGCGCTGTAATAGTAATCAACTCCTAACTATGCATCTTTAGACACTACCTCAGGCTGCTTATGTGCTTTACAGAATCTCAAGTGGTAAAACCTGTTCTGGAATGGTTTTGTTTGCGTGTTCTCTACCCTTGTAAAAAAATATTTTTTTGCATGGAAATATGTAGTACTGGGGAGAAGAATTATGTTAACAGGAAAGTATGTATCAATTTATTGTCCTTTTAAAATACTTCATAATTTTAATTGTGACTGTTTGCCTTCTGTTATAGGTTTTGAGTTCTCTTGGTTACCATGTGGTCACGTTTGATTATCGAGGTGAGATTCTTACTCTTTTGTCCTGAGCTGGCATCTGTTACTCATGCTAACAAATTGTAACTACTATCCTATTGACTGATGAATAAAAGTCTATTTCATAAACTCTTTGAAAATCCAGATGACATGTTATTACTTTTCTAGGGGCTGTATCCTTGCTTACTACACTCACCAAATGATTCCTGCAGTCTGCTCTGTATGTGGGGCTTCCCTTGCACTTGATCAAGCAGCTGCCGCTAGTGCAGAATGTTGAAGCATGCTTGCTTGTAAGCAAATAACATCTGTGCTCAGAGATCTGCACTGGTTGCTGATTTGCAACTGGGCCATGTCCAGGGTGTTACTATTAGCATTTAAAGCCCTTAACAACTTGGGACCAGTTTACATGCGAGATTGGCCTGCCTCATATATGCCGACTTGATAGTTTTGATCTGTAGAGCTGGCACTGTTACAGGTGCTGCAGAACAGCCTTTTTGCATTTGTAAGAGACTGATACCTTGGTGTGACAGTGCCTGCACTTTGGAAACTGCCACACACAACTTCCCCTGCTTTTTCTTCTGCAGTGTTGGGCTGAGCCATGGTTTGGTGTAGCATGTTGTCTGAACCATATTTTAGCTCTCTCCAGACAAACAGTGAGCTGTAAACTATGGCACAGACTTTGATTATAGCTTGTCATTTGTTGAAAGGCAGCGGAACCACAAGCCCAGGTTCAGATGACATGCAATGCCAAACCATGACTTAGTTCAGCACAGCAGCAGAATGACTGAGGAGGAAAGCAGCCATGACTGGGAAGCCTGTATCTTTGCCCCAAGCCATATTTTGGCTTAATCTTAGAGCGAGGTTCACCTCTTAAGATAGGCTTTCGATTTATTTTCACCCTGCCTTTTTAAACAATAGAACCGCAACTAGAACTTTAAAAATGCAAAAGAAGTCCTAAAACACTACTTGTACAGAACCTGTGGCACTCAGTCGCTTTAAAGATAAAACCTCATCACTTCCTAAAACAACCAATAATAATAATTTCCTAAAGACCTGCTTGATTAGATTAGACTCTTGCTGAGAACGATGTTCCACAGAGATGATCCCGTGACTCTGAAAGGCCCTGTGTCCTAATGGCTTTTATTGAGGGAACATGGAACGAGGTTTTGTTAGAGAACATAATGTGACAGCTGTTGCAGATAGAAGAGAAGCTGCACAAAGCTCACTGCTCTGCCCTGCAGCCATTCAGTGCTGGGTGTGACTGAACTCTTTCTCAGCAGGCAGGTGTTCTTCTGTTTCCTCTCCCTTCCCTAGCCGATAGACTTGGATAAGAAGGGCAAAGTTTAAAAATACTACTTTTTTCAAACTAGTTCCATGCGCATTTAAGCAGTGTTAGGTGGAAATCTCTGGAAAGCAATGACAAGTCTGATAGAGTAAGAAAGTAGAATGGACTGTACTTCTTCAGAATATTGGGGGGGAGGGGCTCATATTTTTGAACATTTGCGTTGTTAAAACTCATGCAAAGCAGGACAACAGACAAAAGGCTGGGTCAGAGTCTTCCTTTCTGATGATCTAGTGTTCTGTTTGAAGAGAGTTCATCTATTCACAAATGGCATTTCCCACGTACAGTCTGAATTGGTACCATTCATTTTACAGTATTATTCAACCCCCACAGTTGAACTCTTGGAGGGTTTGCCTTGGAATATTTCAGGCTATAATAGAACCAGACTGAGTAAAAAGATTCTTGGACTTTAGTTTTGGTATTCTGCCAGTTCAATTTTTCTTCAGTGGGTATCTCAGCTAGGTCCAGGGTGTTAAAAGACAATTAAGAACTGACATTTTAAGTTGCAGTGCCCTGGGCCACTCGGTTTATTTGGCCTTAATTCAGACATGAAACCAGAACACTTTATTTTGATTGGCTTGAAACATGATTCCTGGAATAAAGTAGCTTTTCTCTTTGTAGGCTGGGGAGACTCGATAGGCACTCCCTCAGAGAGTGGAATGACCTATGATGCTCTTCATGTTTTTGACTGGATAAAAGCAAGAAGTGGAGACAATCCAGTGTATATATGGGGACACTCCTTGGGCACTGGGTAAGGCCAGATTGCACAAAGCAATCGTTTAATATATGAGGCTGTGTTATTACAACACATTGCATTTGAGACAACAATTCGATGCTAAATACAGTAATTGCAGTCTGAAGTACTTTCTGTTGGATTAGCAGTGAATTAAAATTAATTGTTGTGGTTTGATTTTTGTGTTTACTCTTTGAACAAATAGTGAATCATAGTATGGATTATATTGCGTAGATAATGGAATTCAAGAGAATATGAATTGAAAATAAGATAGAAGGAACCTACGATATAAGGAACCTATTGGAGCAGCATCTCCAGTGAAATTATAATGGAGATGTGTCAACCTAAACTCCCTTCTTTATTTGTTCCTTTTATTGGGACATGTCTACAGTGCCAATTTATTCCCATTTCAAATCTGCATTATTACGACTGCCAGCCAGCCAGTGAACTCTGAAAACTGGATACCCATAGTGTCTCACAGTGAAGAAATCTTGATGATATCACAGAACTAAAGATGCGCCTATAGGCATTTCAAAAGGCTGAGCAGCACTTGGTAGTGAGATTACAATCTTATGCATAGATGGGGGTAAACCCTGCTGGACAAAGTAGGACTTACTTTTCAGTAAACATGGGTGTGATTGGGTTGTAAGGAAGATGATAGAATTTTCTGTAATTGGTATCTTTAATTGTAGATTTTATTTTTGTAGAGTTGCAACCAATCTTGTAAGGCGTCTTTGTGAGCGAGGTAAGAGAGCTATATTTTGGTGATGTTATCAAAAACCATTTCATATCATCCCAACTTCCTGCTGTCTTTCAAAATAGATTAAAAGGGTTACTGTGATTGTGTTTAGTAGTAATGATTTTTTGAGCTTTAAAAACCTTTATGGGAGTTTTAAAATAGATGCAGGTGAACTTTTATTATCATTTTTAAAGGCTATAGGATTTATATGGTCTTGGTGCATCTGCCTGTCACTTTTCAGCAAAAGTAGGACTGAGAGCTTAAGCCATATATACATCTACATGTTTAATTTTAGTCTGTGGCATTCCATGTTGCAGAGATTCTAGTTGCCATCAAAGCTTAGGGCACATATTAGTAGAAATGCTCTGTTTCACAACTTTCTGTTAGTCTCAAAGCCTTTGATTTCAATTGAGTCTGCTGACCTTTTAAAAATGTAATCAGTTGGTGCCCTTTCAGGCAGAGGGGTGAGGAAATTGAGAATATTGTCTCGTTTCTGATCAGGTGAACATGTTCTTGAATTGCAGCTCATGTTTCATTCAGGCTCTGGATTCATATTCTGCTGTATCATTCAAACACCCTTTCATTTAAGTGCATTATACCAAACATTTGCTTTGCAGCTTCCATATCTTGCAGTGGGCATAGCACAGAGATTTATTTATTACATTTATATTCCACCTTTCCTCCAAGGAGCTTAAGTTGGTGTAAAGAGGTCTCCCCCTCTCCATTTTATTCTAACAACCACCCTGTGAGACTAGTGACTAGCCTAAGGTCACATAGTAAGCATCAGAATTTGAACCCTAGTCTCCCACACCCTAGCCTAGCAATGCTAATCACCAGTGACCCTCATTAGTGTCTTAAATGGACAGCACTGAAGTTCTGTTATTTGTTTTTCAGAAACGCCCCCTGATGCCCTGATATTAGAGTCACCTTTTACGAACATACGTGAAGAAGCAAAAAGCCATCCTTTTTCAGTGGCAAGTACAGATTTATATGCTGGATTTCTCATCTTTTCATGTGTGATCTGGCATCTGTTCACTTGAGAATTCTAATCGTACCTGAAGTCTGTTGGCTCATGAGCTAGCTAGCCTTTGAAAATTGAGTATTGTCTTTTCCATGTTCTGGAAATGTTTTTTCTTCTGCAAGAGCTTTGCCAATCCACAGAGGTACAAAAAAATTCCATGTCAGAAGCACACTCTGCAAATGCATTCCTAATACATTCCTAATAGTACAGTAAATTGAAGCTTTGACTCTGATGTTATTAAGAGATAGTGTAGAAATTAAAGGTAATATGCATCAGCACTCAGAAGATGGGGTATTGCACTTCCCGGTTTTTCATACTGACTCGCAAAGCTGGGATAATCTATCAAGGAGCTCTAAATTCATCTTGTATGCCTGCAACTGGGTCTTATAAACCATCATTGTTTTGAGGTTACTCTGAAATGTAAACGGGTGTAAGCTACACCCTCCAGGTATATATATCTTCTAAAGAAGGCCTTGCTGAGCCTATGAAGAGCCATACATCCTGGGAACGCCTGGTGCCATTTGCACTAATATCCCTGAGAGGAGTAATTGTTGGTGCTTCACTTGTTGGCTGGGGAAAGTGTAAGCTGCTTGCTGAAGTCTTCCTTTCTAATATGTGAGTGTTTTCCACTAACGAGGGAGGAGTGAAAAGGAGAGTCCTCCTAGCATAGTGTGTCAAATATTAGAACTAGATTGAAAAGCTAGGATTGGAGAAGAAACCTTCATCCTCCCCAATTACTCTGACCCATTTTTTTTTTTAAAAAAAATTGGCTGTTTAGCTTGATGCAGCTCTTCTGTCCTCATCAAAATACTCCTCAACAGGAAATGATCACCAGGGAATGAGGTGGCATCAGTCCTTCTCTTGAAAGGAAGAATTGAAGTCCGCTTTCCTATTTGCTTCCCACTTCTTCATTGAAGCAACTCCTGAATTAGCATCCAATGGAGAACGGATATTCCCTTTTTTTCTATTATACGAATGAGCTGTTCAAGCGCAAAGAGCAGGGTGTAAATATGTCTTCTCAATAAATTTGGCCCCACCTTCTCCTCCCCGATAAGAACTGAGCTAATGTGTGCAAGCTGTTGATATTATGACCAACTTTTCAGTCTAAACCATTCACAGAAATATTAAGTAATAGAACAGATTGCACCTTTTTTAAAAGTAATTTAATTGAAGATTTTAAAACCATCACCTTCTGATGGTTGCAGCACAACATTTAATTTTTAAAAAATGCTTCCACAGTCTGCATTGTTCTACCTGTTCCTACCTGTACCTGCATTGTGACTACCTGTGTGACTATAGTCAATTTAGGGTTTGGTATTTTTTTAATTGTTCAGAAATAGCCAAAATCTTCTAAAGAAACTTCAATACTCTTATCACTCACATACTTGTGAACTTTTTTTTTTTCAGATTTATAGATATTTCCCAGGATTTGATTGGTTCTTCCTTGATCCCATCACATCGAGTGGAATTAAGTTTGCAAATGATGAGAAGTAAGTAAATCTCTTGAATGTTCTTTGTCTTTGTCTTTCTGACTGAGGCTTTTCCTGATAGGTTTCTAAATCCTGAGAATCAGAAGCTGCTGTCTCATCCCTGAAGGCTTAGTCCATTTCAACCAGCTTCTCTAGGTCAGCTACCTTGGTTTCAAGGGATCAAATTGTGCAACTTAGTGCCAGGAGCTAATTTCACCAAGTACACCCATAACTTCTGCCTAGTAGGCATGTGACAATCTCAAGCTCACTGGATAGCTTCTACAGTCCAGCTGTTTTGCTGCCTTCATTACAGAAATTTTTGTTTATAGAACTTGTTGACTTAGAAAGTTGGGATCTATAAGGCCTACTTCATTTTTAACCAGAAATATTTTTTTTATTTTAAATAAAACTTCTTGTTCTGCGTTACACAGACTTAAGCTGTAGATATTCTGAGTTGGTGGACTTCTAAAAATTCATATTAATGTTGTGGGTTTTTTTACAGCGTGAAGCATATTTCTTGCTCTCTGCTAATTCTTCATGCTGAAGATGATCCTGTAGTACCATTTCATCTTGGAAAAAAGGTGTGTTTCCTTACCTTAAGCTCCCCCCCCCCCCCAATCTCTGCTCATAAATATCCTGAATGAATTAGAACTGGGAGAGCAACCTCAAAGTGCCGAGTGGCTAGAGGAGAAACTACAAATGGCATGTTCGAGATGGCTTGGTTTCAGTTTATCTATTTTATTAACTCCCAAACAGAAGGACTCAAATCGCCTGTTTCTCCCAACTTCAGTGAAGTTTGTTGGCCTGATAATGAAACAAGTGTTTCTATCAGTACATGTTTATATGACCAAAAATATACTTTCTGTTGTCCATATGGTTTGTAACAGATTCTCTGTTTTGTTTCTAGAAAACAATAAAAACTCTTACAAAAAACCTGGAGAGCTCTTCGGTGTACAGTAGAGAGGGCCATGTTTAATTCCAGGTTCCATGGACCAAACTAACACTAAACCCTGTGACTGGTTTCGATAAAAACAGCTTTGGATGGAAGCTATTTTCATAGTGCCTAACATTTTCCTTGCCTGCTGCTTTTACACTGCAGCTCCCTTTCGGCAAGCTACTGGCAAAACTGCTTTTCCCTTCAAGGAGTAGCAGCCTTTATGGTTCTGTTCTATACACATTTGCATGGAATGTGTAATTCAGCCCTGGGCCAGGGCCTGGGCTAACCAGAACAGAACTGTGGGCAGAATCTGGCTTTGTATGAACCTCCTTTTTATTTCCTTTCCTGTGCTTTCCTTTGCCACAATCCAGAACAGTCCATCATTTAGCTGCCCTGTATTGGCAAAAGATTATAATATTGGCAAAAGATTATAAAGGTAATTTCTGGATTATTTCAAATAAACATAGAAGTTAATAGGGATTTGTTATTTTCGGGAATACTGGGAAATAACAAAGTAAAGAGTAATAAGCAAGAGTTGTACAAGATTATGATTCTACCTGGAATGGCAGTTATTGCTTTGGGATGGAAAGAAAAGGCCAAATGGAATATGGAAAAATGGAATGATTATGTTTTTGAATACGTACAATCAGAAATATTCACACAGATAGTGGCAGAGGATAGGTGGGAAAATAAATGCCAAAGAATCACAAATAAATGGGCATTTTACAGGAATTGGATAGAAAGAGGGGAAGCCAACCCTAACATACAAGCTCAAATGAACAGACTGTGTACATGGATAAAGATATGAAGAAGGAAGGCCTGACTGGGGTGGGGGGAGGGCTGGAGTGGGGAGGGAGGGAAAGGAAAAAAAAGTAAACCGGATGGTATTTTGAATTGATTTTGTTATGTAAGCCTTTTTTTCAGAAACCATATATATTAATGTTATGTAGTTAGGCATTGAAGTATGAATGAATTTTGTTCTGTATTCTTTGTTTTATAGAATATATATAATAATTTTATGTTACTAAGCAAATTTAATAAAACAGAAAAAAAGAAAGAAAAAACAAACAAACAAACAAAAGTTAGCTGCCGTGAAGCAAATTTTGTTTCTCTGTATGGTGCTCACAGGGCTCCGCACAGATGGCTCCTAAAGTTGCTGGGAATAGTTGGCTCCTAAGAGGTGGCAGCGAAAGGGAGGTGCCAAAAATAATGCTGCATATGCAGGACTGCAACTTTTGTACTCTGCACTAATTAATCTTGAGTAATTTCTGCTGCCCAGTTTGTGCTTCAGTCTTGAGGGGGTGGCAGCTATCCCATGTCTAGGGTGAGAAGCTCTTAAGCCAGCTGTCTGAGGACTCGGACTTCATGGAAATCACCTCTTTATCTGACAGACAAGGACATTATCACTTCAGGAACAGTGTGATGCAAAACAAAAATAGGATGAGTTTGGAACTAGGTTTTGCTGGCACAAATTGCTGCAGCTGGACTCTTGATGGGGACAAACTATCACCAGGACTAACTCTGGTACTTAAAAGCTGCCCAGACAAGGTTCCAAGGTTCTTCTATTAATTTTACGAAGGTCCTTATCAGCTTTGGTCCAGGACAATTTAAGGACTGCCAGATCCCATATCCCATGTCCCAATCACAGAGGCTTTGTGAGAGTCTCTGTTGGTAGTCCCCCATGGCTCAAATGCATGACTTGCAACTACTAGAAGCCATGTTTTTAATGTAATGGGACCAAGCCTCAATAAAAGTTCCTTGTTCCAGCAGCATTCAGTTTTATGATAAAGCAGTTTTAAAGTTTGTTTTTATGTATACTGTTCACACATACAAATGATTAAGTGGTACATAAGCGTCTGACATAAATACCTATCCTTCAAGTGGACTTTCACTTGAGAATCAGTTTGACTCTCCACAGCATGTGTCAGAAAAAGATCAGGCTCCACAGTAAATTTTGTTTAGAAAAGATAACATGGGTTTCCTCCCTTGGAAAACACCTGTTCAAGAGGCCCATGTTGCATATATTTGTGTACACAAGTCATGAACAACTGAACTTTGTGCATGTTCATTGTTATACAACATTGGAAGAGTTTCCATTGCTGCTTAAAACTCAAAGCTCTTTTAAAAAAGATTTCTGAGCAACAGATGTGCAGCTTCACTTATCACAGATCCACATATCACAAACCTGTGGGTTCTGATCTCTCCTTCAATCCATAAAGTCACATTTGAAAAGTACTTTGAGACTTTGTCCCTTCAGTGTTCTTGTAACTACCCAGTTTCAAGTAGAACAGAATGGTCAAAGAGTGATATAACCAGCTGACATGAAGTAAGTATGATTGTTTCTTGGGCACAGAAATTGCCGTGCAGTAACTGGTGCTTAATTAGCTACATCAAATATAGTTACAGAAATAGACGTTGTCACTGCTCTGTATTGAGGGGCTATCCATTTCATTAACTTGCATTTGTTTTGAAATGTCTTTGACAGCTATACAACATTGCTGCCCCATCTCGGAGCTTCCGTGATTACAAAGTACAGTTCGTTCCATTTCACACAGACCTAGGCTACAGGCATAAATACATCTACAAGAGCCCAGAACTACCTCGAATATTGCGGTAATTAAAAGGGTCACTCATAATCTGTGTTCTGCTGTTTGCACAGGCAGATGCAGTTGAGCTGTACAACATAAAGGGTGTGTGTGCGTGTGTGTGTGCTTATTCTGGAATAATTTCCTTTGTTTTCCACTTTACCCCAGAGGTTTATTGTAGGACCCAAGCACAAAAGCACATCATTGCTAGTAACTGCTGATTAAATTGGCAACATTTTCCAAATGACTTGGGTGAGACTGAGAGCCAAATGAGATATGATTGGTGCAGTCATGCATGTTTGCATGTCTCCTCTTTTTACAATGCATTTAAAGCAAGGAAGGATGGCAGGTTTGGGTTTTGCATAAAAATGGGTGTGTGGGTGAGAGTGGCCAATCCTCTCCCCCCCCCCCCGCCCTCTTGTCTTGCCTCCTTTTGATCTGTCACTTCACTTGGGGCGCTTCTTTCTCACCCTGGTTCACATCCAGTATCTGAGCAGGTATAGGAGAGGGGAAAGGAAGGAAGCTTGGTAGTAGAGCACATGCTTTGTATGAAAAGGTCCATTGTTGCAGTTAATTGATGAATAGCCTGCTGCATGTACATCAGAGTGACTTACAAACATATCATATAAACAATCCTTAGTATCTTAGAAGTAGGGCTGGGAAAGAGCCAAGTCTGAAACTCAGAGTGCTGCGTTCCTAAGGCAGGGCAAGTTTCACTCCCTATGCATCCTTTTGACATTATATTCATACATCTTCTCTCATCACCCCTGTCAAAAGCAACACACCCTTTCTTTAAATGTATAAGGGGGGTTGACATGTGAATAAGCAAAAAAAGGCTGCACCCCAGAACCTCAAGGGCTTTTTTGTGTTAAGATTTTTATTAAACTTTTTTGTAAAACAGTTAAGACATAGAAAACTAATGTAAATAAAAACAAAAACAGCTACAAACATAATTTCAAGTTTGACAGCTTGGTAAGACTATGTGTATGCTTGTGTCCCTTCTTCTGTTTTGCTTGTTTTTTAAATATCATGATCCCATCTTTGAAAGAGAGCGATCGCTCTGCAATGTAGGGCATTTAAGGGTATCTAAGTGGGAAAACTTAAGCTGACCGGAGTTCTGAAATCTACTGGCCTCAGAAGGGCAGGTGGGAAGAGAATGGATGAAGTTGAAGTACCAAAACAACTGACACTGCTGATACATATGTGTGTGGTGTGTATTTTTCCCTCTTAGGGAATTCCTGGGGAAATTGGGACATGAGCATCGTCACTGAGGACTAACTGCATGGTTGACTTAAGTTGTCATCTACAAGAAAAGGTCTGCCATTCTTTTAAACCCAGACACTGAATAAGTCACAGATTCCTGCTTCAGTCTTAATGCATACACTTGGAAACCCAGCCTCTGGGGCGATAGAGATACGAAGAAAAGAATGTAGCTGGCTCGTCTCTCTCCCTCTCCCCGCAAGCCCCTTCTAAAGAACAAGAGAACCAAACAAATCACAGCAACTAAGTTCAAGCACAAGAAGGACTTGGCAAAAACCTTTCAGAGATTATGAACATTCCTACAAGTGTCTGTTCGGCCGCAACAGCTTTTTAGAACACAAAAAACCCTTGCACTCGGAAACGCAAATGAACTGCAATTGTCTTTAAAAATGTAACTGCTATAATATTTCAGTGCTGCATCTAGTTTACCTGAGTTGCAGGTTGCTCTTTTAATAGAATTTAGTTCAGTGAGGAGTTTCCCCTACCCTTGTCAACTGCAGAGTTGCTGAATATGGTTTTTGGTTCTGAAATTCATTTGAGAACTTTCAAGAGATCAGGATGCTTTCAAGAAAACATTTCAGAATGCAATGAAGGATGTTTCTCCTTTAAAATAAGGCAACTATTTAATAGTGACTAAGCTTCTCTTTCTCTGTTGCCTTGCTTTGAAGTTTCTTAGTTGTCTCCCACATATAGATAATATATAAAAATCTTTATTATACCTCATATACAGACACATCCTCTTTAAGATTCTTTCTTCCTCTGACTTTGAGATTCTTTCTTGTCTCCAAACCATTTTATTTAGATGTACAGGTTCAATGGGTGATGTGAGATGTATTGAATACAAATTGCACCCTCAAACGTTGTTTGAAAGACTCCTTCAGTAAATAGAAGGTGTCTTTATACTTTGTCAAGAATGGGTGGAGATTTTTTTTTCTGCTGTGATGAAGATGTCTTCCAGTCTCCTCTAGAGACATATAAGCACTTTGGGGATGAGAAAATTGGTATCATTTTTCATAATCATGATCCTTAATACCCCTACAGCCCTTTCATTTCCTTAAAAAAATAATAATACTCAGGTACATTAAAGCTGGTCAAAAGTTTTCTGTGAGAGAAATTACATCAAAATACTTTAACCTGAAGTTCTCATCTGGTAAATTATGTTGGTTTTCATTGGCAATAAAACATTTGCTCTGACTTTCCTTAACAGCAAAATATTAGCAATTATATTTGAAAGTCCTAATTTTTTTCAGACCAAGCAAAGGCATTGAAAGTGAAAACAAAATTCTTTTTTTGCATAACATATTTAGTTTGGTATATATATTTTAATTAAAAGCTGGAGATGTATGAAAACTTCCTGACCAGCCTTGAATGTTTCCTTCAGTTGGCACATGCCAGGAACAAATACTTATTTTTCATTTTTTAGCTGTAGCAAAACAATCCTGGTCTGAATCGAAATTTTAGCAGGCAGCACGATAGTAAATTAATAGTAGCAAATGCTGAATCTAAAATTCATATTTCTTTCCCTTATTGGCCTTGGCCTTATATACCTCATGATGATTCGGTCTCATTATGGCTGCTGGAGTCCATTTTTGATGCGTAAAAAATTGACACATTTAGCCATTATGTTGTTGAATTTACAGATTATTATTTTTTTTAAAAATGCATTAATCCATCCATATTGAGAAGACGACAGTAAAGACCACTTTAGTAACCTTTTGGAGGTGTTTGAAGGAGATGCTACATAGTGCAATACTGGACCTTAAGAGTCCTGATGGCTTGCAGTTCACCATGGCTCTTAACTGAAAACTGCCATTCCTCCCCATCTCACTCATGTCAGGGCTTCTGCTTAAACCAGACGTGAGTTCAGCATGCTCTTCTTCAGGATTCTCAGTCCACCATTCATGCAGGCATGGCATGGCAGACAATTTGAGACATTGTGAGTAGGAATCAAAGGGCCATGGGCAGTTTAGCTGTTGGGTCCTAGCAGACTGATTTACAGTAGCTCCAGGTTTTGTGTCATTGGCCCTGAACTGTTTCATTCCACAAACATACAAGCATTTGGCATAGTAGTCTTAGATATTAGTGTTCAGAAGTGAATTATTCAGCCTGAAGTGTATTAGAGAGCAGTGTTTGCTAATATTGTCTGTATATGGAATACTCTGGTTTTGCATGCATCAAAGAGTTGTATTTTAGAGATTATCATACTTCCAAAGCAGACAGTAGCTTGTTCTTTGCAGTGAGACTTTCTGCTGTAGTGAGATCTACCAAGATTTTGATTCACCATAACCTCTGAGCAAATTGTGCCACATATACAATCCCATCTCTTCCCTCCTACATTCCATGTGCTTTGGTTTACTACACTAACAAGGACAGAAACACTTAACTTTGCCTTTCTTGTCGAAGCAAACAGAATGTTCCATGTAATGCCGCTGCTGCTATCGCCCACCTTAGTGTCGGTAAAAGTACAAACCAATGTGGAAATGTCACCTCCTCCCATGCAACAAAAATTAGATTCCAGCGCATGTATCAGTGCTGTTTATCCCGAGACATATGTTCCAATTATTAGGCCAGTGATACACATTGAAATGGAAATGTTTATCTAAAAAGTGTGTAGTTTTAATAAAACAAATTACTTAAGAATTTTTTTTGTTGTAGCCTTTTTAAAAAAATTAAATTTAAATTATGGGCTTCTGGATCTGCCCAGGAAAATACTATCAAAAAGACACGTAGAATTTAACATGTCTGGCATATTGGATGGGTTCTAAATAATTGTGCATGGAATTTTGCTTGTATAACTGGACTTTCTGCTTCAGCCCTTGGGGTTACGGGTTAAGGAACCCTCTCAAATGCTGTGGGTGTGGGGGGTTTTTTTTGGGGGGGTGCAGCTGGGTATGGATGGGGATCTGGGACAAAGAGGATCCTTCTGACTACTCAAGGAACTATTGGATCCTGCCCATTGTGATTTGTCTGGGGCTAATAGCAGAACAGAGATAGAACTGATTTCTTTCAAAGCTCCCCTGAGCAGCAGAAATGTACTAAGCAGCCAGCAGCATGTGATTCATCACTGCCCCAAGTCTGACAAACTCATGTGTACCGTACTTACAATGGACTTTGGATTTCTGTTTCCTAGAGTTGGTATATATACTGTGATGTTTGGCAACCAATTTTCAATATGAATGTAGGGTTGCAAGTTTTTCTATTCTCCATTTGCTGAGTGACTTCCTCTCATGTCCTTTGAAATTGTGAATTGCGGTCCATGTGTTTAGCTGTTCGTTATAATTTCTGTAGCACTTTACATTGTGAAGTGTCCTACAATCATAATCTTTATTGGCACCCACATTTGTCCACTTGTGTTGCAGCTTTAAACATACTGCCCAAGTAGCATCTTACACCTCAGCACAGCTTTGAGGGGGTGGGGCTGGAAATATCCTCTGCTTGAAATCTGAGCTAAACAGACCAAGAGTCTGATTCAGTATAAGGTAGCTTCCTATGTTCCTGTATTACTTTTTCATGGCTGCCTCCAAGGAATCTTGGGAACTGCAGTTTGGAGAAGTCCCTAGGCCTCTCCCTTTCACAACGGTTGCTTGAGGTATATCGTTTGGATATACTGACACAGCTAACATTTACCAGAAACCTAGTTTTCTTGAAGTATGTGAAAAGAGGCTTCTGGATGAAAGAAAGGTGTAATTTAGGTAAAAATTGTTTGAAGCTCCTGAGTTCTTCAGTATTTGTTAGTTGTTTTTTAATTTTTTAATCAATTTTTTCAATACAAACAACCACAAAAAACACATACAACAAAAACCACAATAACACTAATAACACAATTTAACAAATCAGGTTTGAGTACTGATATACCTATAACTACACCTTTTTAACAATATTTCCCCACCTCTCCTCCCCTTGCTTCCTACCACTGTCCGCTTTATCGCTTAAGTATTCCTTCCAGATTTCTTCATATTTATCCATTCTTAATTTGCGTCGACATGCAATTCGTTCGTATGTAGCTAGTCTGTCCATATTTGTTAGTTCTGTTGCAAGTCTTGTGACCTCCCGTTGACTGGTATCTGTTTACAAAGAGCTGCAAGCAAAATGGAATACTTCTGTGTTCAGTAATGATCTGTCCCCTGGTGGCAGAGCTATGTAACTGAGGATTTAATACTCTGAATTCCTACCAAAGTGTACACTCCTGGAAAAGTTAGTGGTGACACCCACATCTTGGGCTCTGTTTCTGAGCCTGATGACACTCCTAAGGGCTAACATTTATTGTGGCCCAAGATTTTCTGGACCTGAGCCTACTTGGTCAGATATATTAAATGTTACTTAGCAGATTATACTTAAACATACAGAGAAGTTTGTGAGGTGGGGGGAGATAATGCAACAGGGTCAAGCCATCTCTCTTGCTCATTTCCTTCAAGCAGGACATGAATGAAAAAACCCTTTCCTGCTGTTGTTCCCCATCAGCTGGAATTCAGAAGCCCGATACGGGATGAAGTATATAGCCATCATGAATGGTTGCCATTGAAAGACACTCATTAAATTGTCTTAAGTTTTCTTTTCAAGGCAGCCAAGGTGGTGGCCTAGCCCACAATTTAACTGCAGTGTGTGAAGAAGGACTTCCTTCCATATAGGGTTGCCATATTTTGAAGAACAAAAAAGAGGACACATTTGCCGACTTCTGCTTTTAACTATGGATCACTATGATGAGACTCATTTTACATACTCATGAAAATGAGGATGTGTCCTGGAAAAGGGGACATAATGGCAACCCTATAGATGTCCTAATCTTCCAATAGACTTCACTGGATGGCCTTTCCCCCCCCCAAAGCCTTTTCCCCATTCTTCTTATTAGGATAAGCCACCCTATTAATAATATTTTGATGTACAGGTGCCCGTTATATGGAAACCAAACCAGCAGAACTACAGGAGATTATGCTGGCACTCCTTAAAAAAAAATAAAGCCCTGCTTAATCCCACCCAACGTTCATTCACAGTCAGCACTGTGTCCATGTAATGCAATAGTTCTGTACAATGCATAGGGAAATAAAGAGCAACTACAGTGGATGGCTGTGTGACTTTTAATAATTTTGAGAGCACGAGAGATTGACAGTAGTATATCAAACACACACATACACAAACTCAAAATCTCAAAGTTTTGAAAGTGCTATGAGAGTGACAAACAACATTTATTTTGCAAGCAATGGACCATTTTGGTTAAGTCAGAGATCTTCATTAATGATCCAGTTCTGCTACTCCAGCCCACTCTTGTCTGAAGAAATGCCATCTTTGCAGTACAAGTTAATTACTAGGTTGGGTTTTTAGGCCATATAAACAAAGTTGTATTGCAAAGTGGGAATGTCTGCATGTGACGTTTTATGCTTGAGACTCAATGCGGGACAGTGCTTTATCATTAGAGAGAGATGTTCCTGATTGCTTAAAAGTATATTTAAATAGACATAATGAGAAACACTCAAGAGAACAAAATGTCATTCCCTTGGGTTGTATCCAGCTGAGTTAAACACACTGAAAATAATAGACTGGAATTTGTAATGTCCATTAATTTCAACTGTCTATGCCAATGTTAAACACAACCCTCTATTTGGAGTTTTAGATGGACACAGCAGGACAAGGCACACAAATACTGACCTGTAATCAAACTATAAACCATTCCATCAAGGGTGAGATTAACAGCATTAATGTTCAAATTCCAAAACCGTCCTTCCAGGAAATCCTTCAATTATTTGTTCTGCTTTTGATAAAATGAACGAAAAGCACATGATGTATCAACTCCAGCCCACCAACCTCACACCCAGTGTGCTCGTGTATTGGTAGGGGCTCTCCCACTCACTTCAATGGAGGGACAGATTTCCATATGCAAAGGAAGGCAAGCAGAATGGTTTCTTCCTAACGAGGAGGTTGGAATACAGAGTTGATTTCCACAAGCCTACTCAGCGTAAATGGAGATAGCAGAGGCTAGCCCTTGTCTCAAATGCCCTTAAAAGCATGTTTACATGTATGAACCTTCATCAATCGATGAAGAGATGGTGTATACTGGGTTGCTGCAAACTTCTCCACTCCTCTTTGAAATGTCCTCTTCACAGTCAAGCATTTCCTATTGTTTGCTTATAAACTTGCTGGCTTCCTGCTGTTTTAGTTAAACCATCTTTATCTCTTGGAATGATTAAGAATGGTCAACATTCACACTTTTTGTAGGAACCTACAGAGCAAACTTGCAAGGCAAGGAAGGTAGGGACTCTTTCGATGGATGGCCTTTCTGCAGACCCTAGCCGAAGCAGGTAACCCTCAGTTATTTTAAACCTATTTTTTCTCCAAATACTGCATTTGGAGATGAAAGAGCTGGGTTTGAATTAGAGGCAGCTGTATCTGGTGGCCTTAGGCAAGGCCTATGTCACCTCACACAATTAGTCTGTTGTACACCTGGAGGGTTCGATGAGGCTGTGGTAGCACCATTCCAGATATGTGGCAACCATTATGGTGTCCTCCAGATATCATAGACTACAGTTCCTGTTTATTTGCCATGGTGCCTGGGGCTGATGGAATTGCAGTTCAACAACATCTGGAGGGGGGTAGAGGTGGCAGAAAACTATAAAAGGGGCCTGTGACGGTTTTGTCAGAAGGCTATAAAAAGAGCATGGTTAATCAGAATTCTCACCTTTGCCATTCTCCACCCCACCTTTTCTTCTCTGTCTTCAATCTTTTGCTAATTTACTGTTCTCTACCTACTCAAATGCTGTTTTTAGTCCACAGTGTCACCTAGTTGGTTCTTTGACTTTATAATTATACCCTTGAGTTCATTCTATGTAGTACCGTATTTTTCGCTCTATAACACGCATCTGACCATAACACGCACATAGTTTTTAGAGGAGGAAGACAAGAAAAAAAAATCTGAATGAAACGGTGGATGTATCATTTTTGTGCTTCATGCTGTGGCCACAGACATGTGATTTGACTGTGAGTTTGGGGTAGCCCAATGCAAAAATCCTGAGAATCCATGTGGATCTGTGCTTTGTAACCACGTTTTTGCACCACTGCAGCCCCAGGCAACAGTGGGTGCGTGATTTTTTTGGTACAGGCTGTAGCCATGGACATGTAATGTGATATGATGGTGAATTTGGGGTGACCCAATGCAAAAATCCTGAGGATCCATGTGGATCCGTGCTTTGTCACCACGTTTTAAATGGGGAGGGAAGGAAAAACACAAAAGGGACAAGGAGCACGAGAGGGGTGTGCAGAAAAGCAGCTGGCTAAGAATGCAGGGGAGGGGTTTAACGGGGGGGAGGAGGAAAGGAAGGCAAAAGTCCCCCCCCCACCCAAGCCAGCCCTCTCTCTCTCCCCCACCTGCATTTTTTCCGGCTGCCTGCAAGTCCCTAGAGCACGGAGAGGAGGAGGTGGTGGGCTGGAGCCTGGTGGGCTGCAGCCTGCACGCAGTGTGACTAGGAAAGAATTAGAATGAAGGACTCGATCCTTTCCTTAACCCTCTGCTTGCCAGGAGGGCAGGGGATTCCCTGCTCTTTGTTGAGTTTGAGCAAACGCAGCAACAGAAACAGAAGCGGGTGGGCAGTAAGACCCTGAGGCAGAATGCAGGAAAGCAGCAGCTTCCGCCTTCCCTCCGCCCGCCCGATCTTATTTTTGCCTGATTTTTGCCCCTGCGCCCCAATCTTATTTTTGCCTGATTTTTGCCCCTGCGCTCCGGCGAGTCAGCTCCAGGGACCACACATTTGCTCAATAACACGCATAGACATTTCCCCTTACTTTTTAGGAGAAAAAATCTGCGTGTTATAGAGCGAAAATTATGGTATACACTGCATTTAAGGTTTGTAGTCCACTCAAGTATGAGAGCACCTTAACTATTAACTTTTCTGCTTTAATAGAATGGGAATAATTTCAATAATTCTTGCACTTTGTGACTGACCCGCTCAGATTAAAGAAGTGTTGCTTTAACAGGACTAGCCCACATGGTGCCTTCACAGGACCCCTTGAATATATCCTGCTTATTTGAACTTCTCTTATGATGTCTATTTGTTTTGTTAATGTAATTTGTTTTGTAATGTGATATGGGGGGACATTTCTGTTTAGTCAGGTGAGAGTTGGTTTAACTATCACTGGAGGACTTTAACTGACATCTGAGGAGCAGTTGGAGATGGAACTCTGAGTATGCAAAAGACAGCTAGAGAGTATGTCTATTCTGATTGGTGGTTGCAGGTTTAGAACATTTAGTTAGACCATGTGATTGGTTGGGGGCTAGACAGGGTAGGGCATATAAAGCTGGGTGCTAGTCAGTCTGGGTCAGTCCGTGTTGGTTGGGGCTTGGTGTCTGTGGTGGACAGCCAGAAGAAGACAACAACAGCAGATGATCAAGGAAGAAGAAAGGAGACCTGAAAGGAAGGCAAGAGTGGCTTGGTGGCCAAAGTTTTGCTTAGGTAGCTGAATCTCTTGGCTTAGGCAAGTGAGGGAGAAGAACTGAGAGGAAGTTTGGAGTGTCTGGTAAAAGAACCAAAGGAAGATTCCAGGACAATATCGCAGAAACAGATCTCTGGGGGCTTCAACAAAAGTCCTCAGTTAACAGCATTGGTAAGTCTCAATAGGAGTGGAGTGAAATATAAGGACAACCTGGCAAAAGGGTTTTAACAGGATAACTACTGTATTTTTTGCTCCATAAGACAGACGTTTTTCCTCCTAAAAAGTAAGGGGAAATGTCTGTGCGCCTTATGGAGCGAATGCATGGTCCCTGGAGCCAAATTGCCCAGGGGCAAAAAGCAGATCGTGCTTTTTTTTAGAAAGAGGGAAGGGGGTGTTGAAACAAAGCCACTGAGCAGCTGATCGGCAAGTGACCAGGAGGGAGATAAGGGACACTAGTGATAAAGGAGGCTGCCTGGGAGGGGGGAGGTAAAAGCACATGGATCCTCAGGATTTTTGCATTGGGTTACCCCAAATTCACTATCAGATCACATAGCATGTCCATGGCTATAGTCTGACCAAAAAATCATGCATCCACTGTTTCGTGGGGCTGCAGTGGTGCAAAAATGTGGATCCACATGGATCCTCAGGATTTTTGCATTGGGCTACCCCAAACTCACCATCAAATCACATGTCTGTGGCCACAGCATGAACCACAAAAATAATACATCTACTGTTTCGTTCAGAATATTTTTTTTCTTGTTTTCCTCCTCTAAAAACTAAGCGCGTCTTATGGTCAGGTGTGTCTTATGGAGTGAAAAATACGGCAACTGCTTCCTCAACGTTTTATTGGTTTACTAATAGTAGCGCAAAATAAGCCATTGGTATTTAAGTGACAGCAACAAGTCAGACAGTGTATGCCAATTAAAAGAGGCAATAGCATATTAAAGTAACCACATAAGTTTGTGTACTCAATAAACATTAACATCTTTGTTAAATATAGTGACTATTTCTGGCACCACACCCATAGCCCATAGTTACCAAGGGCATAGGTAAGTCAAAGATTCAAAGGATATAAGTAGAAACAAAACAAAAAGCACCCTTCCCTCAACTCCCATCATCCCCAGTCAGCATGGCTAATGGCTAGGGATGATGGGAGTTGTAGTCCACAACATCTGAAAGGCACCATCTTGGTAAGCAAATGCAAGCTTCCTGGGCTGCACTACCAGCACCTGCCAAGCAGTGCTGAAAGGTGGAATAATTCATTTGTCAAAACATCATATTCCAACCCCTACCCTTTCCCTTTTAGGTTATTAATTGATGCCTACTGCTAGATTCAGAAAGATACATTTATGCATTTTTCTAAAACAACCATAACTGTGTTTTCGGAGGATCTAACTGCAAAGATGCAGTAGTGAAGGATTTATCCAACAATACACTTGGATGTCGCATAAACATGCAAGATTTAAATGTCTATCACAGGTGCTTACTGAATCAAATTGGTGGTCCACACAACAGAAAGTGTTGTACTTTACAGCAGAAATACAGAAATATAGATCCTTTGCACAAGCTGCGGCAAAACTACACAAACTTTTTAAAGATGAAAATACAGTGGATTGTCATGAAATGAAAATGACAAGGGTGTTACTTTTCAGATACTCGTTTCACAAAGTTAAGTTTTATGGATTTTTTCAGCAATCAATTTTTGTAACATGACTTAATTTGCTTTGAAAACATATTTAGTGTCATTTTGATTTACTTATTTTCATGGGGTATTCAATACCCAGAGCATTCTAGTTGCATTGGCTTAAGCATCACCACGTCAAAAGAGATGGTCAACTTTAATAACGCCAATCATGTTTTTTTGGTAGGGCCACTAAGACCCCTATAAGAAGTGGAAAATATATGTGGGTGGTCGTTTCATATGGCATGTGTTTCAGCATTTCTTCAAATTAATACTAACTAGATACAATTATTTACTGGTGATTTCTGAAGAAAAAAAAAAGGAACTAGCACTTTTAATGAACCCTCTGGTTCTGGAATTTTATATAATAACATACATTCATTTCTGGTCCTGGTATTCTGCATTAAAGTGCATGTTGAGTTGGCAGTCCATGCCCAGCTGGGATCAAGCCGCTTTTCCAGCCAATTTTCCCAGCCCTTAGAAATGAGCAGCCACTTATTTAGCAGCCCAGGCTGCAAAGGGCTGGCTCAGGTGCCAGGAAAACTAATGGTATGGTCTGAAATTAAAACTCAAAAGGAATCAAACGATAGGTGCCGTTTTCTTTTAATAAGGTAGGAATGTGAGACCCAGAAACAGTAACTGATGAATGAAGGCCACTGGGCTGGAAGTGGAGCTGTGACTCCAAAGCTAGCTGCATGTATTGCCAGGTGTGGTCTTCTACACTGGAGTGTAATACAGGGATGGACTATATGGTGGCCTCTAGATGTTCTTGGACTCCATCTCCTATCAGCCCCCAGTCAGCCTGGCCAATGGTTGGGGATGATGGGAGTTGACAGTCCAACATCTGGAGGGCCACAGGTTCCCCACCCCTCCTGTAGGAAATGCAACTTCTGCATCAAAGCTGCACTACTGATGACCCACTAAGCCAAAAGGAGCCTACAAACCACGGATGGTGGTGTACCTGAAGACTCAAAACAGCATCTTGGCTTTTTTGGTGGGGATTTTTTGAAGACTGCCAAGTATCTAGGGGACTACAGGTTTTCTCTAGTAGCTTCATGTTCACTTGTTGTTATGGTCTGCACTCTAGATGACAGCAATAGTCCTTTCAGCACTGCTTAAATATTCTTCAGCATCCTTGTTAAACCCCCAGGTGTTCTTTAGGTGTCCTGTTGCCAGAAGTTCCCATATAGATATATATAGAGAGATCTTCTCAATTAAAAAAAACACTTGAGTTCAGCACATGCAAATTGACAGTTTAAAACCGGAGCAGGTTAATAACAACCGTTTGGGCGTCTAATAACAGGAAGGATGGGAATTTCTTCAGAACATGATCTCTGAAAAGTGCATCTATTTTGGGGGTCATTGAAGAGTTCCAGCCTAACGTCCCAACAGAGGGCAGCACATGTTTGTTCAAAGTAAGTCATCTGACAGCACCCAACTCTTGTCTTTGCAGTTTCCACCCCCCCAACAGACATAAGCATCTCCTGACTAAACAGGGTGGCCTGGCATGGGAGCAAAAGGGCGTGGGAAGTCGGGTACCGTCTCAATAATACAGAACATGCATGCAGGTTGCATTGGTTAAATAGGGGTTTTAAAAGAGAGAATGGCCTCATCTCACCTTCCTCACTCAAGCTCCCTGCTTTAGGCTCAGAATCTTATCACTGCCAACAAGGTCAACGCTTATCGGCTATAACCCTGCAGAGCACCAGTTTGCCTCCGTTTTCAAGTAACCACCATGCCTTTTATAAATATATGAGAAGCCCAGCGGGTGGTAAAATGCACGTTTTGAATTCATCTGTGGAATATTCATTGGGAAGCAGGAAGTGCCAGAGCAGCAGGGCCTTTGCATGCACCTCTTGCAGCGGACTTACTCCCTCGGGATGTTGGGCGGAGGGATCTTCACGGCAGAGGGCTCCACCCCCCAGATCTCTCTGGCGTACTCGGTAATTGTCCTGTCACTGGAAAACTTGCCAGAGCATGCAATGTTCTTGATTACCTTTTTAGTCCACTCTCTGGGATTCTAGAAAGGAAACGAGTGGGAAGTTTGGTAGCTTCAGCAGAGGAACCCCAAAAGACACAATGCAGGTTATAATTACAGGCAGCCCCCTGCCCCCATTTACACAGGGATTATGTTCTGGGTCTTTGTGCGCAGAAGTCCGCCCCACCCTCTTTCAGTGCCAAGCACTGCGTGTGCGGTCGTGCGTGCATCAAATGTGCGCAAATTAAGAGTTGCCAGCTCACAACTCTGTTTTTGTGGGTGTTGTGTTCTGTGTCATTGCACGTGTCAACAGTCGCACTTAAGTATGTTCCATCCCCTCCCAGGGCCAAAACAATGCGCACGTTGGCAGTTGTGTGTCAAATGGATGTGCCTAAAATGGTCGCTCCCTGTATATAACAGCTAACCTTTAATTGGGAATCTACAACCCCATAGAATAGTCGTATGTCCATAACACTCTTACAGCTGCAGAATATATGGCAGCCAAGGCTTGTTTCCTCCTCCGGCCTGTTGTCCACCCTCTCTCCAACCTACTTTAATCTATCAGGGCCTTCTCAGTGTTAGCACCCTGGCCATGGAACTCCCTGCCCACAATCTGGCACTTTTCCCATTGATATTTCACCATTAAGAAATCATTGATCTCTTGCTTACTTGACCTGTATATCATCTGCCCTTCTGTCTGCATTTAGATGGTTTTCTAATATATTTTTTCATTTTACATGGTTAGCTGCCTCAGGCATCTTTGTAAAGAAAGGTAGGATACAGAATGAATGAATGAAGACAGCCTTTTGCTGGCTGAAATTCACACTCTGTTTACCCAAACTGCTGAAATGCACTTTTCAGTCTACAAATCCATTGAGAAGAGTGGGTCTTTCCCACCACTCAGTTCACCTTAGGAAACCAGAGCCATAGTCTTCTGTCTATTTCACAAATAAGCCCATTTTTTAAATCTTCAAAACTTGTTGAACATTGGTCTTACCATGTACAGCTTGTCCACTTGCCCTTGAGCTTTTATGTAGGCTTCATAATCAGCAAACACCTTAAACCTGAAACAAAGAAGCGTCTGAGAGTAACTGCGACCTCAGAGGTGTGTTCTCTCCAGCTTTTTCTTATACTCACCACTGCAAAGGCCAGGGCATATACAAAAGTGTATACGCCTTTGACATAAAATGAGTGTCAGCCATTGTAAATTGCTGCCCATTTCCCTCTCGATGATGGTAACGTAATATGGAGATACAGAGCCAGTTGGGTGGCTGCAAAGGCATAGAAAAGCCACACCATGGACCGTCAGAAAAGTGAAGCCAGGGATGGTATGTCATCTGGTATGCCCTGCAGAGGACCTTAAGGTCCATGAATAATCATAGTTTAGAGGTCCCGGGCCCTAAGGAAGTTAGACTATCCTCCACCAGGGTCAGGGCCTTCTCAGTGATGGCTCTGGTGGAATGCTCTGTCCCATGAGACCAGGGCCCTGCAGGATTTAACTTCCTTCCGCAGGGCCTGTAAGACAGAACTATTCCGCCTGGCTTTCAATTTGAACTTAGCCTGATCTTTTGTTCCCCTTCCTTCCCTCCCCCTCCCCGTTTTGTGAAGATTGCCCGCTCTGGGATCCCACAGCTGGTTCTCCCCTGGTCTCCTCGCTGGCCCAAGTGGGACTAATTTAGCCAGCTAGCCCTGGTGATCATCTAATGTTTATTGGATGGATTGTTATTTACACGTATTTTATGCTGTTTTTTGTAGTATCAATTAAGTGTTTTAAATTTGTTGTTAGCTGCCCTGAGCCCAGTTTCCTGAACCGGGAAGGGCAGAGTATAAATAATTTTATTATTATTATTATTATCCATGAAACGCATACCACTGCTTAACCCTGGTTTAGAGCATGCAGGGAAGGCGCATGATTGCTGCCTCTCACCTGTCATGATACATAAGCATGTCGACGACATCTCGGAAGCACCCGGGATCATCTGGTGAGAAGAAGCCACTGCCAATTTGGTCAACAGCTTGTTTGAGCTCTGGAATCCTCTCATAGTATTCCTTAGCGTTGTACCTAAACGAGGAAACAAATGACATGTTCGGCCTTCTCATCATCACTTGCAGAACACGTTGCTTTATATGCTCCACTCAAAGGAGTCAACAGCCCTGTACTAAAGTGATCCAAAGAGGGCCGGCCCAAGACATTTTACCACCTGAGGCAAATGACATTCTGGCAGCTTGACCTTGCGTCAACACTGTTGATGGGATGGGCTCTTCCACCACACCTGAGGGCAGCGTAAGGGTAGTTTGAGGGGCATGAGGCAAGCCACATGGCACACACAGCTCTCCTCCAACATCCTGCCACCACTAAGCATTTGCTGACCGAGGTGGCTGCCTCACTTGGCCTAATGACAGGGCTGGCCCAAGTCCAAATGACTGACGAACTGGATTTGATTTTGAAGCGATTGTCCATGATGACACCAAGTCAAATTAACGGGCACAGGCTCGGCTAATTATTAGCAAGCGGTCTGCCATTATTAGATCTAGTACAAGTTATGGAGAGTTAATTAGTCCAAAGCAACCCACAAGCAGATCGATAGACTTATGTACTGTGCTCATTACACTTACGTGTTTTTGTAAGTTGCTGTAGTATTTGAAGAACTTCTCCCACAACCCACTTTTAAAATCTATTTCTTTTTGGATTAGCGTGTGCTCTTTCTATCACCAGAGCAAACATCTTGTGGCAATGATTTAGAAAAGGGGTAACCAAGATTTCCCCCAGCCCTTCCCCAACAAGGGCTGTATAACCTGGTAGGGTCCACTTGCCACAAGCAGACAGGGCTGGAGGCAAATGTAAATATTGTCTTTGCCTAGCAGGCTGGTTCCTACACACTCACAGGCTCCTCTTTATTCTCCATTTAGTCAATCAAGGAGCACAACAACCAGAATTCCAGCCAGGTAAAACCACACACTGGGTGTGTGTAAAGGATGACCACCAAGGGGTTGTGGCTTGGAGAAAGAGGGCGTGGCTAGGGAGGAGGTGTGGCCAGTGGAGAGTCCTGACTGTGAGAAGTGTGGAGGGCCACATCCCTTTCCTGGGTTTGAGGTTCCCCCCCCAATCAACCTCACAAAACAGGTCTCCTTTGCTCCATTTAATCTGAGCATTTTCATGCAGCTGAAGCAACGCTAAAACCAAGGGACGTCAAGGGAAAGCCATCCCTGCTACACAACCTGTTTCTAGGATGCAAGGCTAACACGGCTGTTCGTACAAACCCTTTCTTATCCATCGCCTCCACATCTTCCACCCGCATGCCAAAGATGAAGAGATTCTCCTCTCCGGCCTCCTCAGCCATTTCTACATTGGCGCCATCCATGGTCCCGATGGTGAGGGCTCCGTTCAGCATGAATTTCATGTTCCCTGTCCCTGAAGCCTCAGTCCCAGCGGTGGAGATCTGTTCAGACAGATCTGAAGCAGGGATCACTGGGGCGGAGTGAAAAAAAGATATTCTGGTAAAAAAAATGCTTCTCCCCTACTTAAAACAAACAAACAAACAAACCAACAAAAACACACACACCCTTTGCTTAGATTGTAGCTCATGTCAATGTTTCCCTTTTTTAAAGGGAAATTCCCTTATTCCAAATAGGATTCCTCGCAAGAAAAGGGAAAAGTTGACAGCTATGTGTAGTACAACACCTGCATTGCCTGGCTCAACTACCAGGATCTCCAAAGTCCAAGCCAAAAGTCTCCAGCCTAAGAACATCCCCGTCCTCTTACCTTTCTCAGCAAGGGACACTCTGTAGTTCTCCAAGAAGATGACTTTCAGCCTGTCGCCTATATAAGGGTCATTATTGACGACATCTCCAATGGCCGTGATCAGTCTGATGATCATTTTTGCCATGTGGTAGCCGGGGGCAGCCTGGAGGTAGAGAGGGAAGATACGCATGGATCAAAAGGGACTTGGTGGGAAAGAGCCAGGGCATGTAATCAGGCAAACAGCTTCAGGAGTGGTGCTGTCCAGATTCACTGATAACAGAGCCTCTGTCTGGAAGTCAGGAAAAGAGGGTAGTTCTCATGTTTACACGGTCGAAAAATAAACCCTGCAGGAGCAAGATGGAACACACTCCCAGTGCTAACCTAGGGAGGGAGTGTGTGCATGTGCTTGTCTGCAGTTTGGTAAACACTGTCCCAGCTACTGAGGAAAAAGCTTGCTTGAGCATTAAGTCCCTTAAAGGTAAAAGTAAAGGGATCCCTGACAATTAGGTCCAGTTGTGACTGACTCTGGGGTTGCGGTGCTCATCTTGCTTTATTGGCCAAGGGAGCCGGCGTACAGCTTCCGGGTCATGTGGCCAGCATGACTAAGCCGCTTCTGGCGAACCAGAGCAGTGCACAGAAACAGCGTTTACCTTCCCGCCGGAGTGGTACCTATTTATCTACTTGCACTTTGACGTGCTTTCAAACTGCTAGGTTGGCAGGAGCAGGGACTGAGCAACAGGAGCTCACCCTGTCACGGCGATTCGAACCGCCGACCTTCTGATCAGCAAGTCCTAGGCTCTGTGGTTTAACCCACAGCGCCACCCGCATCCCTATCAAGTCCCTTACCTTTCCTCCAATCATAACTGTTCTTGGCACGCAGGACTTTTTTGGGTCTCTTCTGATACCTGGAAAAAGCAATATGATGATTAATTTTTGTCATTTATTTATTTATTAAATATATATACCGCCCTTCATCAAAAGATCTCAGGGCAGTTTACAGAATAAAATACAAGATAAAACACAAGTAAACCAAAACAATAACCCCATTGAGAAATGGTCTCTCTTTATCAATTATTGGAATGAGAAAACTACAGGTTGCGTTTCCCCTCTGCCCAACCTATTTCAACTTATATAATTATTTCATCTTAATTGCTTTTGTTAAAACTATTATATTAATTAAGAGATTTGTGGCCTTTCCCCTCCTTTCTCTTTCGTCTTTCTTTTCTCTCACTCAGATTAAATACATTCTCTCACTCAGATTAAATACATTCATAAAAAGCAATGCAGGAAAAAAGAAAAAAGCAATGGTGGAACTCAGCCATCGAAGGCTGTTGCTATGCAGAATATTATTTTGAGATGTGCTTTTAAATGCAAGATGGACGATGCCTCAATAAGAACATTGCAAAATAAACGCCTCGCTCTCATCAGCTGTGGTCTGGCTCCTATCACATTCCAGCACATGATCTGCAAACCACACAGATGACTTCCTGCAAGATATCCACATTCTTGCTCTGGCCTGTCAGCTGATGACATGTTTGCCAGCCCTTTCTATTAATTACATGAGGTTCTGATTAAGTTCCTAAACATGCATCTACTAAGGCTGAAATCTCACAGCGTGGCAAAGCCCATTGCCCTGGGATCTTGAGCCAAAGACAATGCAGTATCACTGGTGGAGAGGGACACAGACGATACTTATAGAGTAAAATGGCACGGCTCTTAAGCTTAATCTACACACACGGCAAAATTAAGAACATAAGAGACCTGCTGGATCAGGGTAGGCATTCTGTTCTGACATCGAACAGCCAGATGCCTCTGGGAAGCCCACAAGCAGAGACTGAGTGCAGCAGCCACCTCCCTGCTCACGACTCCCAGCAAGTAGTATTCAAAGGCATTATCCAGAATGCAGCAGCTAGACTAGTGACTGGAAGTGGCCGCTGAGAACATACATTGGCTCCCAGTACGTTTCCGAGCACAATTCGAAGTGTTGGTGATGACCTTTAAAGCCCTAAAGGGTCTCGGCCCAGTATACCCGAAGGAGCGTCTCCACCCCCATCGTTCTGCCCGGACACTGAGGTCCAGCGCCGAGGGCCTTCTGGCCGTTCCCTCACTGCGAGAAGTGAAGTTACAGGGAACCAGGCAGAGGGCCTTCTCGGTGGTGGCACCTGCCCTGTGGAACACCCTCCCTGCAGATGCCAAGGCAATAAACAACTATTTTACTTTTAAAAGACACCTGAAGGCAGCCCTGTTTAGGGAAGTTTTTAATGTCTGATGCTGTATTGTTTTTGATATTTGGTTGGAAGCCGCCCAGAGTGGCTGGGGAGACCCAGTCAAATGGGCAGGGTATAAATAACAAATTATTATTATTATTATTATTCAATCTGCAAGTGGGGTGACTGCATTTCTGAATGTTTGCAAAAGCATCCTTGCATGTAATAAAACTTCGCACATTAGACAGAGAAAGAAGACTATCTCCCCAACAAGCTAGTTTTCCAATCTCCTGCGTACATTTAGTGAAGAAGAAGAAGAGTTTGGATTTGATATCCCGCCTTTCACTCCCTTTAAGGAGTCTCAAAGCGGCTAACATTCTCCTTTCCCTTCCTCCCCCACAACAAACACTCTGTGAGGTGAGTGGGGCTGAGAGACTTCAAAGAAGTGTGACTGGCCCAAGGTCACCCAGCAGCTGCATGTGGAGGAGCGGAGACGCGAACCCGGTTCCCCAGATTACGAGACTACCGCTCTTAACCACTACACCACACTGGCTCCCACACTGGTGCTGTGTTATTATGATTATTTTTGTCCAAAAGCATTCCGTAGCCCCAAAGTTGCTGCTTTGTTGGGCTGAGCTACTCACGGTTGTAGAGTGTGATGATATGCAGGCAATTAAGAAGCTGCCTCTTGTATTCATGAATTCTTTTGACGTGCACATCAAAAATAGAGGCAGGGTTGATTTTCACCTTGTACTGTTTTTCCAAGTAGGCTGAGAACTTCTGCTTGTTCTCCTGGCAAAAGGAAATTTGGGGTTGAAGTTACTGGCCGGGACATTTAAGCCTGACTCTAGCTGCACAGTTTGGTCTAGGCTGGGATTCTAGATTATATAACTTATCTATATCCCACCTTCCACCCAAGCTGTAAGGCAGCTTACAATATTTTAAAGCAAAATTAGAAAACACAATGCTGCAAGAACAAATTAGTTTTAAAAAAGTAATTAGAATACATTGGAACATGTTTAGAACCAGCAATTAACATATACGGTTTGCCTCGACCGCAGCCCAGCATATCACAATGTTTCTCGCTAACATGCTGCCATCCTCACCTGTTTAACTTTGGCGACATCCCTGATGAAGGCCTCGTCATTGACAAAGCTTAGCAGCTTCTTGAGCTGGCTTAGATCCGTTAGAAAATCTTCCCCAATTCTCTGTAGTGAAAAGAAGAAAGAAAACCATCAATCGACAGATCTGCTTATGTTTGGTTCTGCGCTCCCTGCACTACAAAAACTATGAACTGCCAGGGACAAAAGACTATGAAGTTAGGGACATGGCGACTGAATTCTTGCACACCCCAAACCCATGAAACGCCAAGGGTGGGGGATGCTTTTTGATGAAAGGGCCACGTTTCCTTCTGGGTAACCTTGCAGAGGCCACATGTCAAAGTGGGTGGGGCCAGAAGCAAAAATGTGGGGTGTGGTCTGCAGAGTCCAAAGCATCAGAACCAAAGCCTGGGAAGCCAGATTCAGGCCCTAGGTCTGAGGTTCAACGGCCCTGATCTAAGGAAAAAATGGAATGAAGAAAGATCCATTGAGGAGGAGGAGGAGGACCCAACAACAGGGGTAATTGCTCCATGGAAATCCTATTGGCTGAAGTCTCCAGCAGTTCACCTCCACAATGACATCAGAGAGTCCCGGGTTACAAAGCACGAGCCACCGCCTTGGAGTGATGCCATTCGTCTTGTTCTGAAACTTCTCCGGCTCCATTTCGTAGAAATCTTTGAATCTAAAGAAGAAGAAGAAGAAGAAGAAGAAGAAGAAGAAAGAGTCATGTGCTATTTAGGGCCAGTTGATAACAGTTAGCAGAAACATTCAGCCATGCAATGTGACCGCTTAAAAAAACGATTTATAAATTTTCTAGTTTTATATTTTTATTTTATTCTGTGAACCGCCCTGAGACCTGGGGGTATAGGGTGGTATATAGATTCAATAAAAAATAAGAATAAGAATAAGAACAATAAACTATTTCTGGGGTCTGGGCCAAACGGAGAGAAAGAGGTGCATAAAAAGGAAAATGGAAAATCAAACAGTTTGGCGAAGGATTTTCAGCGATGCATGTGCAGAAAATAAACTACCTTTGCTCACAGATCTCTGGGGAGACTCTGGCAGCCTGGCCAGTCTTCCCCTGAGCTGACAGCCGGTTGCAAAAAAGTGAAGGAAGCAGGACTCACATAGAGCTCTTTACAATCTCCGAGTGAATCCTGGCCACTCCATTGACTGCATGGGAGCCAATGATACACAGGTTGGCCATATTGACCCTCTTGCAGTCTCCTTCCTCTATCACGGACATCCTTCGGAGGCGGTCAATGTCTCCTGGGAAGAGGGCCGCCACATGCTGGAAGGACACAAGGAGAGGGGGATATTAACAACAAGATCTAAAAGAGATCCCACAATGGAACCCTTTACAGCAGAAAAAATGTGAAGAAATTCCCTGGACGATTGAGGTCATGAGCCCATTTTACTTCCTCTACCCTAGAAACCACCACAGCTTGTATGTTGGCAGTCTCTGGGCCTCTCCAGATGACCTACTTATTGAGTACTCATCCTGATTTGTTTACACAACACTTACATGGAGGTTAAAAAGGTAAAGGGACCCCTGACCATTATTAGGTCCAGTCGTGGCTGACTCTGGGGTTGCCACGCTCATCTTGCTTTATTGGCTGAGGGAGCCGGCGTACAGCTTCCGGGTCATGTGGCCAGCATGACTAAGCCGCTTCTGGCGAACCAGAGCAGCACATGGAAATGCCGTTTACCTTCCCGCCGGAGCAGTACCTATTTATCTACTTGCACTTTGGCGTGCTTTCAAACTGCTAGGTGGGCAGGAGCAGGGACCGAGCAACGGGAGCTCACTCCGTCGCGGGGATCTGAACCACCGACCTTCTGATCAGCAAGTCCTAGGCTCTGTGATTTAACCCACACCGCCACCCGTGGAGGTTAGACTATGTCTAATCTTTACTGAGCATCTGTTCTGATTTGTCTGCAGGTTGGTTCTACAGCAATGGACACTTATTCTGTTTTTATTGTGGTGTGTTTATACTACATCTGTTTAGCTATTTGCTCACTCTACACTTTTGCAGGCATTTCCACGTTACTTTCCAAACAGCAAAATACCCGATTTTGTTGTGCCAGGGCAAAAGAGCCCTTTAATCTCTAACATCCTTGTTCTGCATTACCATAGCAGTTTGCCTTTCTGTCACCTGATCCCCACTGAACTGCTGCTGCAATACCACCTCCTGGGCAGCTGGCAACACTTTGTACAAGAATTAGCCATCACCTCCCTTCTGGGCCATAGTGCCACCACTGAAGGTGGCCAGTATTGCAGCTCCTAATTCAGCAGGGCTCAGGTGACGCCAAGTGCCAATAGGATTCCACAAAGTTCTATAAAGTTTCTGACTTTGGCAATGGGCAACTTGTGGCTTAGGTACAGACTGAGCCTCCAGGCCTCTCAGTCAACCCACCCCACCTTTCCCCACCACCTCATTTATCCCATCTCCTTACGTCGAGATGTTTCTGATTGATAGCATAAATGATCTCCAAGTGTCTTGGCAGGAGTTTCTCGAACATAGAGACAGGCCAGCGCTCCAGGGCTTCAGGCAGCACGGTGTGGTTGGTGTACGCGCAAGTTCGCTTCGTGATTTCCCAGGCCTGGAGCAAAAAATTAAAAACAGCGGATGAGATAACACGAGGGCACTGCAGACTGAATCTGATCCACGAAGAAATAAAGAAAATACTAAGAATATCATATAGTAAAAGGCCAGAGGCTTTCCTTTTAGGAATTTTAAATGATGATATTCCAAAAGACAAAACTAAAATTTTCTTATACGCAATGTCTGCAGCAAGAATCCTGGTGGCTGAGTATTGGAAAGGGAATCGGTTACCCACTAGGGGAGAGTGGTTATGTAAGCTTTCAGAATACTTAGAATTAGCCAAATTGACAGACATAATAAGAAAGAAACCAAAAAGTGAAGTAAAAAAAGAATGGGAGTGCCTAAATGAATACCTCAAAAGTCAAAGTTCGAGGACAGAAATCTGGCTGAGTCTGGAATAACCTTGTGAAGTGAAAGGATAAGAAAGAGGGATTTATATCTAGATGTTAGGATAGAGATGATAAGGAAAACAGGAAGACACAATGAGAGATAAAGGAGGTGCTGTGGGGTTGGTGGAAGTCAATGTTTTGTGTTTTTTTTAATGTTTATATTATTAACTTGTAAGATATGGACTTTTTTTTTTAGTTGTTGCTTTTTTAGTTTTTTGAATAGTTTTTGTGTGTTGTGTGTTATTTTTCAATATTTTTCATGTTGTTGTTGTGTGGAAAATACTAATAAAAATTATTTAAATTCTTTAAAAAAAGAATCTGATTGTGGTAGCAACCAAGCTGCTGCACTCTCTTAGGCTCACTAAGCAGGTCTGGCTAAACCCGATCTGCGGCTTGTCAGTTGCAATCACATTATGGAAGCACTAAATGTACCTGGATAGGGACTGACTTGTGGCACTAGGGGGAGAGGGGACAGGGATTGGCTGTTCAGCAAGATCCTAAGTAGCCCCGCAGGCCAGTTGGGCGGGGCGACCCATGCTGAATTCAACAAAGCCGCCATCTGAGCATGTGCAATGGCTGTCTCAAATAAGACACACCTCAGCTTAGCCGCAGCTCCCGTTTTTGAATTGGATGGAAGCTGGTTGGAAGGAAAAGTAATCAAACAGCGGTATTTCTCAAGAAACTACAGGGAACACACATATGTACTCTGCTTCAAACACCAGTGGTGGGAATGCATGGGAGCCAGAGTAAACAGTGGTACATACACACCCTTTTTTTTCTTTTGAAACCAAAGAGAGTATTCTTTTAAAAATTTCGTGCCTTTTTCTGTTGCTGCGGAAGGAGGACGTGGTTGGTCAACAGTAGGGCTGGGCGATATATCAATATATCATCCAAAACGGGTTTGGGAAGTTCACACCGTGATAACTATTTCATAACATTTGACCTGGCAATATATTGCAGATCACGACGTGTGTGAGGGTTGGGTGATATCTGGTTCTCAACATTGCAATATATCACCAGCAAAACATTGCGATATATCAGGGCAATGTCCTGGCAACTGCTACTTCTTAGGGGCCTAAAACAGATAAATGACGGTATTATCAATCACCACATGGTCACTTTTCATCAGCAGACAATCCCACAGTTCTCTTGGGACAGTTTGCATGGAGAGAACCTTGCTGACACATGCAATATGGCTGTGTCCATTTCCCTCTTACCTTATCCCAGTCCATTTTTTCCACATCAACAAAGATCCTCATGAGCTCAGGAATAGAGAGGGCAGGGTGGGTGTCATTCAGCTGGATGGCAACCTGTAAAATGGACATCTAAAGATGAAGCTGTTTTCACTGGGGGCGGGTCAACCAAAGCTTGCTTGGGGACTTCCTAGCTTCTCAAACATTTCTGTGAAATATCGAGGGCTCCTCCACCCACCCCAAAGGCAAAAACCTGAGGTGTGCTTTGAAACGAAAGCTGCAATTATGTCTCGGCCCTCGTTTTTAAATATTTACCTTGTCAGGGAAGGTCTCGAAGCAGGTTCTCACGGGGTCGCGGCACCCGAATTTGGAGGACTTGAATCGCCGTATGATATCCTGGAGAGTGGCAGCGACCACAAAGTACTCTTGCTTCAAACGCAGCTCTTTCCCTTCAAAGAACTTTGGAAGGCAGAGAGAGAAGAATCGTCATTCCTGCAGCCACTGCTGACAAGCCTGCTATAGGGACCTCAGCAGCATCCCATGCAAAGAAGAAGGCATTAAATTCAAGGCAAAAACGGTAAGAATAGTTGGTGATGTGGTGGTTGCCATGGTTGTTTTGTGCTCTGTTTCACATGCCATGCTAAGGCGAACCATGGTCAACGCAGGGGACATAAAAACAAATTCTAATCAGCTCGCGGTTAACCAGGAGAGATTTTAATACAACACAGAAGAGCCACTTACGTTATCATTTGGGTACAACACTCTGGAGATGTTTTCTGCCAGGTTTCTATCCAGCACAGCCTCGATATAATCACCAACATTAACTAGGTGGAGAGAAGGAACACATCTCAGCGGAGCAGCCCACCACATAAAATGCAAAACTCTAGAATAATTGCATATTTTCCTGATAAAAGTCCCATGGCATCAGCAGCAGCCCTATTTGCCCAGCAAATAGCAATGGGGTGGGGGGGGTGGGGATTTTGTTTGTGCTATGGTACAGGAAGGAAGGGTTAGATCCTGCTGTCTGTGAACCCAACCCAGATACTTCCCCCCACCCCCCAGTTGCTATTTAACTATGGTTGCCATATTTCAAACTGAAAATCCAGACAGGAAAGTTGTTGAGTTTATTTTGACAAAGTTGTTAAGCTTTTTGGGCAAAATTGCCTAGACAAAATGCCTTTTTTGAGCTATTTTTATGGGAAAAGAGGGGAAAAAAAGAAAAAAGCACTGCAGCCATATGTCTGGATTTCCCCGGACATCCACCTGGACACAATATTCCAGATATGTCTGGGAAAATCCGGATATATGCCAACCCTAATTTAACAGAGGAAGGGCCATGGCTTGGTGGTTTAGCATCTGCTTTGCATGCAGAAGATGCCAAACTCAATCCCCAGTGTCTCCAGGCAGGGCTGGGAAAGGCTCCTTTGTAAAATCCTGATGCCTGCCAGTGTAGACAGTACTGAGCTAGACAAACCAATGAACTGCCATGCTCAAAGGCAGCTTCCTGTGTTCCCAGAAAATAACCAAACCCCCAAGTTAAATGGGATAACATGTTTTATGTAAAGTGCAGTTTGGCCCAAAGAACGCCCACTAAGGCTGCAATCCTATACAGTACCAACTTATCTAGGCGTAAGCCCCATTTAAACTCAGTGGGAGTTCCTGATTGGTAGACATGTTATAGGTTTGTGCTATAAATTAAATAATACTTGAGGCATTTCAAAGAATCATAGAATTGTAGAACTGGAAGGGACCCTGAGGGAATAAGCAGCTGTCCCTTAGGAGGATCGAACTTGCAACCTTGGTCTTATCAGCACCATGCTTTAGCCCACTGAGCTATCCAGGCTGATAGCTTTGTTTGTTTGGCTTGCACTCCTTACTTTCCTGAAAATGCCTGGCTGTAGGAAAGCATGAGGAAGAAGCAATGTCACCCAGCTTCTTGAACCAGACCACACAAAACCCCACAACGCGATGAAAAGGGGGGGGGGGACTCCTCATTGCAACATGTGACCTGTGCGCTTTCCAAAAGGAAAAAGAGAACGAGATGGCACTTACACTCTTCAAGATTGAAATCATTGGGTGCCTTGGCTGACCACAGCCTCATGGTGTTCACCGTATTGTTCCTGTATCCTGGAACAGGCGTATCGTAAGGCATGGCAAGTACAACCTAATTTAAGGAGAAGGGATCCAGTGAAGGTGAGATAAAGCAGCAGACATCAAGTCTCTTGCAAAAAGCATGTTTGGCACAACCTAGAGCGGAACTGGGGGTAATAATAATAATAATAATAATAATAATAATAATAATAATAATATGTTATTTATATCCCGCCCTTCCCAGCTGAAGCTACCAACAGTAAAATGATACAACATTCTAAAATCAGTTCATTATAAAATCAGTTCAAATCAGATTAATGGCAACCATTGGGCTAGAGTTCTGTGAGGATTGCCAAAGGAGGGGGTCAGGCTGTGCCTTGGCCAAAGGCCTGGTGGAACAGCTCTGTCTTGCAGGCCCTGCAGAAAGATGTCAAGTCCTGCAGAGCCCTAGTCTTTTGTGACAGAGTGTTCCACCAGATCGGGGCCACAGCCGAAAAAGCCCTGGCTCTGGTTGAGGCCAGCCTAACCTCCCTGTGGCCCGGGACCTCCAAGGTATTTTTATTTGAAGACTGTAAGGTTCTCCATGGGACATACCAGGAGAGGCAGTCCCGTAGGTACAAGGGTCCTAGGTCGTGTAGGGCTTTAAAGGTTAAAACCAGCACCTTAAACCTGATCCTGTACTCCACCGGGAGCCAGTGCAGCTGGTATAGCACTGGGTGAATGCGAGGACCAGTAAGGAGTTTCGCCGCGGCATTCTGCACCTGCTGGAGTTTCTGGGTCAGTCTCAAGGGCAGCCCCACGTAGAGTGAGTTACAATAATCCAGTCTGGAGGTGACCATCGTATGGATCACAGTGGCTAGGTCAGGGCGAGAGAGGCAAGGAGCCAACTGCTTAGCTTGGTGGAGATGAAAAAATGCCGCCTTTGTTATAGCTGCAATCTGCGCCTCCATGGAGAGGGATTACACCCAATAGTCTGTGGGCAAAGGCTGAGCCCACCAGGCCTCCCCATTTGGCTCGGGAGGCTGTTGTCCCTAAACTGCACCCACCTGATGTGATATGTGACACCTGGGATGGGGCGGGTACTGGCATGGTTACCAAGCAACAACTGGGAGCTTGAAATGAGCTGCCAATTGTTCCTTTGCTGGAGCAAAGTGTGTTCCCCTTGTCAATCAGCTGGCGTGTGGGGAGAAAGCCCCTTCCGACAATGGCAGCAAGACATTTCCAATGAGAGTGCCCCTCTGTTTCAGAAGAGGTTTCAAGGCAATCCACTTGGGGTTGCAGGAGCAGCAAAGCCCCTCGCACTCGGCACCCTGTGGGCTGTTGGGAAAGTGCTGTGCATCAGGCATTGGCAGGTGGGTAGGGCAATGCAACTGTCAATCATCAGACATCACAATGACATTGGTGATTGGCAGGTGGGTCAATCACCTATGTACTACTGCAGGCATAGGCAAACTCGGCCCTCCAGATGTTTTGGGACTACAACCCCCATCATCCCTGACCACTGGTCCTGTTAGCTTGGGATGATGGGAGTTGCAGTCCCAAAACATCTGGAGGGCCGAGTTTGCCTATGCCTGTACAACTGCAATAGCTACAGAAAATTCACAATCCAGGGCTATACAGTCATATCTCGATTACCGACACTTCAGGTTGTGTGTTTTTGGGTTGCGCACTGTGCCGAACCCGGAAGTACCAGAACGGGTTACTTCCGGGTTTCAGCGCTTGCGCATGCGCAGCTCTAAATTGCGCTTTATGCATGCGCAGAAGTGCCGAATCGCGACCCGCGTGTGTGCATACGTGGCGCTGCGGGTTGCGAACGTGCCTCCCGCATGGATCACGTTCGCAACCCGAGCGTCCACTGTATATCCTCCAAAACAGCCAGAAGCTGGCATTATTATTGAGCCTCTCTCTACCAGAGAATAATAGCTGGCCTAGCCAACTTCCCAGAGGAATGCCGCTGTTTAAACCAATTACGTGCTTCCAAGCAACAAATGTGGAACACCAGAGACTCTGCGTATGTGGAAGTGATCAAAACATGGAAAGGGCAAGCTGGCAGAGCAGGCCCAAATATGGCCTGCAAAGGCAGCAACAGAAATTCATACATTGGATCTAAGCTTTAAAAAGCTCATGTATTTAAGGTCCCTGAGGATACCTAGCCTGCCACTCAGAGTTGGGGGTCAGGACAGGGAGGAAAGGGGTGCTTTGTCTCTTTTTTAATGCATTGTAGTTTGGTGTTGTATCCTATTTATTTATTTCCATTCCCAAAACTGTCTATATTGCAACTCGCATTCAGTTTATTAGGTTCAGAACGTTACAGATAAATTTAGTTTGCATGCATTTTTATGGCACTGTGATTTTTAAACTGTTATAAACCAACCTGAGTATGGGCATCAGAAGTGTGGGGAAAAAATACTGAGGGAGGGACAAAGAAAGAAAGAAAGCTATCTAAGCCTCCGGGCTTTGAAGGTTCTGCTGTTCTTGAACCAATTCCCGTTTATTGCCAGTGGAGCACCGACAGAAGAAATTCTTGGTGGATCAAGCCCCCTGTTTCTTTCTCCCCACGCAATGTATTTCTTTTCTCCTCCACCACATGCTGTTGTTCAGTGAGTCAGGCACCAGGCCTAATTACGGCTCTTTCAAAAGAAAAATGTGAGACTTCAATTGCAGACGAGTGCAAATGTGCTTCAGTGCTGCCCTCCAGAAGTCTTGGACTACAATTCCCATCAGCCCCTGGTTGAGCGAGGCACGCGTGTACTATTTGTGCGTCCTATTCGTTTCCCAGCTTCCTGTAGAAGAGCTTATCTTACCTCAGAACTTGCCATTTGAACCCTTTTGTTTCTAATCTGCATGACTTTTATTTACGAATTTATTTACTTATTTCATCAACCCATCAAGCTTCCTCTCATAGGGAGGAAAGCCTTATTATTATGTCTGCAACACACTGCAGTGAGGAAAGCTGTATAAATATTTGCTACTATAGTCAACGTCTCCAAACCTGACACCTCCACTTCATCACGGACTCACACCCATCTCCCTCCATCTCCCCTATTGTTCAGACACTGAGGTCCACTTCCAAGGGCCTTCTGGCGGTTCCCTCATTGCAAGAAGTGAAGTTACAGGGAAACAGGGCTTTCTCGGTAGTGGCTCCCCCAGGTGGAACACTCTCCCATCAGATGTCAAACAGTCATATGACCTTCTGCAGCACTGTATCGTGACGCTTTTAATGTCTGATGTTACCCTGTATCCTGTATTATTCTGTTGCAAGCTGCCTAGAGTGGCTGGGAAAACCCAGTAAGATGGGCACAGCACAAGTCATAAATTATTATAATATTATTTGTGGCACAGGTAGGCTTCTACTGCTGTACCTGAGTATCAACCCATTTCACACCATCCGGAGTGTGGTCCACCCGGCCATAGAAGTGTACAGGAAGCATGTACTCTGGGCGGGCTTTTTCCCAAGGGTTGCCATAACGCAGCCAATCGTCGGCTTCTTCCACCTGAAAGGAGGAGAAAGGGGATGTGAAACTTGCTTTCATTGCAGGTCATTTTATCAGCCATGCACTTTACACCCGGTAGAATCGTAGCTCAGTGGTAGAGCACAGGCTTTGCATGCAAAAGGTCCCAGGTTCGAGTCCCTGTATCTTCAGTGACAAAGGATCTCAGTTAAAAGAACCAAAGGTATAAAGCTGCTGTCTATATTTAACTGTGATCTACCCAGCCGACTGCCTTTGATCTCTGTATGGGTACAGCCTCTTCCACTCCTTCACCATTATTGGCTGATTTTGTACTCTCCCACACCTGCAGCGTCCCTTCCAAAACGTCCTTGATGCTTGTGCCACAAGATCCCTCCTCAGGAAGGGCCGGAACACAGACACCTATTTTCTCTCCCTCTCAAAACGCTTGGGTAGGCCTCATCCTAAGCGATAAAGCATCTTCCGCCCTCCCAAGCGTGGTGATCTCTAGGAACGATGGAGGCAATGGCAGCGGCCCAAAAGGAACGAGAATTCTCTCACCAACGCACCTGCCAGCCATTGACGATTTTCTGGTTGAAAATGCCAAATTCGTAGCGGATTCCGTAACCGTAGGCTGCGAGCCCCAGCGTCGCCATAGAGTCCAGAAAGCAAGCTAAAAGAGGAAGGGCCCAAACTATTTCATTAGTAGACAGAAGGAAATGTCCAGGAAAGCCAATCTACCAATGCCACTCACTGGGACTCATGTTTAAGACATTATTATTAATTATTATTATTATTTTTAAAATTTGTACACTACCCTCTACCCGTAGATCTGTGGGTGGTTCGCAACATAAAAATCCAACATAAAAAACACAGAATGCCTAATAAAAATAAAAACAGAAACAAATCAAGACCTAGCACAGTACAAAGCCAAAGCAGGCGGCGGTTGGTGCAGGTATACTTTTCCTTTATTTAAACACATTTATATCCCATCTTTCTTCCAGTTAGTTCAAGGCGGCGTGCTGGGTCCCCTTCCACCCCATTTTATCGCCACAACAACCCTGTGAGGTAGGTTAGGCTGAGAGACTGCGACTGGCCTAAGGCCATCCAGTGAGCATTCTTGGCTAAGCGGGGATTTGAACTCAGTCCAACACTCTAACCACTACACCACACTGTAGGACAGCGAGGCGTTCCCAGGCCCACCCAGAAAGGGCTCACCTGCCAGACGCCCCAGTCCTCCATTGCCCAGGCCAGCGTCTTCCTCAATCTCCTCCAGTTCTTCCAAGTCCAACCCAAGCTATTGTGAAAAGCAGAAACAGCAATGAAAACACTCCATTGAATTCAATAGGACTTACTTCTGAGTAAGGTTGGTGGGAAGAAAGTATCCAGCTCAATGGATTGGGGGGGGGGAATGGGGCCTCCATTCAGTTCCGTTGTTACCTCTACATCTTTGTCAGTGGTAGCCACCCATGGCTGGAGAATCAATGGTTTATCTCCATCACTCTTGCCAACATGTGCATCTGGACTTGAAGCGTGTTTTTATACGTGCATCTCACCCACCCTATTCCCCAACAAGGAGAACTGTGGCTTCAGGAGCAATTCTGATTTGGGAAGTGTGTGTGTGTGCGCGCACACGCTAACCCAGCCCCCATAGCTTCTCTGATCAGAATCGGAACCCACTGCCATTGGTTGTAACTGAAAACAGAAATGTCAGGAGTTCCGATCAGAGATAAATCTGAGCTTCAAAGCCAACTGACTTGGTAGTTGTCCAAGCAAAGCAAGTCTCTTTCTCTCTCCCGCTCCTCCACACTCCCTCCAAAGCTTTCATCATATTCCAGACTCTGATAATAAGGTAACTGCCCAGGGGACAAAACACATTGATAGCTCTGCCAAAAGGAATGGAATTCTTGAGTCATGCTCCTTTTAGCAATAAACATTCAGAGCAATGCCATGGGGCTAAGAGCGAAACTTAAGTAGGCCGTAAAAATTAATGGGCTCTCTATTATTGTAGTTTGGGCCCAGGTGCCAAAAAAGAATAGATTCAGCTATTTTGGAAGAAAAAACTTGGAGGAGCAGGAGGAGAGAAATGGTGCATCTCCACAGTGATGTAAAGCCAACCATGGTTTGCACAGCAGAACCACAGTTCATTGTGATGTCTGAACCAATACCATCTGGCAAACCATGGTTTGCAAATGACTATAAAAACAGACTCTGAAACCACAATCTTAGGCTAGTTTACCAGCCAGCTGTTTTTGGACTACAACTATCATCATCCCTAGCTAGCAAGACCAGTGGTAAAGGATGATGGGAATTGTAGTCCTAAAAAAAAGATGGATCTGATCTAACGGATGTGATTGCCAGTGGCGATTCCACGGCTCCCATTAGCAACTTGTTCCATTGCCTAGTTTTTCTCAGAATCTGAAAGCTTTCAGACTAAATTGACCCTGCTGCAACGTGAGATTCCCCTAGGCAGAGTGCCACAATTTTTGCATCAGAAAAAGGACAGGACTGATGATGAACCCACAAAAAGCATCAGCCCCCAAAGGAGGAATGAACATACCTGGTAAATGGCTTCATCGCAGCCATTCTGCAGACCCAAGTTCACCATTGTGTTCTGAAGGGTCCGTCCCATGTAGAATTCCAAAGACAGGTAGTAAATGCGCTAGGAAAGAAGTGAGAAAGAAAAGCTGGATTTTATATTTTGGCAAGCTCACACCAGCAAACATAGTTCTCCTCCTCAATAATAATAATAATAATAATAATAAATTTATTTATTTTTAATACCCGCCCTCCCCAGCCAAGACTGGGTTCAGGGCGGCTAACACCAAATATAAAACAAATTGATTGAAATACAACTTAAAAACAAGATTAAAATACAACATTAAAACATTAAAATGCAGCCTCATTTCAGCAGAAACTCAAAAACTTTTTTGGGGATGAAAACGTCGTCTTCACCAAGGCTAACTACCCAAACTGGTCCTACGTGGGCCAGAAAAAAGCCAGGGAAGTCCCCAAGCAATATATCCATCACAGAAGGAAAAAGGGGGAAAGAGAGAGGGGGAGGGGATCAAGTTAATTCCAGGCCAAAAGCGACCAGGCCAGAGCCAGTGTTCAAAAGGCCCTGGCTCTGGTTGAGGCTAATCTAACTTCCTTAGGGCCCGGGACCACTAGGGTGTTGCTATTTATGGACCTTGAGGCTTTTCGTGGGGCATACCGGGAGAGGCGGTCCCGTAGGTATGAGGGTCCTAGGCTGATTTGCCATTTCAACAACCCTATGAGGTTGGTTAGGTGAGGTAGCTTAGAGTGAACAGCCTAAGGTCACCCAGGGAGCTTCATCGCTCTTAACAGGGGTCTTCTCAACCCTAGTCCAACACTTTAACCACACCTCACCTGCTTCTAGACTAGAGTAATGGTGACAGTGATAATGAATTCTGGCGGACATGGCAAGGCCTCTGTGTCTGCACATTTCCACAAAAGCACCAAAACCATCTTATCTTTCCTTTTTTTAAAAGCAAGTTTCTAGGCCTTACAAAGGCAAAGTTAGGCTGGACAACAGGAAGAATGTAAAGCAAAATTCGAGAGGATAAAATAACGTTTCCAGTTGTCAGGAGACAAGAGCTTTCCGGGGCAAAGGCCAGAGCTCATTTGCAGAAGACCTGATTTGCATGCAGAAGGTCCCAGGTAGGGCCGGGAATGTCCCCTGCATGAAATCTAGGAGACGTCCTGTCATCAGGATGTCAATACTCTTCAGCTACCATAGATGGGCCAAGAGTGTGACTTGGTATAAACATCTTCCTATCCTCCTAGCTTTGAATGCCCAGAACGGCTGCCTTGACCAGCACTCCCTGTGTTTAGAAGGAACAGAGCAAATGACAAAACACAAAGCGAACTCTGCAGGGTGGCTTAGTAGTCGAAGAGTGTTGGACTAGGAATGACGAGAGACAAGTTGTAATCCATATGATGGCCTTGAGGCCCTGTGGGTGACCTTGAGCCCGTCACTCTCTTTGCACAATCTACTTCATAAAATTGTTGTGTGAAATCAAATGGTGTTAGTGTGAATTATGCACACTGCCCTAACCTTCTTTGAGAAAAGACAGGTAAAAAAATGTAGTAACAAAACCTGCACAACTTTATTTTTTTGTAAACACACTGCCCTGGATCAGGGTTGGTTGGGTGGTTGTGTTTTCCACACTGACTGGCAATGTGCCCCAGATGGCAAAGTATAGCTGACAGGGTAATCCAGAGGTCAGAAAAAGGAGGTGAGTTGGTAGCTCTAACATGGATCTTTCCAGGTGGGAATCACTGACAAAGAAGTTGCCTGAACTCCAGGTTTTCACCTTAAAGGCTTACCTTAAACCAAAGTCTGAGTACACAAGTTTAAAAAACACACACACACATAGACTCACGGGGGGGATGGACGGACACGAAAGCAGGAAAACATGAAAACAGTACTCATCACGTTGCAACCTGTGATAATTCTCTTTCCCTTGGCAATATATCTGGCAGCCTCCTCTTTACAAAGGGGAAGGGGCCACAGCTCAGTGGCAGAACATCTGCTTTGCATGCATCTGCTTTGACCCCCAGCACTTCCAGGTATGGCTGGGAGAGAACCCTGCCTGAAATCCTGGATAGACCCTGCCAGTCAGTGTGGACAGCATTGAACTAGATGGACCAATGGGGCTGATTCAGTAAAAGGCAGCCATTCTTATGTTGCTACCACCAGAAGGTACCGTTTCACGGGAGAGAGATTTGGCTCTAAGGATCAGAATAGTCAGTTGTGGGGGGAAAACTTCAATAATTGGTGTTTCTGGTACTTAAGAGTTCTGACAGCCTTGTCCACTCATTTTAATGGATCTTATTTTAGGAGAGTCCTTGGAGGATGAGGATATAAGTGACTAAGCAGAAATCCCTCTTTGGGGGAGGGAAATCAATGGAAGTAGAACAACACTTAAGCAATTCTGAAATATTTATTACCTCTCAGTCTTGCTTTCAACCAAGACAAAAGGGGGAGGGAGGGGGAGCCTGAGAGTGAAAATCCCTTTCTGTTGCTCGCTCACTGTCACACTTTTTGATTACCTTCTATGACATGTCAGTGTTTGGTGCAAGTTACACTAGCAATTACCTCGCACCAAAAGCAATGGCAGTGTTGGCTCACATTGTTTAGCCTGCACTTGGGTCTGGTTTCTTGCTCCATGAATGCTCCCATTTCCAAGAGCGAAGGCTGCAATCCTATACACACACTTCCCCGCAAGTAAGATTCACCGAACACAGCCGGACCTCTGAGTAAACATGCACAGAATTGCGGTTCAGGGTCCCTACTGTTAGGCAATAGTTTTACCATCCCATGAAGAACAAAGGCCTATCAGCAGCTATTAGTCATGACCACTAAATGGGAGCATCACACCCTGCTTGTGAGCATCTCATAGGCATCACTGGATCAAGTATAGCTAGAAATAAGTTGCTGAACAGAATCTTTGTTTAGTCTAGAAGGGCTCTTCTTAGTTCTTAAGTGTTTCTTTTACATGCCCAGCTTGCAAGACTGATGTCTGCACACGTCTTTGCTGTGAGGCATGCTGATCACCCTTGCGATTCGTACGAAGTAACAACCGCCCCAGCAGCGCTGGCCGGGGCTGATGGGAGTTGTAGTTCAAAGCAACTGGAGGGCACCACATTGGAAAGGCTGTCTTGGAGTGCCACTGGCAGTCAGTGCCTGTCTCTGTATAAGGAGGAAACAGTGGCCAAGTACATACGCTAGATAGTCCAAATCACACAAATATACTCTGATGAAAATCCTACTGTAAGGTTTATTTGGATACCGTTGCTGATAAACTACTGGGCAGCAGAGATAGTAGCAAATGGCACATTTCTCCCTTGTAGCCTAGGCACTGCCATTGTAAAATCAATCAGTCAATTGTGATGTTGGTAGAGCCCTGAGACTCTTAATCTCAGGGTTAAGGGTTCAAGTCCCACACTGGGCAAAAAGATTCCTTGCATTGCAGGGAGAGTTGGACTAGATGATCCTCTGCAATTCTGTTGTGATGACCATGTTTGTTGTCCCCTTTGTACACTGAGCAGCAGCAGACCAAGTCTGAAGTAATGGGAGACTCCAGACACAAAAGAGGATTTAGGACTATTACCGAGAGGTCTGGTTTGTCTCAGGTCAGGAAATGAGTACACTGCCCAGCGCCAAAATGGATGCATTAAAGTTTTGTACCATGTAGGTCTCTTTAAGAAACTTCAGCGTAAGTTGCTTTAAAAAAGATAAATGACCACAGAACCCACGCTCCACTAGTTCTGCAGCAATGCTTATGATTTTAATAGGACTGTTCCGAAGGAAATGGATTGTGGGTTCTGCCCTATCAGAACGTAAGAGAAGCCCTATTTAGCTCAGCCCAAAGCATCAGCTAGTAGGAACGTCCTGTTCCCATGCAGAGAACAACCAGGTGCCTCCAGAAAGCCCCCAAGTGGAGCGTAGGGTCCAGAGAGAACATCCAAACAACACTGAAAGGGGGCAACTCGCCCTCTTGCTCCAAGGTTGGAATTTGGCCCCATGTCCCCCAAAATCTTCACCGTTGCTGAAGCATAGACAGAGGAATGTGGATCTGGCAGGGTGGCCAACAACCTCTTGAATTCCTAATGCACAACACAGTAGTGTGGGTTTTCCCATGGCTTTTAAAGATGAACTGGGGCCTGCACTTCATGCTTCTGCCCCCCTGCCACGGTCCTGTCCCTCACGATTGGCACAAACTGGCAGCTGTCAGTTGCAGTCCAAGGGATTGGACTAGATGACAATTCTATGAACTAACGCAACAAGCATGTTGCAACAGAACAAGCCTTCGCTCACACTAGTGTGTGCCTGAATGTGTACGTTTACTTTTCCCCAAAGCATTTTTGTGATTTTTGAGAAAGGCCTGGCATTGCAACAATACTGACGCCACCTTGTACTTAAATAAAGGTCCGGGAAGCTGGAAGAGTGTTTGATTGCAAAGCTGATGGAAGCCAAGAGAGGCAAACCTCATTGTCCAAGGTGAAAGAGCTGAGTGAAAGAATAGAAGGGTGAAGATGAGTCATCATTCACTTGAACAGACAGGTTTGGGGAACAGCAGGAACAAAAGGCTTGTTCTTGCTCCAGTGATCTTGAATCCGGCTTTATAGTTGATCTAAGTGGCAGTCCGTTCCATTTAAAAACAAAACAAAATATTGTTAACCCACTTTATTCTGTTAACCGTCTCGAGGCCACTAAACACCAGCAGGTTATCACAGGCTGTGTGATTATCCTCAGCTACAGGGCCTGTATCTTTGAGCCATCAAATGCCTGTGTGAACAGGTATGCTTTTAAATTCCTCGTGGACGTTAGTAACAGGGGAGACAGGTGCACCTCACCAAAGAGGGCATTCCACAAATAGGCAACCATCACCAAGAAGGCCCTGTCATGGGTCATGTATTCAGAGGGCCTCTCCTGCTGACTGTAGTGTCTGAGATGGCTGATCCTGAGGAAGGCCCTCTTTTAAGAGATCAAGACATAGGCCCTGCGGTTGCTAGGCAGCAAACCAAGAATTTCCAGCAGACTCTGTGACTTATGAAACCACGGGTTCCTCATCCAGTCTCAAGGCTGATAGGGCTCTCCCTGCCCTTTCATTTCTCCCAAAAATAATCGACTTGGACAGTTCTCCTCCCTTCCCATCCTTTTCCAACCACCTTCCCTCTCTCCTAGCGACCGTTTCCTAGCACTGGTTGCCATGAGTCTCCTTCTTTCCAACATGCCTTCTTCCTGTTGTTCCATCTTGCCATAAATGCAACATACAGACCAGGAACGTTGGTGGGTTGGTGACTGGACCAAAAAATGGTGGGGAAAGAATCGTCTGCTGATATATACAGGCTGTTGTGCCCTAGTTTGGCTCAAGGGTCCCAGGGAAGGCTGGGCGACGCAGTGAATCACTCTAAGAATAGGGTAACATCTGGAAGAGCAGAGTCACATCCAAGAGATCAAAGCCAAGACCTATAGAGAAGAGTGAAGGGAGATTCTCCCCGATCACAACAGACAAGGTAGAGCACAATCCGTCAGGACCCTGGACAGCTCTCTGTAGCAAGTTCCAGTTGGAACTCACCTAAGGAGAGCTGTTGTCTTAGCGGCATGTTGAGGGCTTCTGAAGGTTGTTGGCTGATCCGGATCTACTGTTAATTCCATTCCCTCTGAGGAGCTCTCTGTTAAAGGGACACTTGCCTGGGTGTGCAGCATCTGGTTCCTATAACATGGGTGCAGTGAGGGCTGCATTGGGGCATGCCCTCTGGGTCTGAGAAGTTGGGCAAAGCCACACCCTCTGGCCTTGACAGTCCTGGAGCATAGGACAACCACTCTCCAAGACAATGTCTCCTCCCTTTCTGAGGCTAGCTCTGAGCCAGGAGAAGATTCAGGCCAGTAAACATGACACAGACTAAGCATAATTGAATCTTCACAGTATTAACACTCCAATTGATCCTGCTCCCCCATTAGGTTGGAGGAGGCACCTAGGTCCTTCAGAGGTCCTAGCGCAGGGGTCAGCAACCTTTTTCAGTCGTGGGCCAGTCCACCATCCCTCAGACCTTGTGGGGGGACAGATTATATTTTGGGGGGGGGGGGAATGAATGAATTCCTATGCTCCACAAATAACCCAGAGATGCATTTTAAATAAAAGCACACATTCTACTCATGTAAGAACACGCTGATTCCCAGACTGTCCATGGGCAGGATTGAGAAGGCAATTGGGCAGCATCTGGCCCCCGGGCCTTAGGTTGCCTCTCCTGTCCTAGCGCGTCGTACAGCTTTCAACCCTTCTATTAGGCTCTCTCCTAAATCTAAACTTGCTTCCTCATAAAAGGAAGCTCATGGCATCATCACCCACAGGGAGGAAGAGAGCTAAGTTCCCGAATAGCTCTTTCCTTCCAGAAAAGTCTAGCTGCAGGAGATTTAACAAAAAGAAGGGTATTTGGTTGCTATTTGGTTGCAGGATAGACCACTTTAAGCCAAGGGTGGAGAAACTGTGTCCTGCCAGAGATTGTTGGTGGTGGACTACAGCTCCCATGATCCCTGACCACTGGCCATGCTGTCTGGAGCTCATGGGAATTGGGGTCCAACAACAAATGGCGGGCCACAGGTTGCCCATCCCTAATTTTAAGTAGTCCTTCCATGGTCCAGACCCTCACCCTACCACAGAGAGCTAGACAGGATCTCTCTGGGAAACTTTCCAGATCATTTTTCTTTTAATGGATTGGTTTTTATTATTCTGAAAACTATGGGGCTTTCTTCTTCCTCACACATTTGCTGTATGTTTCCCTGCACTCTGACACTTCTACAGAACTTTTTGGAAAAAGAATGCAGTTGGACACCTTTACTTAACTTCTTTTCCTGGCAATACTCCCGTGAGAGGAATGGTGAAGCATATTTGTTCCCTTGAGATAACCAGTTGCCAGCTCCAAAAATATTAATAGCACTGTTCTGCTGAATCCATGTAGATAATGTTAAGTGCCTCTCTAACATTTGCATAAAGGAGAAAAAGGGGTTTACTTTTAGCAGACTCTCATCTACTTGGAAAATTGCAGGAGGAATTGTTCCTGAAAATAGGCACCACAGCCTTCCACATTTCTTGACACCCCACCCCCCACCCTGCAACATAACTCTTTTCCATTTGATAGTTAAATGAACAACTTGAGTCAGGAATGAGTAATCTGTGGCCCTCCAGAGGTTATTGCACTACAACACCCATCATCCCCAAGCAATGATTCTGCTATCTATGGCTGATGGAATAGTGTCCAACAGCAGCTGGAGGGCCACAGATTCTAGAATCATAGAATTGGAGAGTTGGAAGGGACCCTGAGGGTCATCTAGTCCAACCCCCTGCAATGCAGGAATCTCAACTAAAGCATCCATGATGGATAGCTTCCCCCAAAGAATAGATTCCCAATGACACATAAGTATACACATTTAAAAACTATCTGTTCCTTGCTAAAGGGGAGATTGCACATGCTTGTTTCACCACTTTATTATTTAAATAAATTCAAATTATTCATCCCCAAGATGATTATAATGTCAAGAGGTGACTTGCTTATGGTGGTGTGAGTATCGGACCAGGGCTACAGAGACCTTGGTTCAAATCTCCGCTCAGCCATGAAGCTCATTAGGTGACCTTGGGCTAGTCTTGCAATCTTCTGCATTAGCAAAGTCATTTGCATGACACAGACGGAGTCCAGAAGGCAAAAAGATCTTGGCAACACTTCACTGAGCAAAACTGAACAAACACAGCGTGTAATTTGAGAAGTAAACAAAGAGGTTTTTGTCTTTCTTCAGACCTCATACACAGCAAGGAGACATTTAACCAACCACACAGAGGAAAAAACTTCCTCAAAACTGCAGTGGCTCTTTGCCTCAAAACAACCTTATACAGCCAATTAGCCCGAGAGTGGCCCGTTGATACCAAGTGATATTAAGCCTCAGTATAATACTTTCAAAAAGTACCAGGCAGTTGTAAACACCATCTATATTAGCAATCTAAAAGCAACTGCAGAACACAAGGATTTTTAACTTTTTAAACAAGTGTTTCCTGCTACAGGAAATGCATCTGTTTGGTCACCGTGAGGAGCAGGATGCAGGATTAGACAGAATTTGTACCTGTTCCAGCAGAGCTCGCCTTCTGTTTTTATAAAAAGACAGCTGCATAATGGGACCTAAACTGGTGTAAATCTTTATTGGCAGGGGGAGTGTGAGTAAAGAGGGAACAATGGTACAGGATTTGAAGGTGCATTCTACAGTAAACACTCAGTTAACACAGGAAACCTAGGCCCCAGAGAACTACAATTCCCAAAGTAGTTTGACAGTCAATCTCTCTTCCCAATGAGTTCTGGGAACTGTAGTTCCTAGCAACTCTCAGCACCCTTAACAAACCACCCTTCCCAGGATTCTTTGGAGGAAGCCATGACTCTATCAAGTGGCATGATGCTGCTTTAAATGTATAATGCAGATGGGGCCTAATTTGTCCTGTTGGGCACTACTAATACGGCCAGGGCCGGTGCACATTCTCCAATGGGCGCCTCAGCACAAGGCCCGCTAGTGGGGATTCCCTCATGAGGGCAGGCAAACCCTCTCCTCCTCCTATTTATTTTTCTGGGTGCATGGGACAGTTGGGGCCTACCTGAGGAAAAGTTTGGCACTATGGTATTACAGCAGGGCATTGTGGGTAACTACAATGGTAGCTGCCAGGCAGACATCAGAGGAGCACCAGAAAAGGGGCTGCATTGCAGCGGCAGGTTCCTCAGGAGTTGCCCAAGAACGCCGTCTGCTGACATTGTCTCTGGCCACGGCGTTATATAGAAACAGGGCTGGCCCTACCATTAGGGAGGCAAGGTACCACCCAGGGCTGTCTTACCCATAGGCGCTAGGGGTGCGGGGCACCCGGGCGCCGGGCTCTCAGGGGCGCCAGGCCTAGAGTCCGGGGCCGAGATTTGGAGTCTGGGGATTGGGAAGAGCTGACAGCTGCTGCCGAGCGGAGCAGAGCCTGCTGGAGCGCCGCAGCTCTTCTGCTGCGGGCGAGCGAAGCACTGAGGCAGCCGGCCGGCTCCGCCCTCCTACGTGCTTGGGATTGGCGGGCCGTCGAGAGGCCCGCCCACCACATGCTGCTCACACGAGGCGCCTGGCTTTGCTTAGCAGCCGCCTCGGGCTCAACTGTTGTTGCGCTGGGCTCTGCTTGCCCACCCCTCCCCAGGCGCCTGGCCCAGCCTTGCTCTACTGCCGCCAGCGCCTTGGGGCTCCTCTGTCGCTGCTGAGGCTAGCTCTGCCATGCATGCATTGCCGGCCCTCCTTAAAAAAACGTCAACAACTTTGGGCAACCGGGGGGCGCGCCAGGCAGACCTTTGCACCCTGGCGCCGAAAATGCTTAAGATGGCCCTGGTACCACCTCAAGCAGCAGCTGACTCCAACTGTTTCTCTTGAACATCCCAAGCAATCTGCTCTGGTGTTGCATCGCCTCTCATGGGGGCCCTTAGTTGCCCTGCTGCCTCAGATAAGGTGCAGCAAGCTACCCTCCCCCAAGGTTATTATTATTAAATTTATATTCCACATTTCCCCTATGGAGCTCATGCATGGTTCTACTGCTCTCCATTTTCTCCTCACAACCACCCTGGGAGGTAGGGCTAGGCTGAGAAACAGTGACTGACTCAAGGACACTCAGCGAGCTTCATGACTGAGTGGGGACTTGAACCTTGATCTTCCAGGTCCCAGTCATTCAGCTACCAGTCCTGTCCAGGTTTGGTATGTGGATTGGAGAGGAGTCGCCGTCTTGTCCTTTGCCTCAGGCAGCAAAACGTTTTGTGTATGAACCAAGTGTGCACTTTGGAGTACAGCCAGACATTCCCTCCAGGGTGCGCATCATAGAGGAAGATTAACAGGCAGCGAGTACGAAACTCATTTGCCATTCCTGATCAGCTCAACAAGGACCCCCTGAAAATCTAGGAACATAGGAAGCTTTCATAGGAAGCTTGGGTCAGTCAAGCTCAGTATTGCTTACACAGACTGGCAGCAGCAATGCCAGGATTTCAGACAGGAATTTATCCCTAATCCCTACTTGGGGATTGAATGTGGGAACTTCTGCATGCAAATGTAGATGCTGTACCATAGAGCTTCGTCTCTGCTGGTGAAATCCAGTGTTTTTCTGGAACGTGGTTCGAAAACCTCCCAGCCGTGAATTCCAGATTATTTCAACTGACAAATCTGGCTTCTTTCTGCAAGGGTAGAGCTACCATGACGACTTCAGTTTTTGCAGTGCTGTTTATGTCTGCCAGATGGTATCCAATGGCACAAATAGGAAATTGATCCAGGACGCCCAGGGACCAGGCTGTCATAGGTCCTTTGTATACCTCAGAGGAAAGGATTCATCCATCCGTTTGCTGTTTTATTCTCTGTTGTGTGAAAACAACAACGATGGCCTGAATTGCTCTAGTGACAGGTCAATGCAAAAGAACTCTCTGCAGGGTAGAAGATCTAAGACAATTTTTTCACTGCAGACTTTGTGATCCATATATGTCAGGCAGATTTCAAGCACAGCACAGAAAGCTCCCTTATACGGAGTCCATCTAACTCAGCTTTGTCTATGCTGAGCAGCAGGGACTCTCTCCCAGCCCTTCCTGGAGATGGAGGCAAATGAGACCTTCTGCATACAAAGAGATGCTCTGCCACTGAGCCATGGAGACCGATAATGGTACCAAATTATGTTTCTAAAGCTGCAACCCTAGCCCCACTTACCTGGGAGTAAGTCCCTTTGAATTCTCCTCTCTGCTAGAGAGATGGCTAGGACTGCACTGTTACTCAGGAGTTTTGTCAACCTTTGAACCAGCCTGTGGAAAGCAGTTCGGTCTACACCCATTTGCAGATGATCAAATACAGCAGTTGGGGAACCTTTTTTCACCCAGAGGGCCAGATTCCCTTCTGGGCAACCTCCCAGGGGCCACATTTCAGTGGTGGGCAGAGCCGGGGGGGGGGAATGGGCAGGGCAACAAATATTTCCCCCCTCTTTGTACAGCCAGTTGTTTTCTACACAAAGAGTTACCAACCTACCTTTTTGGACCAGCGGGTATATTTTGAGAGAGTGCTGTGGGTACCTCCCACAAAATGGCTGGCATGGGGGAATGACATAATACAAAATGGCTGCCATGGGGGCATGGCATAATGCAAAATGGCTGCCATGTCCTGCTAGTCCCAATTGTGGAAATCAATCTTTCACACAAAGATGTTGGTGCTATCTAACAACAGAGAGCATTCCTGAGGACTAGGAAAAATATACAAGATGATACACCCCACCCCAACCCCAACCCCTCTCCCTCAGATCTCTCTCTGTCTCTCTCATGCACACACATACTCAGGGATGCCAACAGGGTTTTCTGCATGTGGACTGAGCTCTCTGCCCCACTTGCAAACTCTGCATATGCTTCCTGACATGCAAAGTTGTATCCTCTTTTACAAGTGGAGGGTGCAAAAATAAATCAGTGTCCACGCGTGTAAAACGCCTGCAAAGAATGTGAACAGGTGCAGCTTTTTCCGCCATGGCATTTCCGTACTAGAGAAGGCCTAGCCTGTTGAATTTCTGCTTGCCACACAGCCGTTAAAGGCACAAGAACTCTGTTTTACCCCTAAAGCAAAGCCTAGCTGGCGGCTGCAAACCTATACCCACTTTCCTGGGGTCATTTCATAGAAATCACTTAGAAGGGTACCTGCACCTTTTGCTTCATAACTTTTTTTCTAGGAACACTAGAGACTTAGTTTAAAAAAAGAGAGAGAGAGGCATTTAGCTTGGGGACCCTGGCTGAGGGTGCCCATGAAAGACTCACTTGTGCCAGGTTGGTGGCCCCTGTTCTATTCCCCCCTCTCTCACCCAATCCATTATCCACTATCCAGGCACGCAAGAGGCATTATCAGAGTTCAATGATAAATCCCAGCCAGGCAAAAAGGAGGGTGTGATGGGGGGCTGGACTGAGGCCTGGGGTGAGAGGATGCAGCTTTGGGGAGGGGTTTGTGGTGTGGCCAGAGACCCAAAGGCCAGAGAGAGAAACTTGGAGGGTCCCTGGGTCTGATGTTTCCCACGCCTGATGTACAGCTCAAAAAAGCTTCCCTTGAAGGGTCAAATGCAGGCCAGGATGTTCTGTTCTGTCTTTTTCCTTCTGATCAGCTGGTAACCCCAGGTATTTTCTTGTGCAAACATCCCTAGGATCAGGCTGTACACGGACCGTGCTTAAATGAAGCGTGCTAGGAAAGCTGCAACGGTTTCCATGACTACTTAGGACTCTGTTCTGCTACGGTCTGTGGACAGCAGATGCCACTCCGAAACTCAGAGCTCTGAGCAAGGTACACGACAGGAAGACATGAAGGTGAGAGGCCACAAAACCACACAGATGCCAAGTTAGCCTTCATCAAAGATGGGCAATGGGAGGCCTCACTCTTTATCACATAGTGAGCTTAAGTCACCAAGATAGCAGCAGAGATGAGAGTGCTGAGGCTACCTATAAATAAATGCTTGGATATCTGTGAGGTAGGGCAGGTTGCCTCTGCTGTATTTCAGTTTGCCAGTAGTTAATATAGTCCTCATGCATTAGTTACTTTGGATTTACACTGATGTTTAAGAGGATCTTATCTAATCTTTCTGTGCTGCTGTAAAAATGTGGATTCCCCCCCCCCCCGGTATTTTTGGTGATATTTTAATAACCACTTAAGAGACATCTTTGGAGAATGAAGCCATAGACAAAATGGCATCCTCTTGTTGTTGGAACACCTCTGTCTGAAATCCTTGGCCAGAAACCACTCTGATAATTGTAGGTCTGTGAGGGGAACAGGAGTCTCCTAGCAACTCTAGACACCCTTCACAAACTACAGTTCCCAGGATTATTTGTGGAGAAGCCATGTCTGTTTAAAGTGGTCTTGTAGTGCTTCCGGAATAAGTACCCTCTGGTTCAAAACCTGAAAGCTAAGTACTTCTTGCCATGTGACAGAGGAGGCATATATCTGTGGGATTTTCTGCCTCAGGTTCCAAAATAACTTTGGTTGGCTTTGGGTGTTATGCACCTTGACTTGGGGTGGGTATATGTGCCATTTGCTGATCTGCACGAGGCTCATTTTGCTAGAGATGTCATGACTGGAACCTAATTTTATTCCTGTCGTTCTGGAATTGCCTGTTGCTGAAGGATGGCAGAGACCGCGGTGGCGGCTTGTCAAACAACGAATTATGTTCCCATTAATGCAGAGCTGGAGAAGGCAGAGAAAAGGGCAATAAAAACTAGCTGTGTGGAAAGGGTGACACGAGCAAAATTATTCTCTCTCGGAACACTGGAACTCAGGGTCACCTCAAGAAACAAAATGGCTGCCCTGGTAAGCTCAGGACCAATGAAGACATTTTCATCAGAGATCGTTTCAGGGGGGGGAAGAAGAGAGAGATTCTGGTCATATCCTTACATCTCCTATCTCTTTCAAGAGCCATGGCATCTCCCAAAGAATCACTGGTTAAGGTTGCTGAGAGCTGGTAGGAGATCTTCCCCAGAGCTACAATTCCCAGCACTTTTAACAAATAAGTTCCTTGGTTTATTTGTGGGAAGCCATGACTGTTAAAGTGGCACAAGAGAGCTTTAAATGAACGATGTAGATGTGACAAAATTCACAAAGGACAATTCAACCTATGGCTGACAATGAAGTTCTGTCTCATGCTAGAAGTGGCATGCCTTTGATTTCTAGACTCTGTGGACCAACACAAAATAACAGGTCCCTTGGTTATAACCTGCTTGGATGTTTCCTGCCTGCCACAGCTTTGCCCTTCATCGCTTTTGTCAGCTTCAAATGAATTCCCTCGATCACTGATGATTCTGAACGATCCAAAGATGCTGGACTATGAGGGAACTCCTTCTTTGTTTCTTAACATCATTTGGATGCTACCCAGTTAAAACAAAGTCCTTTGGGTGGTTAGCAATAAAAGACAAAAGCCTTTTGAGAAGAATCAACAAGAGCTATAAAAATGAGCAGAATGAAACCACTCACAGCTCAAAAACACACACATGCATATATTCATAAAGCCAGGAACAATAAAACGTATGTCGGCACAGTAGAGCAAAAAACACAGAAGTTCTGAAAACGCTATGCTCTGCCTCCACAGAATACCAGTTGCTGGATGGCCTGCAGGTGCGAGGTTCCCCCATCCCTGGTTGAATGAAGCCTTAGAAGCCTAAACTGTGGTTTAGCCTTTAGCCGGGGTGAAACCAGGCTTTATTTCACCTGGGTCAAAGACCCAGTTTGGCACACACAGGCTGGGAGCCTCAATAGCACCCCTCTGGAGGCTTCACCCGGGGGAAAACCCCCTGGCTAGAACACCCCCCCACTGGTAACTATGGCTCCGCTTTAGCTTAAATAAATCATAGTTAATAAACCATGGGCTGGCATATCCCAAGACAGATGGGTGCCAACTAAGTAGTCGTGTGACATGCAAACCGAGCCGAGAGCCTTAAGTATCAGTTACTGGCTATGGTTTGATAGCTAAACTATTGTTTAGCATTACTTGTGAGCCCAGACAGAGGCAGTTTAGCAGCTCTTGTGAGCTGGTTGATATCACCTACACAACCAAGAGCTTTCAGATTGTTGTTGGCTGCTGCCCAGGACATAGGAAAACTTGCAAAAAGGAAGGCATTGTCGCCGCAACAAGCATTCCACATGAAAATGATAGTGTTCTGGAGAAGGGCTGCAGTTCAGTGGCAGTCAATCTGCTTTACATGCAGATTCAATTAACTCCGGGTTCAATGGCCGCCATCTCCAGCTAGGGCTGAAACCCCAGAGGCTTCTTCCAGTCCGTGTTGACAATATTACTGAGCTAGATGGAGCAATGTTCTGACATGATATAAGGCAGCTCCTTATGTTCCTAACTCTTGATCATGTAGGCTTATTTCTCAAGGACACGGTGAACCTGTGTCTGGTTGGCATCACTCCAGAATGCAATACTTGCCCAAACAAGAGGGTCCCCACCTCCACACAGAAAGGCAGCACAAAGCAAGGAGCTTAGGCTGCAGTCCTATACACACTTGCCTAGAAATAAATCCCATTGCACTCAGTGGAGTTTACTTCTGAGAAGACCTGTATAAACTGCACGTTCAGCCGCTAGTTTCCCATGCATAGTGTTGCTGTTGTCCTCGCCACCAGGGTGGGGGGGAAAGCATTCAATAATATCTGTCTAGATTATGAAGTAGTACAGCCCCCAAACGAGCTCATCATCTCTTATCAGAACGGGATCTGAATTTCCTGAGCAAGACTAGGTAACACAAGCAACAGAGCATCTCCTTTGCCTACAGCTCAGTCCCCAGCATCTCTATGTAGGGCAGGAAAAGCCTCTATCTAGCTGAATCCTGGAAAGCCGCTGCCACTCAGAGGAGATGCTGAGCCAGACGGACCAAAGGTCTGACTCAGCAGAAGGGATCTCCCCATGTAATGCTGCTCAGTGTAGCATTGAAGACCAGTTGGAAGGAAAGCTTTGAAGCCTCCGGGGCCAGCAATCAAAAGGAATCTCGGAGGGCCCCTCCCTTAATGAACAGGCAGCATCTTCATTCGCTGCGCCCTTAATTTCGGTGCGTTTTGCTGTCCAGAAATACCCCTCCTTTTCCAAAGAGACATCCATCACACTGGCTAAAGTCGACATCACTATGGTTGGAGATCCACTGCCGCAAATCCACGGCTGCTAAACACACACACACACACACACACACACACACACGGGGTGGAAGAGAGAGATTTCCCATTGATTGCAATGCGGACCTGGACTTTGCGACGGGTCCTGCCCTTATTTGCTAGACTCCCGCTTTGCTGCCTATGGGAAATGGGATTCCTTCTCCGCGCCACGCTCCAGCGGCTTCTTGGCGCACCATCTCCCTGCAAGGAAAGCGCAGCAGCGCGGGCAAAAACGCAAAACACACGCGCAGGCAACCGTCGGCCAGCAGAGGGGGGCATTTCCAGAGCCGGCAAGGCCTGCCTTCGGCTCTGCGAAACGGGGAAAGATTTGCGCGGTTAGCGCGCGGGTGGAAGCGAAAGAGAGGCTGCGCCTGGTTTTTGGAGAGGGCGAGGAATCCAATGCATTCCTGCCTGCAGTGCAAGCTGCGGCGGCGCCGGAGGGGAGGCAACCCCGCAGCTCCTTACCTTGGGATCCTTCTCGTAGTAATACTGCTGGGTCCGGATCCAGCGCCCCACCAAGTGATCGCGGACCGTGTGCGCCAAGGCGAAGTAGTAGTCCCGCGGGGTGGCCACGTTCCTGTCCTTGACCAGGGTGAAATGTAGGTGCCGGTTGAAGCTCTTCCTGATCTCGGCCACGTCGCCCAGGCCGGCGATGCCCCGCACGCTGATCTGCTTTCTTTTCTCGGAGTCGGTCAAGGGAACGGCCATCCTGGCTCGTACAGGCGCCCGCTGCTGCAAAGGGAGAGTCGCTCGCTTGGGGAAGCTTTGCTCGTTGGCCGATGATGGCGCAGCGCCGGCTTCAGTTTCCCGGGCAAAGGCGGGCCTGGAGGCAGAAGTGTTTTCCTTCTTTTTCCCCTCCCTCCTCTCTCCTCGGCTTTCCTCCTGCCGCGGCTGCTGCGTGGGGAGGCGCCCTGGCTGAGAGCATCAGAGGGGGTGGGATGCAAGGGAAGCAGCGAGCGAGCGCCTATCCTCCGCCCACTGGGACCGGGACTCGCTGCGGCAGCGCCTGCGCGGTGCGGAGGGAGGCTGAGCTGCTTTCAAAAACAAGACGGAGGCATCCAGCTTCCTTTGCGCGGGAGACGCGGGAGTATAAGACTAGTCTAAGAACTCGTAGCGCTTTCGGCAATCAGCCATCTTCATGGTCCAGCTCTCACTTCCATACATCACTACTGGTTAAACCATAGCTTTAACTATACGGACCTTTGTTGGCAAGGTGATGTCTCTGCTTTTTAAGATGCTGTCTAAGTTTGTCATTGCTTTTCTTCCAAGAAGCAGGCGTCTTTTAATTTCGTGACTGTTGTCACCATCTGCAGGGATCATGGAGCCCAAGAAAGTAAAATCTTTCACTGCCTTCATTTCTTCCCCTTCTATTTGCCAGGAGGTGATGGGCCCAGTGGCCATTATCTTGGTTTTTTTGATGTTGAGCTTCAGACCATATTTTGCGCTCTCCTCTTTCACCCTCACTAAAAGGAAGGACAGATCGTGAAGCTGAGGCTCCAATACTTTGCCCACCTCATGAGAAGAGAAGACTCCCTGGAAAAGACCCTGATGTTGGGAAAGATGGAGGGCACAAGGAGAAGGGGACGACAGAGGTCGAGATGGTTGGACAGTGTTCTCGAGGCTACCAGTATGAGTTTGACCAAACTGCGGGAGGCAGTGGAAGACAGGAGTGCCTGGCATGCTCTGGTCCATGGAGTCACGAAGAGTCGGACACGACTAAACAACAACAACAACAAAATTCCTCACTTTCTGCCATATTGATGACATAAATAGTGAGGAACACGGCAGAATGGTACCCGTAGTTTGCAGCATAGTCTGGCATGCACGAAGTGCAGTTTTTAATTTTTTTCACTCCCTTTCCTATAGATTCCTATTCATTCTAATTGCTATTGATACAAAATGACTTTTGCTCGCGGTCCCCAATCTAAGCCCTGTTACTTTGCATCATTTCACATCTGTAATAACTGCTACTTTTGGTATATACACTTCAAAACAACTGTGTTAATATATTCAGAAACATTTATCTTAGTGTTTTATTTTTGTAATTGTTGCATGTCATATGTTCTAATGTAAGCAGGGATATAGCTGAGTGCAACCATGTTCAAAGATGAAAATGAATAAAAACTGCATTAGCAAAAGAAAAGAAGGTAAGGATAGCCTGCAGGATCAGGCCATTGGCCCATCTAATCCAGCATCCTGTTCTCACAGTGGCCAGCCAGATGCCTGTGGGAAACCAGGGAGCAGAGTAGGAGCACAAGAGCCGAGACTCTCCCCTCCTCTGGTTTCTAGCAACTGGAATTTATGAAATGCAGACGATAAGGTCTCCTCATCCCTGCCAATTATCAAAAGCAAGGAGGCAAAGCCTAAATGGAAGCCATCTCACACCAGACAGTGAGACTCATGGCGCTGAGCCTCTGGATCATCGCCCAAGGGCCTTGAATGTGCTAAGTGGCAAAGTGCCACCCCAGCCATTTTCATTAATGGAAAAAAGACATATGTAAGACACAAACATTCCCTGTACCTTTGAGATGGCCAGAAGCTGGGAGTCGATGGCAGAGAATGGAAAATCCCACCACTCTGTCTCTTGTAGCTTCTGTGACTGACTTGGCCGTTGTCTGAGAAGAGCGTGCGGAGAGGTAAGCTATGATTGATCTGACTTGGCACAGCCCTTTTAACAACCTTATGAATAAGCAGACCCCCCCCAAGAGTTCTGTGGCACCTTCAAGTCTTAATCCAACCTGAAGCCCTGTGCTGTGCCATTCTGATGGGAGTTAAAGGCCAAAACATCTGGAGGGCACCAGGTTGGCAAAGGCTGGTCTAATTGATTTATTGTAGCATAAACCTTCGCAGACTAGAACCCACTTGGACAAGTACACAAAAAGCAGTCAGTGAGGCAGCTTTCTAAAGTGGCATTTGCCGGGGGGAGAATGTATTGCATCAAATGCACATGAAACTCAACTGACAGCCATCTTCAGATACATCAAGGGCTGCCACACGGAAGACTGAGCAATATTGTTTTCTGCCGCTCCAGAGAGTAGGACCAAAACCCATGGATTCAAATGAAGGATATTCGAACCAAACATTAGGAAGGACTTTCTGGTGGCAAGAGCCATTTGACAGTGAAACAGATTCCCTCGGAAGGTGGTGGCTTTTCCTTCCTTGGAGGTCTCTAAACAGAAGTTGGATGGCCATCTGTCAGGGATTATTTAGTGTGATCTCTGCACTGCAGGGGGTTGGACTAGATGACCCTTGGGGTACCTTCCAGCTCTACAATTCTATGCTTCTACTTACACGGGACAGTGGAACAACTGCGGTGAGGGAATTGTTTTGCAAATGGAGATAAACAATTAGGAATAAACCAGCTATTATGATTATTTTATTAGTTATTACATTTATATACTGCCCTACACCTGGAGGTCTCAGGGCGGTTCACAGGATAAAATCACGATATAAGAACACAACATGTGTAATCAAAATAAAAACAGAAGCAACTGAATAACCCCCTTAACCTTGGGTTCTATTTCCTTTCCTATGTTTTATGCGGTGGGACAGCTTGTTTTTAACAGCTCTGAGCCATCAGAAATTTCTTCCAAGAACATTAAGCAAGCAATCTCCACTTTTCTTACAGGTGCAGGGAGCAAAAAGGTGCAAGTCCCAGGTATACCTATTAGTGTTAATTTAGCTCCCTTTCCTCTGCCGTCTTCCTGCGCTCAATTATATAGACTATAAGTCCTCTGTTGTCTTTGTCCATGGAGTTTTCTTGGCAGGGATGCTGGAGTGGCTTGCCGGGAGGCAGTGGAAGACAGCAGTGCCTGGTGTGCTCTGGTCCATGGGGTCACGAAGAGTCGGACACGACTAAACAACAACAACATAAGTCCTCTAGGACCAGGATCCTTCCTGTTGTACTTTGCAAAGCACTATGCACAATGATGGAACTACATAAACAAATAGTTTGCTACTGACACGAATATCGTAACTCTTAATGAAGGCATTAATTTGACTTCACCACCTTGCTTAGAACCTTCAGCCTCAAGGTAATAGCTTTCTGAAAATATTGCCCCAAAACACATTGAAGGCACCTTCTGTAATCAGTCCAATAACCCACTTTTCAAGGCGATCCCTATCTTCGCTCATTCTAGGCTATTTGATCTAGCTTAACCCTTGTTCTTTCTTCCAGTCATCCTATGCCAATTGGGTTGTCCCATTTTCCCTTTTTAAACAATAAGCAGAACATTTATTGCCCTGGGGAACTTCCCCAGTACTTAAAAACTATATCCAGGCAGCTTTATGACTGGTTTTTGTCTGTTCACTTTGCAAGCTAATCCTAACCATGTTTACTTGAAATGAGTCCTAGTGGACTCTGTGGGAATTATTTACCAGTTTAAGTTTAGCTAGCACTGGCGGGTACATGGCTGCATGCTTCTTCAGTGGTATAATGAGAACTTGCTGGTGTGGAGGAAAGTGCTCAAGTGTGCTTGATTTGTGATGGTGCTAGAGCTTCCAGAAAGTGATCTTTGACTGTGGGTTCTGCCTCTTTTGATAGAGGCAGAGTTCTGAAGAAGCCAAGGCTTTTTCTACCTCGGAAGCAGAGCATGGCAACAGAACAAACTGCCCCATTTCAGCTTGCAGGTGAGAAATGACAATTTTTGAATAAAATCTGTTCTGCGAATACAGTGGTGCCCCGCAAGACGAATGCCTCGCAAGACGAAAAACTCGCTAGACGAAAGGGTTTTGCGGTTTTTGAGCTGCTTCGCAAGACGAATTTCCCTATGGGCTTGCTTCGCAAGACGAAAACGTCTTGCGTTTTTTGCAAGTTTCCTTCCTTTTTCTTAACACCGTTAATACAGTTGCGACTTGACTTCGAGGAGCAACTCATAGAACGTGGTGTGGTAGCCTTTTTTGAGGTTTTTGGTGATTTTTGAAGCTTTTCAATAACTTTTCCGACACTGTGCTTCGCAAGACGAAAAATTCGCTAGACGAAAAAACTCGCGGAACGAATTAATTTCGTCTTGCGAGGCACCACTGTACATCATTAGGAACCAAGTCAGGTTTTTTAAAAAGTAACTATACAGCAGCAAGTGCAATTTTTGTCAGGACTGCAGTATGCAGGGGAGCAGAAGTTTAACTGTTTCTTCCTCTGCAGACTAAAACTGCACCTCCACCCACCCCTTTTAGCCCAGAGGGGAAAGTTCCCCATTGACAACAGTGCAAGTGTTTCCCTCTCAGGCTAACAGCAGCTTGTTGCAGGGAGGAAAGGCAGTTTTTAACTGGAATTGTGGTGGGGAAAGAAAAGGCTAAACTCCTTTTCCCTGTACACCACAATCCAAATGAAAATAAGTCCCCCTCTCCTCATGCTTCTTCTTCTTCTTATTTAAATCAAACGTGCTTCATAATGTGCAGTTTCACCCTTAAGTTGTAGCCCTGTTTTCTGTAATCCATGTTCAAACGAAAGTTAAGTATCTGGAGGTATGGCTCGCCTCTAAAAAATTAAACCTCGTCCAAGACAAGTGTAATAAAACTTGGATTGAAGTTAAGAAAGACATGGAGAAATGGAACTGAGTTAACCTCGCAAAGTTAGGAAGAATCGTTGCAATTAAAATGAATGTGTCATCAAAAATGATCTTCCTATTTCAACCCCTGCCTGTGATCAGAAATACCAACTGCTTTAAACAATGGAAAAAAGATATAACACATTTTGTCTGGCAAGAGAAAAAAACCTAGGGTTAAATACAAAATTTTAATTGGCACAAAGAATATAGGGGGGTTTGCCCTGCTGGACCTAAAAATGTATTATGAGGCAGCCTGTCTGGGCCGGATGAAGGAGTAGATGGATTTGAAAGATGCGGGTATCTTGGACTTAAAATGATTTGATCTAGTGTATGGGTGGCAATGTTATCTGTATTATGATAAAGCTGAAGTTCACAAGGGATTCTCTAACATGATCAGAAAGAGTATGTATCGTGTCTGAGTAAGGCATAAGGATCTCCTAGAAGTAAGACTCCATGCTGGATATCCCAATGGAGGCAGTTGCTGTAAAAAACTAAATATGGAAAAAGAACTGGGGAATATACAGAGATCTTCTTGAATTTAAAGAGGGTTCTATAAGATTGGAAAAAAGGAAGAAATAGCAAGAACGGTCACAGGCTGGTTTTAATATTTTCAAATAAACGAGATTTTTAAGAAAGACAGGTTTGGGGGCTGCTTGCTATCATTGGTAGGACAACCAATGGTTGGGTCACAACTGGGGTCTCCATCATGACAAAACCCACCTTCCAGCAGAGAGACACCAACATGCCATTTTAACCACCTTTCTTTCTGCCATCAACATTAAGGAGAGGGCAGAAGTTTGCTATTAACCTTTCATTTAAAAATCAACTCAATTTCAGCAATAAGAATTCAGTGTGCTGCTAGCAAGTGAGACACCAACTGGCTTCAGATTGTGAGAAAGGCCTTAAAACCACCAGAACACCGCCAAAATAACCCAATATGGTACAGACTATGAAGAACAGAAATGCTGAGTTTCAGAAGATAAATCTCAATGCCTACTGGTAAACTTGGACAAAGCAAAATATTTTTTTAAAGACATCATTTGTTAGTTTCTATACATTTAAGAAAAGTAAAGCAATTCCCCCAAATGTGCACGCACACACTGCAATATAAAAGTCACACTTGTTTCTGAGACTAGGTTCAGAATGCTTGCTGGAAAGGCAAAAAGCCTGCCTGAGGATGATGTGCTTTTCTCATAGAGACTGTAGAACATGATAGAGAATGGCAGGTTTGGCTTGCTGTGAAGTTTCCTCCTGGTCAGTGGGGGAGCGAAGCATGCAAGAAAGAGTTAACTCCTCCTGGAGGTAGAGTCAGCACTTGATTGAAGGATCAGGTGATGCTGGACAGCTGGAAGGGGAGGAAACCTTCCTCAAGCTGCCAGTCATTGAAAAGCTGTGACAATAAGGCTGACCAAATCCCTGATGACAAACACTGTAGAAATTCTGCCATGGAGGGAATGAACTGTCCCCAAAGTATAGAAAACTAGGAAATGTGGACAGAGGAGGAGAAAGGAGGTACCCCTGGCAGTCTGAAGAACATGACTATATTCTCATCATGAATCCCAGGGTGATTTTTGCATTCATTCCATTTCAGCTCAGGTATGTTGCCCAAGACTTGGATCTCAGCTGCCATGGCCTAGTCCTTTTCAGAACCACCATCCCCGACTTTAAGTGACACTTTTAGAAAGGTACACAATTTCACAGAGTAGTGGTATGTTAAGCTACCAAAAACTAGCACCCGAGTTCCCTGCTGAAAGAGGTCAAGGCCTTTTGAAATGTATTTATGAAATATACACACACACACATATGTATAGCTTTTACAGTAGTAGTTTTCCAGTAGTGCAGCTTCCAGTAGTCTCCGGTCCAAGGAACTGACCAGGTCCACACCTGCTTAGCTTCCACAATGCTGCCACATCACATCCTCCCAGATTCACTGCATCCCCAAGGCTCCCAAAGCCCTAATATTGCAGTTTGTGAAGTGAATCCATATAGTGAAGTATAGCTCCCAGAGCCCAGCTGGTTTCAGTGTTGTTGATTTTTCGAGCAAGCTAAAATGAAAAGTGGACAAAGATATTGGAAATGATTATGTTTCTCTTGCCTGCGTCACACAGTTGTCACTTGGCCCCTCTGTACTTCATGATTTGCAGTTGTATATGCAAGCCAACTCTATTAAAATGTGTTTTGCCTCAGGTGATATGTAAGTTCTCCGAGTTTGTAGGAGCCATGATGGCCCATTCAGAAGTACAAGCTAACACTTGACATTTCAGTTAAATGATGAATATGCATGTGTGCACTAGCTCTCTAAATCAACACGGTCATGTAATCCAGTAGACACCTAGCTTACATAATGGGAAAAGGGGAAAGTCAATGGAGTGTTCCAAATAAGTTCTGCATGTGTTAAAAATTAGTATGCAAATAGCAGTGTGATTCGTAGTTTAAGAACTTGGTGTGCAATTGGTGCTGGAGCTGTAATATTCTGAGCAAAACTCCCTCCTTCCTGCAGAGTCCTCAGTCTCTTCTCTTCCACCACTCCCACCACCCCCAGCTCTTTGTGGTCTACTAACTGAAGCCCTTGTTGTCACAAGATGAAAAATATTTTTAAAAAACAAAACCAAGATTTCAAGATACTGCACAGGCAACTCTAAATGAGGAAATTTGCAAGTAGGGCTGTATTCAAAGTAGCACTACGTGAATGTTCCATCAACACAAGGATTTCTGTTTGCACAATGGAATTCTCCTGTTACCTTAATCTGTTCTAGGGGTTTCCCAGCCCTCTGCAGCAGATTTGGGGAGGGTGTGAGGCATGAGCAGGAGGAAAAGAAGAGGGGAGATTCTATTATGCAAGACATGTTAGTTGAATACTGCTGTATGTGCCTCCCTTTTCAAAACCTGCAGAATTAATGCTTGTTTTGTGAGATAGCCTCTTCTCACATTTAGCTCTAAATACAGTGGCTAAGAATGATTACCTTAAGAACGTGGCTCTTTGGAAAACCTAGTTCTTCCAAAAGCAAACTGACATATGTGAGATCCATGCAGAGAAAAGGATGCGCTCCTTCTTGATCTTCCATGGTTTTACACACTTTGGGGATAGAAACAGAAAAATGAGCTGTAAAAAGCAGATTGTATTTCCACAATATTTTTGCCACTTGAGGTGTATAGTTTTAGGACCCACCTTATTTTTCTGATGGTAAGTTTTTTTATACTGTTTTCAATACTGTGTTTTAATGTTGCAACCCACCCTGGAATCTTAGGTTGAAGGGTGGGTAATTAATAATAGCAACAATGACATTTTCAGTGCTGGTCCTCAGGTGGGATACAGTTTTAACTGTCAACCTTTTAATGATGCATTCCTTGTTCACACATAAGCAAGCAAATAGAAAGACGAAGTGGCTCACCATTCTTTGCAACAGCTTCAAATTCACCAACTGCTAGGGTCCCTCCTTTTTCATTATCTAAAGAGAAAAAAGGGGCTCTTCAGTTGCAGAGGAAGAGAAGGAAGAGTTGTGCTGGAACAACACCCAACCTACAGGTAGTCTAAATGCATAATTTAAGCAGTAATTGCTCTGTGCATTTCAAACTGAACTTTTTAGCTTAGAGCTCAGTGAGGGAGGCAAACCCGTCTGGCTTTCAGACTGAACATAATTAAATGCTCCTCCATTCAGAAAAATGCACATAGAAAACTAGCATGCTGGGTGGGGGGGAGGGGCAAAGATGTACACTGAAATATAGTTAGGTCTTCCTTCCAAGATCTAGCCTTCTACATGGATGAACATTCCTTTCTTTGAGTCCTCAGTTGTAGTCCATTGTGGAACAGACGAGACTCAAGTTTATCATCAGTGAGATCCAGGCCCTTACTAGAGGCAGAATCTACATAGTTTGTCTTGTATTGAGACTGAATAAATTATGGTCTGCAGGTTGCGTTTGGTGCAGCGATAGCTTTTTTCCTCTCCCACCATGGCACAACTATCTAGCCAGAATGACCCCACATAAAAAAGAAAGAAAGAATGCATGCAAGCACAGGTTAAGAGGTTTTCTGTTCTCCTAATTAAATTGCTAGAGTGCACATCCAGGAAAGATGCAGTTCTGAAGAAGGCAGGTACTTCTCTTTACATCCCACCACAAGAAGCCAGCTATGTCAACCGTACTGGTCACACTAATCCTGTCTCAATCTCTGCCAGCCATGTGGACCAGTTTTGGGGTGTGGAACAACATGAGTCAAAGCACCCTACATACCTTGACTGTGGGGATGGGAAGTACTGAGACAGAGCAGAGCTGCCTGGATGCATCACTGCTAATGCTCCTAAGAATGACGGGAAAAACAGCAGACTTTGGCCTCTGGAAGTGATGCCGCAAAATACACCTCTTAACAGTTTTGTGTTCAGTTGTAACAGTATGCTGGCAACAAAGAGGCTATGTTTACAGCCATCCCAGTTGTGCTAGAGAACCACATTATGCTCTTTCATTGTAATGTGATGCAATAAGGACTGCAGTGAAGGGTGAAGAGCACAAAATATGAAGCATAAAGCAAGCCTTCCTGGGATCATTTTTGCATTCTCATTTTGTATTTTTCTGTTATGAACAGACCTGGGATCTTTGGATGAAGGGTGGTATACAAATTTAAATAAACTAATAATAATAATAATAATAATAATAATAATAATAATAATAATCTGTCACTGACAATGGGACTCCAGAGAGAGATCGAAGGAGGTCCCTGGTAAATTCAGGAAGTTTAATGCTTCTTGGGAGTCAGAAGCAGGAGGAAGTCAGTTTATATAAAGCTGACTTGTAGGAACAAAAAGAATCAGAAGTCTATTGAATTCAATCCTCTTCCACTATACTTGCTTTTAGAAAATTAGCTAGTAGGGTTAATGGTGACAAATTTCAGAACTGGTCTCGACTCTGTTGCAGCCCATAAGGTGTCCTGTAGTGCCATACACACTAAAAAATTGGTTGGGGCTTAAAATTTCATCATGGGCCAAAACCTATCTCAGAGATGCAAAAGTGTGTTATCTGCAGTTGACGGCCAGGCTTAGATGGAGTATTTATTTCTGCATTTATATTCTACTTTTTTTCTCCAAGGAGCTCAAGGTTGTGTACACAGTTAATCCTCCTCATTTAATCTCCACAACAACCCTGTGAAGAAGGTTAGGCTGAGAGGCAGTAAGTGGCCCAAGGTCACCCATGAGCTTCATGGCCAAGTGGGTTTTTGAACCCTGGTCTCCGGGGTCCTTGTCAAACACACTAACCACTATACCAGACTGGCTCTCATACAGTATAATAGCGCAGTATAGAAGAGTACAGTATAGGACAGGAGTATTATTACAAAGTGGAGTCAGCAATACAAAGTCTAAATGTGATCACCATTACTATGCAGTGTTGAATGAAAGCAAAAACCCAGTGGGAAAAGTAAAAGAGCCAGCTAAATCTGGGAGTGACTCAGTTCCAACTGCATTTAAATTTATAGAGGGTACATTAACACCTAACAAAGAATAGCTGCTTTCTGTAGCAAGCTAGTCACTCCCAATCTCTCTTCAGACCACTGTGTCATATCTACACATGAATTTTAGCTCAGCAATTTCATATGGGAGTTTGTCTCACCTTGGGAAGGGCCATAGCTCAGTGGCTCAGTGTCTGCCTTGCAAGCAGAAAGTTCCAGGTTCAATTCCCACTGGCATCTCCAGGTAAGTCTGGAAAAGACTCCTGCCTAAAATCCTGGAGGGTCGCTGCCAGCCAGTGTAGACAGTACTGAGCTAGATGGACCAAATGGTCTCTGTATAAGGCAGTTTCGCATGTCCCTAAATCTCAAACAAGAACACTACTGTCAATCACCTTTATATTACTAGTGAAATCAAAAGCAATTTTACCTATTAAGCCAGCATCCACTGCCAAATCGTAATAGTAGGAAAAGGCATAAAAATCCAAATCCTTTACTTCATCTGTCCTATGAACCTTCGTGCTGATCAGTTTTGCTATTTCATCAGAACATGATTCGAAGAGAGGTTTTCCTAAAAGCAGGGGGGAAACCACCCTTAATAATTCAACTTTAGTGACGACATTCAAGTATGTGAGATTCGCCGAGTAAACAGTTTTAGAACATTGTTCAATTGTAAACAAGTGAAGTTATAAGGCAACAGTACATATCTAATATTATTTAACAGAAGTACGAAATCCCAGTATAGAGCATTCTGATTAAATAAGGACCCAATATCTCTAAAGTGTAATCACTGGCAGGGCACAGAATTCAGTAAATTCTCCCCTTCCACTTTCAAAATTCTCTCCTTTCCCATGCCACTCTGGCGATTCCCGATTGAAGTTAATGGAGATACTGAAGGGAAATGTGCATTACCAAATGAAGAGATGACCAGTTACTATACCTGCCTTCTGCCCTTTAATTTTGTATATTATCTTGGCATGCTCCCATTCACCCTGGAAACCAGGCGATAAGCAGGAACTTGTAAGATCTTCACCTTCCTTTACTGTAAAAGGGAAAGAAATGCACTGACACAAGGGGAAAGAGTTCATATGGAGATCTTGATCTTCCCCATCCACAAAGCATTTCCCTGTCCCTCTATTCAGCCACACAAATCTCAGAACATTTAAATCCTGTTCCTACAACTGCACAACCTTCATCCTTTACTTGAGAGGCAGCAGGAATCTTATCTTTTTCAGACAAAATGATCTAAATAGATATAATTTTAGCATCAATTTTCTAGCTTTCAAGCAGACACAGTATAAAGAAAAGCTGGCAAGATCCCTTATCTACAAAGATGGGTTGCTATTTGGTTAAGTTATCTATATAGCACAAAGCTCAGGTAAAACAGAAGCATCTAAAAATCTAAAATCCCCATCACTCAAGCTTAATGTGCAATACTTACAGGCTTGACCTTCAACTCCTCCTAAAATCGCCAGCCTTGCCGACATCAATCCAAGTCCCAAGTAACTGGGGAGGAGGTAAAACATGATCAAACACAACACTCTTGGCACTGAGGCAGAGCTCATTTTTATTGTTACATGGTATCCGTTAAGGGTCGTCTCTAAATACAGTGGTACCTCGGGTTACATATGCTTCAGGTTACATACGCTTCAGGTTACAGACTCTGCTAACCCAGAAATAGTATCTCTGGTTAAGAACTTTGCTTCAGGATGAGAACAGAAATTGTGCGGCGGTGGCAGCGCTGCAGCAGCGGGAGGCCCCATTAGCTAAAGTGGTGCTTCAGGTTAAGAACAGTTTCAGCTTAAGAACGGACCTCTGGAACGAATTAAGTACGTAAGGAGCGTCTCCACCCCCATCGTTCTACCCGGACACTGAGGTCCAGCACCGAGGGCCTTCTGGCAGTTCCCTCACTGCGAGAAGCCAAGTTACAGGGAACCAGGCAGAGGGCCTTCTCGGTAGTGGCGCCTTCCCTGTGGAACACCCTCCCACCAGATGTCAAAGAGAACAACAACTACCAGGCTTTTAGAAGACATCTGAAGGCAGCCCTGTTTCGGGAAGCTTTTAATGTTTGATGTATTATAGTATTTTAATATTCTTTTGTAAGCCGCCCAGAGTGGCCGGGGAAGCCCAGCCAGATGGGCGGGGTATAAATAATAAATTATTATTATTATTATTATAACCAGAGGTACCACTGTAAATAATACACACACAGAAACAGAATCTGCTATTGGCAGCTATTAAGTTGGCAATTAGGTTGGCATCTATTAAGGTTTTAAACTGTCAGAAAATATGAACAATTGATTTTTGCTCCAGAGATAGAAACTATGTTTTATATGAAAAAAGGCGATCTCTTAGGATACACCAGGGTAAAGTGTGCATAAAAATGCATGTATTAGTGAAAGTATTGTACAAAACCAGAATCAAATCAAATCAAATTTATTAAACGGTCACAGACCAGATTAACTCGTACAGCTAGTCAGCTAAGCATAACACCGGAAAAAACAAAGGACAATTTCAATACATAACTGCAATTTAAAATTAGACAGCATAAATAAAAAATTAAGTATTTGCCTTCGCCTGCGTAATGCCATTGGAAAGCTCTTGTTTCCTGCGCCTAATAGCGGCTACACAAAATTTGGCCACATTGATCGTAATTTCAGAAACCTTATCTTCTACCAAGGCTCTCATACGTTGGAGTTCTGGTTCATTTTTAAGCTTTTGTAGAACTGGGGCAATAAAGGTCAAACGTAGATCCTCATAGTAACTACAGTGCAGCAATACATGCAGACTTGTTTCCACTTCCGATGAGCCACATGGGCAAACACGTGACTCATATGGTTTGCCCTCATATCTGCCTAGCAGCAGGGCAGAGGGCAGAACGTTAAATCTGGCCAGGGTAAAGGAGTGTCTGTACTTAGGTATTTGTAAATCAGCCAAATAATTTGCGGGTGAGAACCCTCTCCCAAAGTCTCTAATTATGGCATGTTTATCCATTTTGCCCATATGACATTGCAGCTCTATGTCCCTAATGCGTTGGAGCACTTGACTTCTGGCTCTCTCATATCCTGCCGCTATCAAGATCTGCGGGGAGAATCCCAGGCTTCTTATCTTTTCAAACAGGGAAGCTTTCCAGGTGGAATGAAAGGTGTCTAAGAGTGTTAAAGGAGCCAAACCGGCCGGGAAAAAATAAGTTTTAACCAGTAGTGTATCTTTAGAATCCACAGCCGCGCATTAACGGGTGGTTGTCCAACTTCTAAGCGGACAGCTATATTAGATACACAGGGGGGGATCCCCAATAAACACCGATAGAATTTTGTTTGAAATGCCTCCATAGGCGCAAAATTTTTAAAACTGCAAACCTGGGATCCATAAGTAAGTTGTGGGAGTATTTTTGCAGCAAAAACCTGGGAGGCCGCCGGAACGTATTTACCCCTTTCCCGTGAAAAAATCTTGTAAGGGCTTTATTAGCCCTTCCTGCGTTGGCAATGGCGTTTTCATCTGTTGATGCCACGAGACCCTTTCCTGAAAAGTTACTCCCAGGTATTTGAAAGTTGCTACCTGGTCAATAGGTTGACCATTAATTCTCCATTTGTGTTTCCTTCTTTTTTGAAAACACCATAATTTTAGATTTGCTGTGATTTATTGATAGTTGTTCCGCTTGACAATAGTCAGCAAGTGATCTCAAAAGCTTCCTCAGGCCAATGCAGGAAAAGGAGAGTAGGACTGCGTCGTCCGCATACAGAAGCACCGGGATGGGAATACCTGCCAGTTTGGGAGGGTGGGCATTTTCTTTCGCCATATTTACTGCTAGAGAGTTGATATAGAAATTAAATAGCGTTGGCGCGAGGACACATCCTTACAAAAAAAACCCAGAAATATTAGGGACTGTCACCTTGTATAGATGTGTGTATTAGGCAAATTTTTAAAAAAGCAATACAGTATAAACACTGACAATTGGGAAACACTGGCCTGCAAGTGCTCCAATTGGAGAACAGCTTTTACCAAAGGCGTCATGGACTTTGAAGATACTCGAACTCAGGATGTAAGGGAGAAATGTGCTAAGAGGAAGGCACGTTTGGCAAACCCTTGCCATGATCAACTCCCACCTGGAAACCTATGTCCCCACTGTGGAAGGACATGTGGATCCAGAATTGGCCTCCACAGTCACTTACGGACTCACTGTTAAGACCGTGTTCATGGAAGACAATCTTACTCGGCTATGCGTGGTCACCAAAGAAGATAATAGGGGAAATTCACAATTGAAATGCAGGTGAATTTTCACAAGGACCTTTAAAAATGGGGAAATGTGTTGAACGGAATTTTAGATTGGAAAAATGAGAAACTAAAATGGATAGACTTGCCCATTCCTACTCACAACTAACCTGTGTGAATACAGCTGGTATGTGGTGTTAAACATCTGAAATGAAGTGATGCGACCAGCAGGGGAGCTCTCCAGGGCGGTCTATAAAGAGAAAGAAATTGAACACTCCATGAATGCTCCATACAAAGCAAAGCAGAATAATAAACTCAATGATTTCAGGAGTGTTGAACAAGAGTGTTCTGATGGGTTTAGAACTTTATGGTCTTTATGTAGCCAGGCATCGTAAATACCATAAAAAAAAAGCGGGAAAACTTGGCTTTGAGCATCCTATCAGGTTGAATGTAGAAAAAAGAATGTGCAGGTTATTGTGTGTGTTTGGAAACCTGATGAAATACCAACCCCTTTTAATGGCACTTTCCATTTCAAATAAATGACAAAGTGTGGCTCATACATGTTTAGAACTGGTAGTAGATCTGAAATATCTGAAAGTTTATTACATCTCTCTCTCACCTTTCCTTTAAGGAGCTCATATATTATTGTTGTTTTTAATTAATTAATTTATATCTTTCCGTTTTCCCATGACAGGGACTCAGGGGAAGTTCCATCCCTTTCCCTATTTTACCCTCACAACCACCCTATGAGGTAGGTCAGTTTAAGAATATCACTTATGATAAAGTATGACTGTTTCTTGTGGAGCTGGTGGTGCTCACGCCCATATGTTTTACACAGCAGCCACATGACACCCTCCTCAACAAAATGATGTTCCACGTTTCCTTCCCCCCAACAACAACAATAACACAGAAACAGTAAGTCCAGATGAAGTGGTGGGTGGCAGGGATAAGGGGTGGCGTTTTGATGAGGGCATTGCGTGAACTCTGTGGAAAAACTTGCATGGATAAATAGCACCGAACAGTCCATATCACAAAGTTACTGAATCATACTAGGGTAAAAGTTCGTGTGTTCAGCTCTACAGCCTTAAAGCCCAGGGCAAAGTGTTGCCTTGAGGGGAAAAATGCCGGAATGAAAGGTCAACCTGCTTCTTCTCAAGCACAAAGTTCTGAATATACACTCCAAGCAATATGTTTGACACTCAAAAATCAAACTGGAAGCAGAGCAAAGGGAAAAAAGCAACACATCAATTGGTCGTTCATTACAACTGACATGACTAAGGCGACCCGTGTTCTTGTTACCTTAGTGCTTGGGCGAAATGTGATCTGAATTGAGCCACCTCCTAAATCCAGCATTCCTACACACCTCTTTCTTGGAGTATTCAAGCTATCTGAAATGTATTATTTAAAAAAACAAAGTTAATAGCATGTTTAGTCATTATACCTCAGGCAAAGCATCTGCATGGAATTATGCTCTATGAACAAAATGTGAGATCCTATTAAATAATTTCTTTTAAAAAAACAACCCTAACCGCACCTACTCAGAAGTAGATAAGGGTTACTGTCTATGAATTTTAAATGGGCATCTTTTAATAATAATAATAATAATAATAATAATAATAATAATAATAATTTATTATTTGTACCCCGCCCATCTGGCTGGGTTTCCCCAGCCACTCTGGGCGGCTTCCATAGAAACAAAAATACAGTAAAATATCACAGATTAAAAGCTTCCCTGAACAGGGCTGCCTTAAGATGCCTTCTAAATGTCAGGTAGTTATTTATTGCTTTGACATCTGATGGGAGGGCGTTCCACAGGGCGGGCGCCACTACCGAGAAGGCCCTCTGCCTGGTTCCCTGTAGCTTTGCTTCTCGCAATGAGGGAACCGCCAGAAGGCCCTCGGCGCTGGACCTCAGCGTCCGGGCAGAACGATGGGGGTGGAGACGCTCCTTCAGGTATACTGGGCCGAGGCCGTTTAGGGCTTTAAAGGTCAACACCAACACTTTGAATTGTGCTCGGAAACGTACTGGGAGCCAATGTAGGTCTTTCAAGACCGGTGTTATGCGGTCTCGGCGGCTGCCCCCAGTCACCAGTCTAGCTGCCGCATTCTGGATTAATTGTAGTTTCCGGGTCACCTTCAAAGGTAGCCCCACGTAGTTTAAAAATACATTTGCAAATATTACTTTTTTCAACAACTCAAAATAACTAGCTGCTGAGTGAGCAATGTGTTATGTGCCACCCTGCTCTGAAACACTGCTAAATATTTGTACTTATGGTGCAAATGCAAGAAGTGTATTTTTTGTATTACAAGGTCATAACATACAGTTGTTTTATTTACCTCTATTGCCAACATATTAGTTTATAAATGCGGATAGGGTTTGAAAGCAGACCGTCTTCAGGAAGTTACAATCATATTTGAACTTTTCTGGGAGTAAGCCGCATTGAACACAACTGTACTTCCAAGTAAAAATGCATGAAATTACGCTGAGAATCTTGTAGTTTTACAGAACAAACTAAGGATCACAGCATGGCATATATTGCCACAAAACTGCTGCCCTGGACTCCTTTGGAAGGAAGGGCAGAATATATATTTGATACATAAATAATTATAAAACATAAGGCTCATCATTAACAGATCACAATTTACTTCTATAGATACCTGTTAAGAAGTTGACAGTGATCCATGCTGAAATACCTGGTTTAAAAAAATTGAAATTATGTGAATAGACACAAAGTGGTTTTCCACTTCTAGTAATCAATATACATAATACATGAATGCATAAACAGGACATGTTTGCTCAGTTAGGGTCTCTCCAAACTGAACAAATGAGCAAGAGAATGGCAGAGGAGATTCATTAGTGTAAGCAAATGGAAGTGATGCATGCTGCAACAAATAGCTTATCTTCAGGGGAGAATGCATCCTATTATGCAGCCAAAATTGCAGCACTTGCCCACACGAATTGGCAGATTCGGGTGGACCCTGAGGTTTAAAAAAGTACAAGTCTTAAGAAAAAAACCTAAGGAGGACCTCTCAAAACAGACCTGTAAGAACTCAGTGGCAGGGAGTGCTGTCTGGCTGAATGGAAAAAAACTGACAACAAAGCTGGAGGAGGAATGGAAATTGCCTTGCCTTTGCTGGTCTTCGATTGCAAGTTCACTGAGACATGGACTTGCTTATTTGTTTGTTTTGCTCTGTATTTGCCACATGGAGATACAGTGCTGTGTAACTATTTAGCAACAACAACAACTTCCCTGAGTTTCACAGAGGTTTATTGCCGAATTAAAAGTAATTTTATGAAACCGCTGAAAAGAAAATTTGCTTAATTGCAGACAAAAGCAAGATCCCTACCTTCATCTGTTCCATCCATTACAGAGACACAGTCACTCCTTACAAGGAATGGAGATTCTTGAAAGATGTCCTTTACCTAAATTTGAAATAAGACTAATTTTTTTAGTGTTTTAAAAAAGCATCCTTCCACACCCACAAAAAACCACGTACAGCATTTATAAACCATTTCCTGGTAGGAGTCCAGATGAAGATCACATTCTTATGGAGAAGTGGAGATTAACCATGCAAAACTGCTATGATAGGGTTTGGAAGCTTGCATTTGTAGACAAAATAACACAGCATTTGCAGAGTAGTTAGGAGGGTGTTACCTCAGAATTTTTAGTATGATGACTCCCTTCATTTCTTTCATGAGTTCCTCACCAGAAAACATAGACTAGCTTCTGTTCACTTTTATTTTTGGTGAGCTATGTTATCCTGGATTTTATCTTGATACTTTGGATTTTCTTCATTTAGCTGTCATGTCACAGACTCCCCCCTCCAAGGTTTAAAGAAGGTTGTTGCCAACTTTGCAAGTCTGCTGTTGTAATCCATCCTGCATGTTTGGCATTTATAGAGATACCCTTTCCAAAGTGCATAATGAGGAAGCACAGTTCATCTATGTATTTTATATTTCAGTCTCCAGAATGTTAACTGCACCCTGTCAGATAACAACTCATTTATGATGCAGCCATTCTTTGAGACTGTGCTGTTCACTTTTATGCCTCAAAGTTTATTAGCTAGTGGACAGAAGAATGGATGTTGGATTATTTTGGCAAGACCGATAGCATAGTGTATATAATATGTGCAGCTAACTTAGTTACAAAAAAACAGCAGAAGCAAAGTACCTTATCCAGCAATTTCTGTGCCTTTTCTTTTGGCAGCAGTCTTAAGCCAGCTGTTGCTTTAAGGACCAAAGGAGTGGACTTCCACAATTCCAGAGGAACATCTTCTTTAGCAACTGTCAGTAGTTCATTTATTCCTTGAGCACTCTGGAGAGATAGATAGATAGATAAATAAATGTGCTTCTATTTTAGCACTTAAAAAATGAAGACTTTGGTAGAGATACGCACACACTAGTATTCATGTTTTGCTCATCACTTCCCATTTTCCAGTTTGAGATACATGAATATCTTTTTTGCCACCACCATTCTGAGATCCTGCATCAGTCTTTAGCCAAAATAAAGCAAGGGTGCAGAGCCTCTGGCCTGAGGGCTAAAGGTGCAGGGAAGTTATAGAGGCCTCTCCAGGACACGTCAGTCTGTGTTAAGTACTTTGGTTCCAGCTGTTTGACATGAGTAGTCCTGAGTGCCAAGGTCAGACTCCGTTCTTACCGCTCAGCAGTGACATTTTGAAGCTAAAAGAACCTCTAACTTATAACTTGGTCCTTTAGCACAACATCACAACAGCCTTCACAGTGGAACTTCACAATGTTCTACAAACTGGTAGGACATGCCTTTCAAAGCTGCAAATCCACAAGACTTGGGCATCTTGTTGAAGTACCAAGTGTACTGCTATTTAACAGAATGTACGCACAGTATTTCTGTAACCTAGTGACTGGAAAAGTGTCAACTGGATAGTGCCACTGCCTATATGTTTACACAGTAAGTGTCTGTGTGCTCAGTGGTGCTTACTCCCAGGAAAGTATGGATAGGATTGTAACATAAATTGCTGAATTTTCACATTACAGATAGTGAGAATCACAGACATATTCTCTTGACGAGTAAAGTTCAAATTACCTTATCAACACTGTCAGCATATGCAGAAAGTCCTGGCGTTAGTGCTCTGAATGTGGTATGGATTAATTTAGGAATTTCTGTTAAAGAAGTACAATAGAATTGAGTTAATCTACAATAAAAAAAAATTATACACTGAAGGCCAAGATAACGCCACTGTCCAGGGATTAACGTGAAACCCTGCTACACAATATGGTTAACATTAACGGCTCATATGAACACTGTAATTAGGCTGCATCATCTGAAGGCAATGTTCCAATTCAGCCTTTGAATTAGATCTCAGCTAAGCTCCTCCATCCCCACAGATATCAGTGGTTCCAGGTTAGGTGTATAGAATAAAAATTAAGATAAAGAGCTAGCTATTGGCTATGTTTCACTAGCAACACATCCCTTTCATCCTGAAGTAATGAAGCCTTGCAAACTATGTTGCCATAATACAGATAACACAACAGAACTGGTCTGAGGACCTATGTCTTCACACCTAAAACCTGCATAGCACTTACAGAGCCTCTTGTGCCTACTCACACATTTTATCTTAAGACTCTTACAAAATGCAGGCTCCTGGCTTTATCAGCAACCATTTGTTCTCCCTCCTTGCCCCCACTTTATCTAGCCTGATGAAGAACTGTTGAGAACTCAAAAACTTGCATGCTGTCCTGCCACATTTCAGTTGCTCTAATAAAGGTACTGTCCCAATACAAATTTTGCAGCTTAACTGAAACATGTTACCCTACCTTTTGGCTTTTGTGTGAATTTGAATATGTGTATTCGAGTCCCAGTGCTTCCAGCATCAAACATGATTCCATAAAGAACTTCCTGATCTGTTCCTGACGTTTCACTTTTGAGCTGGCTTTCCAAATCATTGACAGCAGCTTTTGTTTTAAAGTCCAAATGCCATTTTACATATACCACATAAATAGCAGCACATGTAAAAACTGCGAAAGTGTAGAATGGTTTTGGTATCTTCATAGCGTCCATTAATCTTTCTTGCTTCACTTAAAACTGGAGTTACGCATGATGCCTCTGCATTGAAAAACAAATAATTATACACTAAAGTAACACCAACGTAAACTTAACAGACAAATACTGAGAAAGCTGATGTATGATGTGGCGAGTTCCATCCACTGCTCTTTTTCAATATTTACTCAAAAATATCTATCAAACTGAAACTGCTGGAAGCTCCTGCTCGCTAAGAAAAAGTTACCAGAACCTATTTGTTAAATGCAAAGTATCCTGAAAGACTGTTTAACCTGAAAATATGTGGGAATCATCCATCCTATAGTCTTGATACAGCACAAAATTTTGATATTTTCCTTGTGTCTTTAGTCTTGAAGAATCATTTGCCATATTAAAAAGTTACAGGTGTGACATAAAGATGCCCACTGATTAAAAAGTGCCTTAATATTTAGAATTATGAAGATATCCCTAAAGATAGACCATTTAATTTTTTAATACTACGAAGACTGGTCTTCAAAAACTTGTTTATACTATAGAATTACACAAAATACTGATGAAAGAACAAGGTCATATTTTGCAATTAGACCAATATTATTAGACCGATAATTAATTTATTAGAAGGGAAAAGGACAATTAAGATCTACACAGAAATGTCACCTATATTTAACTGTAAGAACTCTAGGGCTAGGAACCTGTGAGCTAACTGATAATGGAAATGCCTGAAACCTTATTTTTAAAAATAATACACTAAAATTTTTCAACACATTGGCTTGAAAGTGAGGGGATGCAAGAGAAAATGGTAGAATACCAATATGAACACAAGTGTATGTGGTTAAGGTAATGAAGCTAGCTTATTAAGACAGGTTATTACAAGTCTTTGAAAAGTCTTCCGTACTGGCCAAACAGTATGTTAAAGTTTTTTTTTAAATTAATTATCAAAGCATCTTAAAAAATGATGTGGATACAAAGTTATACTGGCCCAACACTCTGGGCTAGATTCAACTAACCTGTTGTGCTGCTAGTGGAAGCCAGCACAAAGACTCCCGCTAATGCAAAGGGACTTCCCCACCCACCCACTCCTTCTGTGCCAAATATGCTCCAAAATGTCAGAAAAAACCCCAGCATGGTGGGGGGAAGGAAATGGGAGAGTGCTCCATCCAGCAAGCAGAAACACTTTTGCTGACAGAACAAGTGTATTAGTACAAACTTGAAATCCACCCTTTGAATTTATGCCCTTTTGAGGGGTCACTACAACTTGAAACACTTCTCCTGCATCAACAATTAACCAACCACATTCAGAATAAAGGTTTCACAATCTGCCGCTTAACTTGGGTAAGGTTTCAGTTAGAATATTGTGGGTATATTATGAGGGTCATTTCCTTCAGGTTTACAAGTTCCTTCCTCTGTTTACATAAGGACTGTTTATCTTTATACTTGTTCTCCACCTTGAAAGGAACCTGTGTGTTTTGCCTAAGGACGTTGTGTATTCTGGTACAGTTCATCTCCAAGAACACAGGCCTTTTCATGAAAGAGCAAAACATGGCTACTAGATTTAGATTTTTAGCCTGTGCCATTTGAGGAGCCCAATTCAGAAATAAAGGGTGAACAACCCTCCTCCCAAACAGAGCAATTCAATTCTCTTTGAGAACTAGTTGTAAAACTAATTGTCAGGTGTGGTGTAAATTGTTTACTCAAGGCTATGGCAAAGTCAATTTAACAAGGTCCGGGAAAGAAACTGGAAAATATGATTAAAAGTAATGTTTAACAGTCTATTAAGGTGACTTGAAGATTGTAGGGCCCCAAGAATTAAATCCTTGTCTGAAATGAAATCTGTGCTCTTGTCTTACAGAGGAATTAAAATAACCATCAACAGCATGGACATGCAAATATGGAAGTTGCACATGCATACTTGCATCAAGGCTCTAGGTCAGACTTTATTTAAGTTACCACTGAACTGCTGCTTGCATTTTCTGCACCTGCAATTGGAATGCAAAACCTATGATGCCTAAGATGCACGTTCTGTTGAAAAATGCTTCTCTTCTGCTCTCTGTGCTGCATTAACCAGCACACTGCAGACTGGAAAGCATTCTTAGCATGTAAAAATCCTGTCAAGTTAGAATGGAACAAAATTAAGAATTTAACTAATTATTTTAATTTAATATCAATTAAAAATAGACGGTTTAAAATTAAAGTTGAATTCAAGCATGCTAAATCTGATTTCTTAAAAACTGAATTTAACAGCCCACTATTAAGTACCAATGGTCAGGGGTCCCTTTACCTTTACCTTATTAAGTACCAAGTAAAACATAGTCTTTCACTGCAAATGAATAACCAAGGAGAAAACACGTTTTTGAGGCCAATATGCTAAATTAGCATAGAGTCAAGGGTTATCTAGTCCAGCATCCTGTTCTCACAGCAGCCAACCAGGTGCCTGTGGGAAATCTACAAGCCACTGATATTCAGAAGCATTACTACCTCTGACCATAGAGGCAGAACACAGCCACCATAGCTAGTAGCCATTGATAGCCTCCTCCTTCTCCATGAATTTGTCTAATTCTCTTTTAAAGCCATCCAAGTTGGTGGCAAACACTACATCCTGAGGGAGGGAATTCTGTAATTTAGCAACACACGGCGTGAGGTACTTTCTTTTGTCTGTCCACGCGAGTCCTGGTTTTTGGAGAGGCAGAGAAACCCACTTTCTTCATGATCTCCTATCGCGCTGCCTCTTACTCGCCTTCTCTCTGAATTAACAAGCTGCAAACGCTGCGACCTTCCCTTTTGCTGCCTGCAAGAAACCTACCCACTGAAAGCCACCTCCAGCAAGGGGTCACCGCCACATCTTGTGGCAGGGAGTTCCACAGTGGAGCAGCTTCCTAGCGACAAGCTGCACCTGCCAGAACATCCTCCTCATCCCACCGACCGACCCCGCCCTCCTTCACAGCCAGTTACTTTTTTAAAAAGGGGGCTCGGAAGGAGTCCTCTCTCCTCCTGAACCTTTAAACCCCCCCCCACCGAATTTAGCGCCCTCCGAGAGAGTATGCGACGCGGCTCCATGAGGACTAGCCTATTGCAAAGTACGTGCCGGCAGCTGTCGCCGGCTTTCTCTCAGCCTTCTCGCAAGACGCATTATGGGAGGGGCCGCTGCGCCCCCTCCGCCAGCCCGCACGGACTGGAAGCCCCTTCCCCGGCCTCGCCTCAGTCGGAGGAAGGGGGGGGGGGAGACGCGCCCGACTCACCTCAAGCTGGCGGCTCAGCCTTTCGGAAGCCCCTTCGGCTCCCCGGCCGCTCTCGCTAGCTGAGGCCTCCATTTCCCATCCTGCCCTCGCACTCGACGGTTGCCCGTTTGGCGCGAGGGGAGCTTAGTGGGCGGGGCAGGCCGGAGGGAGCCACGCATGCGCACGCTTAAAACTACGTCGTGTCCTTCGCCTCCTCAGTCGGCTTTGGGGCGCAAGAGGGGGAGGTCCTGTCGTCTCGCGCCTCCCGGTCCTATCGCGAGGTGACGGAGCTGCCTTCAGGGCAGGCAGGCGTCCGCCCGCCAACAGGCGAGAGTGCCTGTAGCATAGCTGTCAATTTACAGATTTGAAAATAAGGGACCAGCAGCCTTGAAAATAAGGGGCCAGCAGCCAAAATAAGGGACCTGCAGCCTCACCTGTTCCAGGCACTCCAGTCTTCCTGTCCTCCTGTAGTCTGGTCAAACTCATGCTGGTAGCTTCGAGAACATTGTCCAACCAACTTTGTAACCAGAGGTTCAACTGAATAGAATCTGAATCACATGCACCACAAGGCCTATGCAGCCTCAATTTAAGATGGCTCCCTGGCCTGGCTTTGCACTGCAAACTTTGCAGCAGCAGGTGCAACAAAATGGCATCCAGCATTCAAAAAACTCCTCAGCTTGCATTAACTAGCCACACACACACAGCCTCCTCCTCTCCCATGAGATCTCCTTTCCTTTTCCCCCACCATGTGCCCCCGCTCCAGACAGACCTTTTCGCCGGCAAGGGTGAGTGGGCCGTCGATGACGTATCCATCCGATTCCGATCCGAGCACTCAGCACAGGTATGTTCAACTTCTGAGCTCCTCTGAGCCAAAGGCAGAAAGCCCAGCCAGCAGCCAAACGAAGCCTCAAGGAAAAGCACCGTCACCTCTCCGCTGGGAAGTGCTGAGCAAAGGCGAGTCCCCAGGCAACACAGCTGATTTGATCAGCACAAGGCATGCAAGCTCCACCCCCCAGTCATTCTTACTCCTTATTGGGTGAGCAACACAGCCAAGCAACACAGTTGGAGCTTCCCTCCTCCCTAGCCGGCAGGGAGGGAGGGAGAGGAGCTGCTTCCTTTGAAATTTAAGGGACATCATTTAAGGGACATCCATCAATAAGGGACAGCAGCGGGACATGGCGCTGGAATAAGGGACTGTCCCTTCAAATAAGGGACACTTGACAGCTATGGCCTGTAGTGTAGTAGGATCTGGAAGTCACCCCATAGGGAGCGAACTTTTGGGTCTCACAGAACTCCTCCTCAGGCGCTGGAGGATGAGACGAGGATATTGATTATTAAGTGGGGAGCGAAAAACACATTGTTGGAAATCGGTTCAGAATCGGCTAATCTTCCCCCCATCGAAAGCTCTGGCACCTGCTTCCTTTGTTGTTGTTTAGTCGTTTAGTTGTGTCCGACTCTTCATGACCCCATGGACCAGAGCACGCCAGGCACTCCTGTCTTCCACTGCCTCCCGCAGTTTGGTTAAACTCATGCTGGTAGCTTCGAGAACACTGTCCAACCATCTTGTCCCCTTAAAAAGCAGAGACATCACCTTGCCAACAAAGGTACGTATAGTTAAAGCCATGGTTTTCCCAGTAGTGATGTATGGAAGTGAGAGCTGGACCATAAAGAAGGCTGATCTCCGAAGAATTGATGCTTTTGAATTATGGTGCTGGAGAAGACTCTTGAGAGTCCCATGGACTGCAAGAATATCAAACCTCTCCATTCTTAAGGAAATCAGCCCTGAGTGCTCACTGGAAGGACAGATCCTGAAGCTGAGGCTCCAATACTTTGGCCACCTCATGAGAAGAGAAGACTCCCTGGAAAAGATCCTGATGTTGGGAAAGATGGAGGGCACAAGGAGAAGGGGACGACAGAGGATGAGATGGTTGGACAGTGTTTTCGAAGCTACCAGCATGAGTTTGATCAAGTGCAGGAGGCAGTAGAAGACAGGAGTGCCTAGCGTGCTCTGGTCCATGGGGTCATGAAGAGTCGGACACGACTAAACAACAAGTACAGTACAGTATCTGATATTGCCTGTGGTATTATGACATCTAGTGGCTATAACTGGAAATAACCACTAGAAAATTTGCCAGTGAGAATATAAGATCCCTGCTGGATCACACCAAAAGAGATCTAGTCCAGCAACCTCTTCCCATATTAGGCAACCAGTACTCTTCCCAAGTGTGATTCCCCAGCTACTGGTGTACAGAGGCACACCATCTCTAATTTGGACCTATCATGCCTAGTAATTTCATTGATAATTTCACTGGAATCTGTGTCAAGAGACAATGGAGTGTGCCTCTGGGGTTGAAGTTAGGCATTAGCATCACCAAAGTGACCTCCCCAGGGTACAGGCCTGGGCAGTGTGTATGGAGGTCCTGGACTGCCCAGATGCCAAGACCCCCTCTTGACCTCACTGATGTGGTCCAAAGGCAAGCAGAGCAAATGTGTGTAATCCTTTTTCAAAGCTATCCAAGTTTGTTGCCTTCACTACATGTTGTGGGACTTAATTCAAGAGTTTTAACTATGCATTGTGTAAATAAATAGTTTATTTTGTCTGTCCTGAATCATTGAATGGTACTGTGATCTAATATTATGAGAGATGCAGAGAATTTTCTCTCATCCACTTTCTCAACATAGTGGTAACTTTAAACATTTCTGTCAGTTCCCTGCTTACTTGCCTTTTTTCTAAAGTAAAAAGTTCCAGATGTTGTAACCTTTCTCCATTGAGGAGTTACTCTACTCTCTTGGTCCTTTTGGTTGAACCTATTCTGGTATTCCAAATGTGGCTACACCATAGATTTGTATAACAGCTTCATGATATTGGCAGTTTTATTTTCAATCTGTTACCTTATGATGCCTAAGCTAGATTTTGCCCTGCCATACATTGGGTTGACATCTTCATTGAGCTGTCTACTACAACCCCAAGGTCTCATTTATGCTTCTTTGGCTACATGTCTCATCCTTACACATTCGAAATGCAGAAAATTATTGTTCAGTCACAGGAAAACAAGCCCCTTCTTGTATAGTGGGGTGCATATGGGTAGAGCAATTCAAGATACAGAACTATGTTGGTTTTGGAGTTCCTAACTAAATACCAATTTTGTTGGTTTGTGACTTGGACCAACTGAGCTTCAGTGGACCTTCCTACCAAGTCAGTGTTCACGGGTCATTCTTAACTTGAAATCATGAAATGTGATGTCAAAGTGCTATTTGTTCTATTCTTTAAGGTTCTTTAACCAATAAAACAGTTTTTAACCAACAGGGGGCAACATTTTGCTACGCAAACTTGCATTTCGACTCCTGCTTGTTATTAAGTGAGTAGGCTGAGTCCTTTTATTTGGAACAGAATTATCTTCACATTTGTGTGTGCGAACCAAGCTGCTAGCGCTTTCAGACTGCCTTTCATAGTGCAGGTTGGGAAGGTCTGTAGCTCAGTGGAGAACACAGGTATCAGGTTAAGTTCTTAACATTCCCAATTAGACTTCAAATGACAGTTACACCTGCTGAGATTATCTCTTCTACACATCTATTAAAAATGCAGGAGTCCTGTTTTCTTTTGCATCTGGATACCCTATTTTTTATTTATTTACAAAAATATAAATGTATATATTGCCCACTCATAAAACATCAAGGTGGTGTATTCCCTCAGAGTGCAACCCCATTCAGAACAGGCAACTGGCCTGTCTTCCAGACCCAGGAACCACCTCCCCACAGAGCCTTCATCTTCACAGGCTCTAGCCTAAGTTTATTGACCCTCATCCAGTCCACCACTGCATTCAGGCATTGGTCCAGAACTTGCACAGCCACATTCAAATATTATGAAGAAACCAAGCAGCATGTCATCAGCATATTGCTAACACTGCTCCAAAACTCATAACAGCCATTTCTATCCGCTTCATGTAGAGATGTTAAATAGCATCAGGGACAAATTGTGGGTGGGGGGAATCATTGGGATGATTGTGTGTAGAGAAAGAGCTCAATACTCCTTGCCCCTTCAGCCCATTTACACTGCAGGGTTGCCATATTTTGAAGAGCAGAAAAGAGGACACATTTGCGACTTCTAACTTCTAACTTGGAGGATGGATGGCGGCTAACAGATTGAGGTTGAATCCTGACAAGACAGAAGTACTGTTTTTGGGGGACAGGAGGCGGGCAAGTGTGGAGGGGGTCCGGGCAGAACGATGGGGGTGGAGACGCTCCTTCAGGTATACTGGACTGAGGCCATTTAGGGCTTTAAAGGTCAGCATCAACACTTTGAATTGTGCCTGGAAACGTACTGGGAGCCAATGTAGGTCTTTCAAGACCGGTGTTATGTGGTCTCGGCGGCCGCTCCCAGTCACCAGTCTAGCTGCCGCATTCTGGATTAGTTGTAGTTTCCGGGTCACCTTCAAAGGTAGCCCCACATAGAGCGCATTGCAGTAGTCCAAGCGGGAGATAGCCAGAGCATGCACTACTCTGGTGAGGCAGTCTGCGGGCAGATAGGGTCTCAGCCTGTGTACCAGATGGAGCTGGTAAACAGCTGCCCTGGACCCAGAATTCACCTGTGCCTCCATGGACAGTTGTGAGTCCAAAATGACTCCCAGGCTGCGCACCTGGTCCTTCAGGGGCACAGTTACCCCATTCAGGACCAGGGAGTCCTCCACACCTGCCTGCCTCTCCCCCAAAAACAGTACTGTCTTGTCAGGATTCAACCTCAATCTGATATAAAGGGATGAAAAAGGCTTGTGATAGAACTGATTCCTAAAGAGGAGAGAGAGACCATACAGGCAGAAATGGCTAGAGCAATCTCTGCAGGCAATAGTCACTCAGAATGGGAGTGTGATAGACCATCTACACCTGGGGAACTGGGCACCTATTCCACTGAATTACACGTCAGGTTTTCTGAGCTTGCTAAACAGGGAAAACATGAGGAGTGTGCCTTTTGATAAGATGAATGGTGGGCATGATTCAGCACTTTCAAGTCTCATGAGTTTCAAACGGAGACTGAAACATGTAGATTAGGCAACAGCAATACATCCATGTGGAATCAGTGATACTCACTACTGAGTAAACATTTAAAGGAGTAAATGGAAGTCAGTGTGGCTTTTTGTAACAGGCAACCAAATCCCATGCACATTTACACAGAAATCAGTTCAGTGAAGCAAGTAGAGATGGGTGGTGCTCTGCTACAG